GGGGGGGGGGTGATGAGACGATAATGTCCATTGCATCAATAGCCTGATCGCGCGCTACAGACGGTTCGGGATAAACCAGGGCCGCAGGCAGCAAGTAACAACGGCAGGCTATACTATGCTATGCTATGCTATGCATTTGTTTTTGTTTTTTGTTTTGTTTTGTTTTTTCGTGTCCACCATATAGATCACTTTGCCTCCACTTCCTTTGCTTTGCTTTCTGATTGCGTGGACATAGACGTGGACGTTCAGTCCCGTGCAGTGAAGTTCAATGGAATTAAGGCTTTCTGACACGTTGTCCCTTTTTGTGCCCCCCCAGAATACGGCAATTTTCCTTTGATCACTCAAGTATCCCCCATCACTCCCCAGTCGTTCGTTGCTTACTCGTGGAAGGTAGAAAAGTTTCGAATGCCCGACAAAGGAAGAAGACTGATCATGCAACTATGAAACGTTGGCGAAGGTGGATCGGAAGAGGATGGCTTCGGGGGCGAGAAGAGGACAAAGCAAGACTGCGAAAGGCTGCAGCTGTACGACTGAGTGATCCTTCGGAGTGATGCCAATCGCGGGCATCAAGATGCATTGAATGGGGTCGATTAATGCTGATCAAACGAAATCTGACATTTGAAGTAACGGCGAGCCCGTGGTTGAAGCTTGCGGACGAATGCTGAATCTCTGGGACGACGGTCGTCATGGTCGTCCAGTCGAAGAATGCATGCTGGCGTGTGTGTGAATGATGCAATACCAAAGGAAATGAGACCCCCATCCGGCGCTCGACACATAAGCATGTATTGAGACTCGGTGGAGATCATATGAGAACATGCCCCTTTCTTCTCTACCCACCCAATCACCTGTGCACCCCCATGCTGTCTGCTGGTGTCGATGCTGGTGCACGGTGCCCCTTCCCATGCGTCTTTATACCTTTGATCCGGTTTAGTAAAGTTTGTCCGAGTATATAGTTTCGTCATGCTTGAAGAAGTGATTGAAACAACGGCGGAGACACCAATTTCGAAATGCTGGAAAAGGTGCACCGGGCATGGCGGAAGGACGCTCTAGCGGGTGCCATTAATCGATCGCTCCGGTAAATCTTTTGGCATCACGGGCGGAACGGAAGGCTCCTCTTCATCTTCCATGTCCAATTCCTCGGGGTGTCTGCATTGTATCAAGATCAGCACGAGTTTAGGACAAGAAAAGGTCATCATGGCAGACAACGACTTACCCAAGCAAATTCTTGATGTCCTTCATCTCATAATGCCTCTTCCTCTGCTCCTCAAACTGGCGGTGTTTCTCCTTCTCCTCGCGAGTGGGCATGCCGACCTGCTCCTTGAACCCATCTGCATCACTGCCATCACTGACACTAACATGCTTTTCTTTACTTGATTCTCGCGACAGATTGTTCGAACCTCGAACAATTCTGTCTTCCTCTGGCGATGCGGCGGTCCCCGGAGACAGCTCTTCTTCAGGCTCACCGAGCTCCAGACCAGGGATCTCGCTTTCACGGTGTCTTTTGTTCGTCTTCGGGGCTTTTGCCATTTCCACTTCATCGACGTTGACGAAGCGGGGGTCGATAGCCACATCTTCTTCATCGTCGTCTTCCATCATGGCGTCTCCATATTGATAGGGAGTCTTTGGCTCGGTGATTTTCATGCGTCCGCCTGATTCCTGCTCGGCCAAGTAGAGGTTCGCTTCGTCCCACTTCAGCCGCATCTTTTCCGGGTCGTCTTCGTGGTTTGCGGCCAGCGCGGCTGAGTGGCGGCGTGACGCGGATGCCCGTCTCGCGGCCGACGACGAGCGGCGGTGACCGGCATTCTGGAGGGTGTTCTGAAGCACAAGTTCTCTCTCTTCCTTTGGATCGAGGGGCACGTGTGGCGGCAGGTGGAACTCGTCTTTTGACGGCGAGCCTGGATGGCCGCTTGAGGATGAAAAGGATGGATTCTTCAAGATGCCTGCATCAAGCGTAGGTGATGAGCGTTCGGTATCAAGCCATTCGCGTTGGTAACTCACCTTTAGGTCGAATGTTGCCGGAGCCTGGCTGGTGCAACGGAGGCGGGGAGTGACGGACTTCAACTGGCATAGTGACGGAGCTTTTTATGTAGAGTTCAGGGTCCGTATGATGAAGTGCAAACGTGAGGTTCCACGGACTCGGTGTCTTCAAGGTCGGGCTGCTGTAACGGTAGAGCTGCCAGGTTTGGGGTCGGCAGAGGGGAGGTGGAATCGACCGCAATGAGGACTCGTTCACGATCGGAATTGATGGCGGCGGAGAGTAACGCGGCCTGGATTCAGGCGAGTGACCGACGAGCAATGCGGGTGAGAATGGATATGGGCCGAAAGAGATACAGAGTTGTGTTTCCTTAGGATCGGACGATGAGTTATGGTGGTTGCAGTGGAGAAGCAAGACTGGAGATTGAGTCTGTGGGTACGTGCCAGGTAGAAGTAGTTGGAGAAGGCACCCGGCCGGATATCAGTTGCGCGGTGGTCTGGGAAAGGGTGACTAGGACGACGAGATGATAATCATCCTCTGACTCGGCGGGAAACTAATTTGTTGGATGTTGTTGCAGTTGTGGTGCAAGTCAGTTGGGTGAAGAGAGTAGCATGTGCAGAGAGGAGGGGGGGGGTTGATGGGCAGCAGATGAGAGTTGAGGGATGGGATGTTGGTAGTCACGCAGAATTAAGGATGGATCAAATGACGGGGCCTTTGGTGGGGCTGTTGGCGATATCTTGCCTCAGCTGGCCCGATAGTCGACCGTCATTACAAGTTGGGGGATCCGATAGTCGGGGCTCTTGGCACCCGACGTCACACAGGCAAGCGGCCCGCTGTACCCGTTGCTGCTGGGCTGCGCTGGGGCTGCGCTGGACTGCGCTGGACTGCGCTCGCTACGTCCGCTACGTCCAACTACTGAATCATCATGCATTCATTGCTTCACGGCTCTTCACCTCACTCTCTGAGATCACTTTCTCCTCACTCGTTCGTTCCTTTTGCCCCCCCCCCATACAACAATCCTCCGTTGATCCATTCCAATAAGAATGTCACAGGGCCATTTCCGTCGGACGAAGGCCTACCATGGCTGCAGCTGGACCGAAGAAAACAACAATCTCTGTCGCCCTGCTGGCCTGGGCTCTTTCTTTTTGCCAGTCTCTTGCATTGGCTTATCTCGTGTCCTACTCCTTTCGGCGCTCGTGGCCATGGTCACGGTCATGGTCATGCTTTAGCCGCATGAAACCGCAATGAACTCCTCCAGTCAAAGTCATGAACTCACGGTAAGCTACTGTGCTCGTGACTTGGTATCTGCCCATCTCACCCCCTTGCCTCGGACTTGCATCTGTCCCTTTCCGCTCTTATTTATGGCCCATGCCCTGTCCTCATCGCCTTGTCTGAAGTACACTCTGTGGGCCTGGGGGTGTTGTGCTCTCTGCTGGAGAAATGATGAACTGACTTGACGCCCCCTTTCATCAAGGCCATGGCTGGATCACCCCGTCCTTTCTCCGTGACTTTTTCTTCTCTGCTTAGGCTGAGCTGCATGTCCCCTACTGCTGTGCAACCACCAGCACCCCCGCCACGATGCATGTGCCTGAGCTCCTAGAGCTGCTGAAATCTCTGTCCCTCCCCCGGCGCCCCCATGATTCGTCCACGAGGACAATGCGTCCTCCCTGATCGCCTGACTTCCTCGCTGAAGCCTTTAAGCAGCATCTCTTACTGGCCAAGTCAAAATGTTGGCGCAATGGACTTTCGGGGCGACCAGGGTATCTCGACTCCTTCTACTAGCTCATCATTGCCCCACTGGGTACGGAGGTACATCCAGCATCACCACGGGCTACTGCAATGCCTGTATCGGGCGAAAAACGAGTTGGAGAAGGCGAAGTGAAAAAAAAAGGGTTTCTACCCAACTGCACAGCTCGTTCGTGCATTTCACCAGTAACTAGCTCACACATGGCAAAACGCATTGCCCATCATCTGTCCATCCATTCAACACAGAGAGATGCAAAGCTTCGAAGACCTCCTCCCTGGCCGCCAGGTGTTGATCCGGTCCCGCTGGACGCTCATTCCAATCGAGCCATACCTGGGTATCCTCCAAACAGAATTTTAACTCGCCAAATTGCAATCTGCCACCCGTAGCACAAGTACACGTGTATCGCTCGAGTTGCTACACTCTCAAAAACGGTCATGAACGAACAGAATGCCCGAATAGCCAAAACTCCTGTAAAGCCAATTCGCCCGTCGCCAGAGAGTTCCATATCAGTAGTCAAGTCATTCAAGCCACCCCCATAAAAACAAACGGGTAAGCCTTCTGCTCACCGCCGGGGCAAAGAAGTCGTGATAATAAAAACAGTGTCACCTCATCGAATTGAACGGCCGGCTTCACGCTCTTCCAGTTTGGTTTGGGCCACAGTATCCCCATTTTTAGCAGCCTCCTGCATCCAGTGCAGGGCGAGGCATAGCGCCTGACTGTTACGGCGCCATCCTTCTTCTTCGTCGTCATCATCTTCTTTCCACCTCATTTCGCGCTTGAAAATCTCCGATGACAACGCGAGCGGGAGACTCACGATCGGAGGGACGTCTGGGTGGGTGAGATACAGGCTCGCCAACTCTCGTTGTGCAATGGCGTTGCTTTCCTGAGCGCCGATGATCCAGTACTCCATTGCCTTGAGGACCGACGGCTCCCGGCGGGTGCCACTTGATACGTTCCTCTTGATCGCGTCTTTGGCGACAATTCGATCCGCCACATCGACCATGCCGCGACATACCTCGTCCTTCCATGCCAACGCTGCCAGCCCCACGTGCAGGAATGCAGGACCCAGTTCCGTATCGTCCAGTATTTCTGAGGACACGAATGCAGCGATATATTGCAGATCCCGAAAGATTGTCTTCGGCCGAAGGACAAAGAGAAGGTCCTTCAGAAATTGGACAGTGGCGCTCTCGCCAGCAGAAGATTCAGTCGCATCTGGCCTTCGAATCTTGCCCTGGCGCTGTCGACGACGTAGATTTTGTGATAGCACGTTCGGATCAAGGCTTCGCCGTCGTGTCGGGTCCTGGGAATCAACATCTTGCCCCGCCGAGTTGGCTTTCTGAATGGCTTGTTGATGAGTTCGCTGAAAAGCTTGTGACAAGCATCTGAAATCCCGAATGGCCTTGAGTTTCAGGATGGGATCTGTGTGATCCCTTACTCGACCGAGAACGTCGTCGAATGCTGTCAAGTAGGGAAAGCTCCCTGTGCTCAACTCCCCATTGCCAATGGTAAGTAGTTTTTCCAGTGAGCCTGGGGCAACGGTTGCGTTGTGTCTGGTCGGTGAGCGTGGCAGCGGTGCTACACTCTGACTTCGCCCCTTCTGTTTCCTCGTGCTTCCTGGATGGGAGGTTTTCGTGGAGCTTCCAGTTCTTGATTGAGGAGGGAGCAGCTGAGCCAGGACGGTACGCTGCATTAAGCGGTCAACAATCGCTGGGGTCTGCCACGCTGCGTTCATCCATGTATCACTTTCACTTCCACAGCTCCAAACCGGGCATCCAAGATCCGATAGCAACAACGAGATCAGGTCTTGTCGCAGGCTCTCCAGGAAGCTGGCCTTTTCTTGACCACGGTCAATGGGTCGGTTCAATGCGCTGTCTTCGAATGTCGAGGCTGGCCTGGACTGTACAGAGGCTGAGGTGACTGACCTGGAGTTCGATTGAGCGGGTGACCAGATGCTGCTCTCCAGAGTTGTGGAAGTGGTAGCTCGTCCAGGGGAGCTAATGAAGGACGCCATGTCACTGCCCAGGCTGTCTTTTCCAAGTCTGCTTGAACCGCCGTAGATCGAGGTTCTTGAGCCTAAGAAGGCAGCGCGTATTGGGAAAGAAGTGGATGAAAGTGGTTCGCTCATCACACTCGGGGGCCTGGTGCTCGGGAGTCCTCCAAAGACCGCATGGATGTCGTACAGAGATTTCTCCCTCGCAAAGAGTTCGCTGGACCAAAGGACAGGGCTGTCGGCCAAGGTCTCTCCGACCAATCTCCGGGTGACTAGCTTGACCTCCATGCAGAATCGATGAATTCTCTCTTCGCCCCGACAGAAGTTTTCCACGTGATTCCGCTCAAGCCACTTTCTTGTCTTCTCGATCTGTGGATCTGATAGCTTCCGAGGTCCACCATGTTCCACTGATGCTTTTAGGATCGTGATGGTGTCAATTCTCGGCTGATCAAAAACCGAAGATGCGGACGTTGCAGATGTGCCCGGTCGACTCATTTCTAGTAAGCTGTTTGGTTCCTGAGCAGACGCGAATCTCTGAATAGGCGGCAGTGCCATGTTGTTCAGCGCGACCGCGATATTCCTGGCATTGTCGTAGACATTCGAGGTCAGCACATGGCTCTCGTACCACAGCTTGAGTCGAAGTTTATCAAGCCAACCTGCAGCTTTAGATAGATCTTCTCTTGTAAGAGCATATGATGCTGCCAGTTCTGCCACTTCCTGCTCCACCTGTAAACATTCATTCTCAAGCTCTTGTCGACACCCCATCAGTTTGTGGGTTAATGGCCCGAGCACCTTCGTATCATCACCCGTTAGAACAGTTAGTGGGTAACAGTTCCGCAGATATTTGAGCGCATCATGCCAGTACATAGAGGTAATGCTGTCAGTCTTTATGTGAGACATATTCGCCTGAGCGGCGAACATCTCGGCGAGGCTGAGATTGTCAACTCCTTTAGTTGGTATCTGATCGGCGGATTGTCGGTTATGCAGGGTTGTTGGCCGGTCTGCCAGGCGAAGCGCGGCACTTTCTGCTGGATCAAGTTCACCCAGACCGTCTATAGTCGCCGACTTCTCCATCAACAATCCAGTCGATGCTATCGATATCTTCCCTGTCTCTGAGACTAATAGCAGAGTCCAATTTTCTTGGCGTGGGTGAACGTTCTTCGACGAATGGCCAGGCTCGATGACATCCAGTATACGTCTGCACAGTCGTTCAAACTTCGGACTGGCTCGAGAATACTGCATATTGAACGTCGTTTGTGAGGAGCTCAAGAATGGCCCAAAAGGACTCGAGGTATGAAGGACCTGGGGTCTCAGTTTCTCCAGCAGATGAGCAAGGTCTGCTGCGCAGATCGAGATGTAGGGCGAGTCGGTCGGTTCGACGATGGTTCTCGAAGGCGGGTCTGGTCGATAGGGATTGGAACAGTGGATATCTGCCGAGATTCGGCTTATAATACCGTTTACACAATTTTGAACATCTTGGTCGACCTGTTGTGCGGTTCTGAAAGAAAGATTAGTGTATTTCCATTTGGCACAGAATGTGGAACTTTACATTGGGCTGAAAGTCTCGGTGGCACGGGCAACCGCTCGATCCCAGAGCTTGTGAAGCAGATGGAACCTAGCCCTGCTATTGATATGGAATTGGAGGAGCATTTTTTCATCCTGATCCATCGTTAGCTGAGAGAATAGGAAGCTCACGACCACAGTACCTCTGGAAAGGAGATGGCAATGCGCAGGAAATCTTGCAAAAACCACCTGAAGAAGAAATGGCCCCGAAATGCGCTCTGGCTCTCCACGGTGGGAAGTTTCCCAATAATCGCCCGACCCAAGTACAGCGCGCCCGCAGGTATACCTCCATCGCAGCACAAGATCTGGAAAAGTTCCTTGACTTCTGCATCAAAGAATGCTTGGGCTTGAGGAGTGTTCGATGGATCGAAAGGCCCGAGATCCGTCCTAGGAGCCGCAGCCGCGCTTTCCAGAGAATTATATAGGAACGCACCTCGCTGTAAACTGCCCATCAAGAATATTTCCAAGCGGTCTTTGATCTGCCATTCGTATAAGTGTGCGAATGCTGATAGGACTTCGCCAATGATCGCATCGAATGTCGGCATAGATTCTAGCATCAAACTCGCGCAAATCGTCGACCATGTATAAAGTCGTAAGTTGCTTTCCTTGTTCAGAACATCTTGCGTAGAACCGTAAATGTTGTGGACAAGGAAAGACAAAGGATTCGACCGTTCAAAAGATGATGCATAGTCTTCGAGCTCCTTGGAATAGGCTTTGCTCCGTATCAATTGTGTGTCGTCCTCAAAGTCTTTAAAATTAGATCTAGCCCGCCTGCGCTGCGACTCGCGGCCGCGATTTTGCGATAGTGATACGAGGACCGACTCGGGGAGCTTCTTGAACTTGGGTGATGTTGAGAGACCCTTAACCTGTTCGGGGTTCATTGCCTTGAACCTCTCGACAAGAAACCGGGGATTGCTCCGCAAGGTTTGTACGAGTTCGAGACAGTCCTCCTGGATGGCAGGTGACAACCTAGCGAAAAAGGAATCCTGCACAGACGATTTTGATGCCATTGTAGAGGTAGAATCAAGGGCGTGGATTTCATGATTCCACTGAGAATGACAGCGGGCGGCCAGATCTTGCATGTGTTGATGTACTCGGGTGAAACCACTGGGATCCGACTGTTGAGAGATCTGAACCAGGCCATCATGCACCCAGGAACCCACACGCTGTAGACGGCCAGAAAGAGCGATAGCATTTCGTAGGCGGTCTCGTTGGTGGTAGAGCATTCGCTTACGGTACTCATGGTGTCGATGTAAGCGAAGTTGTTTTGCGAAGTCCTCGAAATGCACACGCATATGGGCAAAGGGGATCTCTCGACCCCGTGAGCCGAATGACGGCCTTCCACCGTCTCCATTGTCTCTTGAAACGCTGGGCGCTCTTGAAATAACCCTTAACATCGATGCGGCATTGTTCTGCTCCTGGAGGCGCCTAGAAGGGAGGACATGGTTGGAAGGAGCTCTCTGCGTGGAAGAGCTGCCGAAGAGCGGAGAACCCGTCGAGGTAGGTTCTGGAGGTTCGGTTCTAGACATAGGTTCGGCATGGTCTTGAGCATTGTTATCGGGTGCTTGGAATGGCAAACGAGAAGGAACCACTGTCGCCAGACGAGGTGAGCTGGTTGAACTGCGGTCGGAATTTGGAGAGAGAAGCGTGGTGACCAACCTTGAGCGTGCTGGGCCCAGCCCTTACCCTGGGCTTGGGCTTGACCTTCCACGACACCAGAAACCCCAGGTAGTTCTGTCATACGCTGGCCAATTCCATTACAGCGGAAGGCGCAGGCCGACGGCAGCAGGAACAGCGAATGCTGGGGCTACGGCGGGAAGCGGCGTAGAGAGCAAAGTGAGTGATCTTCGCAAAGCAGGGCGAGGTGAGGCGTGGGAGTGAGTGGGAGCGGGATTCCGTCTTTGGTCGGAGGGTGAGTCGAGGATCGACTTGTGACTCGCAATGGCAGCGTGTGATGTGATGTGATGTGATTCGATTCAGCGGTCAGGCGTCGCCGCAGAGAGGATTGTCCGAACGATGGGAGAATTCCTCCTCTTCTGCTTCTTCTTCCTCCACCACCTCGTCCAAGGTTGGCTCTCTCGTTGTGATGGTTCGTGGCTGGAGTGGCGGAGGGGCGTGGTTTGATGACCCAATGCAGGGTGCCAAAGGTACAACGTACCGCAGAGAGACCAAGGTCCCAAGGTCCCAAGGACAACAGTCACCGCAGGGCGATAATGCGGGGGAGTTCTTCGGTCGCTCGCTTGCCAGTACAGTACCCAACTCGCCAATACGGGCACCTTGAAATATCCAGCAGTCTCAATCACCTGCAACGCGAGGTCTGGACGCAACGATCCACGAAAAGACCATGAAAGCCACAAGACATTCTCACTATGGCGCATCAATCCATCAGGGCAGACTTTTGGGGGTCTTTTTGATCGACGACCAACGACTACGACTAGAGGGAACCAGAGAACAACGCACACAATTTCTCAGAGTACAGCACAACACTGCAACATGAGGGATGACTTGCAGGCCCTGACGACGTTGCCAACGAATGCATATCCAGCTGCATTAGTCCAGACTAACCAGGCTGCTTGACATAAGCTCAACGCCCTCTCGAGCCACTCGCTGCCCCTCAATATGCTTCTTCTAAAGCTCAAAGATGCGCTCCGGGCCGATGGTACTAGAGAACATCTCGCCAAACCAGCGGTCGCGCAAGAAGGAGACGCCGTGGTCCACGCTTCTCCCCCGGGTTTCCAACGATGTGGCGACAGCGCAACAGCCGTGAGCGAGAGGTGTGGCGAGAACAAGAGATGGGAACTGGCACAGCTTCATCTGTACTCCGTACCCATTCACCTCAGCCTCTGCCACCCTTACCTAGTGAAGTGGCTGAAAAGGCGGCCAATGTGCCACGGGTTCATAGACGCGCATGGTCGCCGCGACAGTAGTACACCGATACTTTGGACGGAGTCTACATCTGAGGGATAAAGTACCCTAGTCCATTTGCCAGCAGAAAAAGGTCCGACGACCCATCACTACTCGCAGGGGACTTTTCGATGCACTCTAAGTGGTGCTGCCTCCATGCTGCAGGACATGACCTTTTTTCGTTTGTCCTCCCATCGACCTCGCAGAATTGGCCACGTCAAGCCTTGGGATAACGATGACTGGACCGCAAACGAGCTGCTAAGATGCTAACCGATCTTGAACCCGAAGATCCTTCCGCCATGTGTCGCTGTGCAGGCTCACCGACCGAGCCACTTGGATGCAGCCCCCCTGCAATGCCCCACGGCCCACGGATGATGCGCTGGCACTGCATGCTGCCTCTCTAAAGTCCTATCCTGTTCTGCCCACTCACTTTTGAAACTTCGTTTTAGAAACACTGGTGTGTCCGTTCCAGGTACCGATCTCCGACCCCGAGTCGCTCGCCACTGTTTGATGGTATTGGCGGTTCAGCTGGGGAGATGGACCAAAGTCTGGGTTTCTTGGGCTCGTCTCGTCTCGACCATCGATTGTTTCAGATACGGTGCCGCCCACGGCTCAGCTGGACTGACACAAAACTGCTTACCATTGAAAAGATCCTCATACTGTGCCCAAGTGGTATATTCGATAAAATTGTCTTTTGGGCGATGAATTTTTGAGACTCCACTTTGCGGTGACGGAAGGAATGGTGGGTGAGGGAAGACGGGGTGTATGCCATAAGACTCTGCTGACACCTTGTCTCAGACACGCCGAATAAAGTCCCCATATCTCGTACGTTGACACCCAACGATTGATCATTTTGGAGATTCTCCAAACAGTTTCTGGTTAAATGTGCTTCGACCTTTCCCAGCAGCCGTGAGCAGGACAAAGGCGATGACAGCACGATTGTGCAACAAGCCAACTTGGCCGATGCTGCCCGTGGCCTCCCCAGCGTCTTGAGAGAGATCGAGTCGGCTGCAACCTGGCACGATCGCGGTTGGTGAGACGGGCCTTGAAATGTCAGTTGGCGAGGCATCACTTGCGTCGGGAATCTGGTCACTATCCCAGGTTGCTGGATATGCCACGATCCAAGTCGCTGCAATGGCACCTCACACTATCGAAGTGGTGGACATGGCAAACATGCCATTGATCTGCTGCTGGACAACCGTTGGAACGGGAAGAAGGTAAATTCGAACCAATCCTTCAATGGAAGTGGCCGTCAGTATATGATCGCACCATTTGTTTACGGACACGCCCGGGAACCTGCCGTGTCATGAGACTGCACTTCTTGTGCAAATGCTAGCTGACCCATAACTGAAGGCTGTCCCGGATCTGATAGGAATGGCAGCCCGCTGGGTAGCGAACCCTACACAGTAGGTGATTTTGACGCTGCCAACGCTGCATGCAAGCTGTAAGTGAGGATCAATTGGAGTCAGTGAACGGCAAGATGTATATTCCCCAACGACATCACGGGCGCAGGTTAATGTCAATAGTTGCAACGGTAAATTACACCAGAAGATACTCTCCTGATCTGCTGATTCGTCCCAAATGGAATCCACTTCTCTTGTGATGTGGTTTTTTTTTTTCGTGTACTTGTAGGCTGTCATTGAGGCCCATTCAAGACGCAACACGATACTGGCGCGGTCGATCAGGAACTAAGTACAGGTAGGGTTCAAGCAGAAGACGGGGAAATGTTGCATTTGTTCTAGCGAGAAGCTTCTGGATCGCAGATGGAATGACGTTTTCCCTTAGGGCAACACGGGGCAGCTACTGAAAGTCGCATCCAAGTGGAATTGGTTGTGGATTTTGTTGTGGAGGACAGAAAGGGGCGATTGGAAGAGACCTTGTTGGATGTACTCGTACAGCAAACCTGAAACCTGCCTTGACGTAGGAAAGACTTCGGCACAGCCAACAGAAAGACCAAGGTGCCAACTTTGTCAAAGAGGCACCCGACAGGCCATCCTCCTACTCGGACAAGGCTCGATGCCAGGTCTTGCCCCAAGGTGATCTAGATCCTTGCGGCCTCGTAGCTTCGCCCTTTGCCTAGTGCTCGTGGATCAGCGACGTGGAGCATGCCATTGACGTGGTTTTCTTTCCGATGAGACCAGAAAATTCCTCAGGAACTTGACGGCTCGGGGCGGAGGGTTTGTCACTGCATTGCAGCTCACTGGCCCATCCGTCTCACTCTTTGCTGGAGTGCGAGCCTACCCGCGCTGCCATGGTTGGGTTGCGGGCTGTCATGCGACGGTAGTGACGGATCAATGGAGGAGTTTGAAGATTTTTCATATTGCTGAGCATATGGAGTACAACTGTAGCAATGCCACGAGGTTGTGCCTGTGGGATCAAAAAAAGAAAGCGAGGTGGCATTGCGGTTGAGGCTTTGCAATCTCGATGGTTGGATAATAGTAATCGCCATCCAGATCAAGCAGGTCGAGCCTAAGTCTCACTTGTGAGTGGCCATGACGTCTGGGCCTCAAGGCTTGACGCCTGGAAGCTCGAGGAATCCCCAAGTAGGCAAGTTCCACGGGGCAGAGGCGCACCCAGAGGCGCACCGAGGGGAGGTGGAATAATATTGGGAAGTGACGCTGAGCGGTTCGGACTGCGGGCGGCAGCTTTCAGCTGGGTTTGGATGAGTCGAGGGAAGTTAAAAGGTGGTCTGAGTCGGACGCCGTCAAATCACAGATGCCCAAGGAGAGCCAGGCGGCTACCTAGAGCCACCTCCCCCCCCCCCCAACCAAATAATGAGGGCTACAAGGACAAGATTTAAGCGAATAATATCCGGGCACCGGGCTGCTGATGGGCGCCGCAGGCACGGGCGTGGATGATACATGGGTGGGACGCTGGATAGGGGCGTGGGCCCTCTTCAAGGCTTAGGTGCCGTGCCCTTTCCAGCGAGCCAGCTTCCAAAGAGCAGCCTTCTCAAGGAAGCCCCTCGCCCCTTGGCCCCCCTCTCTTCCGGTCTTCAAGCCCCCTCCCCCCCCCCCTTCTACGGCACCCGTCGCGGGTCGGAGTAATAGACAGCGGACTGCCGACCTGAGGGAAGAACGAGGTTTCGCTTGGTGAGGTCCTGGTCTCGTAATATGGTATGATCCGCTGGGCCTCCTGGCGTCCTGGCATCCTGGCGTCCTGGGCCTGGCAATCCATGGGCCCCCCTGGCATGGATCAACTCCTACTCGTAGGTACGTAGCTAGTGACGGGCATGCAAATCCTGGACAAGTGCCAAAGCATCATCGTCGTCGTCAACATCATTCGATTGCTGTAAAATAAAGTTGTCCGATTGCCATCTTGGAGGGCTCTCCCCTACACGTACTTGTACACACCCTCACCCACCACTGCAAGACTCCTTCGAATCAATCGAGTCTCGCTGCAAGGCTGCTGCCCTCCATCAGTATCAACTCCGTCAACATACGTCCAATTGATTCGCGCGCGGACTTGTCGCCAGAGTAACCCTCTCACGCCTCTTCCGCCGAGTCTCCTGTCAGTTGGTACCATTGGTCCGCAACTGCGACTGTACATTCCTCAGGACTCAATTATAGCAGTGATTGCCTCCAGCTCTTCTCCGCCTCGACACGACGAGGGGCTAGCGATACGAGGTCCAAGGGCGCGCGAGACGTGTTACAAAGGCATCGGCTACCCAGACCATTTTGATTCAAATTTCCAAACCGCCCTCCTGGCCCCCCCGTTTCCCGTCTTTCGTCACTCACTCCTCGAGCCTTGGGTTTACAATCACCTCGACTTCTCCCTCTTACCACGGTCACCGTCACTGCCACTGCCACTACCTGGTTTTGGGTCAATCTGGTTACAAACCAATTCATTACTACCTCATTGCGGCGGATCTGGTGTGCCGGCCAATAACCCAGACGCAAGGACCAGAAAAAACCGACTTGCAGCCAGCCGAAGTCTCCACTACCAAACCAGCACTTGGACTGCACCAAAGACCGATTTACAACCTTCGGCCTCAATTCTCCATTCTCCATTCTACTTCTTTGCTCTCTTGAGCCTTGCCAGTCCCTGGGAAAACCGATGAGCGTCTTGACAGTAGCTGGGACAAACATCCCAGATCCCACGCTCTCCTACCCTTACTCACATTCTCCCGCCCCCATTTCCTCGTTGCCTCCTCATCCCGCGCCCTCGGTGGCTGACGGCGCCTTCACTCGACCACAGCGAAAATCCTACATTACGACAACAACCACTCCCATAGCGCCGGCGCGAACGATTAGCAATCACCACCACTCGCGGACTGTTTCTTCCAACACTCTCCCTCCCTCCAATTCTTTTGTGACCAGCGCCACTTCGTCCTCTGGCACTGGCCATTCTCGCATTCCCTCCACCTCTTCACATTCGCGCCAATCCTCCACCTCGAATACTGCTATGAGCATGCACAGACAGGCCACGACCTCTTCGGCCGCCAGCGTGCCACGCCGCTCCACCTCTGGCCGCTCGACGGCCACAAACAGCCCCACATCCTACGTAGCCTTAATGCGGAAACAAAAGGCAACCGTGTGGTGCGATCGAGCCCAAAACATTGACCCACGGCTCGCTGCCGCCCAAAAAGCAGCAAAACACCGCGCTACACTTGAAGTTCAAGGAGTCGGCCAAGGGGGACGGACAAGCACCATCTCCTCCGGTGGCGTGGTTGGCAAGATCCGACATGGCGGTGTCCCGAAAGCGCCCGGTTATGTTCCGGCGAATCTAACGGGCGCGTCTGTGCCTGTACGATTGAGTGCCAACGAGGCGTTGGGCGACGAGGAAGAGGAAGGGAGAAGCTTAACCGGTGACAATAGCATGGTACATGCCCGAACCGGGAGCGGGAGAAGCAGTACCAACAGCGCCAAATACCGAAGCGGCTACCCACGTCCGGATCAAGGACGATTTAGCAGTACGAGCACACCGCCGAGCGAAGGGTCGCCAGGGCAAGGCATTCCTGAAGACACAGAAACCGCCGAAGGCCCGAAACACGACTATTTCATCCACAGCGACAAATCTACACCCGGCGGCCGGGAGAGCGAAGACTCATTCGGCGAGTTGAAGGAGCTTTCTGGGCCAAGTGCTGTGCAACGGGCACTGGAGCAAGCGAAGAAAGTCGAGGACCTGCGGAGAAGAGGGAGTGTGGATGAGCGGACGATGAGCATGGGTCAGCCGGGGGTGAGGCTTTTTGTGGCGAATCCAGATCTCGACGATTAATATCCGGTTATGTTTTGACGGTTTACTACGCATCTTCTACTTGGGCCGGCCCTTTTTATTCTTCTAGCTTGGGCAGGCATTCTTGGGATTTCGCTTTTGGACACATATGAAGGGGAACCAGACTTCGAAGTTGGTGACGATGAGGAATGCAAGCTACGACGAGGACATGGAGAGGCATGGCCATGGAACTGCAATGCGGCATTTTCCTTACGATAATGAGAGAGCTTGGACTTAGCTAATTGTTTGGGGGGGGGGAGGGGGAGGGGGGTTTTGCGAGTCGGTGACAGCAGCACGACAGGTGGACGAGATGTTTTGTGTGATTATGGCGGCTCTGCGTCTGTACATGCGGGCTGGGATAGGAAACAATTCCCCTGCAATGATAAGAATCACACCAGCGTGGAATGTGATGATGTACCAACAACCATACTTCTCTCTCCCAGTTGAACTGGTGTCTCACTCTCACTTGCCGAAGCAAGGGCGAGTGACTCGTCATGAAGCTAAGGGCCAGCAAATCCTTTCTCGATGGGCATGCTGAACGCACAAGAACAGGTTTGCGATGCATGCAAGGAGGGGAAATGGACTTCTGCAGCTGCTAGGGAATGCAGCTTGTTGGCACTACTAATAAGCGAACCTGTAACCCTGGGTGGGATGACGACACACCACTAACACCACTACCGTTAGGCGCAGTTAGGCACCGCTAGGCACCACAGGGCACTCCAGATCCCCATCGGGTTACCCAGGCTACCTCCCCCAGGCAAAGCAGGGCTAGCCCAGTCAAGGCAGTGAGTTGCCCAGAGGGGGCAGTCGATCAGGGAGCAGATCAGGGCACAGTCCTGGCTCTCCCGCTCCTACCCAACTGCAGTTGTGCCTGGCTGGCCCTTTGCACTTGGTTGGGCGTCTGGCTTGCCGGGGGGTTCCTAGGCCCGGATATGACACCAGCTCATCTCCGCTTTCTCTTCTCTTGATCCAACTCTTGATGACAGCAGCGAGATGATGACCAGATGCCGATCCTGTGTCGGAGTTTCGTTGTTGACTGGTTCATCTCTGTCCCTCTCCTCGGCTTCTTCCATTCCTACTGTTCTCGTCTGCAGTTTCCGGGCTCAACCGCCAACGTCGAAAAAGCCCCGAGCTCAAGCTCCAGCTCAGCAACGATTTCCAATGCTTAAAAAAGACCCACGCACGTGGGCGGGACGTGGGGTGCATTGCATGCTTGGTTCATGGTCGCATGCACCATCCACCGACCAGCCGCAGTGGGACAGTTGCACCTTGGTTCAATCCTAGCCTCGACACCCTTCACCTGCCCTGCTAGAAGAGCTAACTCGTCTGGCCAGGTCCTATGACTCTCCTCCTGTGCATCCCGGACCCCTCCAAGCTCCCTCTCACATGCATGCCCCTTCGACTTGCGGCGTTGATAACAAGCGAACTGATCCATGCCTTGCTTGAGCGGCAGAGCGAGCCGAAGCTGGAGATGGAGCATTCTCCTTGCCACTGTGCTTGACCTTGACCGCCTTTTTCTCTATTCATTAGTTCTGGGTTTAACCTGAAAAGGAGGATAAGGGGCCAGTTGCTGCAATGCGCTGTGCATGCGATGCGATGCGAGGTCTGTTATTCTGATCACCTTGTTGGGATGACTAGCTTTTCTACTATCGAAATTTCTGCTACCTGCGCGGAGTTAAAGTACAGCACAGGGACGTTACAGTACAGTACTTTATAGGTAAGGCTCAGTCAAGGGTGACCCCAGCAGGAAAACCCGTCTACAGTGCAGCAGCTCTGTACTAACTCGTGCAGGGTGTTGGCACCGGCAAGAGCTTTCCCAGCTGGAGAAGCGCCCGGGAAAATAATGCCGTGGCTCGTTCATTCATTCATGACCTATTGTCCCGTGCATCTCCTCGGGAAATGCTGTCGCAAAAACATGGACTTGAGCCAATTAGCGCAAAACACCAGCTTCAACCCAGCCATGGCTTCAGCTTTCGCAATACCCCTCTCTTGCGGCATGGGTCGGGTAGAGCAGAGGAGCAAAGAAGGCACCAGCCTTCGACGGCTTCCTCTGCGAAGCCCCCTTGTACGAAAAGACAGAGAGAAGAGGGAGGAACCCTTTTCTCACTCGTCAAGGTGCTGTTGAGTGTCTGAGGCACTCTGTAATTCGTCCACTTGTCCGGCATTTGTCTCACTATAATCCTAATCCAGCGACCCGCAGCGAGCCGATTCCGAGGACTATACCTCTGTCATGCTTGCTGTACGGAACCTTCGACTTTAACGGCCGTTAAGACAGCACGTGCGAGTGTCATGTCCTTGGGAGCTCCTTATCCTGTGCTTCTTACTGTCGGTCCAAATGTACTTGGGGTTGCTTCAACGTTGTCGGCTATATCCAGACGCCGCGCATGGCAGAATCGTCACTCCGCACGCGGATGGTTCTTCTTGAAGCAGCACTACTCCATCTTACTGGGATGGGGCGGAATATCCGTATACACAGTAAGTGAGGAGGAAATCGAGAAAAGTGGCACTGGGGATTCATTCCAGCCATCATACCGACGAGAAATCGACGTTGCAGCTCCATGAAGCTCAGCTACAGCTTCTCCCTCCCTCTCTTTCCCCTCTGCTGGCCAGTGACCGACACCCGGTTCTCACTCGATCTGCCTCGGGACACGAGGAAGGAACTGTGTCCATTCGCCCGGACGCAAGCGGCTTCGCAGGAGTGAGCATTTCCCTCGCGGTCAAAGGTTTGAAAGGTTGGCGGCTGTGGTGTTCAGAAGCTGGCACCGTCATATTGCCTCTGGACTTGTTCGCTGAGTGACTGACTTGACTGGGTGACTGACTCGGAGTCCTTCCTGCACCTGTGAGCAATGGGAGAAATCAAGGGCTAAAGATGGCGTCTCGGTCACCATGTACTATACCCAGCCCAGTCTAGGTTGTTAGGTCTCCTCTCATGACGAGGAACACAGAGTAAACGAAGCATTGATGGAGTGAACCGCGGAACTTCTACAGTCTCTGATGATTCTGCTGTGCCGTGTGCTTCGAGAGAAAAGGAATAACGGTCGTTGAGCAGTTCCTCTACGTACACTTGGCTATCGTGCATGAGCAAACCAGGCGCAATAGGAACCGCGGTGAAAGTGTGAGCTGGTTGGACTTGTGTGTAAAGTCGTAGGGATTTCTAACCACAGGAATAGCAATGCGACTCCGACCAGTCTCGATTACTTCTCTCGACGACCCTCAACTATGTTGCCTTCGCTCCCCGATTTGTTCCTTGCGACCTAGACAATTTGTCGCTGATGCGGTCACCAACTCATCCCATCCCAGCCCGGATGCATCGTTGTTCAACCCACTTCGTCGGACATGGCAAGGTTGGGAGGCATTGCGGTTCAATACCACGACTTGTACACCGCCAACCACTGAATCGTCATGCCACTTTCCAGGCCGGGCAGCGTGTTGTCGTCGGGATTTCCTGAATAATCGCCTCCCACGGCGATGTTCAGGATCGGGAAGAACGCGCTTCGGGCACATCTCTCCCAACCTTGCCTGGCTTCCCCGCTGGAGCCGTCCCCTTGAACAGTGTAGTAAGTCTGACCGTCAAGCTGGAACTTGATCGACTGTTTGCTATAGTCGTCGTCGCTAAGATCGATGAGGACGGCAAAAGTGTGATATTGGCTGCGATCGAAGTCGATAATTCCGTGACACTCGGCGTGGTTACCCCATTGATCCGCTTGGTGGATTGAGCCTGTATTCCCGTCTTGTCAGAGATCTCGTTGACTGACTGCACCTTGTTGGAACAGAGCTCAGGGCAGCAGCTTACCTTGGTTTGACGAGGTACCATTTCTGAGCTCCATGATATCCCACTCGCCACATTTTGGCCTGAAGGAGTTTGCTGTGTCAGAGACTTCTTGAAGCAGAATGGCAAAAGGCAAGTTAACTCGGGGCTTACCAGTATTCACCATACCGCATCGACTGGCCCAAAGCCCACTAAGCAGGCCAAATCCCCTTCTGCTGCCACCACGGGTTCTGGCCCATCTTGATGTGGGCGGCAAAGATCATCTTGCGGTTGTTGTCACACTGGAAACTGTGGTTGCCGTGCAAACGAGCAGAGGTCCACTGTCCGTCCACCTTTTGCGGAACAATGCAGAGTTGGCCGCTGCCGTCGAGGTAGGCATTGTCCGTGGAATCGGTATACCTCTGCCACTCGTGGTTATAGTTGAATGAGGGAGTCTGGAAGGTCCAATTCTGCGCGTCGGGAGGAGAGCCGGCAGGGCCGTAGAACTCGTCGGACCACGCCAGGTAGAATCCTGCAATCTCTGGTGCACGCATGGTGAGTAAGGATAAACGGATGAGGCTGGGAAGTATTAACTGAATGGTATTGATGGATGAGTGAAAGATGGTTGTTCGAAGCAGAGAAACTGAAAGAGTGAGGAGATTTGGAGTGACTGCGCCTGTGCCTGCGGTTGCACCTGCGCCCGCCTGCCACGAGGGTTGGAAGGCAGTTGCTCGGAGGCTGCTCCCTTCTCGCACCTGGAATTTGAAGGAGGTGGGAGAGACCTCACTTTGACACTCCCACATAGGGGGTGACCAGCAAGGGACGACGTTGATCATGACATGATGCAGGGCGCAGTGAGACGTGGTTGCTCCAATTTGGCAGGTTCTCCCTATTGCAGAAGTGAGAGACAGGGCAGTTCCAGGGGAGCAGCTGTCATGGGCCACGCTGAAAAGACGCACGAGCGTTAAACGAAGGATTCTTCAGGGACTTGTTCGGGCAATGCCACAGACTGTGCCGTAATTGGTACTGACAACTTCTTTCCATTCTCCCCTCTTCTTTTCCGGTGTAGCACGAGAGCTACGTTAACACACCTGGATATATTTCAGAAGCTCAAGTCGGATACTCTCCAGATCTGTCTCTTTTCCAGCGCTGTATCTCAGAATCAATAAGCTTTGTTGACCACTACAGGTCCATTCCTCCCCAGCTTGCCGCCGGTGTCATTCTCGAAGACCAGTTCGACGTGTCCCTCATCGTTCACCTTGACGCTGACAGGCTCACGGAATATGTTGAGGGTATCCAGTCCCGCACCGGTATGGGGGCCTAGGTATTCCGGCTTCCGGCTCATCAAGCCCAGCATCAGCAATTCGCTGATACTGTCCCAACTGGTCCCCGTGTAGCCGGTGAGAATAAGTAGGAATATATGCGTCACCACAAAAACACAGAACACACCGAGCACTGCGAGTGACAGCTGCACAGTGATGTCCTCGGCGTTGTAACCGTAGCCTTGTTGCGACTGAGAGACCACTTGATAGGTGAGAGAAGATGGATTTGACAATGCCCCGTTCTGGTCGATGTCGATCGAGACACCTGCATACCGAGTCCAAGCATGACTTTTGTTCAGATATGTATAAAGGGCGATCTCATCAGGGTTCACACCATCGTCACGGCTGAGGACCAGGCCGTTGTACCTGAGATAGTCGTAATCCCCATTCGCAAGCACCAAAGCGATCATTTGCTCTGGGGACGCTTTATTCGTCAGGAATTGGAGCGCGGACTGGGAAGCCAAGACTGTGGATCGAAGGCGATCAGTCCAAGCACGCGGAAGCTCGATTTTCAGATGCTGAGGGATGCCGCCGTCGTAATGGGTATCGAGAACGTAGTTGACTTGACTATAGCTGCTGTCGGCGGCGGATGCGTTTAGCGTAACACTGGTCCACGTCGCATCGATCACGCAAGCTGAAGCAGTTGCCACGTAGCTTCGGTCAACAGGGCTTGTCGTCCCATAAACCATGAGAGTTGAACTCCGCGAAGGAGCAGAAGGGGGTAGATTTGTGAAGAACAGAATCGTGCCATCAGCCGTAACGTTCCCCAACGTTTCGCCCCATGTGACAAGATGGTTGAGTTGTGTTTCCGAACTCGGAAAAGACAAGTATGTCTTGTTATGCTCAAAGTCGTACAGATCGTTCTCGTTGCAGGCGCTCTGAACGAGAACTTGCGAGGTTTTCATGGTCAAGACATTGAACGGAGATGCCGAGTCTCTCTGCAGGTTCGCACTTTGTGTTTGCAAAACAAACGACATGTGGCGAGAAGGAAGCGTCGCCGAAGACCAGGGTAAACCCAAATTAGACGGTAATCCGAATAGTCGTATGCCGACGTCTGAGTCAAGGAGCCGGTACGGCTCAGGGCCATAGAATTGGCCGAGCTGCGTCATGCCCTGTTCGAAAGCAGTGCCGCTGTCTCTAACAGCCACGAGCATCAACAAACAAGGGTCTGCGGAGAGGGCACAGGGACACTTACAGGTAGCTGATGCTATGAGGGAAGAGGTCATCGAGAGGATTCAAAATGTTGAGATACTCGGCAGTGGAGTGCGTGATTTGACGGGGAACAAGGGCGACTGCTCCAGACGGGCCAACCAGGGCGGCGAGGACGATGGTGGCGAAAATCAAGAAGCCCAGATATGCTTTGCGGTAGCCTCGCCAGCTTTTCGAGGTTAAGGAACCCCAAAACTCCAAAGACCAGAGATATGACACGTCCGTGGTGCGCAAGGGGGCCACGAGCCCGCCGAGCGGAAGGTCTTGATTCCGCACGATCTGCCAGCGGATTGCATCGAGCATAACGACAGCCAGTGATGCCTGCATGAGCAACTCCAGCAGTTTGGCCGCAAATTGAAAGGCAGCCACTGCGGAGGTTGAGAGACTCCCAATGAACAAGGTGTTGATATTCAAGACCAGCAGCGTCAAGACACCCCCGAGAGACACAGCGTTAGTTAGAATGTCTAATAGTGCAATGCCGCGATTCTTGTACATCACAACCTTCGGCTCTTCCCGGTGTCCCTTCCATTTGGTCAACTGAGGTAGGATCTGGAGCTTTGCTTTTCGCAAAGCAAGACGCACTGCATGGCCTGCGCGTGAGGGGACTGTCCGAAGCGCAGACCAGGTTGATATCAAAGCAGTTTTGAACGGCATGCTGATTCGGAAGCCTTTTTTTTCCCCCAAGGGGGACACGCCGGCTGTAGTGTTCAAGATTATATCCTTCAACAAGAAGCTGAAATGTGTACACAAAAATAAAGACAGCGGCTTTTGTACCACGGATTCCAACAAACCTTTGGGCTAGGGGAAGCGGCAGGCAATATACTCAAGCAAGGCTCGCCGCCCAAGCACTCTAGCGGCTGTTCACCAAATGCGCCTCATCTCAGAATAATGATGCCTGTTCTTCTCTTTATGTTGGCCCGTGGCAGATCGGTCCCGCAGTCAAGGTCACGTCGAACTCTCGAGCACGAGGTAGATCGAGAACACTCATGAGGGAGGGACATTGCCCACGGCCCCTTGATAGCAGGGCACAGATGGCACGCCTGATCATGTTTGTAGCACGCACTTCCAGGTATGTTGTGAGAGGCTGGGCATCTTCGTCGAATCAGAAGCCCGAGGCCCCCAAAACGACAGCGACAGTGGCTGTGCATGGGTTGGCGCGGCTTCTGAGGCTCCCGATGCCTTTGGTCTCCCTGGCTGCGGACAAGAGGGATGATCACCACTCGCTTTGCAGGGGAGTAATGGTAAAGAGACTAACAATATCGAGGCATGAAAGGCATGAAAGGCATCAAAGGTAGGACAACTTCCGGCAGACCTGCCACAATCGAGCGCGAGCTGCGATGATTGTCCCCTCACATCTTATGAGCCTCGGTCGCTTCGGTATCGGGAACCTCAGTGCCCCAATGCCGCGGCCGCTGGGACGGAGCCACGATCCCCAGATAAAGCCTGCACCAAGATGCGTTGAAGCCCTTCGGTGAAGATATATGCCTCAGTGGCCCTGAACACCACGGTTGTCGCTCAATCAGTGCACAAGCCAAGATGACTGCCAGTCCACCTCTGACGGGCGTCCGCGTCCTCGAACTCGCTGGCCTAGCTCCAGGTACTCCAAATCCCCTTGACCACAGAACCCCAATGGCACGGCCGCTCACAAGTCAATATAGGCCCCTTTTGTGGTCTGCTCCTCGCAAACTGGGGCGCCAACGTCCTGCGCGTCGATCGTCCGAGCCCAGTCTCAAGCAGTGACCTCCTGACCAGCTGGAAACGTTCCATCGCCTTGGACCTGAAGAACCCCTCCTCCGTCGCCGTCTTCCTGTCTCTGGTCTCCATTGTCGACGTCCTCATCGACCCTTTCCGCCCCGGTGTGTTGGAGAAGCTTGGTCTAGATCCCGAGACCGTCCTGCTCAAGAAAAACCCCCGCCTCATCGTAGTCCGACTGACCGGGTTCCGTCGCGATGGGAAATACTCTGCCATGGCTGGCCACGACATCAACTACCTCGCCGTGTCCGGGGTGCTCTCTATGCTCGGCGCGAGGGGCTCTCCACCTGCGCATCCGGCCAACATCCTCGCAGACTTCGCCGGCGGAGGCCACGCAGCATTCACCGGTGTCCTTCTGGCGCTGATCCACCGCGCAACCAGCGGGAAAGGACAAGTCGTGGAGGCAAACATGGTCGACGGCGTCAGTTTCCTCGGCACGTTTCCTCGGCTGTTGACGAAGATGCCCATGTGGAATGGCGAGCGGGGCACCAACACACTAGACGGGGGAGCTCCATATTACGGGTGCTATGAGTGCAAGGACGCGGGCAAGTACATGTCCGTGGGTGCGCTGGAACCCCAGTTCTGGCAGGAGCTGCTGAAGGGGCTGGGTCTCACCGAGGAAGAGGTCGTGCCGGGCAAGCTGGATCGGCTGGACAAGCGCGCGTGGCCGTACATGCGCGAGCTGTTCACGAAGCGGTTCCGGGAGAAGACGCGCAAGGAGTGGGAGGCCATCTTCGACGGCACGGATGCGTGCTGTGCGCCCGTGCTCGAGCACGCCGAGATGGAGGCCGCCGGGTACGATCACCGGCCCATCGTGGGGCTGACTTCGTCGCCAGCCCGCAAGGTCGAGATGCAGTGGGACGGCAAGGCGTTGAAGCCCGGCGAAGGCGGCGAGCAGGCCTTGAGAGACTGGATGGGCTGGAGCAACGGAAAAGATTACGCGATATCGGCCAGCGGTTGCTTCGAGAAGAGAGAAAAGAGTAAGTTGTAGATCATCTCCCCCTATAGGACGGGTTTGAGAATGTGCATTTCAATAAGCCTTTCACGTGAGGGGGGGAAATATATAAGGAGCTGTACAAGTGTATTGCTTTTTGGTTCTAATCTAAGAAAGACCCGCCCCTTCATCGGGTCATTATTACCTCCCATGGCCGGATTTCTCCAGACTTGCCCTTCACTCCCGTGCCTGAATTTCACCACATGCCATAGTAAGCCCCAAACCCGGCGGCAGCAGGCAAATCGTCCGCGTTTAGCAGTCCGACGCCCTGCTCGAGCAAGATCGTCCACACCGCATTCCGCGTGCTGATCGGCCAGCCCGGGGTATCCCAATACCGCGGGAGGATCCCCCTTGACTTGGCGACCTCGATCTGGCTGATCAGCGTCTCCATCTGGGTGGAATTGAAGGCGGTGCCGTTGATGGGGCCGAACTGCGCGTTGAAGTCCGTCGACGCCACGGGGGAGACGGCGGCGGTGATGTTGGACTCGGTCGAGTTGAGCAAGTCCAGGTGGGCGTCGAAGAAGTAGTCGCGTTGGTGGAGGGGTTGGATCTGGTCCAGCGGCGTGTTGCCCGTGCCGATGACGGTGACGGGGCCGCTGGTGACGGCCGTGCCGTTGAAGGTGGTGAGGTAGCCCGGGGTGCGAAGGGGTTCGAGGGCGCTGACCACGGCGGGCCACGTGGTCGGGCCGTCGGTCTTGACGTCGATGAACAGAAGGAGGGTTTGACCTGATGCAGTGTCGAAGACGCCGTTTTTCGTGGGCGAGGTGACGAAGGGAGATGCCGGGTTTTGCCGCTGCAGGGTATCCAGGATGGGTTGGACGTAGAGCGCGTCGAGGGTCCGGGCAGGCGTCAGGGCAGATTCCTCGTGGCCGACGTAGAGGGTGTCGTTGTAGAGCCAGACATCAGCCTCGACGGAGGCGCAACCTACGGACAGTGCGGAATAGAAGGGAACGTCGCGCCAGTAGTCGTTATGCGAGTGGATTGGTTTCTACGGTGAGATTGAGCGGTGAGATGAGGCGCAACAAGGACAGCGGGACAGCGAAGCAGAGACTATGTGACAGAGCAAGAGGGCCCTAGTCGCAGAGGTAATAGGGACTGTAGAAAGAGAAAGACACGACATACCGGTACGATGCCTCTGGTCAGATCCGTGGGATATGTGTAGCCATCGCTCTTTTGCGTGTTGGCCAGAATGTTTTGAAGTGTGTCGCTGATGTCGAGGCCCGTTGCCTGTGCGGAAGGGGGCAGAGCTGCAGCATTGGCTCGCAGACCCAACGAAAGGGCGAGTAGAAAGAGTGAGGAGGCCATCCTGGATAGCTCGGACAGGGACGCGTTTGAGACAAAAACCGCGGAGTATCAAGGTTCAGCGGCTAAAAACGAAGACTTGAGCAGGAGGAAAGGACGTCGCTTATATGCCAGGACCTGCATGTATCATATGACGGCAGGAATTGATGATGTCGATGCGCAAGTCGGAGTGGGAAGTTGAGCATCGAACTGGCCGTGGACAGAAAAGTCGATGCTGCGGAGGGTGGAGCCAATGGGAGGAGGCCGACGAAGCCGGTCCGGGGCGGAAAGAAGCTTGATTGATGCAGCGTCCAACAGGAAGCCTTGCAGCCATGCCAGTCGAAAGAGGACGACGATGATCATCCCAGCACTACGAGTAGATCAGGCACGCTCCCACCTCCTCAGGCCGCGAGATTGTCCAATTGTTAGGCTTGCCAATCCACGTGCCCTGTCTCCATGCCGTGTTGGTATTGAAGGAGCAGCAGAGGGAATATAGAGGTGGCCCAGTGATGTAGGGTGTATAAGAGCCATATATACTCCAACTACCTATGCCAAACACCATCCTCTACCACACACTAGACCACGCCAGAGCCATTTACTTACAGACATTAAATACTGAAGTCTGAAGTCTTGTCATCTGCGTGGCTTGAACTGTGGCTGTGGCTATGGCTGAGACAGTCTGTGGCTTTAGTCCTGATATAGACTAGCCCAGCTTGGCACTTGGCATGATCGATGACGGCATTGCGAGTCTCGTTCCGCGCCCAGCCATCGAAGCTGAAATCGAACACATCCATCACATCCATCTCAGCCACCCACCCCTCTAGCCATCACCCTCCCAATCGGTTCAATGCGACTTCATTTGACTTTGTATCAAACTCTCATGACGCAGCTGCGACCCCAGACCAGCTGAAATCCAAACCTCCACAGCCTCGCCAGGTATTTATGCTTTTCGATCCCTTCCCAAGTTTTTCACTTCTCTCAACTTCTGCTCGAACTTCGTCTTATTTCACTTCTCCAGCGCCCGTTTCTTTCGCCCTCGCCATCATGCGGCTCTGCAATTTTCTTCTCTGCTCGCTCGTCGCCATCGTGCCCGCTTTGGCTCAGGAAAGTGCTGCTAATTCTACCGCCACATCCAACTCCACGGCCTTAGCATCCGCAGCGTCCAGCTCATTGGCATCGGTCTCGTCGGAAATATCCAAGTCGCTCGCTTCCGTCTCCAAGTCTGCCGCCTCGGTTGCTGCTTCAGCCTCCAATTCGGCCGAAGATGCTGAAAACTCCATCGCTGCGAGCTTCAGCTCGGCCAAGTCTGCATTCTCAGCCAGCCTCTCCAGACTAAGCTCGGAGGCTGCCACCGGCAATACCGCCGCGGCTGCCACTCTCTCGTCTCTGACCTCTGCCGCTTCCTCCATCCTTCACAGTATCACCACCGAGGCTGCCAGTGCTTTGAGTGCCGCTACGAGCGAGGCCGGTTCTATTACTTCTGCCGCATCATCTGTACTCAATTCGGCCGTTTCCTCCGCGACGGCTACCGCGTCCTCTACCACCAATGCTGCGGCGGTCATGCCTACTGGGTTCGGTGTTGCCGGGGCTGCTTTGTTGGGGCTTGCTGCATTTTTGTGAACGACAATGACGTCATGAACGGGATGGGATGGGATGGCACAGGATCGGGAGTGGCAAGTCTTCAGAGCGAACATTCAAATGGAGTCCAGGCCTCGGGGTCTCGTGAAGCTGGGAGGAGACAAATACAAAACTTCCATGGGTTTGGGAAGAGGCTATGGCGTATCATAACGGCCACAGAATGCCGGGATGAGCTTTCAGTTTCTGCTATCATTTCTGCTAGAAGGCTGCGCTGTAATGGTAAAACAATGGGTCATGAGCACTTGCTGACAGACAGTTATTACTGAATAATGCCATCGCGGCCTTAGACTCAGTCTGTGGCTCTTATCCGCTCGACAACTTCTTCGTCCATCTGTGATCCAGTAGAGATTTGTACGATTCCTAGCCTCGCAACGACTCGCATAGGTGTTTACTTTGCTAGTCGTGGCGCCAGCTACTGACGGATCATGGTAACATCCAAGGATTCTTAAGCGTTCCACTTCCGGATCTCCAACGCTCAACTTCGTCCCCGCCCTTTAGGCACAGTTTATAAAGACTTGCCAAACCAACGACGTTCGATCGTCTTCTTGTTCCTCGCCGTCACTCTCTTTCCAGAGTTAACACCGAGCCACCCTCCAACGTCCATCCACCATGTCCTTCCCCACCGTCCGGCGGATCGTCACCGGTGTGTTCACTGTTCAGCCCACCCTCCAGACCACCTCCCCCAATCCTCATCAAGTCCATCAGATAGCCCATCCGTGAAATGCTCAACTGACTGACACTTCCACCACCACGAACTCCCAGGCCACGACCGGACAGGCAGATCCATCATCGAGTCCGACCGGGCGCTCACGCCCGCGAACCCGCTGGACCCCACGGGCGCGCCGCCCACGGGCATCATCCCGGGCTTCACCAACCTCTTCCGCACGGCGGGCGTGCCCGCGGCCGACGTGCGGGGCACGTGGACCGACGACGTGCACGGCCGCAAGATCGGCCTGGTCGACCCGTCCGGCGTGTTCTGCCGGGTCGTCGACTTCCCGGCGCTGGGGGCCGAGACGGCGCGGGACGAGGTCAACATCATGCACCGCACGCAGAGCGTCGACTTTGGGGTGGTCCTCCGCGGCACCATCACGCTGGTCCTGGACGATGGGTCCGAGACCGTCATGCGCGAGGGCGACGTGTGTGTCCAGAGGGGGACGAATCATGTGAGTTCCTTCCCGTGCCTGCCTACCTATCCTACGTACCTATCCATATCGTTACGGGGTGTGGTGGCACCCCCCCCCCCCCCCCACACTTTTTTTTTTAATCTTCACAATGCCGTTCCTCATCATCACCGTCGTCAACGCAGGCCTGGAAAAATGTCAGCGCCGAGACCTGCCGCGTGCTCTTTGTGCTCGTGCCCTCGGTGCCGATCGTCAACGAGGCCACCGGCGAGGCGTTCCCCCTGACGGACACGGCGCATCTCGAGGACGAGAGGCACATGGCGGCGCCGGCGGCGCGACAATGATAAAGGCACCATGCAAGCGCGATCTTAATCTCGTTGTTGAGGGACCGAGTACATCGCGACAATGCGGACGAGAGGACGGAAGCGATGAGAAGAGCTCGGGAGGAGGGAGGAAGGATAGAGGAGGACCTCCCTCACTTAGAGACTTATGAGGCTATCTTCAAGTGCGAGTGAGGAGTCCTCGACAACTTCGAGGAATATAGATTCTACGTCGTCAGATACGACTATGTATCGTTTGTGAAAGAGTTCCGACTTGAACCAGTGTACACACCCTCAATACACCCAATCTCTCCTCAGGGCAAAGTGGTCTTTGTCAGGATGTATGCGCGATTGTGTTTTGTATCTCTGCCTGATCAGCACTTTTGACAGACTATGGTGAATAAGACACGCAGTTTATTCTTCTCTTACCCATCGTCATCCCTGCCACCGAGGGTTCTCCTTTGTAGTTGCTCCAAAAGCGCTTCATCTTCTCTCCACCAAGAACAAACACTCACGCACCAACCTCAGCAACGACCTTACCGCCACTTTCAATACTCGCACCCCTAACCCCCTCCCGCTCCACCAGCTTCCTGGCCTCTTCCATCTCCTTCTCCAGCCTCTCCTTTTCAAGTCTCTTCTTCTCCAGCGCCTCGAAATTTCTTCGCATTGCGTTGCGCGTGAACTCCTCGCCCGTCAGCATGGGATATTTCTTGAGCGGACCTTGGATTATGGCGTCTCTGCACGGTTGATTGAAGAACGCAATGCTGTACCGTTCGCCGTAGAAATCGTCGGGCTCGCTGGGTGCCTTGACGCGATGGAAGGTCGATTTAAACCGGTCGTCGGACCAGGACATGAGGAGGTCGCCGATATTGCAGATGATGGCATCTTGAGAGGGAGCCACTTTCGTCCAGGTGTCTCCGTGGGCGAAGGAAGTGGACGCTTCCCGGCCAGGACAAATCTGTAATATAAAGGTCAGAGTCCATCCCCGTACAGGAAAAGACATAGTCCAACGCACCTCGAGGCCGCTCTGCCCCTCTTTCTGGAACAAAAGCGTCAATAGATCCCAATCAGTATGTGCCCCCGCACGATGGAAGATCTCTCCGTTTGCGTTTTCCCTAGGGGTTTCAAAGTAGTGCAAGAGCCTCGCCACTGTCTGACTCTCTGGCCTTCTTACGTCGTGAGCCTTGATAAAGTAATCATCCTCGAACCCCAGTCCCCTGGCGAAACAAGTCATCAATTTCTCGGAAACCCCTTGGGCCTTCCACATGAATTTCAGGGCAGAGTCTTTGAAACCCGGCAAAGCAGAGTCATCGAGCCACTTGCCCTCCATATTTCTGCCAAACTGCATCTGGTACGACTCCTTTCTGTCCGCAGCACCCGTGGAAGGCCGGACTTGCGCATTCTTCTCCCATCCCGCGTTGTTTGCAGAGGAGAAGGGGATTTTCGCCTTGGTGTCATCTGGAAGAGAAAAGAAACGTGCTGATTGAGCGAATATCTCGTCGATCTCCTCGGGAGTGATGCCGTGGTCGATGACAGAAAAGAACCCGACGTTCTCGGCAGCGGAAACCAGTTCGGAGGTGATCTCATCAATGCGTGATTCATAATTAGCGAGTGAGATGGTCGGAATTGGACGGTCCAGATATTTCGTCTTTTCAGCGCCCATTTCGATATAATGTTCGATATTTCTTGTCTGGGAAAGGTGTAGAGTTGGCAGAGAAAGTAATAAAATCGGAATGGAAGCTACCAAATTGCTTCCTGTTCGTGTTGTTGCGGGCCGGTCTTCTTGGTCGAGAAAGAGGTCGAGAAGAAAGATTCGCCAAGCGAAGTTCCACTGATCTTTATATTGACTTGGAACACGGTAAACTGTAGTTATTAAGTTTGCTGGTCGTCATTCGCACCATTGATATCGATCGAGTTCGTATATGTACAACCGATAAGGCCGTCCCATCTCCCCCGCCTTTTATCGTCCAATCATGATGCCTGGATAATCGTACGTTGCTGATAGGTCGGTCGAACCCTTCGCACAGCCTGATGAGCACGGAACAATTCATATGTCGAAATTCAGCAGATCCTCAAATAGAAAATTGTTACTGATGCCGGTATGAGGGGGGAACAGCTGTTCAAACGTCTCGTACCCCAAGTCGGATGTGATGATGGGCTCCTGTGCTCCGGGCGTTTTCGATTCGGTCGGCTCATACAGTTCTAGCGAGGGCTCAGCGCCTCGATTTGCAGATCGCAGCGAATTTGTAAACGAGTCGTTTCCGACAAACGATTCCACAAACTTTGGCACGTTGAACTTCTGTCGCTTGGGTTGACCGCGATCTCCGCTCATAGTGTCATGTGTGCGCTTGCGATAGTTTTCCAGGGTTTGGTCGGCCGTCAACCGGGCCTGCTCAGCAAGCAAGGATGACAGTAACCGAATACCACGCATTGCAATCATGCTGTTTTCGAATTTGCCCAGCATTGTGATGGTATTCTCTACCAACTTCCGGTGTTCCTCGTATTCAGGTTCGTTGGTTCTCCGGTGGAAGATGTCCAGGGCGAGTGTGATTCCCGCGGCAACCATGAAAGCTTGATCGATCCAAAGCATGGGTCCCTCCTCGTCATATGCCTGTCTTGCCTCTTTCAATATTGTCTTCGCAGCTGCCATGCATGTTCGACGAGTAAAGTCGAAAGCTTGCTCCGTGAAGCTGCGTCCCAGAAACGCACGGTGAATCATGATGATCTTGTGGGCAAAACAAATTGTTAAGCTACGTCGCGCCCAGGGGATGAATGCAGGCCATTCCGGTTGCAGTGGTTCTCTCATGGAGAAGTACCGAGGGAGTCCGTCTGTCGCAAGGGCCCGCATTTGTGCGTCGTAGTCCAGCACTTGTTCGTACTTTGTGTATAACGTGTTCGACGAGATGATGGCGTCATGTATCTGCGGCATCAAGCTTGCGATGTCCCCGAGAAAATTGGGGAAACTTGTCATGCTTGGGACATCGTCGGGGAGAGGGAGCATTGTGGTGTCATCGCAATTCATAGGTTTGAGCGAAGAGAAATGCATCCGCTGGATGGAATACATTTCCGAGAAAGGGATTGAGAACCAATCTTGGATGCACAATTGTTGCCAGAGTCTTCTTCCTGTTTCACGTTTGATTATCTTCTCCCGAAAGGCAGGAGTTGATAGATTGGAAACGCCAGCACCGTTGTTCGCGTCATCTTCTGGGCCCAGTCGTTGCAAACCAAGGCCTTGGGCGATCTTGACGGCTGCCCCCAACAAGGTGCTCTGGGTGTTGCTGAACCCTAGGATATGAGCGGACATGGTAAGCGTGGTGATGGCTTCAACAGAGTAGACGTGATGTCGCCACATGTAGTCTGCAAGATTGAGACAGGTTACCGTTGCCTTGTACCATTGCCTAGTCAGCTTAGCTCTTTCGTTCTTCTTGAAACCCCAGCTCAAAGCCAGCTGCTCACTGGCACAAGTCATGCTTGCTGCCATTACGGCAAAGAGTAATGCGGTCCATCTGAGATCCATATTTCTGACTTGCAGTCCGCTGGGGCCTTTATAGACCTCTTTGAGCTCTTCGTAAAATGTCGGACCATGGAAACACCCATGATACCATAGAATCGAGCTGACATGGTACTCCACCAGCTGGAATACCTGTTTACGGCTCGGGAGGAGCAGTTGCAGAAACGAAACTTGGGCGGCACCGGTCCCACCAAGGCCATTCGAGACATCCCAGTCTGGCCCGGTGTCCTTGGGAAGTGCGGCTGTGCCAGACTGGTGGGGTTCTTTGAGGAGGTCCAACGCCTTTAGATCATAATCCGATAGCTTGCTCCGGCCCCAGGTGAGGAACTCTAGCACCGAGGCGGCATTGTCGACGTCGGTAACTGGGCCATTGGTTGGCGCGGGTCCAAGGTTGCTTGGATAAATTGGGGGTTGGTCGCGCGGACTCGGTCCAGAAGTGACGGATTTGGGAGTTCGGAGAGAAGGGTGCACTACAGCATCTGGTGGGTTGGTGTTGTTGGTCTGGGGAGAGGTATCGGTAGCGGTGGGACTGGCGTCTCCCGCAGCAGATGATCGAGGATAGATTCGGTGGACTTTGGGATCGTAACCGCCCTCGGGCCACTCGCGTGTGCATTTTGCAGCGTCGCCCCTCTTGACGCAGCGGCCACAGGGAATGTTGCGGTCACATTTCTGCCGGCGCATAGAGCACTCGGTGCATGTCTGGCGTTCTTTAGGCATGGCTGGGGTCCCAGATATCCCTTCGCATAGTCTTCGTACTACTGTCGTGGCCCACGATCGACCGAAGAATGTTTGTACGGTGTCGTTGAGGAGGATGTCCACAGGTCGTACGTGAAGTACGAAGGTGGAGGCGGAAAAGTGAGATGAGGTCGAAACAAAATTGGAAGCCGGGAAACTCGGCCTTTGAATTGCTTGGCGTGCCGGTCACTGGACAGGCACGACAGTTCGGCCTCCGCGTCGAGATATCTACTGTAGCTGCACCCAACTACATGTTACAGTGAGCCAGCCTTCACGTCGCGATGCCCACAAAGGCTGCTGCCGCCAGCTGCTATTCAGCTTGTCTGAAGACTGGATACCATAACCTCAAGACACATTCCATTCCTTTGACATGGCATCCGCCCAAGAGTGTGCCTCCTCAACGCAAGCCCGTTTTCTAATCAACTTCCTCGTCACCGAGTAGCGCCAGACACCGTTCAACTGTATGACGCTTCTCTTGCTGGGGAACCCATACAGCCAACGGTTCATATCCTCGATGGATTTGCCAGGAGACTATACGGAAACAAGGCGAGCGTTCTGCTCCGTTTTGCTCGGAGCTTCGGACAAAATCAAGAGATCTTGTCCAACCCGTCGTACACAGGGATTCCCTAGTCGGCCTCGAGCTAGCTTCCCTGCGTACTTCCATCCCATAACGGCCAGCACAGAACAGGTGTCCGGAAGTTGCTGTGCACCATCGAACCGTACTATAGACAAGCACGTTCGCGTCGAGCTGTGTGAAGCGCCGTCTGTGTTTTCTTGAATCGTACTGAGACTGACCATCATCGGAAGTACGGTTCTCGAGTTTGATCTTGGCTGGCTTGAAGGGTGGCTGTGGACAGAGTAGTTGGCCCCTGAGTGACTCTAATTTGCCTATCGCACTTTCCATAGGAGTCATGTCATCCTTCGACGCCAGTCTTCTTGCTAAATGCGTCCCTCGCCATCATCGTGTTCAAGACCGCACAGTTAAAAGCTGCTTCACCTGGGGGAATGACGACAAATATGTAAGTGTTCTCCGTAAATCTCGCCAGGAAGCAATTGAAGCGCGGCGTCTGAACTTTGAACAGCAAGAAACCCGCACTCGCCGCCGTAGTTCTGGTGTTTCGTGCCGCTGTATGTTTGTAGCTCTTCATGATGTTCGATATCCGCTCATGTCGGTCAACGGTGGGGTTATCCTCGCCATACTGTGTGACTACGTTCGTCACAGTCAAAAATGTAGATCTCTCGAAAAGGACTATCTCCTCGGCTTTAAGTTGTTTCGCGAATGCTGACAGAAATCGTTCAATCACCACTAAATTCGGGATCATCTTGTGGACTATGCCCGCCCAGGCCTTGTAGAGTGTCTGATCCCAGATGCTGCTCGCGAAGGTCTCCAAGCTGAGACCTTCCGACCGGGCGATGATCAACCGACATCTTTCTTCATATATCCTCTCCCGATGTTCGCTCTGTACCAGGTCCATCTTGTGAACCAAGCAGAAGACGTGGGCATTGGGACTGTATTCTTTCAGCGCCTTGATCACCTGGCTATATGTCTCGAGGTCCTGATCTACTGCTCGGGATTCGATGTCGAAAACGTATATGAGAACTTCGGCATCGGAGAAGACGTTTTCACGCTGGGCGTTAAGGTAGGAGTCCATAAATGCGTCTTGCCTGCACAGGGCTGTTAGTCACATCTGGACAAAGTGCTTGAGATAAAGAGTGTTGTATGCAATACCCTCCACAATCCCACAGATTGAGCGTCAGATTGCCCATGAACTTTGCATGGCTGTGTTCGACGTCAATGGTTGCGCCGAGTCTGCGAACGTCCTTTGCGACGTAGTTGCTGAAGATGATGGAACGCATCGACGATTTGCCTGAGCCACTCTTGCCCATCAAGAGGACCTTCTTCTTCCTCTTACGCGTGTCCATGTTGCTTCCAACTCTTCAATTGCAAATTGCCCTTGGCTTGCTGTTGTCTGTGCTGAATAGGAGGAACATTTGAGGTGGGGGAAAATGCAAAGCTGGGGATGAGGTCGACATTCGGAGGCTGCATGCGGAGACAGCTGCGCCCCCAGTGGGGCTTGGGCAAGGCTACGAACGTTGCAAAGGAGAACATAACACTCCTCAGCTCATCTTGTCTAATTCGCTCATTAGGACATGTCGTTTTGCAAGCTTGTTCCCTAAGGCTCTTGTCTTCCACCCAGTCGTCAATTAAAGCAGCTTTGCACAAAGGGCGCCACTCACTTTCACTGACGGGTGAAGTGACTATCGAGCGATAAATGAAAACGTTCTTATGACAATAGAAATTCACGAAGGCGCTGAAGAGTATCCTTTCTCAAGTGGCGGGAGTCCGTACAAAGGATGGGTTGCAAGTCAACACCCCAACGATCATGATTCGAATGTAACGCCCCAAGTCGGGGGCGTTTTCTACCCCGTTGGTGCCTCGTGAAAGTATCAAGGCCATCAACCCAGCTTTTGCAAAGCTCAATAGCGCCGAGGTCAAATCGGCTCTGAAGTAAAGGAAAAGCTCGCCACAATCAAGTAGGCCATACCACGGCATCATCAAGCGCATATGTCATCTCGTAATCTCTGTTCTCGGTCTTGAACCTCTCTTTCGTGACCCTCGAAATTCAACGTAACCCATTATCGCATAAGCATAGAAGAAGTCGTCATTCAGAAGACCGTGCCGTCTGAAATGATGCCAATAGGCGGCCCTCCAGTGATGGGGCGGGACACCTGTGCGATTTCACGTCCTCCCTATCAAACCTTGTCAGTGGAAATTGTTGATAGTCTTTTTGGGGCGTCTCACCTTCCAGGTTCCTGCCTCAAGCATCTGGGCCAAAGTCAACTGTTGAGCGCCCTGCAGACCAAGGCCTGCGTTGACTGCGACAAGGAGTTCGTCCAAAAAGCCAACAGTGACGGCGCGCCACTCAACAATCACATCGTCGCTGGGTGGGAACGTTGGAACGACCTCGATTGCATTGCCATCCCCGACCATTTCATGGTAGATTTTCAACCCACGCTGCCGGTCCTGTTCTTTCAGCGTAAGCAGACCTGTGTCAACCAACAAGCCTCCATTCCGATACTCGGGAAGACCGGTCATCAATTCAGCCCCCGCGAAATGAACGTTGAGTAGCTTGGTCATCGGTACCATCAAGGAATAGCAGAGCCACTGAGTGAGCTTGTGGAAGGGAACAATGGTCTCCCAAGGTTGTGCGGGGGGAGATCTGGGCATGGCGGCGCAAGGCCAGGCGTCTCCGAGAGACATCCCTTGAATGGTGGTCCGAGTTGCTGGCCAAATACTTGACAAGCCGTCCATGAGAACGCTCCAGAGAGTAGGTAAGAGGATGACGGGAACCGAAGCGGCTTGAGTAGTGGGATGTGATAGAAGATAGTCTGGATACGGTCAGCAGAGGTCTGGAAAGGAGGCAAATGTCTAGATTCACCGATCATGTTCCCAGGTCGGCCTTCAACACCAAAAATCTCCGCGTTCTGCAAAGCGGAGGCGAGTCGAATAAGTAACCCAGTCCGACCCTCAAGTCCCGACATGGGGTTGGTGTCCGAGACTTGCATCCCTTTTGCCAGAGTCTCCACATTCATTCTATTCAGGCCAGCGGCGTCAACTTGATGAGGTTGATTGGGATCGCTGCTGAAAGTTCCAGCTTTGAACATTTCCAGGCTTGCCACGGCCAGACCTTCGCTCCTGGAGTAGACCTTGCCAGACTCTTTGGACTTGTACGACCACTTGGTACCGGCGCCAGCATCGAGGAGTACGGATACCAGGAAAAGGTCAATCAGCCGACGTGCTCTCTCCTGGTTGTCAATCGAGGTTGGCCACGATTGCAACAATTGAGTTACCCGGGGTCTTCCTCCAACTTCAAAGTGTTGCCAGCGACCATGAGGTGGAATAGAGGCGTAATCACCCTGGAAATCACGCTGCGGAAGATCAGATACCTGCCACGGCTAACATGTTTTTTATCTCCCAAGCGTACCTTGATGATGGCAACCACGTAATCGGCGGTGTCCTTGAACTTGGATATGTCTACGTCAAAGTGGTTGAGAGCATTGACTTTGGCCTCCTCGAGAACCAGCCTTGTCCTTTCTCGAACAGCATGGATACTTCGAAGGTACGCTGCTGGTTTCGAAACTGGGTCGGGGGGCTCAGGAATGGGGATTTCTGGCATGGTGCCTCCTAATGACGGTGAGGATGATTTGGAGCTTATCAGCTTGGGCGACTTGTGCGAGTAGTTGGAGATGCGTTCGACTGTTACGGCAGGGCGCAAAAGGGCTTTGTCGAGTGTGGATTCATCTGATGGTAATTTTGAATCTTTTCTCTTGAAAATTCCCTTCATGGCGGAGAAGGCCTATCGACGTAGCGACGGGCCTATCGCGGCAGGCGGGGAGATGCAGGAGAGCCGATAGCCGGATGCCCTGCTAATCAGCTGCAAGGGACAATCGAGACGGTGGCCATGCAGTGAAACGGGCGGAGAGGAGTCACTTCGCACGTTTGTTGTTCTTTGCGAGTGTCCGCAACAACAACCTTTGACAGGATGAACGCCGGCGTGACTGACTTGCAAGGAAAGGAGCGTGACAAGTCTTGATGCCAGCAAGCGACCGGTGAACCGGGCTGAAGCGAGGACTCTGAAGCGAATGGACAAGAAGCGGAAAGCCCAAGTGGGACACGAATGAAATTGGCAACAGAGAATATCTGAAGGGGTAAGAAAAGAGTGCAAGAAACACCTGATGGAAGATGGACGCAGAAGAGAAAGGGAAAAGGAAAGGTCAAATGTCACTTTCAGTTCTCGAAATCTGAAGAGAGAAAAAAACTGCTAAGTGGGAAAAGTACAGGCCATGGCCATCGCATGTGCTGCCTCCATATTATCTACCAAACCCAAAGCACTCCTTCTCCGTCCAGTGTCCTGAGATATCAACCGCGTTAAATTGAGGTCTCAAGACGGATATGCAGCATTCAGGAGAACAAGAGGGGGAATGTTGACGGCGATCGAATTGCTGCAACCACGCGGGAGCAATGGCGCAACACCACCGGCGCCCCGAGAATCTGGCGGCGTGAACGGTGCCTAGGGGGGTTGAGTGAAGCCTAATGGAGCCTAGCTATAGGCTGCGCTCGCCCTGGTGGTGGCCTTTAGCCTCGCTAAGCAGCCCGGGCTGGCCACGCCGTTTGCTTCATCACTGGCCAGGTTCCGTGACCCAAGCTCAGGCACCTTGGGCATTTCCCACACCCCGCGTTAGTGACGGTGCTGTGTCTCGGGGGGATAGTCGCGCTTATTTCGCCCTCATGGTAGCGGGCCCTCTGCCCCAAATTCATCTTCCTGCGAATCCTTTGTTCGCGTGGCCGCCACCGCAAACCTTGAAGTGGAACCTCCAAAGTTACGCAGGGACCTTGTCGTGATCCTCCACTCCTGTCACCCCATCTCTCCCACAAGGCAGCAATGTTTCAAAGGTAACATGAATGACGATCATAGCTGCAGATGCAGCAGGCAAATGAATACTGGACAATTCAAGGCTAACAGTGTCTGTGTCAGGCATATAATGTCTTCATCTGTTGCCCGACAACCCAGCCTGAGATCGTCCTTTTCCTCTGGCGTGACCGTCTGCGATCGGCCCTCTCCCGAAATCCCCTAGCCAGCCCTTCAGCGAAGCTAAAAAGCAGCCCTGATCGATACCAACTCGTGATTCCTTGCTCCCTACCTCGTACTCCCCATCGCACCGTCTCGATCTGAAACAAACCAGTCCTTGTTCGCACCGAGCGTCAAAATCTCGGCTCTGATCCCGAGATTTCGCTGGAGTCCATGGTCCATCAAGACGAATGCTGTACCGAATACATCTCCGCTTAAGGCTCGATGGAAGGCGCTGTGGAGAATGACCAAAAGGATAGCCGCTTGTTCACGCTCCCTGCAGAGATCAGAGCCTCCATCTTCGAACTTGCCTTGACTTCCCACGATGACCCTACCAAATCGTACCGAGCCGACCGGAAATACTACCGACCGGGGTATCACCATCATCAGAAGCTCAACTGCTCCCTGCTATTAACCTGCAGAAGGATCTATCGCGAGGCCCGTCTTCCACCCATCTCAGTCAATGAGCATGTATTCTGGCTGTTTAATGGTCCATGGAAGTTCATGGCTGGCAATACCCGTAACACGGCCCGATGGACTCACTGGTATCTCAATTTGACAGAGGACCAGAAAAGCGCGATACAAAGAGTTCACGTCTTCACCCAACAGTATTATTTGGAGAATCTTTCGAACGCCGACGCCTGGCGGTTCTCCTTCAGAGCATCTTGCCTTCATCTAACGCTTCGCCACTCTGACTGGTGGTCATGGGAGTCTCCTGTCGGATCCAGTGACTGCCTGGGCATCTGCCCATGGCGTCCTAATCGAACGTCTTACCAAGAGATGCTTTCTGAGCCACTTGAGCCAAGCCTAACTTACATCAATGATCGCATGAGTGAACAGACCTGGGGAGGAGCGGTATGCAAAATTCGAGGACTGAGAAAGCTCGTCATGGAATTTGAGACAGATGAGAGGAAAAAGGCGCAATTGCAGGTTGTTACTGAAAGAGCCAAGCATTGGATGTTCCCATTGGTAGGAGAGGGTTTTGTTCTCGAGTGGACAGGACAGCTGGAGGAATCCTCCTGGGAAGGCGTGCGAGACCTCAGGGATGACTATCATCTCCTGAAGGAGCGGCCTCTACAAGCTAACCTCCCGAAACGCAGATATTATGTGGTGAAGATGACGTGGAGAGCCTCAAAAACTGCTGTGTGAGGAGAGTTTTCTACGACCCGAGGTGTGCCAGGACGAAGCTGGTACGCTTGGGCGTCTCGGCCTGCACGGCAGCGACGAGGTTCGGGACATGTCTGCCTACCTAGACCATCGTATTTGTACTTTATCATGAATGTTATGAGCTCTAGTAGTGGAGGATTTCTGAGGCTTTTGAAGTAATACGCAGAGTGCAAGTAATAGTCTTAAGCATCCCCATAAAAGGAGATGTGGCGGGACCTTTTGGAACATTAATATGTGGCGTTGCGCACCCCATTTGGACAATGCATCAACATCTGTTAGACAGGACACACTCAACTTCCCTTTCCTTCCTCCTCACTCATTCACCATTATCCCTCAGTGACACTACCGGGTCTACGATGGCCGTCCCAGAGACGACCAGTCCTCATTTATGAATATTCGGTCTCCGCGACAATGGAGGACATAGCGGGGTTGAACTGGAGTTCGACCCCGGCCCGTGGACAGAACTCGAAACCAGCTCCTGCGACATCAAACTTCTCTGCCTTTAACACGTTAAAGCCTACTCCTCCAGCCTCGGGAAGGGCCTCTCCATTCAACTCGGCATCGATTCAGCCTCCCTCCAAGCCGTCTACCCCGGCAAACGACAGTTTCGCCAATCTCGTTTCTTTCGGACCTGCGTCGCATAAGAATCTCTCGTTGTCGGAACAGCAGAGGTTGCAGGTAGAGGCCAAGTTACAGCAGCAGAAAACCCAGACTCAGAGATTGAATGATCAGTATGCTGGCGGAGATGATCAATTTTGGAACAACCTGGGGAGTAGGAGAGGGACGCCTGCGGTCGACGCCGAAAAGAATCACACTACAAACCAGAAGAATAACGAGTTAGACGATGCCGATGACGATCTATTTGCTGCTTTCAATAAACCAATTCCTGTTAAAAGTGACACTATTACTGCATCTGTCCAGAAAAAGCCTGTGAATGTTGATGACAATGACGACCCCTTTGGACTCTCAGAATTCCCCCCCAGGCGGGCAGATACCACCGCCACCGCGAGCACCGCCGCTGGTGATGATGACGATGTGCTCGGTCTCCTAGGGAAGCCTGTACCTGCGGCCAGACCAGAATCTCCCCCGCTCGCTGCGGAAGCGCAGGCTGCGGACCTTCATCCGCAAGATAAAGCTGTCGCAGAACTGGTCGATATGGGGTTCCCAGCGGACAAGGCAAAAGTCGCCCTAGAGGCTACCGAGTCGGGGCTTGACGTCCAAGCAGCTGTGGGCTATTTATTGAATCAAGCCCATGCTGAGGCGCGCCAAAAGACTCAGTCAAGAACTGCGTCCGGGCAAAGAGGTGATGGCGATAACGGCAGGATGAGCTCCCGGCATGAGGCGCAAACATCAAGGACAAGACCGCCGTGGGAAGAAGGAGAAGGCTCTCGAAATCGTACCAAAGGTTCCACTCACAATGGAGAGAAGGATTTCGAACAGCTTGCAGCAGAATTCGGCACCAATTTCTTGAAGACGGCAAATTCTTTGTGGAAGCAAGGGACGAAACGAGTTCAGCAAGCAGTCCACGAATTCAATTCGGATAGTGAGGCGGGCGGCCAGCCCCGATGGATGCGGGAAGTAGCAGAGCGACCAACCAGAAAAGAACAACCACAACGGCGGCCTGAGGCCGAGTCGGGGCGTGGTCGAAGGGGACCTAGTCCAGAAGCTCGCGCCCAAGCAAGCATGACGGATGAGGCGATAATGCTGGAATCTAACAGACCAACGCCTGCACCACGACCTTCCTCCTCGTCTAGACCGGTTCGACATTTTGACTCGAGTGCCGACAACTCTCGCGATCACTCGCCAATTATACCCTCGCGACTGCGGGAATCGCTTCCTCAGACCCAGCCAGCATTTCTACGGCAGCAAAATCAATCTCCTGCCTCAAATTCGAGAGCTAGTTTGAACCGCGCCGCCGCCGACGAACAGGCTGCTCAAGCATATGTCAGTTCTGCTCGACGGCGAAAGCAACAACCTCACCCTGTTCATGAAGCGCCACCAGCAGCCGTTCCTGAATCAAATCTTCTCGAAGGCGGTTTCAAAGACACTTCTCCCGCCTTTCGTGCAGCGGCAACTCCTGCAGGAACGAGCAAACCTCCGCCTCGCCCTCAAACCCATCCATCGAAGCAACGCGTCGACTCGAACCCGGTTCAAGTCCGGCCCCCGGCTCCCAGCCGCACTGTCCCCTCCATATCAGTCATCGCACTCCAGGCCAGTCATTCCCACCGTGAAAAAGGCAACGAACATTTCAAGCGTGGGGACTATGCTTCAGCGCACCAGTCTTATGCTACTTCCCTGTCGCACTTGCCGGATGCTCATCCGCTAACCATAGTGCTTTTGACAAACCGTGCTCTTACAGCACTCAAAATAGGCGAGCCGAAACAAGCCATTGTCGACGCCGATAGGGCCATAATGATCATCGGTCCGTCAAAGGGAGAGAATGAGATCATAGAGATCACCAGTTCGGGCGACATGGGAAACAAGCCAATGCGCGAGTACTACGGGAAAGCGCTAATGCGCAAAGCCGAAGCACTGGAGCAGATGGAGAAATGGACTGAGGCCGCAGTCGTCTGGAGAGAAGCTGTGGAAGGAGGCCACGGCGGTTCCACAAGTATCCAGGGCCGAATGAGGGCGGAGAAGGCAGCAAATCCACAGAAACCAAAACCTGCCCCTGCCTCGACCACTGTCGGAGCAAGGAAATCAGGTTCCGCATCTGCTCCACCATCTTCGACGCTCCGCCGAGCGCCGCCGGCGCCAGCATCTACCAGCCTGAAGCCAGCAGAAGCTGTTTCTCGCCTTCGCGCCGCGAACCTGGCCGCGGACAAGCTCGATGATGAAAAGTTCCGTCTCTCCGAGTCTGTCGACGCGCGGATCAATGCGTGGAAATCTGGAAAGCAAGACAATCTCCGTGCCTTGCTGGGTTCCCTTGACAGTGTTCTCTGGGAGGGTAGTGGGTGGAAGAAGATAAGCATGGCCGACTTGGTCCTTCCTGGCAAAGTCAAGGTGCAGTATATGAAGGGGATTGGTAAGGTGCATCCTGACAAGGTACGTATATGTCTTGATTGTTGAACGTTGAAGGGCCATGGTGTCACCCGAATTCCCACCCGATCATTGTGGCTCAACTGGGATCAGAACCAGCCAGCGTCCAGTTTTGAGTTAAAGAGAGATCGATGCTAACTCTGGGTTGTGAACTTTAGATCCCTACCGATGCCACTACCGAGCAGAGAATGATTGCCGGGGCCGTCTTCAGCGCGTTAAATGACGCCTGGGACAAATTCAAGGCCGAGAATGGTCTATAGTCTGGAGACGAGTTGTGAGGTCAAGTCATTCCCCAGCGTGTAACGCTCTGTATTGAGGAAAATTGTTAGAGCATGGCGAGTCTGCGATATATAGATGAAAGAGATTTTTGACTTTTCACAATCACCCAAACAGAACGCTGCCTTTGGTGCTGCGAGCTGCGAATATAGTCATCACCGTGGTCAATCGGTCGGATGATAGTGCTCATATATTTGTACACTTGTCTCACACTTCCATGCACTCTCATCACTTCTTCTTCTGGGCAGTCTTCTGTCCTTTATTAGATTTCTTGCCCTTGGTCTTTCTCATCGCCCTAGCTGCTTTGGCCTCCATGCCTCTCTTCACTCTGAGCGACCGCTTCTTCCATGCCAGCCACCGGTCGTTGCGATCGTACTCCCGCACCTTCACTCCCTTCCTTTCAGCCGCCCAACCGATCGATGCGTTTGCCTCACGATACGTCCCTTGTCGGTTGAAGGCCGGCGGAGGCGCTGCCGGAGTCGGCGTGACTGCTCCCCTCGAGGATTTGAACGCTACTTGGCCGTGGCCCTTGCTGCTCAGGCTCAGGTGAGCCTCGAGGAACGACTCGTCCACAGACTTTTGAGACTCTGGTGGCGGTTGCATGGGCGCGGCGTACATCCCTAGCCGTCTCCGAGTGGGCGCATTGCGCGGTGTGGGAAGTTGAGATCTTGGTCCTTCCTTTTCCAGTGCCACGCCGATGTATCGTCTCTTGGGATGCTTCAGGGGATCTCGGTAGTAGCGCACATAGCCGTATTCGAGGGCGTAAAGGGTGTGGTCTTTCCCGATGCCGACGTTCTCGCCGGGGAACCATTTCGTTCCTGCAGGGGCGGGCGAAGGGTCAATAAATTTTTGCGCCGGCGAATCGCATTCCCAGGGATGCAGCTTACCTCTCTGTTTGAATATTATGTTTCCGGGGTGCACCCATTCTGAAGAGCCCTTTTTGGCTCCCAGCCGTCTCCCCGCGGAGTCGGAGGGACCGTTTGCGCGGCCTTGCTGGGCGTGAGAAGCATGGCGAACGAAGATAGTTGAGGTCCGCGGGTTGAGGTGAGCGTGTTTTGAGCATAGGCTCAATGCACTCAGAGACGAAGCTAGCGCGGCTAGAGACGCCTCCGAGGACACCACAGGTCTGTATATTCGAGGTTGGAGCATGATGGGAAGGGTGGTCAACTGAAAGGACTACCTGTGAAGTTGGTCTGCGAGCAGATCAAGCACGCATTGAGACGGAGCAAGAAGTTGAAAACCACGCTAACCTCATTAGACTACATGCAAGATCACGTGAAATGGCGATGTGTCTCCGCATCTGGGTGTGAAAGCTCGACCGTAGAATGTCGTGCGGTCTATTTGACCTCCAGGCGAAACATGCATCTCGTCACGCAATTGTCTGGCTCATGCAGTTCCTCAACCTCATTCCACCCCTCGACTCGGCACAGTTAGCCTACAGCCCATACAATGTGTTTGTGTTTAATGACTGCTTCATCGTCGTCATACAATGTCATGTACCTCCAAACCTCCTTTTCGAGTTCTAGAAGTCCACTCTGCCGCGCATATTCCCCGATATATGAAGCGACCTTGTCCCTCGTTATTAAGCTGTTGCCCTTTCCTCGAAGTTAATCGGAAATCCACATGGCTATGAGTCTTCACAATTGAAACCCAGCCATCTATTTCCAGCCTCCGACCGGGGACCAGGTGACGAACAAGCCTCGCAGGGTGTCCATCAGTTGAAATTCGTCCCTGGCGAGCAACTTGCCGAACACAATGGGCGACTCTAATATGACTGCTGGCACTTCGTCGCGAATATTCACCTCAGTGGGCTCCTGATTCCAACGAGGACCAATACCGCACAAGTACCACAGCACATCTCGGCCCTGCAGGTTAGAACGCCATCGTCTCTCACACATTGAGGAAGACAGCTCTTTGGAAGCTTCGTTCTGGCAGCTTCGAATCTTGTTTCCTGACTCGCACCAAATAAAATACCGGAAAGTTGCACAATGAGACCTGCTCCAGATGGCGTCGCATCGAGTCTCACAAAGAGTGGACCGGGAACTCCTCAATGTTGAGCACTGAGGTCCCCCGCCAGACATGACGGTGCCCACCGGCCTCGCTTCTCGCAAGCTTCTTGAAGCATGAGAAATTGCCAATCCTGCCGGAAGTCTCTGCAACAGACTCCAAACAATTTTCATTCTCTGTACGTCATTTGCTTCTATCATCTTGTCGCATGCCTGGTCCTAGGCTTTCGCCGAGGTAAAGCGTCTCGTCGAGTGCGCACCTCGTGGATCTCGTGGTTAATGTAAATCACAAGGTTGCCAATTCCAGAAACCGGCGATCAGATCCCTGTCCTGGTAAGATTCTCGTGGCGAAAAGCTTTCGTGGTCTTCGCGTCATCTGTCGCAGAATCGTGTGCTCGAAGTACGTGTTCATTCACTTGTGTGTTGCTCATGTTTCACGCCATCAGTCATCCGTTTGCAATCACCGCCTTGGACTGTATCTACGGCCACGGACCGAGTCCCCTCACGGGGATGGGGAATTGAGACTTTCCAGCTTCTGAAAACAGATCCCAGAAATCCTCTTGACGATACTTAGAGCACGTCAATTCACGTCATTGGATGCCCATTCGGAACCTTTTCTGCAGTCTGGCCCGAGGAGCCTGTATCGATGGGCACATTGCCAGAATTGACTCTGATCTCCAGCAGCTCCTGCTCCAGCTTCTCGACCAGTGTAATCAACATCCACTCTGTCAGATACTCGGTCACGTTCATGGGATTTTTCGGGTGCAGCCAATCGATGAGTCCATCCCCGTCACGAAAGTCTTCAGTCGTTCTGCTTTTTGTTCGGGTCGGCGTGGTCGAACCATCACCATTCGATTGATCTTCACCCTCCAGAGGCTCAAGAGGGCCCATCAAATCAATGATGTACTCCCAGTCTTCGAATGTGTATTCCGGCTTCTGTCCATCGTGCTGGTCTCTCAAGTGATCCACGATAATCTGCTTCAGCACCTTGGCCAGTAGATGATTTCTATCATGAACGTTTGCGGGAAATTCTCGAGGCAGCTTGTCTGGTGCCGCAAATTGGTCAGTCGCAAGCGAGCCGGCGAAGTCAGGGGACTTGATACCACTTACCGAAGTGATCTTTCCTCCCTGCATCCTTGGGCTGTCCGCGAGACGGGAAAAGCTTTCGTCTCAGCCAGTGCTTCTGCGCGACAAAGTACGGATTGCCAACCGCCTTCGCGATGCTGGAAACCAACATTGTCCAAGTCGGGATTGCAATGAGCGACCATAGGACGAAAAAGGCCTTCGCGGAGTGGCTCTCCAGAGTCAGGTCACCATAGCCAATAACCAGCAGAGCGGTGAAGGCAAAATAAAGTGCCTCAAAGTAAGACCAATGTTGTTGGCGCTCCGAGACCCAAAAAATGACGGCGCCTATGAGCCATAAGGTAAACCAGACAGTCATCCACAGACCCACAGTGTATCCCAAGCGCTTCTTGGCCGACCGAAGCAATACCCCTTTCATCAGCTCGAATTCTTGACGCTCGATGGCTTTTCGGTCATTGTCTGACGATCCCTCGACCGGGTCGATAGGTACCGAGCCATCACCCTCGGACTGGCTGGTGTGTTTGCCATTAGCACTCGGGTTGCCGGCTCGGGCATCTCGCGCGTGGACCTCCTTGATTCGTTCTCGGTCTCGCAGATGTATCGCCCAGATCTCTTTGCTGCGATCCAAGACCACCGCGGGGATGCAAAAGATGATCAAAAACACAAAGGTGATGCCCACGGCAGCGTACGGAAACAACAATGAGCGCCCGAGGTGCGTGTGAAGATAGAAATCGCCGAAGCCTATTGTCAGAAGAGTCACGTCGGCCCAATAGACCGCGTCGAGGTAGCTCCAACCTTCGACGGAAGAAAAGACAACGGCGCCGATCAGGATGTACGACATGAAGGCGGTTGTCAGAAACATCAGTCGGTGGTGGCCTTTTGCGAGCTCGACCCGGGAGTCGCGACGAGAAGTCCGTACACGCGCGATGGTCAATGCGGTGTATATCGTCACGGTTGACGTGATGAAGTACAATATCGCCGCGAAGATGGCGTAGTAGAATGCTTCGTTGAAGCCATACTGCGGCGTGGAGGAGGTGTTGAGTGTTTCACAGGCAGCCACGACAAGGCCAATGAGGATGAACGAAGCCACGCCTCCAGCGATGGTGTTGCCAAGCACGAATTGGACATTATTTCGCCTTAGAGTAGGGTCTTCCCTTTCGACGAGGAGGAAGATGGCAAGGTTGGCCACAACACCGAAAGACAGGGAAACTGCATTGAGAGCAATTAGCCACGCCGGGTCAGGGACATTGCCGCTGCCGTTGCTGTAGTGTCTCCAGGGCCTTACTAAAGCGCAGATGTTGAGCGCACTGGCAATAGGCCCGAAGGTCCCTGCGATGAGCGGAAACACGGTGATGGCGAACCACTCTCGCCTGCCACCGGGGTCAGTCAATTGATTCTAGATGATTTTTCGTGAGGAGCCGCAGTTTCTGCAGACCTTAGTGCCTCCTCCTTCTTCTCAGTGTCCTCCTCGGGCGGGAGCTTGCCCTGCATCCATTCATCACCCTTGAGATAGCTGAAGCTCCTCTGCCTGGTTGGCATGGTCCAGAAAGGAGAGGAAGGGAGCGCGTTCAAGGCGAGGGATATGGCACTGCCGAATGAGTTGGATCCGCTATAGAGTCGACGATCCACCTCGCCATCTGGCCCTCTATATTGGCTAGACTGTCTTGGAATAAGACAAAACTCTGAAAAATCACAGCTTGTGATTCGATGGAAGCTTGCTCGGCGGCAGGCTTGGGAGGTATTGCGGCGAGAAGCCGATGAAGTTATGTTACCGTTGGGATAAGAGTTTGCGGGTAGCTAAAGAAGCCCGTAAATAGTGCAACAGCTTGGAGAACAGCTTCGTGCATGTCGAATCAATCGAGAGCTCCTAGGATCCAGAGATGGATATATGGCGCGACGGCTTTATTGCGATGTGGCCGTGTGATGGTTGCTGCGGGGGTGGAGTGATGCTAAAAGGCGCGCAATTCGCATCCCTATCGCCGAATTCTCGGACTCGAATGCTTTTTCCCCGTATTAACCCCTCCAGCTCCAGAGAGCCAGCAGCGACAGACAGGGGAATACAATATAGACCTTGGCAGAGGCTGCAGCTGATGCGATTCTCTAGTTGTTGTCGCCTTGTCCTCCCCCACGTCGGAAGCTGGCGGGCCACTTATCAACTAAGACGATCTATTCCTCTCGTATCAGGCTCTTGAGTCGTACGACACTACACCCTTTTGGGCTGATGCTCTCCTGTTGGCATCATGTGCATCCAATGTTTCTGGTGACTGGCACTCGCAACTCTCGTCTTGCCGTGTCCCTGCCATCCTCCAAAGCATGAGATTCTTCCAGCCGCTGTCTCGCTGCTTATTAGTCCTTTTCCGAGCGAAGGAGCCGGCGAGCCGGCGAGGCGGCTATTAGCCTTAGCGGCGCCGCTTTATCGATGCTAATCAGAGCTAGACAGGGCTTGGCAGCTTGGCAGACCTTTTCCCGTTGCGGTGTCGACACCTGGCAACGTCCAATTGTCTCCCCTTCCATCATATCATCTCAACCCCAAACCATTCTGGCCATCTGAAACCGCATCATGAAGGCGCTCATCACCGTCGTACTCTTTCTCGCAGGCATTGCCTCAGCCCAATTTCAGTTCTTCGAGCAGTTCTTCCATGGAGGCCAGCAGAACCAAGCAGCTCAGGAGAAACAGAATGTCCCTAGCGACTCGAATTGGTATCGCCAGAACTGGGACGGAGGTATGTCCTTCTTTCGACTCTCCCATCAAGCTCGCGTGTGCATTATATCTGGCCCTCTATCACCCTCACCCTGTCATTGTTCTTGTGGCTCAATACACGAGATCATTAACTCGAACTGTGTTCCCCGACATGACAACGGCTGACTGGCCAACCACCGTCCAGCAACCTGCAACAACTATTTGTGCCCGGACACCCTCGCTTGTGTCCATTTTCCGCACCACTGCCCTTGTCCGCATCCCGATGTGGAAGACAAGATCGAACTTGGGGATGGCATAGCCATCTGCGCCAGCAAAGGAGGTTTCAAGGTCGGCGAGACGGTACGGAAAATCGAGCTGGCAAGGAAAGGTCTGCTGTGATGTACCCTACGAAGACAACAGTACCAGCAGCAGTTTATCAGGGGAGACTCCCTGGATAAGCGCATCCCTCAACCTCTTTCTAGGTGGGTTACTCGGCCCGGGGCTGCTTGCTGAAGCTAAGTGCCCGTTTAGGCCAGTCACCCCGAGCAGAGTAGAATCTTGACAACGAATGACGCGAGAGTGGTGAATGGATATATGCGCTCAGCAATTCCTCCGGAATTTCCGAGGCACTGTGCCGTCAGGAGGGCAGATTTCTTTGAAAGCGAATGAGGATTTCCTGGCGAGTATGCCATTCCACGAGCTCCTTCCGGCCTCAGCCCGTCAACTTTCGACACCCCTCGGTTTGGGACCTCTTACCGGATAGATTTTCCAAAATCACGGTGACGGGGCAGAATTGGCGGGCCAGACTCGCAAATACGCGGCGCTGTCCGACATGGAAGCATGTTAATATCTTTTAGCCAGCGTGGCCGGAGATCGCTGAACACTAGTGAGGTGGCAGGCCATATCAGATATATCTACCCATATAGATGGAGAGAAATGACACCCCTGTTTCCAAAGGTCAACGAAGTACGAATTGTACGTCGTCAACTCTGACAACCGAATGGGCCAGAATGCCCAGAGCCGCGCAATATGTTGGTTATCTCAATTTTTATTTTCGGTCGATCGTCCAGAAATAGGGAGCTGTCTAGTACCACATTTCGATCCACAAGCCTCAAGGACGCTGGATCTCCGTCGAGCACCTGACTGAATCAATACATGAAGACCATGGGTCACCATCCCAAGAACCTATCCACCTCCCCCACAAAACAAACGAGACCGTGAACCGAGAGACACCTCAGGTGTGGCACTGAACATCTTTGCGGGACGGTTTCTAAGATCTTCTGCGCAGCTGATGGGGTCTCGAGTTCTCAGCACGGCGGTGGAGACGCGCCTGATCGCTGATGGAAAGTGTCAGTATATATTGGCGCACGGAATAGTCGATGGGGTGACGGCCGGAGTCAAAACCCTAGTTAGTTCCCTGAACAGCTAGCACTGCTGTCCCATGATGATGGCAGAGGAAGATGCAGGAGCTGTCGTATCCCTTCTAAAGGAGGGGTGGCTTGCTGTAGTGGGCTACCTTCTCTTAGTACAGAGGTCAACCTCCATTTCCGACGCAAAGATCTTCTGACCTTCACCATATAGTCAGGCCTCCAGGGGCAAGCGCGGAAAAGTCAGCGATAGAAGGATGTCAGTGGGAGAGGAAGCACGATGGTGATGCAGTTGCGATGGTATTGCTGGATATTACATATGTACACCCTGTCTCCACTTGCTCGACCAGGCAACTCTTCTACGTGCTCACAGTCACCTTGTAGACAGCCCCTCCCAGAGTGACATTTCCGTTCAGCCACTGGTCGATGCCACCAGTGGTGCTCACGTACAGGACTTTTCCGCGTTGGCTTTGGCTGATCCACCTGGCCGAGGTCGGGCCCGGCAGACCGGTGGCGTAAACGGTGTAGAGGCCGGTCTTCAAGTCGATCTTGAGGAGCTCGTCAGGCTGGTTGGTGATATAGGCAAACCGCTGTTGGGGGTCAATCTCAAAGTCGTCACAGTCAAGCCCCGTGCTGATCACCGTCACCGGTCCGACCTTGGCGCCGGTGGAAGGGTCGAGCGCCACGCGACCAAACGTCCCGATGCTGGGGTTGTTGTAGTACAAGGTGCTGCCCACCACGCGGATCCCGTTGACGCCGTTCCCGGTCGCGGTGGGATCCGTCATTTTGGGGTCGGTGAATAGGAGTTTAGCACCGCCGTGGACAACGTCAACCCCCCAAATGCCGCCCAGGGCTTGATCGACCATAAGCACAATCCGGTCGTTCAGCGCCGCAACGCCGTTCAGGAGACTCGCGTTGTTGGGGCCTTTAGCAAGCTGTGTGATACATGGAGGGCCACTTCGCAGGTCAACCAGCCATGTGATCCCAGTTCCAGGCGTACACTAGAACGACCAAAAATCATTAGCCTCGTTGAAATCTGGACGCGCACGACGTGGCACGCAGGTTGTTGCTTTGCAGGTTGTGGTAATATTCAGTGGCACAGGAGAAAGACAGAGTTTCCTACCTCTAAAAGAGACATGTCGCAGTACATCGTGTTGGCCAGGAACAGGTCGGGCTGAACGTCGGTAATGCTCATGATGGAGCTTCCAACCGCGCTCCAGTCATGGATTACTTGTTGTTGTCCGTTCGCGGGATTCAACTGCGTGAGGACAGCGGATGTGGCGGTGGCAGGCAGGATCCAGCCGTTCGGACGCACGGCCAGGTTTTCGATCCATACCGCGTCTTGGTACTGGTAGACGAGTTGGACCGAAGGGGCAGAGGTGGCGGCATCTGCATCTGCCGTGCAGAAACCCGAGATTGTGAGGCAGAACGCCAAGCTCCAAAAGAGCGCCGCCATCGCAAAGTTGAATGGTTACAGTACAGGAGGCACAGCGAGGAGTTGGTTGGCTGATCGGCAGACTTTATGCTTCGAGGAGAAGCTCCAGCCCAAGGGGGCGGTGAGTTGGGATTACCGAGTAGATTGGAAAAGGATTGCGGGGGTGCTCGGAACATGCCCGGGCCACGTTTTGGCCCGTTGCAAATACGGAGTGCAGTTCTTAGCACCATATCAGCGCTACTTCAAGCCACACCGGGGAATCCCGGTGTCTCTGACACAGAACCTGGTGGAAAGTATGAACTAAGGGACGATAGTGTCCAGTAGAGCGATTACCTAGGTAGGCAACTAAGAGCATTGTTCCTGGTTTATTATATTCGCTTAAATCTTGGCTCTAAGCGAGATTATCATGATCTTATTGGCTGGATCGCAACACCTTCCTTTGCCTGCGTCTCTCTCAATTCTTGGGATAATTTTATGTACTTAGTACATTTAGATAGCCAGCTTTGAGGCGAATCGAACGGTACTAGGTTCAACTTAATCGGCCCTGTGGATCAAAAGTTGTAGACGGACAACCTTATTTCGCTTTCTCTTAGCGGCTTCGCCATTAAGCGAATGAGAGAAACCGGGGACGCAGCACGCCGACTACGCTCTTGTGACTCTCCAGCCTGGAAATCGATGGCGCCCGTGCCTGTAGATCGGCAAGACATGTGCACAGTCGTTTCTCGTCCACTGGCGGTCCGCCTCTGACAGAGATAATGGAAATGGGTAGATATTAAACCGTAAAAAAGACGGGTCCAATGACAGGATGAATCTGAATCCGGTAGTAAGGTTTATAACGTTATCATTAAGCGCTGGGGGTCCGAGAACGGGTTCTCTAGACTTGATATCCGGACCATAACAGGGGAACACCAGAGACCGGGGACCGAAAATTGTCCCCAACGGGCAACTGCCAGCCGCTTTCAGCAATCCCCTTCTTAGCGCATTTGACTCGGGCCAGAAAAGGATATCGGTTTTGGTATGGTGGATATCTTCGTGTAAATATCGTGGTGTTCAGCGGCGACAAAGCGCCTGGCCTTGGCATCCGTCTGGGACCGTGGCCTGCCGCTTTACTACTAGGAATCTGGTAACCTGGCTCAACTTCGGCTCAGCCTCACCGGGAGCTGCTCAGCCTGTCCCCTTCCTCTCCTTCTCATCACCGGTGCTCAGTCCTGTTCCTGGGCCCCGCAGCCATTGGGTGCTTACGCCATACTTGATAGGGTGTCTCTCTTCGAGGATGTGGAAGCTTTACACGATTGTCCGCGAGATATCTGGTATCAGTGTGCGACCCAATCCGGGGCTGTCAATTGCCCAGCTTGGCTGTTCATCTCCCACATGGTCTCAGTGCACGATTTCAATCCTGTCAATATACAAAATGACTGTGGAACCATGCTGCTGCAATCAGGTGATCAGTAGATCAGACCTGGCCGTGCAGTCTCATGCAAGGGGCATCCAACGCTGACTGCTTTGGCACGACTCATCACATTGCGCCGCATAAATGATGCGTTATCCACACGTTTTATTCGAGATCTACGCAGCCAGAGTCGAGGCAATGCCCATGAGTCTGCCACTGTTCACAGTTCTGGATTTGTATAAGACAATGGTCTCGTCAGTCTGATCTTCGCCGTCACACCCTGGCGAAAATGTTCCGGATTCAGGCATTGGGAAGTGGCTGCGAGTTATGCAGGCACTTGAGATCCAGTCTCACCGTATATATAAAAGAAACGTGCAGACGGACACTGGGAAGGACCGAAAATGGGTCCCCTCAAGCATGGCTGCTCTGGTCCCAAATATGGGCCCTGTGTGCTCATCGTGACATCATCCCATCTACAATAAGAGGTCAGGGTGTTTGCATATCTAGAGTGAATGAATTGCTTCGACTCTTGGAGAGGTGCCTTGCCGCTCTCAGCCTACCACCCAAATGTATCAACCTCAAGCTCGAACGAACAGCGGCCTGATTTCTCTCGGCCAAGTCGGGCCACAACAGCCCTGACGTCGTCACACATGCCAGGCGGTCCGCACACCACAACCCCGATCTTGGAATATCCGAGATCGGCCTGATCTTGTAACAAGCCGCTGATGTCCAACCTTTGCCCGACGACGATTTCCTTGTCGCGGATTTGGTCCAACAAACTGGCCAAAGCTTCAACAAGACAGACGTCGTCCGCCTTGACGCTGTGGTAGAGTTTGACGGTCGGGTGACAGTGGACGAATGCCAGCAGTCCAGTAATGCCTATCCCCCCGCCGATTAGCAACAGCCGATCACTCTGGAGGACTTCCTTGGTAGGATTGCAAGGATAAGGGCTTTCGAGTAGTGTGACCAGTTCGTTCCGTGGCTTCAAGAATCGCGTCATTCCTACTTTCTTTCGAACAAACAGTGTTAATCCTGAATTCTTGTTGGCTCCATGCTGAGTTGAAGGTCTCGGAGTCACAGTGATTGGGCGGTTCTTTTCCAGGTCGCCGAGAGTCGTTGGCACCGCACCGTCGTTGCTGGGGCGCCCGGTCAGAGCAGCAGTAGGGATAATGGAAAAGGGATGATTCTCCCAAGGTCGAAAAGGATGAAGCGTCGGAAAGTAGACGTAGACGCACTGCCCCGGCGAAGACCACCGAGGTCCTGGAACATCGATGCGAGCAATAGTGTCGCTGACGTCGGTCACGACAGCCCGTTTCACTCCCGTCTTCAAGATCCGTCCCACCCGAGCCAGTCGATCAAAGCCCCAGACAGCAAACGTTGCGTATAGGAAAGTCTCGTAGCCGAAGTCTCCCTCGTCATCGGCCCAGACGTGATACCAACAGCCCACAAGGCAGACGACAGCCATGACGATATGTGTGACTAGGAACAGCTCATACGCTCGTTGGCGTATGACAAGAAAGCTCGTGAGTATAATGATGACAGCTGCGATCGTACCCACACAGCCCCAATACCAGAGCGGTGTATCGACTGTGGAAGAATAATAGCCGTCGTCTTGGTATAATACCAATGAGAGAATTGAATGGAGAAGAGTCTGGATGAGGAAGAGCCGGGCGATCCATCGATGGAGCAGCATGTAGGTCGAGTGGGACCAATTGGTGAGCCATAATAAGATGTTGTTCCTGCTCGAGAACAGGAACAAGACTGGGAGTTGACAGAATGCGAGAGCACCCGTGCGCCACATCCAGTACGCCATGAGTTCTTGGTAGTGATTTTTGTACCACTGCATCTCTTCATTCGGCCACAATGTCTCGTAGCCGATGGTCAGAAAGACAATGTTTAGTATGACGATCACGGCGATGTAACCACTCTGCCCGAGGGTGGGCACGTTGCCAATCAAGAAGGGAAGAGGTCGATCGTGGTAGGTCCCGATGATACTTTGATAAAGCCATGGTTTGATGCGGTCCGTCAAACCAGTCATGAAAGGGAGATATCCGAACCAGGTCAACACAAGTGGCAGACCGAAGGCTGTGAGCAGGATCGCAAGTCTGTCAGGAGGGGTCTTCATCAGCAATGAAACAGAGAGTCGCTGTATTGGATCCGACTTGCACCGCTGAGATACTACGAGAAGAGACGATAAGAGCAACCACGCACCCATAGTATGATTCCCGGGCGCTCTCGCGGAAAAAGTATATCAAGGTATCCTGGGTGAGTTTCCAGGTGGTGTAAGTCGTGACCATGGTCATGTTTAGCACAAGATCCTCGCCCGATGCCACCACCGTTGGGGGGTTTGTGATGTTCGCCAACGTCTCGCCATAGCTCCATTTTGGGAGCACCTTGGCATCTCCCGTGATCTGCGTTTCCCAAAACTTCTCGATAGTCGACGCCCGGACCTTTTCGGGGCAGAACGTGTGAATGCACCAGGCTATGGAACTCAGGTAGGGAAAATCCGACGCACGACAACGAGCTAGCTCATGCGCAATTGCATCCGCGGTGGTGAGCCCTCCAGCGCTGATCGTGGAGGAACACTGCAACTTGTAAGGTGAGAAGGATCGGAAGCAGCCATGACCACAATACGGATTGTAAAAAGTGAATCCCGCGACGCCAGCCAAGCCGCTTCTGGTGACTGGGAGTGGGCCAGTAGCTACTACACTCGTGGCCCAACTCAGCGCCAGCAAAAGAACGTATTTCATGACTAACGATGCCGATGACTGCCTGCAATGGCGTTGACACCATGAGCAGGGAATGGGGCCCACGGACGGGTTTTATACATGGTCGGTTGTGCCATAGATGGTCCACACTGCCAAGATGTGGATGTGTGTGCATTCGGTTGATGAGAAGGAGCTGTTGGAACAGAGACGGTGAGGTACTCGACCGATCTTTTCTCGACGTGGACTCTTTTGACATCGCTTCAGTGTCTGGCCGTCGATCGTCCTGGTCTAGAAAAATGTTGTTGGCTGATGCTGCTGCTCTTGCATGTTGGACACTGGATAGTGTGGGTCTGAACAAGCTCATCTTGGAAGAGCTTCGCCGAGACCTGCAGGGCCATTGGCCTTGGTATTTCTAGCCTGGCATCTTATTGGAAAGGGAAACTTGCTCATCCTTCGGTCGAACGTGACGCTGACTGACAATGTGGTCGGGCCGGTCCCAAGGAGCTGGTAGAATCGGAGCAGCCGATCGATCCATGTCCATCTACCAGCCTGGATTCATTAGTATTGGGCTCTTGGGACAGGATCAAATCTGGGACACTTGCGGATATGAGTGAAGGTGTGGCCCACCTTCCTCGGTCGGCAGAATCTGCACCAGTTGATTGTAGGCCGATGGTGACGCTCATTGTATTGGGGGTTGTCATCAAATGTACTGTAGAATGCCTCAATGGGGCCATGGAGGATTGTGTCTCGATTGAGAACTCAAGGGAGCTACTCGACCTTCACCAGCGTCTTCGGTTAACCGATGTTATTGCTAATATGCTAAGCAACATCCCCTGCACAGCTTCGAACAGCGAAGTCCAGTCGCGCGTCTAATTGGCCCGTAAAACGTGCTCGCCTGGTTAGCCTGCATAGTCTCGCTTTGCTCTGGAAGTAGCGGTTGCAACTGAACGGAGGTACTTACCCACATGGGTCAATCTGGGCCAAATCTGGGCCATGCTTGGATCCATGGTTCGGCACTCCATAGGGTAGGGTAGGTTACGTTACTGTACACGTTTTCAGTCTTCCGCATTGTTCTTTCTTCCCAAAAAGAGTTCTATGACTCCAGTGTCGCTTCCCATACATCTGCGCAGTACAGAGTATTCATTGATTAGATTATTGAATTGGGTGTTAAATGGGCTCGCTCCTATGTCGTTGCGCTCAGGCTTTGGCCTTCGGCATTATATTGGTATTTCAGCTGCAGTATCCAGTGGAGTTGGCAGCTTCTGGCCTTTTACTAGAATGGACGATTAGTTATCGACCAAGGTCAAAACTCGCGTAGCCTGGTCCTCACCTGAATATCGCTACAAGTTGATCCTAGCGAAAGATAAATGTCCCGAGGACAGCTCCGATGAGGATGCAATAATTATATAGCCTAAGCTATCACCTCGAAGAAACCTTACTAATGTAGTATATGGCTAACAACATGATATTGTATGCGAGGCCGACCTAGACTATAGATATAAGAGACCTAATTATATATTTTGACAGTCGCTTTGGCAAGGCATACGAGAATCGCCCCGGCACGCACCAGGTCTGATTGCGCGAGCACATTTCGACCAGCAGCAATTTCTGGTCACAAGCGCCGCCGTGAAGCCTGGGCCAGAGCTCCCTTCTGACTCTGGCCTGCGTGAAACTTGCTTAGCGCAGACAATCCATGGCAGCCCCTGGGCAAGGCGACAGACCTCTCCTTCCACCTCAACCAGGATGGTCATCCGGCAGCAGAAATGTGCTCTCTGAAATATCTTGCTCTTAGCTACCGGCACTGCTAATATGGCGCGATTTCTCATAACGATCGATGCCCATGAGCACTCATCGCATTCTATTGTTGTCCAGTTAGCTATCGTGGCTTACAACGAACAAGATGGACATGCCGTGGGGACCCAACGGTCAGCTGGATCGACATTGCCCTTGAGAAATGTTTTGTTAACTTTTCACACAGACAGCTTTGCCAGGAGATCTCCAGCTCGCTCTCGCCCAGATTCGAGGCCACCACTTAAACGCAAGCATTCGTCGTCTGGAGAGCACGCTCTCTGGATCGGCAACATTCCTTTACAGGCCAATATCCTCACTCTGAGGGATCATTTCTATCAAGTCGCCGGCAGCGACCTTGTCAGCATCACCTATAATCCAGAGGCGAGATATGCATTCGCCAACTTCAGTACCAAAGCTTCACGCCTGAAAGTCATTGAACTTGCTGCATCAACCCTGTTCCACGAAAAACGTCTCGACTGCCGCATCCGCTCAGACTCAGGAAGACGCTCCATCAAGGTCAGCTACGGGCATGACGATCAGGGCCGCGGCAAGATATCTATCCACCAGCCCGTGGAACTCGAGAAAAAGATCGAAGAGTTGTCCCGATTCCCCGAGGCCGACCCGTCTCAGTTGGGAAAGGACAAGTATTTCATCATCAAAAGCTTTTCCATCGAGGCAATGCATCACAGTCTCCAAATGAATCAATGGCACCTTCCGTCTCGCCATGTCTATCGCATCAACAACGCCATGCAGGTAGGAAACCCTCGGTCTCTTCTGTTCTTGTCTCCGCAAGCCGTTTCGTGGTTTTCAGTCAGAGGCTAACCAAGCTCCTTGTCCCGTTCAAAGACCGCACGGAAAGTGTACTTGATCTTCTCCGTAAACGGTTCCGGTCAATTTTTTGGCTACGCGCTCCTGACCTCCGCTATTGTCTGTGATGAGATGGACAACCCGACAAACGATCGAGAGTTACATTTCCCTCTGTCTGCAGAAGACGAAAACCCGGCCAAAAATGCCATTCATAACATCGGACCAGCGTCCAGCGGTCAGACCCCTAGCACAACCGTTAAATCGAGAAGTCCCCGTGATGCTTCGTCGGAACCTTTCCCTCCAACTCCCTCGAAATCTTTGCCGGCGCCTCTCCTTAATCCAGGCATAATCCAATACAAGCCAAGCAGACGACAGATCGTCTGGGAGGCATCATCGTGCGACCACCGCGACAGTGCCGCATCGGATAGCGAATTTAGCTCGGCCTCCAGATCCCTCTCAAGTCTGCAGGATGGCGTGGCTAGACGCAGCGCGGGTTCGTCAGACATGTCGCCGATTCTAAAACGAAATCCGCCGTTCTGTGGCGAAACCTTCCCACCAACCTCGACCCGATCTCCTTCGCCCACTGGTATTAGAGATGAAAGCTTGTCAAATTCTGATGATGATACTACCGTGATGAGAGCGCTCCAACAGTTCGGCCACCCATGTCGAATCAAGTGGCTCGCCGCCGATTCCCTATCTTTTGACGAGGTTTGCGGCATCAGGAACAAGTGGAATGACAATAAGCCGATTCATGTGGCCAGGAACGCTACCCCAGTCCATCCAGAGGCCGCAACGGCACTACTGGACGTTTGGAGGTCTGCCACGGCTCGGAAGAGGATGGAAAGACTCAGAGAAGCTAGCGCGAGAGCCTGGGAAAATATCAGACGTTGAAGAAAAAATATCTGGTCTCGTTTTGGGCCATCAGACTTTGTCACAAGTAGCTATTTGGTATTGGAGCTGAATGTTTCGCCCCGCAGCATCGGAGGCTATGTTTGCTTGAATTGTGAGGTCTACTGAACAAGGAGACGGGATTGTGGCATCAAGTATCACTGTTAGTAGTTTGTGCTTGAGTATGTGTATGAATACATAGACGTCGCTGACGACGTTGGGGGAGGAATGGAAACATCGGTCGAAATAGTTGTATGAGTGTGCGGCAGCACGACTGGCTGAATCTCGGAGAACTCTCGCAACGCGCCGACCAGTGGTGGTGTCTTCTGTGTTCCTACATATGCTCTTTACTCTGAATAGTCCGCCTCGGTGGTTTTGAAAGGTAGAAGATCTACTGGAGGACCTCATTCAGACTCCTTCTCACCGGGTCATCGACGAACGTATTGTTAGGTCAGGAGTCTGTAGCAACCGCGTTTCTAGCACCTGTATGTACCCCATCCAACTCCCAAATGGGTACATTTCTATTTCATCTTCCATCCTAACCCCAAGGCGATGGGAAAGATTGCAATCGGTACAGCGTGGCCTGGCCGCGGCTCGCCAAGCCTAACCTTCAACAGCCTGCCATTGCGGAGGTCAAGAGAATTCGCCCAGGACAGAAAGCACCACACCGACACCAAAAACATGAGCAAGTTTCTTTAAAGCCCGCGGCCAGTCAGACTGGAGATATATCAGCGTTGAGCAAGTATTCGGAATAGACATGTCTCCCACATCACAGCGAGAAATCGGCTCAAAAATTCCCTCCTGGGTAAGCGCTTCCAGCCAGACGGAATTGGCACGTTAAGGGAAGGCATCTACTCGGTCACAGCGAATACCAGTGTACCGCACTTCCTTTGATCAGGTGACTCAGTTATAAGCACTTGCCTACAAGGGAAGATGTTAAGGGCTGCGAACCCCATTTACTCAGATGAATGTGAGCAAGTTTGCTGAACCGTGCGGACACGGGATTTTGTCAGTCGTTCTTTCAGGACATGCATGGTGGGGGACCGGCGGTGCATTGGGCTGATTGGGGAACATCTTGGGATTTGTCGCATTGATACGAACGCGCGTGTTAACGTATCTTCCGCCTGGTAACTTGTGTGTCCAAGATCCGGAAGGACCGAACGAGTGGCCTCGAGATAATATCAGGCTGATTAAGGGTACCGCATGCTCATAACGTATAGTGCAGTTGACCAGGAGCTCTATTGGAAATCTCGAAACACGACTGTGAAGATCGTATTTGTATTCATGGTTAAGATAAAAAGGCACAGACAGTTATGCGTCTTTCCCCCAGTAAAGGTATTATGTGGATGCTTGTTGAGGCAGACTTTTTGCCTTACATCGGCCGTGCTTCCCTCTCCCAGTATTTTTCATCAACGTCTCTTGAGATGGTTCCGGTCATGTCTCAGGTAAATTGCATGGTAGCAACATGGCCTCGGGAGACCATTCAACTCCTGGAAAATTCGAAACTCTGTACAAGATCTTAGTTGGGATGAGATCAGAAGAGCACATGGTACTCCGTACAAATCTCCTTGCAAAGGTGAAGAGTATGCCACAGTTTGTCAATGCCAAAAGGATATCGAAGAAAATCACAGCAGCTTGCTCCGCAACCTCATTATCTCACAAGCGCAGTTGGACCCATCTGCTCGTTCCGTCATGTAGATTTTGTTGGTTACAACAGCAACAACACACCCAGAGCTGCCGCAAAGATGCCGACAATGCCACTGCCAGTCAGTGCATTTCCAGTGCCGGTAAAAGTGGCGACGGCGGGTGAAACTGGCGAACTTGACGAGCTCGAGCCTCCAGCTGGGATTGAGCTGACAGCCGCCACGGGGACGCTGCCGCTGGTGGAAATGCTTCCATGAACGCCACTGGTAGGAATGCTTCCATGATCGCCGCTAACCCACGAAACAGAGTCGTTCGTGGAAGTCGTTGTTTCCGGGCATACCGGCTCGCTGCTGGAAGCAGAGATCGTCCATTCGCTCCAGATTGGGCTAGAAGTTGACTTTACCTGGTCGACACGGGTGGTCTTGGTAGTTGTGAAATTGCTCCAGAATGGGCTGGAAGTCGACTTAACGTGCTTGATGGGAATGGTGTTGGTGGTTGAGATATAAGAGGCAGTAATTGTCGAGGTCGCAAGCTTGGTCCGGGAGTTAGATGAAGCCGTAGCGCTAGACGTGGTAGAGCTCGAGCCACCACCGCATGGAAGCCTTGCTGCTTGTGCTTGCAACCCGATCAAGCCCTTGAAGCTGTCATACTCCCCTCCGGCGCTCAAATCGTACTTTGTGCCGTTGACCGCAGCGGCTGGTACGCCAAAGGACGCGGAGTAGAAATCGTAGTACAGCGACTCGCATACTTTGGTCATGGCGGTTGGAATTTTCGAGATCGTCGGCAGATTGTTTACTCCCATTGCATTGATTAGGTTCACTGTGAGATTAACTTCTCCCTCCGTTCCGGGCCGCACCTGCGTAAATGAGCGAATGCGTTGAGCAGGGTCGGATAAATCTTACAGCTGCGATGATGGTCGCTTGCTGACTGCCTGAGGCATCCGCAGCAGCAAGACTTGAGTAAGCGTTCTGGGAGAGAATTGTGTCCTGAACCGGAAAACCCTTGCCGTTGTTGTCGTATGTCACAGTACTTCCCGAAGTGAGGCTGACTTCCACTACGAAAGACGAAATGGATGTCTTGGTAGGGATTGAAGCGTTGAATCCGTAAAACTATTCACAACGTAAGCAAAGAATTCGATCGAGTAGAGAAGGAAAACTTCTCACCGTGAAAGAATCATCAAATCCAGTGCCATCACCCAGGGCCACAGAGGCGTCGATAGCACCAGCCGGAGCTCCAGTTCGGTCCTTGTAGACAAGCTGCAAACTGGAGACCGATGACTTGGAGACTTTGTTCGTCCAAAAGCGAATAGCTCCCGAGAAGACAAGCTGATCGGCGCTGCTGATGGTGAGCGCAAGGTTTGCTGGCTTGACGGGATAAGCTGTGATCACTTCGGTCAAAGTCACCGAAGCCGGAACGGTGTCAAGCATCTTTGCAAGGATGACTGAGCAAGTGCTGTCATATGAATCTACCATGCTCGAGACGGTTTTGTTGCCGTCGCTGTTGAAGAGCCGGAGATCCGATCGAGAATCGACGTCTGGACCTACCACAAGTGGGTTCAAGGTGGTACTGTCGAGATACATGGTGAGGGTCGAGTTGTCAAAGGTGCTGTTCGTGGCATCGAAGTCTTGGACTCCAAGAGAGGTCGTACCCGCAGGGACAATGGTAGGGTGTTCTGCAGAATGCACTCCTCCAAGAGTATGACCGCAGGCAACAAGCTGGATACCTTCTTCCGGAGTCAGACCCATACGAGCAAACTCGGTGTTTAGTTTGTCAATATCGTCCTTGGGGTCAGGAACACCGGGAGTTCCTGCCTGGGTAGCGTCGATACGACCGGCTTTGAGTGGAATTGCGGGACCACCGCAGGCTCGAACTGAGGCGTAGGCTGCCAAGGCTAGCAGATCTGACATGGAGGCTCGACTGCTGTAGAATCTCGAGACGAAGGAGAGGGTGTTGTTGAAGGCAGGACCAGTATTCTCAAGAAAGATGCTACTGTCAAGTTCGAAACCGATAGATGCGTCCAAGCCGTCGGTCCCTTCAGCCACGTTGGCTCCGGCCATGTCGTGGAAGGCGACTCGTAAGAAACCTCCGGCGACTGAGTGACCTGGATTTGGGGCAAATGTGCAAGGGACCAAGGGGGCCATGAAGTTTCTGTTGCCGTAGCCAGAGGTCAAAAGCATCAGATCTTCGAGCTCATCGTAGACTGGCGACGGCCATGTGATGGCAGCGTAAACATTGCTGATCCACTGTCCCCCGATGAGGCTAAGCAACAATCTCTCCCGCCGGCTGAGCATTTTGTTATGCTTGTACAAGTGGAATATAAACAATAAACGAAATGCGGGCGTATAATAGATTTAGTGAGCGAATAGACAGATAAATGAAGACCTGGGCAAAACGAGCGAAGGCAGTTGGGTCGAGGGTGATAAATTCGAAAGAGAATGTCCAGAAAAACCATCGTCAACCTACCCATGCGAGTTGAAGAGGCTGGGTGATGACAATAATATATCACCGGAGGTTCTTTGGACTCCATCTCCTGAATGTCTTCCAATGCGACCGTGGCAATCTCAAATTTGGCAATCTCCATTTCCTAGATTTCGATTCGTCGGGATTCGTCCAGCATGTCGTGTCAGCGAGGCTGGCCAGACTCGCCTAGCTGGGGCATTGGCCCAAATTGCGCGCTGTCAACCTGAAAGTGGTGCGGCCGAGGACACAGGCGACCCTGAGCAGGTTCTAGCAGGTGTGCGACCTGAGAAAATGCGCTCAACGACAACGCCATAATAAGGCCTAGGGGGTCTGATATGTGCTCTGATACGCCACAACGGCTCGCCCGCCACGAGGTGGAAACATGGCTACAGATCCATCAACCTTCATCTCTTCCTTCCACTCTGAGACTGGGAGAGTTTGGGCGTGGTCAGGAGCTGTTCTGGATTGCTTGGCTCGTCACCTCGAGCGCAGACCGATACCAGAGAGCAGTTCAATTTTTCCGTAGGCAGTTGTGATATTTAATTATAGCTACACCGGACATTTCCTCTGGGGTTTTTTTATATCTCGTGCCGTTTGGATTCCTCTGGATCATGCGCACCGTAGCGAAACCAGTCAAAGGAGGCCAATAGAAGGCTGTTCAGATTGGTGACTGGTGAGTAAGCCGTGATTGGTCAAAGTATCGCGACTAGCAGCCTCACGGGAGGGAATAGCGAGAAGAGGATACACTCACACAGAGTGGAACACAAGATCAACGCTTTCTGAGGGAGCAAGGGTCCAGAAGACCGATTCAGGTCAGGTGAAAGGACAGATAGCCGGTCTTTGGAAATAAGTCGAATCACAGGGAGGAACGGGTGTGAGAGCGAGGAAGAAAGCAGCTGCCGAAGATAAACACGGATGAGAAAGGGAGTTGAAGCATGATTCTAGAGGGCTATGCGCGGCTAGCCCAGCCCGGCGAGAAACCAGCCTCAGTCGCCATTGACCTCACACCACAACTCCAAGCTGATAGGACCAACATCCAGATCCTCATTTAATGCTGGTCTAATTATTTCTCGATTCAGGCGAGAGACACATGTTGCAATCTGACTCCTCAGACTTCCTGCCACTGCCGCAACAACTAACACTCGCCCACGCGCTTCTAACACAGGAGCTCTGATCATGTCATCAGCAGCAGGCCGGTACAGAGAAAAATGTAAGGAGCATCCGCTGGGTAATTGCGCGAACACAAAAGAGTATTGGTCCAAGTCCGACAGTGGATCGTCTAACAGGTGCTTCTCGTCTTCGGTTTCTTCGTCTTCGCTATCAGTCGAGCTTTGTGCAAAAGGTGCAGAAGCTTCTGTATTCTCTGTATCAACCACGACAATAGAGGGTAACTCGTCAGAGTGTAGGTTTGGTCCACAATCCAGCTTCATGGAAGGTTTATTTCTGTTAAGCTGTCTCATGTCAAGTTCAGGGTGACAGTCCGCTTTCCCACGATCAGATCGATCACGGGTTTCCCGATTTACTGCAGCCGCAGGAGGATACAGTGCCCGTTCTTCGATTGAGGCTATAACGGAAGCCTCACTTGGGTTGCAGGATGTAAAGTGCCCTTGAACTTCGATCTCCGTTCGATGAAGCCGCATAGATTTGAGAGAGGTCGAAATTTGAGCCAAATACCAGTCGATTTCGGTCAACGTCCGAGAGATCAAATGTATGTAGATCCGTGGTACATCAACGCTTGTATTGACTAGCTCTTGGAACAGTGGCAAAATGAATGACGTTCGATTGCCCGTAGCGATCAGAACGACCGTATCGTAGCCTGCGAGCTGAGGTGGATTTCCATAGGGGCCGTTGAGGAAAACTGTAAGGGGTTTGGATGACTGATCCTGCCCCCAGCGGAACAGGTCAGATGTAAAACCACCATGTGGTTTGATGATCAGATCGATGTTCTTCCCTGATCCTGACTCACCCGGAAGATTTGCGATAGTAAATGGATGTGACTCAACTTTACGTAGGTGAGGTATAGTGATGTATATGTGTTGACCAGCCTTCCAACCAAATGAGACATCTCGAACGCTGAGATGGATATATTTGTCGTCCAGAAGTCGAACTGTGGCGTTGTATCCGACCGCCTGAGTTTCATTTTTGGCTTTAAAGGGGTGAATGTTGTGCATCATCCATAAAAAGGTCCTTCCAAGTAGATCAAATGCGATGAATCCAATGGACGCGAGTACAAAGTAGGTCGTGCAATGGGTGTGGGTGTAAGTTAGCCACAAGCCGAGATAAGCAGAAAGAACGTGCACCAAGAGCCAAATCTCATAGTAGGAGTTCCGAAAGAAGCCAAAACTCGTCATCACCATGAAACCAAACATTCCCCAAGCGGCAAAGCCCCAGATGACCATGGGCATAATCTCAATCTCCTGTTGAACAAAGTTTGTGAGATCCCATTCGCGATAAAAGAAAGCCCAGTGTACAATAAGTGTGACGAAGACCGTTCTGGCAGCCCATCGGTGAAACCAGTTCAGTCTTTCATGTGAGATACCAGTCAGAAGGCTGATAGGATTGATTCTGCAGCCCGTGCAATAGACCAAGGGGAGTTGTGTAGTCGAAACCCACGCTGCTCGATACCCCACCACTTCCAACTCGATACCGTAGATGGGAGATTCAGATTTGAAAATCACATTGGTCCATAGCATGAGAAGCAAGAGGATCCAGTATCCACAGAGAAAGAGTGTCTCTCCCACGGGAGGAGGAGACAAATATCTGCGCCAGCCGGTGGCCCACCCCATCTGTCGGTAGCGAAAACTGCGATAGAACGCTTCAAGAAGAGCACTGTATCGAAAGATGGAACGGACAGGGCTTGAATTCTCCAAGATCGTCTCTCTTCTCACCCATACTGGCCAAAAGCTTGCGTGTGTCAGTGCGACCACACCTTGATCAAGAGCGAGAGGTACACACCTCCAGTTACGCTTGGAGACTGAGATCAAGCGTCGCACAGTAATGAAAGTTACAACAGCCAACACAATGTACCAGAAAAGATTGCGGAGAAACTGGTTGACAACATGTTGATGTTCAGATGCAGCGGAGTTGACGTGTACGTGTCGCTTCATGGGCTCAATTTTCGACATTGTGCCTTTTCGCATCAGACATTCCACTCCATGGGGTGGGAGACGAGAAGCCGAGCTTGATTTCAGGTGAATTCAACGTAAACGTCTGACGATTCAATTGAAGATGCGTTCGATGACAAACGAGGCCGGAATTGAGGTTGTCGGCCGTGGCCAGAGGGGCGGAAGTAGGAGATCTCTAGTCTGCCAGGACATCCTGGCCAGTACTAGTACTACACGCGTTGTTCCCGGCCTCGACCTCAAAATTTGCTCCAAAGCGTTCTTATCTGCCTGCGAAGTGCCAAGGATAATCCAACGAAACATGCTCATCACTTAATCAACCAATCAAGACGTATGACGCCATTGTGAGATCCACCCCATGACCGAATCAGGTTAATAGAATTGGTGGCCTTCTTGACGCAGCACGATTCCTCCGCCGTATTCTTTCCCGAGGACACGAACACGCAAGTCTGTCTTTTTTCCTGCGTTCGCAGAGCGTCATTATCGTTTCTCCAAATCTTCAGCTGTCTTTATGGATTCAACAAAATACGGACCACGCTGAGAGAGTCATTTGAGTATACTCGAGGATCCGAAGATGGCCACGGAAAGTTATGTCCTGCCCAGGATCTAATACTCTCTATCCGAGTGTTCCCATACTATTTTGAGTCCAGAAGCCATCCCTCCACCCCCAGACCTTCGATCTCGGGAGTGAAGACAAGACCCTCGTCTATCCCATATGGCTGTTTAGCCCTCCCCAACGTGCTCATCTTATAGCGATCCCCCAAGCTGTACTTACCGCTGTTTTTTGCGCGTCAAGGCACTGGTGAAAATTCGATATTCCGGTCTCGGCAACATATACAACGTTATAGACATCCACTTTCGAGGCATGTCCAGCTTCGAAGTCTGAGATGAGATTTCACTTTGTGCTTGTCTCCATCGTGCAGGAACTGGATTGGATAGGGATTGCCGCCAACCCTCCTCACCAGCTTCCACCCCGTCTCACTTTTGTGTACTATTCTTGTCGTTTATCTCCTCCACATATAGGACCGTTAAGTCGTCATCCCGAAAAGCACCGCCCTCGCCCAAAAGATTGGGCCAGAGAAATTAAAGGTGCTTGACCTCTTCAAGCTTAACCGGTCCGTTCGGTACCAAACGGGGCAGAGGAAAGACAATTCGATGGTGCTGTAGGCCCCGTCAGCGCGCTAGAGTGTTCGAACGTCTAACTTGACTACATATAAACCTCCCTTTGTCAACTTGGTCCTGTACTCAACGACTACTATAGTGCTGCACGCGAAGGGAGCAAGTTTCTTCAATTGATTGGATCAGCCAAGGATGCGACACTGGCAGATTGTTGAGCAGATTTTGCAAAAACGTGCTCACTAATCTCCCCCTCCGCCACGATGATGCCAATTGGAATGAGGAGATAGCGGTGCAAGCGAATGCACGACAGCAAAGTAATCCAGCTCTCACCCGTTGCTGTAAGTGATCACAACTTCGCTTACTCAAGCACCCTATGCCGCCGCCAAAGTAGTCCCATCCACAAGATCATCGTCGCAGTAGTCCATTTAGATTCCAGGACCGCAGATGATTCGAGTACAAGCAGAGTTACCGGCCCTAAAGAACAGTCTTCGTTTCATGAGAGACGGTTTTATTTGTGAATTTACCACGGCTTCCACATTCTTCCCTTTTCTCCCTGCCACATGCTCAGCGAAGTAGACTCCAGCGGCCGTGTCGACCATGGCGTTGATATTGCTTCTCTTCTTTGCAGCCCTTACATTCGCTGCGGGAAACACAACCTCAATTATTGACTACCTGAACGACAATGACGGCACCTCGGCCTTCGCCACATACTTGGCCAAATATCCAAATTTATCAAAAACGCTCGCCAGCGACAACATCACGCTTCTAGTACCCAAAAATTCTGCATTCAATGGAGTCACCAATATTTCCGAGGCGCTCTTGACCTACCATGTCCTGGAAGGCGTCCATCACTCATTCAACGCCGACGCGTTCCAGTATATCGAAACATTGCACCAGCCCGATGACGCCGATTCTTCTGAGACCAAAACCCGGATAGTCATTGCTCGTGGAAATGCATTTTCCTCCGCTGCAACTTTCTGGTCCGGCAACAGTCAACAGAGTCGTTCAGATACGCCGGCAGTCAACTGCACCAACGGCGTGGTTTATACGTTGTCAAGCGTGCTCGAACTACCCCGGAGCTTCGACGACAGCTACAACCACAGTGCATTGAGTGGCCCACCCTCGCCATTTCTAGACGCCAAAATTCACGCACGCAACAGTTCGGCGCAAGGAATCAACGACGTATCCAACGTGACCATTTTTCTTCCCATTTCATACGCGTGGGATATGATTGGAAGCGTCATCAGCAATTGGACAGAGGACGAATTTCTCGACATTGTCTCCTATCATGTCTCTCAGGGGGTTTTCTTGCTTAATGGACTACCGTCAAAAGCCATCACTCTCCCGACGCAGGAGGGCACTGACTTGACCATCACGTCGTATGAAGGCGACGCGTATGTGAACAGTGCCAAGATTGTCAGCCAGCCTGCTCTAGTATTCGATGGCGGTCTCGTCTACTCGATATATGGGTATGTACTGAATCCCAGGCTGCGACCAAGCAAGTCGACTATTCCTGCATTTTCACTTCCCAATCGCCCGTCGGCCAGCGACTGACTTCTCAATCTCGCTACAGAGTTCTCAACCCGGCGAATCGAACCGCTGAACCAAGTTCAGATCCCATCGGTGTCGCCTACGCAAGCGCGTCATTTTCGACGAACTTCACATTCCCAGACAATGGCTCAAAGAGTAGTGGCAATGGCACAAGCCTCTCTCTCGGCGCAAAGATAGCTATCATCCTCGGCTCGGTTATAGCAGGGGTTTTCTGCCTCTCGGTGGGCGTCTGGTTCTGGCACCACTGGCGGGCAAAGCGTGGGGGAAGCGGAGTTATTTCAACGCGCAAGGTGACCGTCGTTGATGGCAATGCGTCGCAGAAGCATTTGGCACGCAGTGACTCGATGGAGCTGACAAGCCACTATGGAGACTCTGTACACACTACGCGATAGGAACAGGTGGCGTACGGCAAGTATCAAATGGTTAGCTGACGGAAATATATTGCATGTTTTGTCGCTGGCAAGAGTCGCGCTTGGTCGTCACTTCCAGCCTGCTATAATCAATAATGAAGAGCACAGTGCCGGTATGAGAGGATCGAAGACAACAATGGCCTGCGCTGTGCCTGAATTGTCCAAGATACATGATACCCTGAAAATATTTGATTCACTCGTTCACCGGCCGCATTCACACCGTCCAATTCCAGAGTTGTGTCAGCTTTTGCGAACAAAAACGACCGGAGCCCGTTCCACTGTGCCGTGAATCGATCGAGTCAGCGTAAGTATGTTCTGTGTCTGTCAAAATCCCCTGACTCTGTGAGCGATGCGTGATCTCCGCCAACGAATGGAGCGAACAGGATTCAGGGAAAAGAAATCGCGCCGATTTCCATCGGCGAAGTCAACATAGTACACCATTCTGCAAACACGAGCTGATTAGAAGCTTGCATGTCCAAAAACCCTTCCGATGATGGCGATTTACCGTGATTTCTCATGCGGATTGCTTTGATCAATGTATAATGAATGCATGATGCCAGAGAACCCTACATCTCGAAGTGTGTCGAACACGATTTATAAATGTCCAAAGCATATTTCTATCGAGTACCCTGTGTTCGTTAGGGAATGACATATCTCCGAACAAGAGGGCTGCCCGGGTGTATGACATTACTCCGAATTAAAAGTCGCCACTGAGATCGCCTATGGCAAGCGAAGTAGTTAGAAGCTCTCCAGTAGACCAAAGTGGTCGTGACAGCAGACATACTGAAGACTTGGTGGTCAATGGCGAACACAAATGTTGAGCTTTCTACTTTGAGTTCGTGCTCTGGCAGAATCTGTCTTCGCAATCCATCCTGAATTTGCGATTCCGAAGGAAACGAAACGCCATTGCATATACGAGGTAGGCAAGATCGTGTCGCGTCGTTTTAGGTAGGTGTCCTGCATTCGCTCTAGCTTCAGCTCATCCCACTCAACCTACAGAGGATAGTTGCATATTCATCCCATGTGCGTTATCACGCTAATGGATAGAAAACTTGCTCATATGTGGGTGACTCTTTTCCATCCCGTGAATGATCTCGCTAACGGACAAAACCTGCTCGATGTAGCCACGACTATTTTGCTGGGTTGCAGTACCAGGCGAGATATCACAGAACCCTCGAATTTATCTTCTCGGGATCCCTACCTCATCTGCTTTATCATCTCTTTGCAGACAGTCAACAACGAAATTGTTATATAACCTTGAGATCGGCAATTGAACACTTTGGCGAACGTTGGCCAATACAAGGCTTCGACAGAAGAAAGCTTCAGCAGCAGAAGAAGCCTCATATATAGAGGCTGAAGCACGAAATGGCTTCCGAAAAGTCTCCCGCAGGTATTTACCCTACAATTGATTCTGAGACGAAAGCAATCAGCAATGTCCATCAAGCGGAAGACGATTCGAACACCAAAGTCCACGACGGCTTGGACATAATTCATGGCAATGCACCTAACGACAACTCCATTGACACCAATTTTCAGGCTGGTGTGCAGAAGGCGGAGGCCACAACAATTAGTTGGACAGAATCTACTTTGGTCACGGCTTATATCGCAATCTGGCTTGTCTACTTTGTCCAAGGCATTGTGACTGGAGTCAGTGGTGCCTTGCTCCCCTACGCGACTTCGACCTTTGCTGAACATTCACTTATTCCTACCACTGGAGTTTTGAGTCAAGTTGTTGGCGGTGTCACAAATTTAGGTGTTGCGAAAATCCTGGACATTTTTGGACGTCCACACGGGTTTATACTGTGTGTACTTCTGTGTACTGTTGGCCTGATCATGGCAGCTGCTTGCAACAACGTTGAAGCATATGCGGCATCGCAAGTCTTTTATACTGTCGGGATCAACGGTGTCGGATACTGCCTCAGCGTCTTTATTGCGGATACGTCTTCACTTCGCCATCGCGGTCTTATGCAAGCCTTACTCAATTCACCATATCTCATTACATCATGGATTGCAGGCCCCATCTCGACATCCTTCTTGAATGGAGCCGGTTGGCGCTGGGCCTTCGGAATGGAAAGTATTCTCCTTCCAGGAGTTACTCTACCCCTTTTTGGGCTCTTTATCTGGCAATACATGAGAGCTAAGAAGCAGGGTGTCATTCCAAAACACAATCACGACGAACGTACAATATGGCAATCTGCTGTGTACTATACACACGAGTTTGACCTTGTCGGACTTTTGTGCATATCTGGGGGGTTTGCCTTCTTCCTCCTCCCATTCAATCTTTACACTCAGCAAGCTAAGGGTTGGGGATCTGCCCTCATTATATGTTTCCTCGTCTTTGGAGTAATTCTACTCACAGCTTTTATACTATGGGAAAGATCTTTTGCTCGGGTGCGTCTCACTCCATGGGCAATCCTTCGAGACCGAACGGTCCTCGGCACTTGTGTCACAGCATTTATGCTCTTTTTGAGTGTTTCTTGTTGGAATGGGTATTTCAGCTCGTTTCTTCAGGTGGTCAACGGTCTTACTGTGACTGAGGCAAGCTATCTCATACAAGGAGGCACGGTTGCCCAAATTGTCATGAATATTGTTGCTGGATCAATCATCTCATACACCGGACGCTACAAACCTGTCAGTCTGTTTTTCGGCTTTCCTTTGGTGGTCCTTGGTACAGGTCTGATGATACACTTCCGTCATCCTGATCATTATGTGGGCTACGTTGCTATGAGCAACCTTTTTGTCAATCTTGGATTCGGTATCTTGATGCTCACGGTCGAGATTGGCATTTTGGCGGCTGCTTCTGCACAGCAATACTTTGCTGTCAGTATTGCCTTGCTAAATCTGTTTGCCTACATTGGCACTGCCGTGGGTTATACAATCTCTTCTGCCATCTGGCAAGGCACGATGCCCGAAAAACTGGCTTTATATCTTCCTCCTGAGAGCCAAGGAAATCTCACCACAATCTATGGCGACATTCAACAACAGTTATCTTATGAGTGGGGCACACCTGTCCGTTTGGCAATTCAGAAATCCTATGGGGACACGTGGCGATACTTGCTGATTGCTGGTGTCTCAACTTGGGTCCTGGGGTTGATGGCGATTCTCATGTGGAAAGACATGAATGTCAAAGGCATAAAACAGAACAAGGGCTATGTCGTGTAGCTTTCGACTTGGCAGACCTTACAGTACTGAGACGGTGAAGGAAGAAGAGGTAGCGGTCAATCATACACGAGAGCGTCAAATCGTTGCGTCAGTCTTGACCCATTTACTTCAGTACCCAGACATGTATCTGCCAGATCTACCGCTGACCATGCTCGAAACACCTTTACTCGTTGTCGTCATCTAAAATCAAGACCTCTGTTGCATCATCGCTCTCGCCATGTATAGGAGAGACCCTTCTGTCAGACTCGATATAGATTTTCCACACATCTTGATCTCGCAACCCCAAAACGCTGTTCCACGGATTCCGCTTTCTCGTGGGACAATCCTGAGTGGGTTCGGGGTTGGGGGTTGCCTCCTCAGGACAGCGGCGTGGCCCTAAAAGTGGACCATGATAGCGCTCTGGGCAGGCACGCGCTGGATTTGGCCTTTCCGAATATGTGAAACACCGCAACCGGGGACTCCGAGGCACAGGTTATAGGTTCCTACATACCAATTAGGGCTATGTACGGCTGTCCTCACGCTGCTCAGGGTACGACTCAGGACACGCCAAACCGAGCTCAGGATTGCACAGCCACAACTAAGGATGGCTAGTCATTGCTCAGGTCAACTGGCGGGATGCTCAGGTCTCGAAATGGAAATGGGCTTTGGAGAGGTAAGGATTCGCCGCTGAATATAGTGGTATCCTGCAACCACGGAGCAGCTTGTCTTGAAATACTTCACCCGGAACAACAGCAAAGCGTGAAGAGATGACATACGAAAAGCTCTACTATTATTCCCCCCGCTCTGCTCCTTTGCCAAAAAGAGCCGCCACAGTGTCATAAGAATACTTCAAATCCAAGTGCCAGTAGTTGCCCGCGGTTGCCTTCACGTTCATCCAGGCGCCGTCCAGAGCCTGGACGACCTCGTCTGGCAGAGGGCCCTTTTCCAGATCATTCAGATTGCTTTCCAGCTGAGAAAAGCTGCTCACCCCGATCAGAATGCCATCATTTCCATCGTCCTTCATCCTCAAGGCGGAGTGGTGACGTAGCCACCGCAGAGCGGTCTCGACGAAAGTCAGGTTGCGCCTTTTCAACACCGACTCGATGTCCTTGAGAGCCTCGAAAGTTGTGTCTTTGAAGTATTTTTCTCGATACACAGCTGCCCTGGTGTTCTTATCACTGAATCGTCCTTCTGTGGGGATCGAAGCTGCCGTGGTGTATTTTCCAGACAGCATGCCTCCCGCGAGGGGATTATAGACGACGATTTCCATACCGTATCGTCGACAACAGGGGATGAGTTCGTCTTCGATGGAGCGTGCTGAGGGGAGAGATAAAGGTTAGCGCCGACTTTGCTCACTCCCGTCCACAACAATAAGTCGCCCTCGGGTTCGCATGCAACTCACTGATTGCGTTGTACACTGCCTGATATATAGTCGGACGCACCCAGCCGCGCTCATTGCACATGGTCACGATCTCCGCCACTTCGAAGGCCGTGTAGTTGCTGAGGCCCAAGCGTTCGAACTTGCCGCGTTGGTATAATTCATTTACCGTCTCCAGCGTTTCTGCGAAAGGGACTGAGCGGTCCGCGGCATGGAGGTAGAAAATGTCCACATGGTCCGTCTGGAGTGCTTGTAGGGAATCCGACACCTTTGTCCTGAGGACTTGGGAGCCGTGGAACCCGGGATGAACAGGGTACACTTTGGTGGCGAGCACGAGACCTCGCTTCTTCCATTGCGCTGCGGCCGTGAATTCTTCTTGTTTACCTTCCATATATAAGCGAGCGGTGTCGACTTCGTTGTAGCCGCGCTCCTGGAAGTGGTCGAGGCATCGGTTAAATTCATCAAGAGTGGTGATGCGGCCTCCGGCGTTGGGGTCAGGGCCGAAGTTCATCAGACCCAGGATGACACGAGGCTTGGGCTCCTGTGCTATGGTTGTTGTGGTTGTTGAGACGGATAGCGACATAGTGGCGAGAATCGTGGTGAAGGGAGGCTGGTGGTATTGCTTGCTGGGCGTTGTTGAGAAGGCTGATCACCGGTCCTGTAGCACCCAACATGTCTTTTATGCTTTGCTTGTTTACGGAGCGCATTCATACCTTGTCCATACCTCGAGAAGAGAGCCATTTTCTTCGTAACACTCTTGTATCTTCTCGATGGGGTAGAATTAACTCCGTCGCTGCAATGGCCGTGAGTTACAGTGTGACATAATGTTTGGTCTCCGATTGCGCGAGTTGTTTGCCAAGTGAATAGGATGAGATATATCAATCGAGACTTCCATGAGAAATACTATACGACTCTTGCGTCATTTTGGAATTCATAATCTAGGTACCTACATATCACTCCATGCCTCTAGGGACCAACTGGGACGTTACGGGGACCCGGATGCTGAACATGTTTCCTGTTTAGGACTAACATGGTTCCTTTTCAGGATTAGCGTTGAAGCCGAGGGTTCTCCGCGTGGCTCCGATGTCGCCGTGCGGAGATTCCAAGGGCGGCTTCAACCGCACCAGGTTTGCGGCAGAGACTATGTATTCCTCTGCAGCATCAACCCCAGGCGTCGATCAGGCTGTCCTCCATGCACTCAGAAAGGTGCTACATGGCACTTGCTTGGATTACTCTTTCTTTAAGCCCCGGCAACTTTTCGGTCCAGCGATGGTGAAACCTACAGAAGGTCAATTTCGTTTCCATCGATACTTCGGTTACATCGACACCATTCGCTAGATACGCGGTTTAGTTGATGCTCAAAGTTCTATATCCCGCCGGTAGCATTTCTTTGTCATCCATTAAGACGAGTAATCCTGATAATGTTTGTTTACAATGATCCCTGCCCCTGGCTCTCTCGCCTGGAATCACTTATGCGCAGGACGATGATATCACTTTACGGTCTGTTATAGGGATTGTCAATCAGGACAAACATATTTTCCAATATGCTTAGTGTGGGCAACAGAAGCTCGACTGATCTTGCGTATTCATAGGACATGTAGAGACACTATCGGACAATGCCCGGCTTTCCACATCTATCCCGCGTTGAGTTGCTCTGCACTCCCCGGGGACTCACGACTACGTAGCCGCCTTAATCATCTTTATGCATTGGATTAGTATACCGCTTGGATCGTCGAGGCCTGCCATGCTTTGTATATAACCCAGTGTGGGCCTCGAGTAGTGTTCTCAATCATTGCAATTCAACACACCAACACGATCCAACATTTCCAGCACTCGCGACACATATATCCAACAATTACATCGATCTTCCTATCTTTTGAGATACATTCAAACTTTTTTGGGAGCCCATGATGTCGAACACCTTTTCCTCTACCAATCTGCCAGTCAAGGCGACCATCTACCACGGAGTGGAAGACAAGATTCAGCAAGATTCCGTCGACCTACCCAGATCCTTGAAGCCCACCGAAGTCCTCTTGAAGATAACCCACGCCAGCGTCTGCGGCACCGACATCCACTACATCCCATCGGGCATTGCGCTGGGCCACGAAGGGGTGGGTATTGTGGAGGCCGTGGGCGACGCCGTGTCGACACTGAAAGTTGGAGACCGGGTGGGGACTTCATACCTTCGCAACTCCTGTGGACACTGCAAGTACTGCTTGACCGGTCGGGAGATTTGGTGCTACAACCGTGACACCTTTGGCGAGCAGAATTTCACCACCGGTAAGCCTTGATGCCCCTCGGTCCTGTCTCTGTGTGTTGATGGTCGCTGACTTTGGGTTTCAGGGGCGATCACGGACTACCTGATCGGCAACGAGACCTTCCTCTACAAAATCCCAGACTCGATCCTCTCCGAACACGCCGCTCCCCTCCAGTGCGCCGGTGCGACGGTCTATGTGGCGCTGGCGTCGGTTCTCCAGCCTCGACAGCGAGTGGGCATCCTTGGAATCGGCGGGTTGGGCCACCTTGCCATCCAATTCGCCTCGAAACTGGGGGCCGAGGTGGTCGTCTTCTCTACATCGCCGGCCAAAGAAAAAGAAGCTCGAGAGTTCGGAGCGTCTGAGTTCATCTTGCTCGATAAGCCAGAGACGGTGTCCAGCCCGATCGATGTCCTTGTCGTGGCGAGCAGCTCTACCCCGGATTGGAAAAAGTACGTGACTTCCCATCATCCACCGGTCCATCTTGTTCGCACGTCGTGATGCGGCATTAATTTGGACAACCGTACGCTGACAAGAGAATAGATTCTGTCGCAAGGACGTCCTGGCACGAGGCGGCACAATAATCCCTCTCAGTGCTCCGGCTGAAACATACCAGTTCCCGTAAGTGCCTCACGAACCAAAAAGCCTCTGACAACCAAACCTGTTCCCTGTCCTGTTACAACCCAGGTACAGATCTTCCTATTGTTACCATTGAGATGACTAACATTTTTTATTCTTTCCACTATCAACAGTGGGTGGCAGATGTTCTTCGATGGCTACAACCTCCGGGCAAGCCTTGTGTCCTCGCGCGCCGAACACGCCGACATGCTGGCCTTCGCCGCCCAGCACGAAATCAAACCCGTCGTCGAGACTTTCGAGCTGAACGATACTGGGATCGCGCAGGCGTTTGGCAAGTTGAAGAGCGGAACAATCCGATACCGTGGTGTGCTGATTGCTTGATACGCATGGACAGGGCGGGTAAGGTCGAAGGATGTGATGGGCAGTAACGCACATCCGAGTTGGAATATCCCTTTTGAATTGGAATCACTCGTTCAATTGGCCGTTTCCAATCAATCGACTGAATGGACATAAGGCGAGATATTGCAGTGCTTGGTGTGAATGGGCAAAGATAGGGCGAAGTGAGGACGGAAAAGCAGACAATCATTGATACAAGTTGAATAGACAAGATGTTATTAACAAAATAATCAAATTCCAAAGACGCCTTTGCACCTTCCAACTGAACCTTGGACGACTGGGTACCGAAGAAAATATGAGAAGGAATTGGTCACACTGTGAGCTAAAGCGCTTGGAGATTTATTCTTCCTCTTCTGGATTATGACAATAAAATGCATGGATTGACTTCCACAACACCAGTCCACCTGCGTCACATGCCCTCTCCATCCATGCGAACCGACTCATCACGACGTCTCTCATCTTACGCCAGCTTCGGATTCCTCGTAAAATACACAGTTTGCTGATCTGCGCTTCATACCACAGTCTTTGTTGGCGACCTCGAGGACTATTGGCATCCGCCGCTGCCGCAATTCCCCCGATGACAGTGCACCATAGTAGAAAATCCAACACTTCCAGATCTAGGACGCCTCCTTGATGCTGATGCTCGATCGCCGAAATCCCTTCTTGAAGCGTTCCCAGAACACTCTCTCGCCGAGCAATGACTGCCCACGAAATCGGAAATGTTACGGAGATGCTGTACAATAAAGCAGCAATCCGACAGGTTTCATAGAGTTGCAAGGGGAGACACAAGCTTGAGACCGGGTTGTCGTCCTCTAGAATGATGAAGTTTTGGACATCAGCCTCAGCGAGCGTTGGCAAGGAAAGTAATCTGTGTTGAACAGAGTTGCGGCAGTCTCCAAGACGGTCAATCGATGGAAGACACGCTCGGGTGGGGTCATCACTGTCAGTCCACCGTTGAATTATGTGTGACAGCTCGCCCAGGTCCACAAATACTTGGACGAGGTTCGTTCGAACCCCGATAGATTGCAAGTAGTGAAATCCGCTTCCCATTCCTTTCGTTCGCTGCTGCGCGTCAAGCATCTCGGAAAGTCGCAATGGTGAAATATAAGAGTACAGCTCGCTGTTGGGCTGGTGGAGCGGATAGACGGGGGAAGTAAGTGTGATGGCGGCTTGGATCAAAGAGGCACTATAAGGGGTAAAGGGGCGCTTGCGATCAGTTTTGCTTATCTAAACCGACCAATCCTTTTAACGGCCAACCAGGGGTCTAGGTCAAAACTCACTAGGAAAGTAGCCATGGTAAGCCAAACGTCTTCACATTACCAATCCCACCTTGCTTGTTTACCAGAGTCTGGACGGCTTCCCAGTGCACGGAATGGAGCGGACCGCGGGCGTAGTGTGACAGCCATTGCAAATGCTTTAACGGAGGCGTGAACAGGCTACAGTCCTCTCGGAGCTTCGAGTGTCTGCGGTCGTCGTTGGACATTGCTAGAAAGAGCATTGCAATAAGCAACGGTTCCATGTCAGTTGACTTTGCCATTGCCAATGTCGACGTCCGTTTTGATGCCGACACCACTTGCCGGATTGACTGAATCGCCCGGATTCGGTGCTGTAATTGTTCAGAGTCCAGATGTCTCGTCCGTCCCGTCTTCGAAGCAAAGTGAACAGACGCACAGCATAGCATTGAGTGGAAAAGGTGGGGTTTCGATGCTGCTTGAGGGAGCCAAGCAAGGTAAAACTGCTGTGGGTAGTCCCCTGATGACCGGAACCCTGGCCATAGCACATGTATACCTGGAAGGTTCTATCAGATTTCCACGTAAGATATAGGTAATGGGAAGAAGTAGACAGAAGGAACAGAGAAGAGTTTCCGCTTAGCCTTACAATATTCGATCAATTGTTGGCAGCGACGATCTGCTAAAACAAACGCGGGATAGTAAGTCTCTAAGGCGATCGCTTGGCCTGGATTGAGGTGTGAATAGGGATCGGAAGTTGAAAGGAAAGATTGGACGCCTGATATCTGGTCTTCTGACGTTGTGTCAGGGGGAGTGGGATAGAGGGGTTTCTTGCGACGAGGTCGTGCTGAAATCACCGCTGTCTGAGACGTGCAAGATTCTTTCGGTGCTAATGGTGGAGTTGAAGCCTTCTCTTTGTCGAGTCGCTCAGACCGCGCCCTGTCTTTCTGCTGCTTCCCGATTCCGCGGCTGATCAGTTTCGAACGTAATCGATGAAGATCTTCTCGATGCTCCACAGAGGAAAGGGTTGGGCCGTTGATGAAAGTGAATTGCGATGGCTGTGCCATCAGACATTCAGATTCCGAGATCAACCGCCAGAGTGGCAATTAGAATCAACCGTTGCAGTATAGGGTATGAGTCCAATGAGACGCTGAGCATTTGAATCCGTCTTTGCAAGTAATGTAATCGCCAACGAAGTCAATTGACGACCTCAGGCGGCATTAGCCTCTGCCAAAACGGGACGAGTCGCGGGCTGCCTAGATGAGCTCAGGATTGTATAGCCACAGCCTGGAATGGCCTAGGCATAACTCTGGCCAAATGGCGGGATGCTCAGGTCTGGATACGGAGATGGACTCTGGAGAGGTCGAGAGATCAAGATTTGGCGCTGAGTATTATGGCACAAGAACACTAGCTACTAAGGAGTTAGTAGAGGCTAGGCGTGGCTAGTAGCGGTTAACGTAAACTAATCCCAAATAGTCTAGCCTGGCTACTAGCAGCGCAGATTATGTCATCCACGTCCAACTCCAAACTCACTCCGCTCTGTGGCTTGCATTCAACTTTTCTGCGCGAACTCAATCAACACACGCCGCCACCCAGGGACCGATAGCCGTGCAAAGTTCTCTCCTGCATCTTCATGACTCTGGCTGCCTCATTCCGACTCTCCCTGCGCAGAAGAGTGCCTATGCTCACCCTGTGAGCCCTTGCGGAGCACAGTGCGGACCACGCGAACAATTTCTCCGTCCGACCTCGGCCTTAGTGCATGGGGCTCACAAGCTTGCTTCTGCGTTTCGAGGGCGCGTCTAGATATCCTAGATCGCCGGTTATCAGAGGTGATGGGCTGGAAGCATCATCAATCTGAGATGTTTCATGCTCCCAGGTGCCTCTCTGGCCACACCTCCTAAGAGTCCCGATCCAGTTTGAACAAACCCCCGAGGCTGTCTCCCTCTGGACCGATATCGAAAATGCAGGAAGACGCCGACAGTCCGACTGGATCTCCGGGTCCTTCGAACTCCAAAAAGCGACGCTATGCTCGTGTGAGCAGAGCCTGCAATGAATGTCGTGTTCGAAAAATCCGGTGCAACGGCCGGCAACCATGTGAACCATGTGAAGACTTTGAACGTTGTCAGTATCCTTCATAGAAACCCACCTCTGGTCCATCAGACCGCTCACTACCCACAGATTGTACATTTACATCTACACGAGGGCAACGTATGTCTGGCGCCCCACGAACAAAAATTCTGGAGGATCGTCTGCGCCGAGCAAGAGCCTTGATAACCAGACTTCAAAGCCAGCATCCGTCAACCCAGCTCAATGTTGAGGTCAACGGCATCTTTGACTCTCCGCCTGGGTCGCCCACCCCCATAAACGCAGACACTCTAGCATCGCTAGATTCGAGCTCTGAAGACCACCTAGAGAACATGCTAGACGGTAAAGGCCGACTCACCTCTACTAAAAACTCCACCGAGTACTATGGCGGCGGTTCAGGCTTTGCGTTTCTTCAGCAGACGCAGCTGCTGTTCCATCGAGATTCCCCTACGGCGGAACTCCGAAATGGTGGCCACCTGTCTCTCGACGCCATGTCCAGGCTCTTTGATTCGCCGCTGCCAGATAAACAGGCGCTAGCAACCGATATCCCCATCTCGAAGCTGCTACCCTCTAGGCAATCAGCCACCGAACTGCTGCATGCCGTGTTTGGACAGACTTACCAATTGCTGCAGTTTCTCCACGAACCTACTTTTCAGAAACAGACGGACCGAATATACAATCTCGACCCCATGGACTTTGAAGATTCTGACCATGATTTTCTACCACTCTTTTACTCAGTAACTGCTCTTGGGTATCTATTTCATCAGAAAATGCACCACAAATATGGCTGCAAAGGCGCCGTCAACCAAGCGTGAGTGGAGAATGTAACCCCTGATTTCTATCATGTTGACAATATCTAGAATGCGACATTTCATCGCGGCTCGCCGAATGGTCGATCTCGATCGTTGTCGCGACATTCCAACCCTCCAGACGTTACTCTGTTTTATCCTTTTTCTGATTTCGACTGCCCGTCTTGCCACAGCGCACACTTTTATCGGACTGGCCGTCGCAGCTGCCATGAGGATGGGACTGCACTCTCAAGCCTCGTGTGATGGGCTTTCTGAACTAGAGAAAGATGTTCGCCGCAGAACATTCTGGACAATCGTTAAGCTGGACATCTACAGTGGTACGGTCCTTGGACTTCCAGGGATGATTAAACTTGACTATGTGGATCAGCCCAAGCCGAGCGGCCACATTCGTGACTATGCGAATGAGGACTGGGGTGGGTTTGCCTCTCTGAGCACCAGGCGAATGTTTGCGGCGTCGGCGCAATATCTAGAGATCCTCATGATTATGAGCAAAGTGGTGCAGAAGTTATATCCGAAGACTGATTCGGAGGCTCACCGGGTGGGCGAATCAAAGAAGATCTATGTCAGCAACGCCGCAATCCTCGAGATTGAGAACGAGTTCAAGATTTGGAGAGACGGATTGTCTGACTCACTTGGCCTGACTGAAGACAACAGCAACGCAAGCAGGTAACGAACATTCGACCTTCTTGTTAGCACGTGGCGCTGACTTCTGAAAGCATCGTTTACGAATTGGAGATGGTCCATAATTTTGGCTACATCCTCCTTTACCGGCCGTTTCTGCATTACTTAGCAAAGGCCAAAAGCGAGAATCCACCAAACGTGCAACTCTTGCGATGTGCCGCCTGCTGCGTGAAGATATCCAGGTTCACCATCTCGCGTTCCAATGAGATGCTCCAAAAAGGGTTCCTTGCTCCCGCGGCATGGCAATCGGTGTACACGGTGTTTTTGTCGCTAGTCACGCTGATCTTCTTTCTTGCTACACAGCACGGCAACAAGGACTATGCCATCATCCAGAAGGAGACTGAAACGGGGGTCCGAATTCTCGCTAGGACATCTTGCCAGGATATTGGTTCGAGAAGATGTCTGGATGTTTTGAGAGTAAGTTTGGTGCTGTGATTGAGGATTTGGCATGCTAACATGCAGTGTTCAGGTACTCACCAAAAGGCTCTCGCACATAATCAACCTAGATATCGATGAGATCTCAGCAGGAGTTCAAATATACTGCCAAGATAGCAACGGGGATGCGGCTGTTCCGAAGCCAGGAACGTATTCCAGTGGCTCTAACCTTGCTCTGCTCGACCGTTTCGGAGGACGGAGCTTGAATGAGGCACCGACTCTTCCAAATAACTCACAGTTTGTATTCCAGCCTCCATCCGGCACCCTGCAAGCTACTCCGTTGCACAGTCTGCTCAGTCCTGCACCAATCTACTCGTCCGAATCAATTGTGTATCCCGCTCAACCGTCGGCATGGGATCAGGCAGCAGGATGGCCGAGCACAACAAGCAGTCCGTATCTTGCAAGACCGTCCTTGCGTCAGGCTTCCCCTCCGGCGCCCACGGACGTCGCTGAATCCCTTACACATTCGGACATGGAGGTCCCATACACTGATGGGTTCGCATGGCCGTTCCAAGTGAACGCACATATGGGGGATGGGCGTCACAACAATACTGATTCTTCCCACCCGCAACCCGAAACTCCCGGACTTACCCCTCAAGATATTGCTGCCTTTATGCGAATTAATCCTGGAGACGAACCATTCCTCTAGCTTTGGTATATTGTGGGTTTTGGCCCTGGATAGCAAAGGAGATTTTTGTAGGAGTTCAGGCAGCTGTATGTGTCAAGCGACCAATATTTCGCAACAAATTCTGGATCAATTCATCTGCGAAGATATGACGTCTGATTTCGTGTCAGGCATGCCATCCTGACCCCGTGATTGATGAATATTGCCAATGCAGGGCCATGCTTGACGCCTTTCGGTCGCGTGGAGGGTCATCGCGGTCATGAGGCACCAGGTGGCTCGATATTGGTTACATGGGCCCTCTCCGATCGGCAGCCCTACGGAATGTTCGATGGAGCTTCCATCAGCGAGGGCGGAAAGCCGGCACAGCGCCCAGACGAGTTGGAAAAACTACCGGGCCATTCCCTCACTGCGGGGTTTGGTTTTTCGACTAGACAGGCAGGGCCCTGGTTCTTATGGTTCGTGTGACCGTCTCTTCACCCTTAATCAACGACCCAGGTTCGTTACGAACACGACACAGGGATTCGCGGACCAGCAGCGCAGAACCAAGACCCTGCTGCCTGCTCAACCACTGGAGCCAATGGACCGAGTCAAGCGAGGCGACGGGCGGGATCCCGACCAAGCCAAACCGAACCCTCGCGACCCTGTGCCATGTGCCGCAGTTCCTGTCTCACCCGATGCCGTCGACTAGATTCAAGGCGTGCTCGGCCCCATTCTTCGGGCACTGCCACCCGCCAAAGTGAGGCTACAGGCACGCGGGGAGGCTGAGGTCCTGTAACCCCAGCCTAACAACCATTCGATACTTTACCACATCAAGGTGCCCTTCAAGGTTATCTTTCCGACCATCTACCTTCTCTGGCGCTATGGAAGACGGGTGAATTCGTCAGAGACAGCTAACTATTTCGCTATCTTATGCTTGTTCACGCTGCACCAGCATTCTGGTGCCTACCAAGTCAGTTACTGCCATGGATCCCTTCTCCCTCACTGCAGGCGCTCTTCAGATAGCTGCTGCCTGTGTTTCATGCACCAGTACCGTGATCAAGATATACGGGGACATCAATTCTGTCGATGCCCGAATCCGGTCTTTCTGCGACGAAGTGGCAGCTCTGCGAGCAACTTACGAGGGCCTTGAGAAGAGCCTGTCTTCTCCTCCGCTGGCAGAGGCGGTGCGCGTGGCCAATAAGACCAATGACGGCGCTCATTTGTGGCAACAAATCAAAGATGCACTTGAGGACTCCAAGAATACCATGAAACGAGTCAATGAGATCCTTACCCAGATTGCCAAAATATCTGGATTTGCACGGAAGGTGAAGGCCCATTTACAAGAGAATCTCCACAATGGCGAGCTGTCTCGCCTCCGCCAGCGCATCCAGTTCTTCAATTCGGCCCTGTCGCTACCGATCCAGATGGTCTGTGTCATGCTCCAACTTGAACAAAGAGGAATCACAATCGAGCACCAGACATCATTGGATGCGAAGCTCATCACGCTTGAGCGAACCATGAAGGTGCTCGTTCAGAGTCTCAACTCCCCCTCGCGTTTGCAATCGCTGGGCGGCTCTACCATCGCGGCTACGGAGAAAATACAATCGGGCCACGATGATGGGATGAAGACTTATCTTGCCTTTGCCAAACAATTTCTGAGCACCGCCTCCGCTGCAGCCAGCACGAGATCTTCGTTGAGTACCATCTCGCCAGCTATCGAGCCAGAAGCCCTTCGTGACGTACCGATGACGCCTGCCAACGAGGCGCCACTCTCAACGACAGATCGCAGAGATCGCGTCGAGGGTTGGATCCAACCTCCTTCCCCTTCTCCTCCACAATCAGGTGGCTTCGCTCGACAGGCCTCTAGGTCCGGCAGAGGTCATCCACAGGTTGGCTCGGAGGTGGAGTTCCTGCGAGCCCAAAACCATCTGAAATTGGGCCAGGACAGCTTCGAAGAAGGTGAATATGCAAAGGCAGAGCGGCATTTCCGAAAGGCTCTCGCTCTGATGGAGCGGCATGATTTTGAGGGTAGGATATCTTTTCAGCCTGCGGAGGTAGTTCTTATGCTGGCTGATTGCTGTCGGCAGCAAGAGAAGCTTGACCAAGCGGTCGAGTTGCTGCAACCGGTTGCGGCCATGCGCAGTGATATCTTCCCGTCTGGCCCGAAGGATCAGACCTGCTCGAGCGAGACGCAGGCGTTTTCACATCAAATTCCCGACAAACTGCAGGCACTGGCGGCAAGTCACATGCTAGGACGTGTATTCATCTTAAAGAACGATTTCGACGCCGCGGAGGAGCACGGGCTTCGAGCGTTCATGGAGCGTCGAAAAGAACTCGGGCCACAAGATGAGAAAACGCTAGAGTCTGTGCAGCTGGTCATCGATATCTACCGAGCACGGGGTGACGATGGCGATGAAGAGGAAGCCGAAGGTTACGAGGTGTTTCTCTCACCGCCCGAGAAGCCGACACCCACGCCTTCCACCGAGAAGCTCTTGAGCAAGGTCGAAGTGCTGCAGCTCAGTCCGGCCCTGGTGTCACCGGAATCAGCCCCTGTTCCAGAAGTGCAGAACAACCATAGACCTAAGCTTATGAACCGACTACTGCACCGTGGTCGTCCCTCGCAGTCAGATCCGACTTCCTATTCGCCGTCGCCAGAATTGTCCAGGCTGTCCATTTCTAAGTCGATAACACTGAACAATCTACAGGACATTGACACGGCTGGTCAATCCGGGTTCCGGGGACTAAGCTCACCCTCGGAAACGTCGACCTACGATCGCTCTTTATCTTTTCATGACGATAGTTCAATAACGACCCCGGGGAGCGCTCAGCTCGAACGATCTTCCTCCAGCAAAACCCTTGAACCTACTTATCAAGCTATAGCAGACCTCTGCAACGAGAGAAGACTCGACAAGGCGGCAAAGGTTGCGATGCAGTATTTGAATACCTACCAGTCCAATTATATGGTCATCCGGAAGCCGGAACTTAGGGACAATATCCGGAATGGGACCGGCTATGGTCTCGCCAGGACCGGGCGCGGATATGCGCCCCTCCATTTCTTCTGCGAACTGAAGGAGGAACATGCGGAGGAGGTCAATCTATTGATCAAGCATGGTGTGGACGTCAACGCCATTGCTTTTCAAGCCGGCTATACCCAGTCCAATCCTAAAGATCCTTTCACGGCCCTGCACCAGGCCACCGAGAGGGGCTTCTCCACCATCACAGGCCTGCTGCTGGCAACAACGGGCATCAAGACCGACCTCCGCGACCCGGAAGGGTACACACCGCTGATGGTGGCTTGTAGGAAGGGCCATCACAATATCGTGAAGCAGCTGCTGGAATTCCCACTGCCGACCGAATTCCCCGCGACATGGCATGGAAACACCCTTCTTCATGACGCAGCGAGACGGTGTGACCCAGTGCTGGTTGAGATACTGTTGGAACATACCACTTTCATCGATGAACGGGATCGGTTCAGCAAGACGGCGCTGATGCACGCGGTGGTCAAGGCCGACATCGCGGATCCCTCGGAGAAAAGGCGACGGATCAAGGGCAGGTGTCAGACGGTGCGAATCTTGCTGGAGGCAGGAGCCGACCCTACACTTCGGGACCACAGGACCAACAAGACGGTGCGAGACTACGCCGTGGAAGAAGATGACGCCGAATTGTTGATGCTCCTGGGCCAGATCCCCAGAGCGGGCATTAGCGAGCTGGTGGCATGAAGTTGCTTGCTTGTTTCGGACTGTGTCCGAGTAATGTTGGATGAACTCATTTCCTCGTCTTGGAGGATTGTCGCAGCCATGTAGCATCCATGTAGTAACAGAATTTCTTGGACTTCTCGACGACCAGCTCTGTTGAATGGAAGGTCAATGGAGAACTGCCATGCACCGCCATAATGTGCGCCACAGATAACTACGTCATTACATTGGCCAGTGTGGCGTCTGTGGCGCTGTGACGCTGGCATGTGCCTGCCCGCTGAGTGAAAGTGGGAAGTTGTGGGGGGTGACGCTCCAAGGCTCCAACATTGGCCAAACCTGAGCCTCAGTTTCATCCTGCCCTTTGCCTGCGGCCTTTATAAGAGTTCATACAGCAAGCAAGCGCGCACCTTTTGTTCTCCATACTGCTACAAATCCCTTGTATCACAAACTCAACTAGTCAACTACACCCCAGAGACTCAGCTACAATGTCGGACGCCATCCCAGCGCTTCTCATCATCCTTATCACCATCCTTCGTAAGTCTGGCCTGCATTCTCGTCGCATAGCTGCTGGCACGCCCGCGCCATGTCGAGCCACTGCTTCCCGCTCTGCCAGCTCCTTCGAGTCATGTTCTCCTGCTAACTCTTGGACCCTCTAGTACCTCCCGTGGGAGTATTCCTCGTCGCGGGCTGCGGCGCCGACCTCTTTGTCAACATTTGCCTGACCCTCCTTGGGTACATCCCCGGCCACATCCACGCGTTCTACGTCGAGTATGTCTACTTCGATCGGAGGGAGCGGGCGAGGCACGGACAATTGACGGGCCACCACGCGCCGGGAGTGTACAGCGAGAGGGTGCAATCTGGAGGGTCTGTGGGGTACGGGACGATTTAGGGATCCGGTCCCTCGCACAAGGCCGTTTGAACGAGATGGGAGGGTTGCTTTTGCTAGAAGAAGAGAATTCTACGAGACGGTGGAGGCGTGCTCAGCGATATTTTGTTTCGGTAACGGCGGGGGGAGTTGGTGATTTTCCTCTTGAGCAAGGACTCGCGCAGTGACAGGCAAAGCGCAACGATGCGTGTTAGCTCCTCCCTCGACGACGTGGTATGTAGCAATATGGGCATTCAATTTCCAAACACGAGGCTGGGGTTATTTTGTTCTTGTGCAATACGTTGGCATGCTCTGCTTCCATCGACGGCGGCGGCTGAAGGCTGCCTCGGGTTCGTTGCGCTTGCCAAGGTTCAACGGACAGTCCAGGCAGTAGTCGACCTGCCATTTCTTGATGTTTATTATTTATTGCGATCCACCCGTTCAGGAGGCTGAGCTAGGCCAGAAAGTACGAGTAGCTCAAGGAAATGACGATCTCACCTTACTTACGAGCATCAAATTTCAGAAGCAAATCTCAGACCTCCTCGTGGGCATTGACAGCCGCCCATGACAACACCACTGCAGGATGGACCGTCGAGAGGAGGGCACGAAGCTTGGGCGGCACCAGCCTTCAGAATACTTGTGCGGGGAACACCCCCGGGCTGGGAGCCTACAAGTAGGGCAATGTTAAGGGTGGTTGCACAGCGTCACGACTGCGCCCAAGACAAACTCAGACCACCCCTGACGGACTTCAAGCCCTGCCACCCTGCTCAGCATTGTCGATAGGAGAACAGCCACCACTCAGATGACCAGTTCAGTGGATGGGCTGGCTTGACTGGTTCTCACTCCACCAATCCCGTTGCTCATGAAAACGCCTCCAGGTGATGGCACGGCTCGTCAGGCTCCTCAGCCTGATGCTCCTCGCAGTCATGGCTCTGGATTAGATGATCTCGTACACAATTCTGCTGCGCCTTGCATCTGCTGCCTAAGTCACACAGCCTCGCCAACACGGTGTTGCTGTACTTCAGGCGGTGTTGGGGTGGGAGGCTCGATGGGATCGTATTGCTCATATGCCTCAAGTATCTACACCTGATTCTTGCAGCTCTTGATTCCGACTACACACTCGAATTTTACTGAAAGTGAGCATCAACAATCTGCGAAAAGACAGAAGGCAGAGAAGCAAAGCGACTCATTCACTACAAGTGGTTGGATGACGGTACATTCTCCTCGCAACCGCACTCATCCTCAGCTACTTCGAACACAGATGGTTATAATGGAGTCGCAGGTTACCCAAATGCCCAGTCAAGAACAGAAGACGGCGCCATCGCCAGAGGACAAAGCAATAGCGCCCGTTCGTTCAGATCCCGCCGGTTTGGTTATGCAAGTCATTGATGTCTCATATGACGGCAAGCGATCCAGATCACCGCTTCAGCTGAACGACGATATCAATGGCATTGAGGCTGCCTTGCAAAACCTTCCACCGCACAAGGACGGCATTGCGCGTGTGTTCGATCTGTATCCAAGGGGCAAATGTCGTGACCATAACGGCTGGCAGAGCAATGTTTCTAAACACTTCAGAGAAGAGTACCCCGGATTGCGGATCACGCCCCGATTATTTCCTGAAAGCCGTATCAAAAACGACCTCTGGAACATTTCACGTCAGTGGGCCGGGAATGCCGAGGGAACAGGCATATCCACAAAGACTTCTCTGAAGGTGGATGGTAAAGATTCCCTGAACACTGCAAGCTCATTCCTAGTATGCTACTACTATGGTATTAACAAGCTTCTGGGTACGTTACTATATTTCCCGAAGGCTGTTCTGTCGACTAATTATGGGCGTAGTGATCGTCATCAATGAACAACACCTTTTAGTGGGAACGGCTCCACCAGAGTATACATATTTCGATCGCATCGCACCAGAGAATAGGTTTATAGCCATGGCTAATGGGAGTCGCGATCGGCTCACCAAATTACTCGTGCTGGACTTTCTGTCCTCAAGCGTCTATCTTTCACCTGCAACTCAACTGGAATTGTGGAGGAACCCTGGAAGTTTTTTCGATCTTCCCACCTGGGAACATTCAGCAGTGATCGCGGGAGTCTCGAGCATCACAGCTAACACAGTGGAAGTTTACATCGACAGTCTAGCCTTGCGCGAGGTAGTCCTGCAAGAACTGCAAGAGCTCGCTGAAGCCATCGACTTTGTGGTGGAAAGCCTCCGAAAGTATTCCAACCCAAAGGAGAAGGCATTCGCTACACAGCAGCGTGACAGCAGTAGCAGCAATGCTGTTGACGAACGGATGTTTATCCTGCAGCAGATGTGCTACCAGCGTCGAAAAAACGTCGAGAGATCTATTGAGCAACTGAATCGTACATTTGAAGCCAAGAGCAAGGCTTTGAATATCCAAGAATCCGCGAGCGTGAGGCGACTCACCATTCTTGCAACGATCTTCCTACCCTTGTCACTGTCAACTTCGATTCTCAGCATGCAGTCGCGATTCAAAGAGCTCCATCTCAAGCTTTACGATCTTGTGGGAGTCTTCGTGATAATAGGCACTGTGGCTGTCATCATTCTTCTTCTCGTTCGGGCCATAACGGACATCGCCTCGAGCGCGATATTTCGTGACTTGAGCAATCCGAATCGCATTTGGGCCAGGCACGAAAAATCGATCTGGGGACTGCTTTCTGTGTTAGGAAGGATATGGTTCGCCTCGACATGGGCCGTGCTGATGGTCTCATTTCTCTTCGGAATGCTCAAGGACGTGATGTTGGGAGTGAAGATCCTAGGATTCGGGTTCGTCGGTCTGCTAGGGTATGCCATTCTCGTCTGTGTTGTTATATTACATAGAATCTATCTTCAGCTGGGCAAATAGAGGCTCTCGTACGGAAAGACTGATTTTTATGCGAATATTCGTAGCTACTTATCCTCCTCGCTATCCTCCTCGCTATCCTCCTTGCAGCGGCCCCCAGCAGCGAAAATTCCCGTCTTGTTACGGCCTGCGAAACTTTGAAGATGCCTTACACAGAATTTAGATCGGGATTCACGTGCTAAAGCTGACCAAAGAAGGATGAGCGACAGTTGATAATAGTTCTCAAGTACCTATGAAGGCCCCTAAGTAGCTAGACAAGTCGCTGGGGCCATCAAGGCGGGGTTAGGTAAGTAAGGAGGCTGAAAGTCACAAGTGGCGCTGGCTCGATAAACCCTTCAGCCCTTCCACAAAAGCATAAATAGGCGACCTGATGGCCCTTGCTACAAATGATTCAAATCACACAAAATAGTCTCTGCATTGGATGCCGAATAATCCAGAGTTATATCACCTATTCCATTATGGCCCGTTCACAAAGTTTCTTTTGCTATTCTCAGCGTCGGCTCTGGGGCAGATCATAATGTTCTCTGCATCGGTCCCGTTTGGACCCAAAAATACTGCCGCGTCCACGCCATCGCTGGCCCCAATGCTAAGGCAATCAGCCTCTGACACGACTGGCTTGGAGTTAATTCCTTGGTGATCCTGCCTTACACGACATGCTCTGTTTCACCTTTGCAAACTTCCACAAATCCCGCGGGCATCATGACCTTGGGGATTAATACCTCGCGCTCGAGCCTTGACACTTGGTATTGGACAGAACCTCAAGATCTCGGGCTTCCCTGCGTTCGGCTTGTTGACAGATGTCCGACTTCATCGAGCTGTCCAGTCCCTACGGCTCAAGTCCCTATGGATTGGGCGATAAGCCTCACGCTCGACCTTCGATCCGGTCACTCGGTCCACTTCATCGCAGGTCGGGTTCCGCCCAGTACAATCCAATTCTGACTCCGCAAGAAGAGCAGAGTAGCGATGGCTTCCCAAGGCGCATGGATAAAGCGCCGTCGATGACGACTCTTCCTCCGAGCAGAGTAGGGAAATTCGGAACAGACCTGGTCGTCGAAATCATTGTCTGCACGTTCGCGGTTCTGGTATCGGTGCCTTTCATGTGGTTGGCAATCACTATGGCGCACTTTAATCACCAGAGAGTGACAGAAGGAGATACGAATTACATCAAGCAAGCAACAAGCACGGTTCGCATGACATGGATGTACTCAGCCGGGAATGGTTATTGACCGATACAGGCCTCTACACTCTTTACTATCCTCTTCGCAGCCGTCTTGGGCACGACGCTCAAGCGATTCGCAACATGGCGACTGGAGAGAGGCGTCAAACTTGGTCTGCTCGAGCAGATCATGCAGAGTCGGACATTCTTCGCAGCTGTCACCACCCAAGTGGCTTTCCCTGCTTTCAACCTCACCGCCTTGATCTTGCTGGCAAGCTGGGTGTTTTCACCACTGGGATCCCAAGCATCCCTGCGTCTGGTCAGTACTGGTCGGGATCACACCTCACATTCCGCCGCAGTCAGCCATGTCGACACCATCTCCAACCAGGTCTTCGACTCGGTGTCGGGAGTCGACTCATTGCTGACTTCACTGAAACCGAGTTACATCAGCTCGGTCCTTGGTCCGGACACCATGAAGAATGGGACTATGGATCTCTGGGGAAATGTTAGGATACCTTGGCTGGTCGACAACCTTGACAAGAACGCCGACGGTTGGGCCATGCTATCTAGGGCGAACTTGACGGAAGGGTCATTCTCCGCTCTTGTCGGCGTGCCTATCGCGTCCTTGGCAAACCGGAACTCCAGCTTCGTTATCGAAACGACGTATATGAATCTCGATTGTGACAAGCCGCAAGATACGAAGGAGATTAACATCAATTTCAACGTGACGTCCGGGAACGGCACGTTCTTGGGGCCCAACACCACCGTCAACTCCGAAGATGCCATATATCCATTTTGGCAGGTGGCCATGAACCAATTTGTCTCGGATGATTATTACTTCTACGGCTATCCAGAAGAGCTGGTCAATGTCACAGATGTCAACCTACCCCAGGCGACTTTTCTCTTTCAGACTCGCGGACCATGGGTGGCAAAGTGCCAGATCAACCAAATCTACCTTGAATCGAACGTGTCATGTCAGTCGGTGCCCGATTCAGGGCTACCTGTCTGCGCTGTCACGGCCCAGCGAAATTCACCCAACAAGCATGCACCGTCAACGGTAACTACACTCAGCTTCCCAAGCACTTTCTCCTATCTTGCGCAGACATGGATTCTGGCAACCGACCCGTTGTACAGCTCAGGCTACTCCTCTCTGAGCGAGTACTACCTACAAAATACCTCTGCGGCTTTCATCCTCAGCGGCAATGGTCGCGAATATGCCGACTATTCGAATGTCACCGCCCGACAGTTTTCCCAACGACTGGGCCAACTGCTCAACACTTGGGTGCTTTCGAGCCAAGTCTCCGCCGACACCATGCAGTATCCCTTGAATCACAAGACTATCACGGCTTTTTACACGGAAGGATTCGATGTTTACGTTGTGTCGTGGGCCTGGCTAGGCGTCTATTGCGCTTCGATCGGGGTGATGCAGATTGCCGCGTTCTGCAGCATTTGGTGTGCATACCACACGACCATTCCCGATGTGCTATCTTTCTGCTCGTCTCTGACCCGAGATTCGGCATACTTTGATTTCGCAAAAGGTGGTAGTGCTCTGGACGGGATAGTCAGGGCAAGGATGATGCGGAATGTCGAAGTCAAATTCGGTGAGGTAGTCAATCAGCGCACCGACGAGGGATTCCGCAATGACTTTGTCAACGACATCCCCAGCCGACCTGGTGAGCGGATGGCGACTCTGGCTGTAGCACCGCCAGAGTATGTGCGCAATCCGAGACGTGGACTTTTGTATGCATGAGATGGCGTTTTTTACTCTACAGTTCCGTAATAGATAATGCAGAATGCGACAAATGTGTCCCCTGGATTGACCACCAGGTCAGTGACGGGAAATACCCTGGAATGTGGCCCTGCACGCTCAGCCTTACAGCCTTGTCATGTGACTCTTGGCAAACGCGAAAGCCTGGCTCGACCGCGTCGCGCGTTTCTTCCCCGTCTCCAGTGATCCAATTCCTCCACGACTCGAAACTAGACAACTGCACCGCCTGTACAACAACAAAGTAGTAACGATTTCCGAGTTGGTGAATTGCAGCTGTCCACAACTATCCGTACCGTTTGTCCTTGTTGATGTCTCATTTTGAACATCATCATGGACACTGAGGTCGCTCCTGCCCCGCCACCTGCTCCTTCCTTTCCAACTGCTCACCTCACTCCTTCCAAGAAACGCAACCGAGAAGGAGAGATCATCCACCACCCTGCTTCTCTCATCTCTCCAGATGGCCAGCAAAGCAGCCCCCTGACTGCCCACAACTCTCCCTACGGAACACCTGATTTCAGTCAACGCAGCACCCCATTGACCGAGCTCGGTACCACTCCTGTCCTTAGCCCGGCACCGCAGTCTACCATGGCCCCCGCCGACGGGAAGAAGCGGAAGGTCACCTTTGCCGAAAAGGAGGCCGACAAGGCAATCAAGAAGGCCGAAAAGGAAGAAAAGGAGAGACTGAAGGCCGAGGCCAAAGCGAAGAAGGACGAAGAGAAGAAACGCAAGGATGAAGAGAGAGATGCTGCTCGCAAGGTTCGAGAGGAGAAGAAGAAACAGAAAGACGCGGAGAAGCAGGGGAAGGAGGCCGAAAAGCAACGAAAGGAAGCCGAAGCGTTGAAGAAAGAGAGAGTAGGTGTCAGATCTCCCGACGACATGGCCTCGGATACTAACCTTTTGTCTTCAGTCACAAATGAGACTCGGTGCATTCTTCGGTCCCCCGGCGGCTGCCTCGACACCCCCGGCTGTTGACCTTGGGGATATCTCTCGTGGCACGACGCCTTCCCGAAGAGGTTCGATCACGTCGATTGACATGGAAACACCTCTGGTCGAGCTCAAAGCGTCACCAACGAAACCAACGAATCCCGGCTACAACGATTGGATCCTGCCTTTCTTTGTCAAGGAGCACATGGAAGTCGCACCGTTCAACCGCTTCCACTCGAACCGAGCTGCTTTCGACAATGATGCTCTAGTCCTCAATCAAGATGTCACCACTGAGACACTTGGAAGTCGATTTCGTAGACGACGACGCCGGATCAGACCTGTGAAACCTGTCAAAGAAATCTTGAATGACATGAAGGGTTCCACAAGTATTCCCATCGACCTTACAAACCCTGCAAACTCTCTTGCCAACCTTCCTTACAAGTATTTGTTTTTCCGCGAAGATGTGCGACCTGCTTATTATGGGACATATACGAGAGTCGTCTCACCACGAAGTACAAGAAGACTCGCCACAAATCCTACCTACCGAGGATTACCAGACACGAACTATGATTATGACAGTGAAGCAGAATGGCAGGAACCCGAAGAAGGAGACGAGGAAGTGCTGGATGACGACGAGAAATCCGAAGACGAGGACGGGGACGAAGAAATGGGAGATTTTCTCGACGACGAAGGAGAGGTTGCCAAACGTCAGTTGATTGTCGGTGATATGGAGCCCAAGTGCAGCGGGCTATGCTGGGAAGGTGGTGATGGTCAATCTCAAGATGGCCACGATTTATCGTCGTACCGTATGGACGTTTTGCACGACTCAACAACCTTTCCGATCGATCCATACTCGACGATGCATTGGGCAGATGTCGGGAAAAAGAGTCCTATCAAGCGGGAGGAGAAGCCGCCACAGACTCCAGCCATGCAGCCCCCTCGTCTACCACTGATAGCGGTCGACCCGAACGGTGGCGGTTTGGTTTCTCAGTCCGGCCTGCTGAAGTTTGCACCAAGCGAACGGCAATCGGAGAACCAATTTCAAACGTCCAAAGTGAAAGCGAATTCTGCTTCGGGCAAACCGGTCAAGACTATTTCGCCAGACTTTTTGCCTGCGTTCAGGCAAGCAGTGTCGGGGAATACGTTGACGAAAACTGGGTTGATTGAGGTCCTGAAGAACCAGTTTCCCAAATGTTCCAAGGATGCTATCAAGCATACCCTGGAAGCAATTGCGGAGAGAAGAGGCGTCAAGGAGGCTGAGAAGAAATGGGTGTTGATCGGTTGAGCATTCATGAAACTGGGTGCAGATCGACAAGATGTCTGAAGAATGAATGAAGCGAGACGAGGTAATTGAACTGTAACAAGAAGCGAGTGCACTGAGCGTTCTGGACCCTGCATTCAACTGGAGGCCTGCGTAAGCCTTACGGTCGCTCGATGGTGCATTCATTAGGACATATAGAGCATGGGATGAGTAGAGGTCAGAGATGGCTCGAGCCAGAATACAACAGTATTAAAGACCTTGCATCTGTCGATCCGGCTACTACCTATCAGAATATGTACCGTCCAGTTGTACCGCCTACGATGGTCGTTGATAGACGGCCACCTCGAGCACCTCTTGAGTCTTGAAGGCGCTGTAGGACAATGAAGAGAAGGCCAATGCTTCACGGTGATCGGCGCAGACGGGCATATCAATTGTGGACCTCTTCGCTGTTCTTGTTCAGCCGGTTGGTTATTATTTGCCAGTTCCATGTCCTGTCTGGCCGATATCCTATCCCCAACATCTACCCTACTCTTTTGGCATCCCAAACCAGCACGATTGGGTATATTTCATGCCCGCAACCACCTGCGGAGAGCGTTCTTTGCGGCATGCACCACAAACCTACTGGAAAAGAGAACAGAGCAGAGAATTGATAGGGAAAAGAGAGCAGAAGGGACCGTCATATGCACGGGCACCAACTCTATCAGTGCGAGCTGGGAGTCCTTGACCCGGGTGGTGAAATATCTGGAGTCTGAGGGCACGAGGATTCGGGTGTGCACGGTTCTGCGGGTTGTTGATATCGCCCTACCGAAGGAGGGGACTGGGGGACCATCGTCACCATTGATATATGCAAGGGCCAGCTGTCCGGCAAGACGAGATTCAATTCGGTATCATACTCGAAGGTTCAGCTCCCTCACTGTCGACAGACTTGTTTTCAAAGCCATCCGTCTATCGTGTTACTGACTGAGGATGGGCGACGCCGGCTCTCCTCTCCCTCCTCCTCCGCCGCCACACTCCTCATCCTCACCCTCTACCTCCACCTCCACCTCCACCTCGGCCTGGCACCAACAGAACCCCCAACCCGTCCGCGCCGGCCTGCCCAGCGCCAACCCAACGCGGTCCTTCTGGCAGACGTCCTTCCCCAACCGCCTGGCCCACCACCGCTCGACCCCGGAGCTCCCCGCCCACGCCGACCTGGTCGTCGTCGGGACGGGGATCAGCGGCACCTTTGCGGTCGACGAGCTGCTGAATAGCGCGGAAGCAGCAACGGCGGCGACAGCGACAGAAACAGAAACAGAGGCAGACGTCCATCGCGCGAGTCTCTCCGTCCTGGTCCTCGAGGCCCGCACGCTCTGCTCCGCCGCCACGGGCAGGAACGGCGGGCATTTGCAGCCCGTCATCCACAATGCGCCGGCGCACATTATCGATTTCGAACTAGGCAATTTCTGCCACGTCGAGGGGTTGGCTTTGAGCAGGGCCTGAGAGGGTGGCGACAACTACGGTGACCACGGCCGTGGCGATAGTGACGGCAGCTACACTACCGAGACCGGGAAGTCTTCCTCGCCGTCACCCTCTTGGTGTGACTTTCGCCGGCTCGAAGGGTGTCTGGGGTTCTGGAACGAGGAGTATTTCAGGGACGCCAAGCGAGATCTTGCTGCCGCTGCCGCAAATGCGCGCGTGGAAAGCGGTACGGACGGGGGCGAGAATACACCCACCAAGAACGACTATGCCGGCCTAGCCAGGGTGGTCGAGGACGCCGAGGAGCTGGAGGCGCTGGGGTTGCGCGTGGAGAGCGGCGCGGTCGGCGCCATCGTCCAGAGCGTCGCGGCCAGCTTGAGTCCGTACAAGCTGTGCGTGGGCGTGTGGGAAGGTCTGCTCGAGAGGTTCGAGCAGAAGGGAAGCCCGGTCGCGGGGTGGCCAGAGATGACGAGGGCCAGTCAAGGCACAGAGAACAAAGAGGGACGGCTGGTGTCGAGACCCACGTTGAATTTACAGACGGATACACCTGTCACGGCGCTGGAGAGCGGAGCGGACGGATGGACACTGCACACCCCTCGCGGCAGCGTGCACGCGCGCACCGTCATCCTCGCCACAAACGCATACACGTCCTACCTGCTCCCGGGGTTCGCGCGCTTGATCCGGCCCGTGCAGGCCCAGATGTCTGCTCTCATCCCTCCTCCGCCGCTTGGACCACGGGGTTCCGCGGCCCATTGCAACACGAACGGGAGCGGGGACGAGACGCGCAGGAAGGACGGTGAAGCAAGCAGCAGGAGGAAGAAGTTGATCCCGATGAGCTACGGCTTCATGGGCGTCGGCGACATGGACCGGGTCATGAGCGACTACCTCGTGCAGAATCCGTATCTTGTTCAACACCACCATCGTGACTGTCGTCTCGACCATGAGGCTCCTCACCAAGAAGTTGGACCCGACGACGACATTCGAGACAGTGGTCATAGCAGCACCAGCGATAGAGGCGGCCACCTCATGTTTGGCGGCGGGCGGCACCTGGCCCTCCACCACGGCGAGGGCGTGTGGGACGACGACTTTGTGGACCAGCACGTCGAGCGATACCTGCGCAGCCTGCCCGAGAGACTCGACCTTGATCTCGACCTCGACCTCGATCTTGACCAGGACACACGCGACATTCCCACGTCATCAACAACGCATATCGAGAACCAGCCCCAGAGCCAGAGAGACAGACGCCGTCCCCTCGCCATCGCGGCCTCCTGGACCGGCATCATCGGCCACTCCGCCGACGGCCACCCCTGGGTCGGCCCCGCGCCGGACCACGCCGGCATCTTCGTCTGCGCGGGCTACACGGGCCACGGGATGACGAACGCGCCGCTGTGCGGGCGCGGCGTGGCCCGGGCGGCCTTGCGGGAGGAGATGAGAGGGAGAAGGCGGCGCCGGCGCCGCGGGAGCGCGAAGGATCAGAATCAGGAGGGAGAGGAGGGGAAAGATGGGGAACACAGAGAAGGGGACGGACATGGGGATGGGGAGGTAGATGTAGATATAGATGTACCGCGAGAATACCTGATCACTCGAGAGCGGGTTGAGCGGGTCTTGCGAGGCTTGGGTCAAACATGAGCATATGAATAGAAAAGAAAGGAAAGAAACAAAACCAAAATGAGAACGAGAAACAGCGCAGGAAAACAAACATAACAGGTCAACATTGCCTACAATCTGCTCATATCCTCTGCGCTCATCGGAAACATCGTCGCTCATCGTCGCCACCGTCTCGTGGAGAAACGCCTCTGCCCGAAACTCCAGCCATGCGTAACAACCGTTTGCGTCTGGTTCGGTCCCTTTAATTGTATAGCTGATGACTTCACCCCCTGGCTGGGCCTTACGTCGCCTAACATAACCCTTCCGCCCTCCCCTCCTCACAATGATCAACGCTCGATCTCTCTCTTGCTCCGCCATCTCTCCCCTGCTGCCCTACCCCAGGAAACTCCCCATCCCGCCATCTCCCCAAAGTGGCGCTTGCACATACTCTGCTGCCCTCTCATGCATATTACCAAAATTCCAGTCTCCCGAACTACCCGTGCTATCAGGCGTTATGGGCCCCATGGATCCGCCCATGTTTCCCATGGACGTGGAACCGCCGAGCCCCAAGATCGCATTGCTCGTATTAAGTGACGGCGAATACGTCTCCTCCTTGACACCAGAGAGCGGGGGATACTGAGACGGTCGCGACTGTATTGTCGGTGATGACGAATTGGTTGCTAGACCAGATGGAGTCCCCATAAACTGATTCGACGCCTGCTGCCCATAGGTGGCGTTTTGGAATTTACTCGAGTTTGACGATCTCGGCCCCGCCAGCGCGGCGTTCAACTTGCCCAACGCGTTGAGTGACTTGGCCATACTGCGTGCCCAATGAGGGGATTCTGCAAGTGGTGGTGGATCCTCCTGAGAGAAGCGACGGTTAGCAGCGGGACTTGCATCTTGAGCAAGGTCGAATGTCGGATCTTCCTGCGTACGTTGTGAGACGACTGCCTCCAACTCTCGAAGGAGGGATAATCGGCGTGGGTCGCGACTTGTCTCTGGGAGGGTCCCCAGCAGGAATGCGGCGGAGATCGAGCGTTGGATCCCAATCCAGGATCGAGCTGCGAATTTGCTCAAGCCGTGCAACTCCACGTATGCTTCGACCGTACCCTCCAAGTTCTGCACGCACAGAGTCCGAAACTGAGCAACGGCCGCTGCATCGAAAGGAGTCGTACTTGGTGACTGAGCAGTGGTGCCCGAGGTCCTCCGCCGACCACCAGGGGGCGACTGGACAGGTGTCAAGTTATCACCCGAGGAAGATGGAGGCGGTGCTTTCAGCGCAGGCCGGCACAGCTCACTGGTGATATAGCAGCTGTGGAGTTTCAAGGCAAGGCGTTCAAGGTGCTGTGTCATTCTATAGCAAAGGTCCCGGTTCCGGAGGTGAGCGGCACCTTGTGACACAATGCTCGTGATCTCTTCGGTGTACTTCTGTATTCTATCCCAGGTCATGTAAGATCGAGGATGTAAAAGACGTTCACGGATGATTTCCTGCGTCAGTCGGATAATGGCGAACATGCTTTCCGCGTAGCTCCGGTCTCCAGGAGAACTAAATTTGCCGTAAGGGATATCGGGGATACACAAGACGCTCGAGGTAGGCCGATCGTAGCTGACCGCGAAATGGGAATCTTGCCATGCAAGCGCCCACCAGATTCGTCGACGTGTCCATTTTTCGGCATCTGTAAACTGTTGCGAGTTGATCTGCAATCCGATCGAGAAGGCCATGCGTAGTGTCATACCCAGGAAGATATATGCCACCCCAGGATTCATGTTGTAGGACAGAACGTTCCCAATAATCAGAGAGGCTTCGATGGTCTCCAGGCATGGATGGGTCAGGAAGTTAGACATGCGAAGAGCCTGATAGGAACAGCAGACTGTAATCAATGGTCAGCCAGGTGCTTTGTTTTCCGCCGTGTTCTCTGAAATCTTACTGTAAACTTGAGATGTGAGCTCCCTCTCTTTTGCTGGCCGGTCCGATGACTGGGACCCAGATGCAAAAACAGCAAACACCAGTGATAGCCAGGGTAACGATACCCCATACGGCTTGTTGGGATCGAGTTCAAGGTTGTCGCGCAAAGCACGCGCGCGATTGGAAAGCATAAAGTGCAGGGTGTCCTCGAAGCTGGAGGTATCGGGAACGACAGGGTATATAGTACAGGCGATATCTCTGTAGGCGATGAAAAATCTGGAGCAAGTCAGTGACCGGTCGACTGCGTATCAGAAAGTAGCTCACTCATTGCACAGCTCGTCATCTGGAATAGCTTTACACAGACCATTCACGTCTTGCATGCTTGAATCGGTACTCCACAAGTCCACAAAAGGATAAGTGGCACTCTCATTGTCCAGGCCGAGCTTTGGTAGAATGTTTTCCTCCAGCAAGGATTTCGCGGTGTCTTGAGCCGACCTGCTCCTGCCGAGTCCCATCATGTAGGCTAAAACGGACCTCGACCCCAAATGCATTGTGCCCATTTGATTGCTGGGAGCATGGATTCCTTCTCTCTCTGTCTCGTCGCCGCGGCTATGCGTGCCTGTAAGGTTTGTTTCGTCCAACTCGGTGTGCACCAACGCCGGAGACAATTGTTCATCGGGTTTGACCACTCCGCGCAGCTGTTGCAATTCCCTGTTCAGCCGCTCCCATTGTTCCCGTGGCACCGTAACGTTGGGACCAGTCTGTTGTTGGATCGGGCTCTCCGACCCAGCTCCATCGTGTTGGGCCAAAGCACCACTCAGGGCAATGCGTCGCTTCTTGGTGGGCCGCTCGTAGGAACAAAGCTCAGGGTGGTCTCTCTTGACACAAGAGTCGCAGGGCAGGTTCCTATCACACTTGACCTTCCGGCGATGGCATGCATAGCAGGCTTTAGGGTCCCGCACCTTTCTCTTGTTGCGGATAATCGCGTCTATCTCTTCCTGGGCCATCTCAATCCTCCCGTCTGGCCCAGCCTCCATGATATGGTCATCGGAATAGTCGCCGCCGACAGTATCTGCCGTGGAGGCGCGTTGGTTAGGGTCCATGCTCGATTGGTGGAGGACGAGGACACGGGAGAATATGAAGATACGGGAGCTGAGCTGAGGCGAGTACGTGTGGCTGGGTTTCCACCTCTACAGGAACATGGCCACTCGTGAGAGGATCGAGCTGGAGAACCTCCTTGGGCGCCGGAGAGGAGCGGTTGAGACGGACGGTGAGGACAACAGACTGTGCGGGATTGAAAAGAAGAATCGGAAGAGCAAATGACCATGCAAGTGGTGGGAGGGTTTCTTGGGATTTCCTCCCCCCGCCTCCGAGTCGCTTCGGCTTGCAGAGAACGCTGAGTGGCCAGCCAATTCCCCAAGAGAAATCTTCGGGTGCACTCTTTGGGACTAGCCTCTTCCCGTGCTCTCTTGGCCGCAGCCTTGTCGCTGACATGATCAGCTGGTCCAGCCTTGCCACCACCGCCACTCTGATCTGGATTTCAGTGGAGGGAATCCTTCCTGTTATTGCTCGAGGGCCAGCTGACTGTACAAGTATGTGAGGTTTTCAATAACCATTCCCTAAATAGAGAGATTATGAGTTTTCATCCCACGACCCATCTGTACCATCATGCACCTTGCCGTTTGTGGTCAAGTCATGGTGACACAAGATCCAAGATCCGAACCACTAAACTCCTCCATTCTCCTCTGAAACTTGGTGCGTTGCTGACACAAAAAAAAAGAATCAATTGCATTTTGGTTTTACAAAAACAGGGTGTTCCTAAATGTTTTCTTTTTGCCCATTCATGACGCCGCGTCCACATATCCCACGTTCCATGTGTCCTTGTTACACCATCGCATGTATCGTCTCAAAAGGCGCATTAAGTGCTTGGAGTAGCTTTCAAGAGAATGTCTGAGGGGTTTCCCGGTTCTCAATAGAGAATCAAGCATCATCCCGCATTTTGGCGTCCGAAATCCTCCACCGATCAAACCATCTGAGATACGCGTATTGTCGATTGCTTCCCTGCATACCGAACACAACCGGGCTGAATAGAACAAACAATCCAATGACCACAGCGTACAGGGTGAGATAAACACCCCATCTCACCTTGGTGTTGAGGCGTCGTGTGGTCCAATCCAGGGAGAATCCAGCCGCCAGGATCGCAAAGTAAAGAGCCGGGTAGTAGTGATGGACGTACGTAACTCGTCCCATGATCAAGAAGGGAAAGTAGTGGAAGAACCATCCGATCACTGGGTAGATTCCCGAGTAGTGGATTTGGTCAATGTCCGCCTGGCTGAGTTCGTTGTAGCCACGCTGCCAACGAACCAAGTACCAAGCAACGATAAGGCCAACCACACCCAATGAAGCCGTCGAGCCCCAGTACACGATCGGGTTACCGAGCAAGAAGTATTTGGTGATATGATCTTCCCATGAGCACATGCGAAGTCCCACATGCAGAATGGGCCACTGCCAGAACTTGGATGCAAGATCGTCTTGCTTGTCGGGATCCGGAACGAGGGCATTATTCGAGGTCATCATGGCGACGTTGAGATGAATGAAATCCTTGAAGAATGGTGACCGGTAATTTGCGGCGTTTCCAGGAGGGACTAGAGCACGTTAGCAAAGAGAAAGGGTAGAGACACAACGAACGCAGACTTACGTCTCTCGTTGACGTGGGATTCCACGTTCCAGTGAGTATAGACATCCCGCGGGCTTGGCTTCTTCACGCAGGTTGTTTCAATCTGCTTGAAACCCCATTGAGGAAGGTTGACAGTACCAGCGCGAAGATAGCATCCGAGTTCGACATGCTTCAACCTGAACGCCGTGGTCAAAGTCCGGATGCGAGACCGATCGGAAGAGGCCGCGTCGCTAACAACCTCGATTTGCCAGTGATCCTTTTCATCGCCGACAGTAACATTGCCGTAACAGGACACCTCCCAGTCGGCCTTAGTGATAGGAGCCGCAACAGCATGTGAATGGAGATTCCGGCCAGTCTGAGCATGGATAAGACGGACAACTTGTTTGTCGGCGATGAAGCTCAGTGGTCCTTCCGGATCATAGTCAGTCTGGCTTCGGTTGGGGTAGAAAAACCAGTCATTGTTGGCGTCCTTGTGGTGGTAGCAGGTGACCTGCTGTTGACCGCTTCCTTCCGGATATGTCTGAACGTGGGAATGTAGCAGACCGCCGCCGTATCCCATGTTCTTGAGGGTGACTTTGGATCCGAGCGCAATTTCAAGCGGTGAATCCCTCCCAACTTCAGTACCGCGGAGGTTGGCTTGGAAGAGGGAAGACATCTGCGCATCGCCCGGGCCCGAGTTCTCCAGGATCAAGAAGTGAACCCAGAAGGAGAACATATAGACTATGATGGGAATAACGATCAAGCCCACAACGCGAGCAACCAGATGGGTTGCGAGCTCGACTTTGGGCATCTTCAGATCCCCAAATTTATTCCACAGATCTTCCGCAGTGTACAGTCCAACAAGTGCTGTGGCGAACAGTCCGACCCATTTGACGCTGCAGACACATCCAATGCTCAAACCGGTCAAGAAAAGCCAGATGAACCATTCTACCGAGAAGCTCTTGTGTTGAAGCCGATGAAATCTTGCCCAGCACAAGACCGTGGTAAAGGTGAAGCAGAGCAACATCGAGTCGAGTAGAATAAACCGAGATATGGTAGCGTAGGAATTTTCGCACAGCACCATAAGAGTGACGAGCCAGACGCCAGTTCGTTTGAAGTTCAGTTCGCGTGCGGTGTAGTATGCGAGAGGGACGGTAACGACGCCGAACATGGCATTGAAAATACGCATGAAGGTGTAGTTCACTTCTTCAGGGTATGTCTCGCCGGACTTGAACTCGAATGATCCATTGTATCCGGCCAGGTATCCAGACAAGCCAACCAACATCTTTCCCAGGGGAGGGTGGACATCGAAGTAGAATTCCCGCTTGAGGTAGTGTGAACCAAATTTGCCAAAGCTGAGAGTCGTTAGCAGCGAGCGCAGGCACGAGATCAGTATTGCTTACTGAGCCTCGTCCCAGGTGACAATGGGAGAAAGTCCTATGCGCCAGAGCCTCGTGAACAAGGCAAACGCTGTAAAAATGATTGGGGCAATCAAAAACTCCCAATCATCAAGGAATTGCAGGATGCTCGTTTGCGGCTGGAGACATGTCAGGGTCAGGTTCTGCGTTTCATATTTCCAGTAGGAGCCCAACCTTTTGCAATTTCTTGGTATCTTCAGCCTCGAGCTTGTAAACGTGTTGTCCGTTGGTCTTTTCATAGCTGGCAACATTTCTGCGGCGGAGTTCAGCCTCGTCTTTCCCTGCGCCGGTTGACTGGCCACCATTTGTGATGGCCATGGTTGTAGGATGGGTATGGAGAGGAAAGAAAGGTGTGCTGGACTTGTAGCAGAGAGAAGAGGTGTCTCAAGTTCCCAAAAGCAGTGTAACGGGGAGTCCAGAGAAAAGTAGGTGGAAGGCTGGGCGGGTTGAAAAGTGGCCCTGGGAACGCGTGTCAGGGAAGAAGCGGAAATGATTAAGAAGAGAACGAAAGAATCCCCATTCAAAGGAAGAAGGATGAAAGTGTAAAAGAAGGAGAAACGGTGGCCCTTGGACCAGATGGTCTTAAGGAGAAAATTAATTCAGCTTCAGGAGGAGGATTGGAACCTCGAGTCTGCAAGATGGCAGATGCGCAAGCCCGAGGTGACTTCAGCCAACGTGTCGAGAGCCACCTTGGCACGTCCTGGGAAAAAAGGGAAAAAAGGGGGGAAATCGGGCACTCCACCTGAACCGTTGACACGTGAAAGGGAGATCCAAAAATACTTTCGTAACTACTACTAGTAGTTCTCCAGATATCGCTCATTGTTTTGTCTACTCGGTCTCTGCGTCCAGCCATGCCATCGTTGAATGGCATTCGGTACCCAGATCAGACCAGATTGACGCGGCCGCCATTAGTGTCCACGTCGTCGCGGAACAGATTGCCCGCCTCCCTACAATACCGCACCTCTCCAGTGCCAGTGCTGCCGACTTCGCTGCCCCAGCACACCACCACTGCGTCGACAATGCATGCCAGGACTCCTTCCATTGCACCAAGAATGCCCCAACCTATGGCTCCAGCGACAAGCCCGACAATGTAAGCGTAGAGGCTTCCGCGGACCCCAGCTCCGTCCAGCCTAAGAGTCCGCGCTGTAGTGACCCACCCTCCGAAGCCCAGCGCCAAACACATGATAAATCGTGTCGCATGAAGGAGGAGCTTGGCCAGTCGATATGGAAGAAGAGGGGCGGAATCGTTTGACCAACCGTCATTTCTCCGGCGACGACTGAACGTACCTGGGTGTAAGGCCGTCGTGGCGTCGTTGGGAGCCAGAAAATGCATCTGCGAGAGACCTCTGGCGCTTACAGCCAGAGGCTGAGAATGGATCGCGGCGTAGGTAAGGGTGAGCGGGTTAATCAAAACTGCAATCGGACTAGGGATGAATGAGTACATCGCCACCCCAAGGAGCATCGTCAACCGCCGGGGGAGAACGATCAATGGTAGTCGGACCAGAAGACTCAGGCCAGTGAATAGTGCTATCGTGCCAAAAAGTGTCGTTGCCGAGTGTTGTAATGCAGCTTTCACAATGGCTTGAGGTGTGGGAGCCGGTACTGCCAATCGATGGAAATACCACTGCGATACCGTAGCCGATGTGATGGTCCGCTGCATCCCAAACGCAATGGTGATTGTCCAGAGATATACAAGAATAAAGTACACTCCGAGCCACCATGTTGACGTGTCAATCACAAACTTGCTGATCGTTGACCGAGTCGATGGGTGGCCGCCAAGAAACACTCGGGCGAACATCGACAACCAGATCCATGTGAAGCTGACGATGAAACCCAGGACGGCAAATCCGACCAACACCAGTGTCGGGTTTGCGGCTAGGATTCGAGTCGAGAATTCCAGGATTGAAATCGCCTTTTGCATGACCAGCCTCCCCCGCAAAACCGCCAGAACCCACAGGGTGGCCATGATAGCAGGGACCAGCGAGCTCCATCTCATGACGGTATCCTGGATACTCGAGCCATGCCATGATCCCTGGAAGCTGGAAATCAACGGGTAGAGAGAGAAGGAGTAAAGGATAACAGGGACAGCCACTAAGATGCCGTAAACCAGATATCGAACGTATGATCGGAGGGCTGCAAGCCAAAACAGGGAAACGAAGGTCGCTACAAGGGTATAAGTCGCCAACAGATAAAAAGATCCATGCAAAGTCGTGTAGACGGTGTCACCGAGAGGCCGGTTGGTGCTCGGTGATTGTGTATGAAGTAGGACGAGGAACCAGGTTGCACACATGGCAGCAACCGACAGCAGATAAAGCTGACCCCAGAAAGCATCATGTCTCGGTAGTTGAGTTTGCGGTGTTTGGATGCCATCTGGCACAGATTCCGTTCCGCCAGAGTGATTCCGCGAATGTCCCAGCAGTAGTCTCTGCGTATTTCCTTGGTCTGATTCCTCTGAGTCGTAGTCATCTTCCACCTTAGGCCTTTGTTTGCGCAGTTGCTGAACGGAAGGTGGATTCTCTATCAAATCTTCTGGCGGATCATCGTCATATTCGCTCCTCAAAGTGTCTTCCAGTCCCACGTCGACCATCGTGTTCCTTTCCGATACCGGGCTAGAACGTTCGGGCTGTGATTCTGCTGACTCTGCAAGATCTTCCAGTTCTGTTCCTTTCCGTCGTGGGTTTGGCACGCCACCATGCCATGAGCTCCTGATACCTCCGGGTCTACCCAGACCTCGATCACGGGAATCTTCCCCGTGACTACTGGCGCCATTGAGACTGGAGCCACTCCCAGCATCGACGTCAGAGGAAGCATGCAGATCGCTGGCTCCTAACTGCCGTCTTGATCTCTGGAGGGCATAGTAATCGGCTATCTCGCGTTCGTGCTCCTCTTCGTCATTCTCTTCTCGGAATTCATCAGTAGCGCTGTAGAACAGAGGCGCCTGCTGCGGGTTGAGGCGAGAAGCGAAGGGAAAGGCCGACAGTTGGGAGGAAGTAGGCTGGTAGGGGTTCGGCACGCGGGGATTCAGCGTTCTGGAAGTGGTTGTTGATCTCCAGGTCTGGTTTGGTCTTCGTGTCGCTCGACCTTCACCAGACCGACGGTCGTCCGCTGGTGTCGGCGCGAAACTAAGACGGGACTGAGACTGAGCGAGAAACCGGGATGCGTCTTGAAACATATCAGTACAGGCAGTGAGTGGAGGATGGGTGAGATTCTGGCTCACACTCGGAGAACATGCTGCCCGCAGGCAGTCACCACGCGGTGTATATCAGTCGGTGAGTATACGAGGTTGATAAGCACGAATAATTGATGGTACGAAAGCAGATCCTTTCGATTGACAAATCCAGGCCAGGTGAGTGAGTGGGAAGCTATAATATGTCGTAGATATCTGGGCTGGATGTCCGGTAGCACAGAGACGTGGTGGTGAGTTGGTGGTTTGGAGGTGATGAGTCCAACCTTCAGGTCGGTCGGAAACGGGGAACAAAGACGAAGCAAGCTGGGAACCCGATGGAGGAGTGCATGACCGGCTTGCCTAGCGTAGCGTAGCCTGGATTCGGTGGGTGGCCCGGGCAAGTTCCAGGCTGCGGGACCACCAAAGTGCACAGACTTCCAGGCAGATGGTTACCCGGAAATTCAGGTACACGTTGCAAATGGGCACGCGCTCTCCTCACAAGCTCCAGCAGGCGTGTTCATCGTCATCGGGCCAAAGTCGTTCGCCCGTTCATCATCATCCATCTTTTTGTCACCAGACTCTGTCTATTCCACTTTACCAACGTAATTGCTTCCGAGCTGATTTCTTCACTCAGACATAGGGCTGCCCAAATTTGCTGTCAGCTCAAAGGAATATTGAGGTCCACCCTCTATTACACTACCAGACCTACTCCTACCCTTTCCCATGCCCATCACAACACCAGTCCCTGCGCTTCCGTGGAACTACATAGCAAAATTGGTCTGTATAGGAGATTCCGGTGAGCACCTTTTGATTCCTTGGTAACAATCCCTCTAACAGTCCACAAGGAACCGGCAAATCGAGCTTGACCATCCGGTTATGTGAAGGGAGATTCTCCGCCTCACATGATGTCACTATTGGCGTCGAGTTTGGGAGCCGAATAGTCCCTGTTGGTCCTCCTGCGAATGCATCCTTGAATATCGGCGCTCCGAATGGAGGAGCCAGCCATGCCAGTCCACAACAGCAGAAGAAGATGAAGCTTTCGCTCTGGGACACTGCTGGTCAAGAGACATACAAAAGCATAACAAGAAGTTATTTCCGAGGCGCATCCGGGGCATTGTTAGTGTTCGACATCACGCGAAGAAGCAGTTTCGAGTCGGTCACTCAGTGGCTCAACGACCTTCGTCAGATTGCCGAGGAGGGCATCGTTGTTATTTTGGTGGGCAACAAGCTAGACCTTGCCGAACAGAGCACCGACGCGCAGGGCGGCACCAAGCGGGCAGTGAGCCGAGAAGAGGCACAGGACTGGTGTCGGCGAGAAAACGTGGTCAAGTACGTCGAGACAAGTGCTAAGAGCGGGGAGGGAGTCGAAAAGGCGTTTCTCGAGGTGGCGGAAAGGATATATCAGAATATTGAAGCCGGCAAATATGACCTCAATGACAGAAGAAGCGGAGTCAAAGGATATGGGACTGGGACCGGTCGAGATGAAGGCAAGGCTCCCAAGACAGTCAACCTGACCATGAACGACGCCGTCAAGAGTGGGCAGGGTAGAGGTTGCTGCTGAGGCGATCTTTGTCACCGATGGGTTTCGTGGGAGAACGGCTGTCTTGTCCACCGCAGAAGCTGAGCCATGTCCGTCAACCAGGAGATCCGACCATCAGAAAAGAAAATGTCGGCCCCGGTGGAATTGCCTGAGATGGCAGTTGTGCAATTCACGCGGTTGTCAGCGGTGGGCGAAGCCCTGTTGTACCAGGCGGCCATGATGGAGGGTCTGGCGCGCATTTCGCTTGTTGGACTTGAAGCCTTGTCATGTTGGTAAGTGATGCATGGCACTGTTCGACTGGGATTCCCGAATTCACCTTCCTGTTCCGTCCAAATTCAGCTCTGGTGGTTCTAGCTGAGATGCTGACAAACCACGAGGACATCTGGCACAACGCGTCGCTATTAGCGAGTTGGGCACGTCATTGAGAACGGGCATCATACCATTCGACGGTGCGTCTGGAGATGCACGCTTCGGCCATCTTCTGCCCCACCAGCCGCAATCGGTAAATGTCCACGAACTGCTGCTCGGGCTTTGGGCCGGTGGGATGCGTCGAAGTCATCACTTGCCCTCGTCGAACCTAGAGACGATTCTTTTATCAGAGCGTACTTCGACGCTTTCATCTTTTCCCCTGTATATATGATCCGCTTCTCATCACCTGCGGTTGCCATATCTCGCTTGCATCGGCTGGGCAATCATCAGACCACAAGTTTTCTATTCTCACGAGTGAATTCCCGAACATTCACATCCTCATCTCCTGCAATGGCTAAATTAGACATCAAAATCCCTAATATGGAGCTGCCAGATGGCAACAAGATACCATTCGTAAGTAGGGCGTGGCCTCTCGTCGTCCAGAACAGCGTCGCTAACAACAGGGCGTTGCTCAGATTGGATACGGCTTGGGCACAGCATGGTGAGTCCGATCGCGGCGGTGGTTTACCTCGGGCATTGTAATCGTTCCATTTCCGGATGGAGGTTGATGTACTCGAGTACATGTTCCTACACGCAGTTACAACACCTGGTTCAATGAGGATGATTTCACATCTCATGGCAAGTCTCGCACTGATGGCTGACCACGACTCGGGCTCTGCAGGTACAAGACCAGTGCGGATGCTCCCAAGGACCAAGCAACGATCGATGCCACGAAAACCGCCATCAAGGTCGGCTATCGACATATCGATGGAGCCGAAGTCTACAACACTGAAGTGGAATTGGGCGAGGCGGTCAAGGAGAGCAAAATCCCCCGCGATCAGCTCTTTATCACGACCAAAGTCATCACGCATATCGACGACATCCCAGGTGCCATTGACCGAAGTCTGAAGAACATGGGGCTGGATTACGTTGACCTGTACCTCATCCATGCCCCCTTTTTTGCCAAAGGCGACGACAAGCTGCTCCAGCAAAAATGGGCGGACATGGAACAGGTTGCAGCTTCGGGCAAGGCCAAGAGCATCGGAGTCAGCAACTTCCTCAAGCCTCACCTGGATGCTATCCTTCAGACATGCAAAGTTCGACCGGCGATTAACCAGATTGAATTCCACCCCTACCTGCAGCACGGAGACCTGCTTGCTTACCACAAGAACAAAGATATCCGCGTTGCCGCCTACGGACCACTTACCCCCGTCAGCAGGGCCAAGGGAGGCCCGGTCGATGGCTTGTTAGAAGCATTGGCCAAGAAATATGCCGTCAATCCGGGAGAGATACTGTTGAGATGGTGCATTGACCAGAATGTTCTGCCCATCAGCACCAGCTCGAAGGAACAACGGATGAGTGACATGCTGCGAGTCTTTACTTTTGAACTGACTCCGAAAGAAGTCGAGGAGATTTCTGTGGAAGGCAACAAGAAGCATTTTAGGGCATTCTGGGGCCATATCTTTGACGCGGAGGACCGGTCATAGGTTAGATGACTGCGTGGCTGGGAGCACCACAGCTTCGGCAGCGGAGCCCACTACCCCTCGATCGCCGGGTGGTATGTGGATTGTCTTGTCGATCATGATGTAGCTTGGCTGTGGAGAGCCCCCTGCTCTCGCTTGAGACAGTGATGGGTAACAAGCAAGTATACAAGTACCTCGTACTCTGTAAGAGGCCTTTTCCGCGTCAGCGATGGATTAGGGATGAGGGACGAGTGACAAGTGACAAGTGACAAGTGACCATCACATGTAGAACATGGTCTGCAGCTAAGCAGCAACGGCGGTTAAGCATGTCTTAAGTAGCAGCATCCGACTCGTCACGAAGCCGACATCCGAACGATGCGGGTGCGCAAGTAACGGAGCAGCAATCCACCTTTGCTGACTTTGCTGGCCTGGTTGGTGGCTGTGTTCGCATCTCGCATGCCTCTTCTCCAGACAAATTGCGGCCCATGCACGCCATCGACACGGCAAGAGGCACAAGAGCAAAACTATGCTCGCTTCGTCCTCCCTTCAACCCCTCAGAAACATCATCTCCATCACCATCATCATCATCATCATCACCATCGGCCATTGCCACCCCTCCGCTTGCTATCCACATTCCAATGCCATCCGCCTCGCCGCCTGTCCTCTTCTGTGGCCGTAGCTTCCGCTGGAGAAATGCCTCGGTGAGGGCCTACCGCATGATCGACTTTGCCAGAGCTTCCTCAGCTGCTACCTCGTGGCTAGTCAGGTACCATTGAACGAAAGGCAAAGACGAGGTAGGAGCCTCCCGTCGAAATCCTCAGCTTTAAATTCCTCGCTCGCCCATCCTCCTCCGTCAACACTTCTCTCCATACTCTTCAGTTCACATCTTCACTTTGCCACACTTGACTTACCACCAGTGCATTCGTTCTACTACTGTGTACCAAAGTATCTCATTACTCCAACACCCCATCATCCCATCACCCCATCCACGCCAAACTCCGGCAGCTCCGTCACATCCAGCGTCATGCATTTCTCCGCCCTCCTCACCGTCGCCCTCCTCTCCATTTTCAACCTCACTTCAGCGTCACCTCTCCAGACCAGACAAACCATTGATCCCCCTGCCAGATACTTCCTTCAAACCAAAGTGGTCAACGGTGCTCACAAAGACTGCGGAACCAACAAGACCAACTTGTGGCTCTACTCATACCATACCGGGGCAGGGCTTGGTGATGCAGCACTCTCGTCCAACAAGTCCTGGGCTTGGCAGGGCTACCTGAACGACTCCCAGCAACTCATGACCTACTCTGGCAATCTAGGTGGTCCTTGGCCCCTGTCGATCGGCTACGGCCCCTATCAACGTATGTGCACCTTTGCCTCCCCCCACCACACAATTTCCAATGCTAACATCCGGGTCTCAGAATGGAACCAGGTGGGAATCAGTATCGCCGGCATCACTAGCCTTTATGCTGGTTTCTTCTTCAACTCGTCTGGGCTCCAATTCAATGCCAGCACCGGTGGCTGGTTGGGTGAGTCCTCCCTCTGCGTTGATCAAGGCATCTGAAACCCACTGACCGTGTTTGCAGCTTGCGACTGGTGGCATGGCGTGCCCCAGCTCTTCCAGGCCAATGGCTACGCTTACGGACCCCTTCCGAACTCCTGCTCCAAAGTTCAACTTCAGCCGGTGGCAGTCTGATTGATGTCTTGCACTTGTCTCTTTTCCACGGCCTGACAAAAGCAGAAGGCTAGAGTGGGCCGCATGTTGTTTGGTATTGTTCAAGCATTGCATTGGGCTGGGTTCATGAGCATTGAAACAGGGGCTTGCATTGGGCAAGCGGTAATCATCTGTATCACCAACCAATCATAATATTTTGTTCCAAGGTTCTGTTCGTTGCTCTCTCCTGTCTCTCCATGTTTGTTTTCAATGTTCGTCTCTGGGCATTCCTGCCTACCGTTCTCGGGCAGTCCACACATAGCGGGTTCAAGAATGGCCATTTGCGCCTTGCACCAGAGCACTTGGGCACCTTCTTACGAGAAGCAACAATCTCTCTCGGCGTACCGGATTCGGTCACATATCAAGATGGTACATCCTGTGGGGCACATTTCTTTACAGTCAATGCTCGCTTGGCAGTGAGGTGGTCTACAGACTTGGTCCACCCACTTACTTACCTGTAGGGCCTCATGATGTCCCTCTTCTTGCTATCAGTCTAAACCGCCAACTTCCAGATCAGGTCAGGAGTCCCTTGGTAGGAGCTGGGCGTTACAGGCGGGTCGTTTAGCTCCAAGAACGGTGATGTTGTCTGAGGAATATCAGCTCTTAAATGCTCAAGCAGAGCATACATCTGAGTGAGCCCAGACACCAGCGCCAACCGTCCCCATTCACACTCCTTCAATAAGTCTTCAGGATCTCCTATGCTGAGGCTTCGACGAACAGCCTCGAAGCTGCACTTATACATTGACGGATGCTGAGGAAATTGATGGACGAGGATGCCGAGGCGGACACTCCGCATTTCTTCATGCCGGCAATGTTTGTCGACATTCATTTGAGTTGGACCCATGGCAGGAGACCGATCTTTGTCTACAAAAACATTTGGGTCGCACGTATATTGGGGTATGTGGAACGAGGTCGATCCATACATCTGGCTGCTTGCGGGAAAAGAGACCACCCCAGACGCAACAGATGGGCACAAGCATCATGCGAGTGCGGTCTGTTTGACATGTGGATCAACGGGCAGAATGCCTACGACCCCATAGCATCGCGCCAGACGCTTCTTTTTGATGCCCTTACCGCCGTATTTCGAGGGTAGCCTGCAGGAGCTGCTATTCTATGCCAACGCACATTTATGGTTCTTCTTGTAGGTGCGACAGCGAGGTGGGAGAGCGTTCTCACAGGCAATGTCGGCACGCGAAGAGGAAGCCCAACATTAAGGGGCCTGCTTTCGGCGAATGTTGGGTCTAGCCCGCACAGAATTGATAACAGCCTCGCCGAGGACTCGCCGAACAACATCGGCAGGGGACTTCATGGACAAGCGGTCGGCGAAGACCCGTCGCGCATGTTGTTCAACGCGTTCTTTACGAGACAGACAAGGATGATGGGGCATCTTAAGTCGGGGAGCAAGTGGTTCCGGTCCTGAGGCTGTTCGCATATGAAGATACGTGATAACCGCACGGTAGCCGGTGGTCCTGGAGAAGTATAGGGGCCCAGTTGGATGGTTTGAAAAGCATGGTTGGACCGGAGGGACGTGTAGAGCCGCCGGGCCGTGGAGCTGATGATGGCTGAGATGAGCATTGATAGTGCCGAGGCCGAAGCATGGGCGGGCTTTGATATTCAGCCTCGTGAGGGGCGGCGGCTATGGTGATTGGTGGGATGCGGGGATGACGACAAACTCGGCATCTACTCCCCGGGCTCTAGTCGTGGTATGAGACCAAATGCTGACAATTACGAGATAGGCGTGAAGGAAGGCTTGAGTAAACACTCCCTATCTCATCCTCAGGCCTCTTCTAGAGTCGCCCGTCGGCCCTTCTGATGCTCCGCGCTCTCCAGACAAAAGCCCACATCTCGCCTGCCCACGTCGCCAGCCTCAACAGTCAAACCGCCCGCCGGACCATTAGAATGGACTCGCATCTCCATCCCCTCCAGGGGCTCTACAAGCCCAACAACCTCAAGGGACTCTACTATGGGCCGGACGTGGTCAAGAACCACATCCTCTCGGTCCTGCCCACCGAGACGTCCAAGGCGTTCATCATCACGGGCAACTCCCTGGCCAACAAGACGCCGCTCATCAAGGCGCTCGAGGAGCTGCTGACCAAGGACCACCACGCGGGCACGTTCAGCAACATCCGAGAACACGCGCCGGTGGCGCAGCTCGACGAGGCCACCGCCATCGTCAAGAAGGACAGCACCATCGACACCATCATCTCCGTGGGCGGCGGCTCGCCCATCGACAGCGCCAAAGCCATCGCGTACCGGGTGCACGAGACCTCGCAGAAGTGGCTCCTGCACATCACCATCCCGACCACGCTGTCGGCGGCCGAGTGCACCGCCATCGCGGGCTACACGCAGGCGGACGGCACCAAGACGGGGATCAGCCACCCGAACACCTACCCGGCGTACATCTTCTACGACCCGAAATTCGCGCGCTACACGCCGCCGCACCTGTTCCTGTCGACGGGGCTGCGCGCCATGGACCACGCCGTCGAGAGCCAGTACCACCCGACCACGACGTGGGTGCCGTGCCGCCTCGTCGCGCTGAACGCCATCACCGAGCTCTTCCGCCTGCTGCCCAAGTACAAGGCGGACCCGACGGACGAGGACGTGATCACGGGCCTGCTCCTGGCCGCGTACGCGTCCCTGGGCTTCGTGGGCCAGAACCTCAAGGGCGGCCTGGGCCTGTCGCACTCGCTGGGCTACGCGCTGGGCTCGCCCTACGGCATCCCCCACGGCATCACCTCGTGCTTGACCCTCGGGCACGTCGTCAAGCTCAAGGCGCGCCAGAGCCCCGAGAACGCCGAGAGCATCGCCGCCATCTTGCCGTACATTGGCGGCGGGGAGAAGCGGTCCGGCGACAACGTCGAGGACAGCGACCGCGTCGGAGACCGCATCTTGGGCCTGGTGCAGGACCTCGGGTTCAAGACGACCCTCACCGAGAAGGGCGTCGGCAGGGACCAAATCGACATCATCTGCGCGAGGGCCACCGGCGGCCTGATGCCCCAGAAGGAGAAGACCACGCAGGACGCAGAGCTCCTCAAGGCGGTGAGAGGGCTGGTGGAGACGTTGTGGTAGAGTGATGCAGAGGGTTTGATATATTTCGTTATTACCAGTCTCAAGTAGCAGTAAAAGTATACAAGTACCTCTAAACCAAAAAAAAAGGCAGGTATCAATGTGCTGTCACATGAAAGGACCAGTTGGGTCTATTACATAGCGTCTAGTTACTGTTTGAATTGAAAAAAAACAACAAAAGGAGCTACGATGAGCAGCAAAGGATCATAGACACAACCCTCGCCTTGCTTCTGAATTATTTTATACCCCTGTTCTCCTTTCTTGACCTTTCCTCAGCTCCATGTCGTCGTCGGCCACCCACCCAGAGTCGAGGCAGTCCCCCAGCCTCCACTACGCGAGGAAGCAGAAGCGGAAGCAGGATAGGTGTTGACACTGCTTCCATCCGTAACGCAAGTCGACCCCAGAGAGCTGGAGGTGGAGGAAACGACCGCTGAGCTCGACATGCTCTGCGCAGTTGGAGACCCCGACGCCGCACCGGTCACGCTCGTCGCACCCCCAGCAGCACTACTGCCACCGCTAGTAATGCTCGTCTCTGACCCGGTCCCTGACTCCTGCCCCGCAGGCACCGCGTACGGCCCGATTCCCGGCCTGGGGAACTGGGGCGAGCCGTCGACGTCGCTGAAGGAGAAGCGTTGGGCGCGGATGGTGCGCGCGGTCCAGCCCTCGCGGTAGTCGCGCATGCCGTGGTAGACGATCCAGTGCTCGGACCCGTCGGGGCTGGTGGTGAAGCTGGCGTGGCCGACGCCGTAGACCTCCTCGTCCGGGTTTTGGGCGAAGACGCAGCCGGCCGTGTGTTTCGTCCAGGACGCCGCGTCCAGGGGGTCCGCGCCGCCCGCCGCCAGCTCCAACTGGCCCAGGCAGTAGTTGCGGTTGTCGCTGCGTGCGGCGCTGTAGATGATAAACACCTGGCCCGTGGCCGGGTTGGTCAGCTGCTGGGGCCCCTCGTTGGAGGCCAGCCGCGCGTTGACGGTGCGGTTGTACGGCGTCTGCTCCCAGGGCTGGTCCGGGCGCGAGATCACCGTGCGCGACGAGGGCGGGCCCGGCACCACCATCCACGGGTTCGCCAGGCGCGTGATGCACAGCATCGACGGCCACGACACGTACTGCGCCTCCCAGCACGAGTACACGTGGTACAGCCCCGTGGCGTGCACCAGGTACGTCCCGTCGATCGCGAACTGGTTGTACGTGTCCAGCTCCGCCTTGACGCTGTACTCGCTCCCCCACGGGTCGGACGTCGACGACTCCAGCACGAACATCCGGTGGTTCACCGCCGGACAGCTGAAGTCGCAGTACATGTCCTGCTCCGGGGATGGCGTGTCCGCGTCCACGTCCGCCGTGAAGATGATGTACCATCGCCCGTCCAGCATGTGCAACTCCGGCGCCCACAGGTCGTAGCTGTACGACGTGTTCGCCGGCGGGCTGAAGGCTAGTTTCACCTCGGCGTTGTTCCAATCTCTGCATAGTCAAAAATCATCATCAGGTTAGCTGGGTTACAGAATGAGGGACGTCAATGCGGCTGTGTTTGTTTCTTTCTCCATAGTGGGGCGCCCAAATGGGAGCATCATAGCTGGTCTTGGACTTACGTGAGGATGCTGCTCCGGAGGATTGTGATGTTGTCGTTGGTTGTGTATGTCATGTAGTAGTAGTTTTCGTAGCGAATCACCCATCTAGCAACAAAATGTGAGCACTTAGTTAGTCCACAGGCTGCTTCTAGGGATCCACGAGAGAGTTCAACGCACGGATCTGCCCCCACAGTGTTGAGGATGGGATTGGTGTATGTAGCCCCATTTGCCGTCGAGGTCGTGGTTTGCCCTTGACACGGATTGATCAATAGGATAGCGAACAGAAAAGCAGAAGCAATAAACGCCATTGGGCGTTCCAGTGCCAGTGCAGCGTGGAGAGCTTAACAAAACGAGAGGATATGAAAGAACCAGGGCAGCCTTTCGTTTCCTGAGATGTCTTGTAGGTAGCAGATCAAGGTGCTGTTGTGCCCGCATTGAGGTAACATCCAGCCACTCGTGGTGGAGCATATTCCTTGTCCGGCTTCGAGATCCTGGAGCAAGTGCGGAGTAGGTGATGGACAAAGGACGGCGATCACCATACGCAGGCAGATCATGACTCTGATCATACACTGACCTCACCGTGCATATTGCATTTTGCATATGGGGGCCGAGGTCCTCAACATGTGCAGGCATATAGAACTTTTGAGCATATTCTCGGCTGGGAAGGGATTGAGACTCGTCCACTCGCCCATCTGCGAGGCTATATAAATCTCACAGAGAAGCTCGAAGCTGGTCATCAACGGGTTTGACCTCGACCAACAGCTTGCCTGGACCTCATTAGCCAAAATACTCTCCACAGAATACTCACAAGAAAGAGGAGGCTCACCTGTGTTCACCCCATTGTACAAGTCCCTCAAGGCGTTCTCTGCCTGATCCAAGCCGCCCTTGACGATGGTCTCTTTCCTCTTGATCTTGCCCTCTGACAGCCACTGGGCTAAATCTCTCAGGGCTCGTGGGTATTCCTTTGCATAGTCGAAAACAATGAAGCCTTCCATGCTGTAGACTTGTTTAGTCCAGAGATTGAGGCCAGACAATCACGATGCCTTACCGGATTCGCATAGAAACAATCATGAGATAGTTCTGAATATCGTCAGCTGGGAGTCACTCTTGGCGAAGTGAAGCACCAACCTTTGGTCCCTGGGGTTTAGAGGAGTTGTACTGGCTGATACCTGCACAAAATCAGTGAAGTCCTCTCGTTAAGATCAGAGGACCACATACCTCCGCACATGACAAAGCGAGCGTGTGGCTTTGCTCTCGAGAGAGCCATATCGAGTATCTCGCCGCCAACTAAGAAAAATAATGTGAGCAAATATCAATTCCTTGCAGCGAGTTCACTCACCGTTGTCAAAGTAAACATCAATCAAGTCCTGCTTCAAATCAGCATAAGCTGTCTTCTCACAGCACCGTCGCACTCCCAGGAGAAAAATACCTTTGTGGCAGCTCTAAACTTCTTGAAGAATTCCTTGTCTTTGTAGTTCAAAGCATTATCGAAGCCCAACTCCTCTGTTAGCCAGCGGCACTTGTCTTCGCTGCCGGCAATGCCCAAGACAGTTGCGCCCTTGAGCTTGGCGATTTGACCAACAACACTGCCTGTTGCACCTGCAGCTCCTGAGACAACAACAAAGTCTCCTGCTTTGACCTTGCCGACATCAATGATGCCGAAGTAAGCTGTTAGCCCAGTCATGCCTGGAAGATGCCGGTGTTAGCGCAATTCCATGGCATTGTTTTCTGCCTCAGTGGTCTCATACCCAGAACACTCAATCCATCGGTCAATCTCCCACCCTTGGGGACGACTACCCTCTGCAACTCGTTCCCTTTGCAAATCTTGTATTCGGTCCATCCCGCTGTGGCTGTTGCAAAGCTACCAACCGGGAACTGAGGGTTCTTGCTGGCCCTGACCGTCCCGATGCAGCCGCCTCGCATGACCTCCCCGATCTTCACGGGCGGAATATATGACCTGGTGTCGTTGAGCCAACCCCGCATCGCAGGGTCGATACTGAGATAGTTGGTCTCGAAGAGCACCTCTCCATCCTTGAGATCATTGGCGGAAGGAGTCGGGTTGCCGGTGACAAGCCTGAATGTCTCGCCGGGGACAATGTTGTCCTTGGGCCGTTTGGCGAGGACCACCGTCTTGTATGTTGGAGCCATACTCGATTGGCTGATTGGTGTCAGGGTAAGCAGAACCTTCGCTGGACCTTGTACAGATATTTCGGGGGGATTCAGCTCCTGTGATGGTGCTACAGTTGATTTTTCGGTCGAGAGAAGTGTGGCAAAAGAAACTCAAGGAGGGTTTCTTGGTCAATGACAATTCATGAATGTTGTTTACTCATTACTCCGTCTTGGTGGATGCTTGACATGCATGACAGGATCGAAAGGGTGGAAAGTACCTCGGTTCTGAAACGGTGAATCATGGGACGTTAGCCGCAGTTTTATACAGAGGAGCATGTCAACCATACGCGATATTGGATATCCTCAGTCTCTCCCCTCCCTTTGACAGTACCTCAAATATGACCCTTTGGATTGCAGAAGATCGGCTCTTTCAAACCTTTACACCAGCTAGTGGCTGGCAGTGGATAAGTACAACCTCTCCAATGGACCTCTCGACACATCAACCTGGTCCACAAAATCGTCGGACACCGAAAGCGATGGGCGGACTGAGGAACCAAGAGCTGACAGTCTCCGGTTTGCTCTGATAAGAGGAAGACAATCTCCAAGGTAGTGAGAGAGCCTTCGCATCACCGAATAGTACGCCCGCAGTCTTGTTCGTCTGGAATATATATTCCGACCAATTTGCGGTAGATTCACAAACCCCTTGGGAGAAAGACAACGTTGACACGAGCATCTGGTGAGCTTGCCTCCTGAATAAGAGAGGGGATCGCTCCATACCGGCAAATGCTATGTTGTGCGCAGCCATGTTCTTCGAAGAACTAGATTCAAGGAACGCAACACCATCAATGGCAGAACAGAGACGGGAGGAAACATGTCGGTTTCGATAGACACGGCTATTGTCCGGTATCGGATTCCTTCTGCCGGCGTCTTGCCCGTCCAACTTCCCCATGCTGTTATTCCCCTCATAGAAGTCCAGCGCTCGAATATATCAATATCTATATCCCACATACGTACTCCTGCTGGCGTGAGGTAGCGCCGTGCCACGAACAGTTGTGATATCCTTTCCAGACCCTTTCAGCAACAACTCGCAAAAGGGTGATGGCAGAAAACGCATCTCACCTAAACGGCACAGCCAGCGTCTCAGGGCAAGTACCAATTGAGACAACCGAGGTCCCTACCTATACAATCATTCAGGCGGACGGTGTCTACCCTGTATGCTCACAGTGTCTAAGGAGCCATGCGTGCTTCTGGAGCGATGTTCAACTGATACATGCAACATAGGACGACGTCGTGGAACAGCCAATCTTCACGGCAAACCCAACCCATGCCTACAAGTTGAACTATGTCTCAACCAATCTGTTTCCGACCGGCACGCCGCTGCCGAAACCATGGTCGTCCATCCCCAAGGACTTGAGGGACCAAGTCGACGGCATCATGGTGTTGAAGATGGGGTTCACGGCCGCCGATGTCGAGTTGTTCCCGAAGCTGAAAGTGTGAGTGCCATTGCCTAAGGCTGCCCATGGTCCGAGTTTCTCGGAGATGCTGTTAGTGACTGAAAGCTGACACGGACTGTTCAATTGTTGATTAGCATAGTCCGAATGGGCGTTGGATATGATCGACTGGATCGGGTCGCGTTGGCGAAGAAGGGCGTCACTGTCTGCAACGTGCCAGGTTCGGCTCTCTGATTTTCTTCCTCTCCCTCCATCTATCCCGACACGTCTTGAATCCGGCGTGCTCACTCTTTGTCGCGGCGACAATCTAGACTACGGCACGGCCGAAATCGCAGACCACGCGCTGGCCCTGTCGCTCTCCCTGCGGCGCGGGGTCCTTTTGCACCACGACCGCCAGCGCCAACCGTACGTCTACCCGTGGATGTACATCGACACGCCGCTGGTGTCGCGCATCCAGCAGGCGACGTTTGGCATCCTGGGGCTGGGCCGGATCGGCACGGCGGCGTGCCTGCGCGCCAAAGCGTTCGGGTGGAACGTGCTGTTCTACGACCCGTACCTGCCTAACGGCGTCGACAAGGCCCTGGGCATCGAGCGCACCAAGGACATCGCCGAGCTGTTCCGGCGGAGCACCAACCTCAGCATTCACTGCGCGTGCACCCGCGAGACCCGCGGCATGATCTGCTGGGACTTGGTGAAGTTGATGCCCCGCGGCGCCGTGCTGGTCAACACGGCGCGCGGCGAGGTCCTGCAGCTCGACGCCGTGGAGCGCGCCCTGCGCGAGGGCATCCTCGCCGGCGCGGGCCTCGACGTCCTCCCCGAGGAGCCCATCCCGGAGCACAACGTCCACCCGCTCATCCGGGCCTACCGGGAAAAGGAAGAGTGGCTGCTCGGCAGGATGGTCTTGACCTGCCACACGGCCTTCTACAGTCCGCAGAGCTTCGTCGACATTCGGGTCAAGAGCGCCCAGACCATGCGCGAGGTCTTGATCGACGGCTTGCAGAGCAACGTCATTACACCAGATATGCTGTAGCAATGGAGAAAATGTGACTGAACATATGTGCCACCTGTGCTATTCTGGCGATCGTGTTTTGTCGTCTTCATTATCTTCGTCGTCGGATCATTATATACTGTGAGTGCGTATGTACATTTCCGTCTCTCCCCGGATAGTCCGCCGCCGTCGGAACATTGCCATCAAGTACTAGGCTTTGTGATTCTGTGCCGTGGTCACCACTTCCTCAGTCCTCCGCGTTTCTGCCTGGCACTCCCGCTAAACAGAGTCCCGTCGTAGTCGGTCCCGTTGTTGGGGTAGTCGATGGTGTAGTTCCCGAAGCAGACGTAGTCGTAGTTGCTCGCGTCGTAGGCGCTGGCCTGGCTCGTCAGGAACGAGCTCAGCGGACACAGCCCGTCGCTGCGGTTGCCACAGTAGCCGCCGCGGATGGTCGACAAGGGCAGGATGCCGTTGTTCAGCCGCATGCGGATGAACTTGTGCGTCGCGTTGCTGGGGTTGTACCCGTACTGGGTCGGGTAGTATTGCGTCTGCGATGCGTTCTTGGGCGTGGGACTGCCGGACCCGCACCCAATCACCTCCGTCACCAGTCGCGCCGAGAAGGGCGTCAGGTGCGACAGGATGAAGTGCCGGTTGGGGTCCGGTGGGTATTGCGTCAGGGACGGCGGGTCGCGGAGGTAGTCGAGCGAGGCCGCCGTGAGCACCGAGATGATGATGTCGTCGTGCGAGAAGTCGGCGTACAATTTCTGGTGCAGCGGAAATGTCCGCGAGTTGTTGGTCAAGCTGCTGTTGACGCTCGAATTGGAGGACGTGATGTACTGGTTCTGCAGCCGCGCCAGCAGCTCCTGCAGATAGCCGATACCCTGTGCCCTTCCCGTCGGGTTGCCGTACGAGTAGTCGTAGTAGTACTCGATGTCCAGCGTGCTCTCGAACCCGGACCATTCGTCTTCGGTGAAGAGAGTGCAGAAGTCGGATTGGCCCAGATAGTTGGACTCGTACGCGCAGATGCTCCTAGTTTGTGGTGAGCACGGGGACGTTCTCAGTGCCAACCGGGTAGTACTTGACTTACTGCATGGCGTATGTATCGTTGAGAGTGAGGTTAAACCCGTTTGGAATGTATTGAGATAGCCGGTCTTGTGCATCAGACAGGTAAAGTGGCAGGTAGCTCAACAAATCTAGATCCCCGAGATACCCAGTGACTGGATCGTAATCATTGAAGCAGGAATCGTACGACGCCAGGGTATTATTCTCGGTTCCGCCCTCGGGGATGATGACAAGGTTGAATGGGCTGGTGAAATTGGCGAGCGTCTGATCTGGCGTGGGCTGGTAACTGGGTCCGAAGAATCCCAATGCCCAACTGATCTGTGTATTCTGGATCCGGGATTGGCTTGTTGTCCTCAATGTCAGCTTCGGTCGGTCGGTACCATTGGCGTAGGTTGCGTTGTACGCGACCTGGCCTTGAGTAGCGTTAAAAAGCGTGCGGCCATATCGGTTCCAGAAAGTGACACCAGCCATAAAAGACTGGGAAGCACCAATGCCAGTGAGATAGTCTTGTGCGAGGTCATAGCGGTACGAATTCAAGAAGCTGAGGGGGCCAGTGAATTGGGACGAGGAATTGGTTCGAGTCCAGTTCATCACCTTACCGGCGAAGTTGGCATCGTTCTGCCCGTCGTCAAAATAACTACCGGGGAAGCGAGCTCCATGGCGTTGCAGTAGATGAGCCTGCTCGACTTGACATCCATCTGGCAGACCAACATCGCTCACTCCAAAATAGTCCTCGGCATTGTCCGCATAGGGTGTGATCTCCCCCCAGTATTGCTGGATGATGCTGATGTCAGTGAGGACGTCCGAAGACGAGTTTGTGCTCGTCTGTCGCCGTTGGCGAGGGGTGGGAGACGAGGCTGCTAGAGACGGGAGGATGGCCAGGAGAGCCAAAGGGAAATGCATTGTGCTTCTCTATCCAGGTTAGCCCTGCAGGAAAAGGACCAAATGGTAGAGGAGGGAACATGGTAGCAAGGTGGAGGAGAGCTTTCGAGCTCTTGTACCACTGCGCTGGGTGTCTGGAGCTTGCCGGGCGCTCTGGTGACGACAACAGAAGCATGCTATCTGTCCCTAGTGCACCTACTAAGCTTGCAGGAAGCTTGTAGAACCTTTCGTCGAATAGAAGGGCTGGTCTGTGAGAAGCAAACCTGGAGGGGAAGCACAAGTCCGTGCCCGGTGGTTGGTTACGAGAGGGGATTGCGGGCAGGAGGATCTGCTAGCCGATGATCTAGGACGACAGAGGAGGTTGCATTGAGGACGAGTAGCCGTCTAGATAGGCACATAGGTAGGAATGGGGCAATTCTTGGGAGAATGCTTGTCCTGCTCCTCGGCTCAGCCTGCTCCGTGGGTTCTGTGATCGATCTACACGTGGCTGACGAGTCCCGACCGATTTGCAAGTTCGTTACTGAGTCCAACGCCTCTTGATGCATCGGTGCTTATCTGATAATCTCTGGCGTCGGTGGCACAGGTGGGTGATGGCAGGTACAGCATCAAGGATTGGATCCAAATGCACGCGGTGGGTCGACGCAGTCATGATTCTATGGCATTGTCTGAGTATAATATCCATCCGAGTGTGCCTCCTCTTTCCGCTGTCGGATGCCTTGAGGCTAGTGATCGCACAGCGCTTCCTTCTGGATGGGTGCTGGCGACCTCAGCTTCATCTTCGTTGTACTCTCCTGCTTCCGTCTGCGACACTCGGTGTGATTGTGGTGACCTTCAGGATGTTCTTCCGCTCGACGAGCTTGCAAGGGAGATCTCCAAGTCAACTGCGCGTATCCTCTGACGGCCGTGCCACAGTCACTTCGCCCGTGAAGGCAGCGAGAACACCTCCTGTAGGGTGATCTCCGTGAAATGAATCTGAATCGACGATTGCGTGGAGTCGGTCAGTGGGAGACTCTGGCGGGGCATAGGTTTCTCATCTCCATTGTCATTGCTCTCAGAGACATCGGTGTATAGGAGTAGGAGACATTCAGATGTTGGAGGGAACAGAGCATCCAACAAGTGACAACCATCACCAATACAGAATGAGTACTCGGTACCCCGTAGAAAATAATAGTCGAGTGGTAAGGCGAAGATTCTTGGGTTGGTGGACGCCAGTTTGCCGGAAACCGATTTCTTGTCCCGGCAAATGAAACGCAGCCACGCCAGACTCGCCGACACCCTCCCGCCCTGCACATCGCCTTGCTGCTCCTTCGCCATATTTTGTCTTGTCCTGGACTTTTCGGCATGCACGAAGTTGGGCTGTGGTCTCATCGTTGGCTCGAGTCCATATCCTGCATGCCACGATCCCTTGCCCTTGGGTTGCAAAGCTCAATGTTAGTCCCCCGTCAGCAAGCATCCTCCTCGTTGCTGAACTCTGTGCCCGCGCTGCGTCTCTGAAGGTTGGTTTTGTCTCATACCACCATGATTGCGATGATGCGTTGTTTGTCTTGAGATCCCGGAACATGGATGCTCGAGCAGACACGTCGTCGGGCCGCTTTGGAGGGCAATGGGCTTTTCTTTCCACTCCTCCACACCATGGATCAAGGTCTCTCCCGCCCTCCTCGAGCTACCTACGAAGTGACCGCAGCAATGTTTCTCCTCTACCGACCGCCCTGCACTTCCACCAGCTCAATGCATCTCGCTCAAGCCTAACCAGGCATGTCCAGACCCCGTCCGTCGGGGGTCGCAGCTCGACTACAACTATCCCTTCTCAACCCGTCCTCGTTCGTGTCCACTCCGACGATGCCTCCCTCCAGATCCGCCCACCAAGGCCGCGGTCCAAACAGGGCACCATGAATAACGAGCTGCCCCCTGCCCACGAGTTTAGCTTTCGAGGGATCTTGGCGGCAATTGAAGAGGACATCGAAGAAGACATCAATGCGATATCCGAAATATTCGGGAGGAGCAGGCTGGTGCTGGCAGATCAGCACGACAGCCACTTGCCTCCCCAGGGCGAGATCAGGGCCATGAGCAGCCCTTTACAGGCCGTGGCTGAGGCAAGCGCAAGCAATGAGCGCCTGGCAGCCGCCGCTGACGATGTCGTTATCCTCCGAGAAGATGCAAGCCTGGTCGACGGCAGTCACACTGGCTCCGCCGCCTATGGCTTGCTTGAGAGACTACAAGCTGTTCCACGCACCAGGCGCATGCGGAGCGAGACCGCGGGGGCAGGTCCCTCGAGGCCGGGAACAGGTTCCATGCGCCATGCTTCGGCGCCCGCGATTCTATCGGATGTGCAGCCTGTTGTTGAAGATCATGAGCGCCTTGCGCTACCTGGATTGTCACGCTCGTCTCGCCGGTTGCTTCAGAGCTCTTCAGCGGAGCATGAAGTAGAAGAAACGCCATCCAGAGCAACCAATGCTGTTGTATCAGAAACATATCTGTCTGCCGGCGCAAATGCAGTTACAATCTCGGATCCTCCTGTCGTTTCCGAAGGTGGCCGCCACTATCCACTTTACAGCTTTGACGACAGCGGGCTATTCGAGGGGCCCGCTGCTCCTGGTCCGCTTCCACCTACAACCCTCCGGGAGAGATTACAGTCGTTGATTCCTAGAATGGAGTTACACAGTTTTGTGCCCTGGGTTCATGGGCATCCCAATCGGGCAGTAAGCGCGGAGTCCCAACTTCGGGATATACTCGACAGGCATCAACGCGCGCGGGATTCGCGGAGAAATTTGGTTACAGCCACAGAGAGCGCGGAATTGTACGAGTAGTACTTTCATCTTTCGACTCCATCTACCATGGAAGGGAAAAACCTCTCGACCTTCCCTTTGTCCCACTGGTGACTTCTCCCAGCAATCATATAAGACTGAGAGCTACGATATCCAAGATATGGGCATTGGTCGCGCAAAGCGCCAGAGATACCAGCAATAACAGTCTGAATCCTGCTTCCTCAGTTTTTGTGAACCTCTCTTCCTTCGTGTCCCGGTTTCAGTCTTGCTGCCAGTATCATTCGCACCGTAGCGGCGCTGTGGAGGACTTGGTGACCCGAGGCGTGCATCCATTCGCCCTGTGTCTTTGCAGTTATGCGGCCTTCTCGCTACTCATCTCAAGGTGTCGGGGGGATTGGAATGTTCCTTAGCCAACGCAATGTGACGCGTCTCGGAGGCTACGAAATGAGCGTATTGAGCGTCCTGGAGTGCTACGACTTCCGTTCACAGCCTTTTTGTGAATCTAGCTGAGTGCCCGCAAAGCGTCTATGTCTAGCTAACTTGCAGCCTAAAACAGGAAGGACAGGTTGGCGAGACCAGCATCACTTGACCTTGATCAGCACGGTTTTGGTCTCTAGGAAATTGTTCAGACTGTGTCCGAAGCCCTCCCGACCCGAGCCACTGCTCTTGAAGCCACCAAATGGCATGTCTCTTGCAGTCGTTGGACTGGTGCAGTTGACGGCGACTGTGCCTGCTTCTAAGGCTTTGGCAAATCTCATGGCCCGGTTGATATCCTTGGTGTATACCGCGGCGTACAGCCCAAATTCGCTGTCATTGGCTTTGGCAATCACTTCTTCCTCAGTCTTGAAGGTGTTGATGTTCACAACAGGTCCAAAGATCTCCTCTTTCATCACCACCGCCTCTTCCGGGGTGTGTAGGAAGATGGTCGGTGGCACAAAGTAACCTTGCTGAGCGGATTCTGAAAGACCAGACACATCCGGTGTGCCACCCAGGGCCAGTGTCCCAGACGATTTTCCAGCCGCAATGTATCTTTGCACCGTGTCGTACTGCGCAGAATCGGCCTGTGGACCGTGGTTGGTGTTGGCGTCCAACGGATCTCCCGCTGAGACTTTGGCAAACTGCTCCTTGAATGCCTCGACGAATCTATTGGCAACCGTGTCTTGGACATAAATTCTGCTGTTGGCCATGCACACCTGGCCACTGTTGTACTGGATGCTATGCTTGGTTTCCTTGACAGCATCTTCGAGGTCGCAATCGTCGAATATGATGGCAGGTGACTTGCCTCCTAACTCGAGAACAACGTGCTTCAAGTTGGACTTTGCTGCCGCTGCCTGGATCAGGCGGCCTGTTCGACACGACCCGGTGAAGCTGAGGGCTCGGACGTCCATGTGTGACGATAATATGGCCCCTGATGTCTGCCCGTGTCCGGATATAACATTGATGACTCCGGGCGGAAACCCTGCTTTCTCGATCAGAGTAGCAGCTTTGGCAGACTGAAAAGACGTGATTGTCAGCAAGGTGTTCACTAAGGGATTTGAATTCCTATGCTTGCGCCTCGCCTGGCGATTACAGACATTGGGTGGAGGGGTTTCATACCGTCAATGGGGCTTTCTCGCTGCTCTTCAAAACAACAGTGTTGCCAGCCGCAAGCGCAGGGGCCACCTTATTTGCAAAGAAGACAAGTGGAACGTTCCAGGGGATGATTGCCGCGACGACCCCATATGGCTGTTTGAATGTCATGTTGACAAACCCCGGGGTGTTCAAGCTGCTGACACCCTGGACCTCATACCCGGCCTCCGCATAATGCTCAAATGTGCTCGCTGCGGCTCGGTTGTCGTGGTACGTCGACACCGGCCGTCCCATCGACAGAGCCTCTAATCGAGAGAACTCGTCGCCACTCTCGACCAACAGGGCTGCCAGTCTTTTGAGGTATGCACCCCTCTCGGCAGGAGAGAGAGCTGACCATGCTGGAAAGGCTGCTTTGGCGGCAGCCACGGCTGCATCGGTGTCCTTTTCGCTGGCTTCGTACACTACGTGGTCGAGATCAGCATTGCATCGCGATCGCAATAGTGCCTGGGTGCCCGTGGCTCACCTTCAGCGACCACTTCCCTTGTCGTTGGCGATCTTATAGGGAACGTCTTTCCGTCCGAAGACTCAACAAACTATGCTCACATCAATACTGGCCTTGGAATAATCAACATGTCCTGGAACACATAATACCTTGCCGTTGATGAACAGCCTTGTCTCTATCTTGTCACTGGAACCCATTTTGACCTGTGTACGACCCAGCTCGTTGGGCTTCCTGTCTCGCTTCAAACAGCAAAGGTTGATAGACGTCGATTTGAAGACTAGACGGCCACAACTAGTACAATTTCTAAGCATCCCGCGCACAGTACGAAGCTGCTATTGCCGATATGGACGGAGATTACGGCGTGGGATCTATCCCCATCGGAAGAGGCACCCGAAGTATCCGCGGCACCAGCGGTGACTACCCGACACAATAATTGTATAGGATCGAGAACCTCGTATTACTTATCATATTCAGGCTAGTTATATCGGTGGGGCATGGGGCTGGCCACAGACAGACATGGATGGGGCTTCCGGCCGCTCATAGCCTTGCCCTCGTCGGAGGTGGCAGTTTGAACTTCCCAGGGAATACAGGTTGTGCGTTCTATATCCAATCGTCCAGCCTTGTTGATCAATGGTTACCGTCTACCCCATTGGATGCAGCACCGTGGACCCCATTGTGTCCATTCTGGCCCAGCTCCCTCTGGCGGATCTGCCAGGGAAGAGGCTCTCTCGCTGGCTGGGCCGGTCCTATATCGCCCGACGCGGACCTCCTCTTCTGCCATTCGTCGATGTCTCTGTGGTCGACGAAATTGCCGTGCAAGCCCAGCTTCAGCTTGAATGGCAGGTGTATCACCGCCAGCGGTCCCTTGGCCACGTTCAGGGCGTCCATGATAACGATGTCGTTTCGAAGGACATCGAGTTGGTTGAGTAAGGCAATGAGGTATCCCTCTCCTTCAGCGCCTCCGTCCTTGGGGATGAACGTTGGCTCTTGGAAGGCCGCCGTCGGTCCGGCGAAGAAGACATCCTCCCTCCTGTCGTCCCAGCTGTAATGGCCCAGGCAGTTGAACAGGCCACCCGCCGGGGGACCGCATTTGGCAAAATCATAAGCTCTCGTCGGGTCGACTTTTGCCTGCCAAAAGTGGCGGTATCTCTTGGTCACGAAGCGGTCGTCAATCCGGGAGAACTCGCCGTTGGTCATCCAGGTTTCGGCGGGGGTCACTCGGGTTCCTGACTTGGCTTTGGGATCGAATATCCATCGCGTGGTCGGACTTCGCAGTTGGTTGCGCTTGGAGAGCAGTCCCTCCTTCTCGTCTAGAGGTGGGAAGAAGAAGAACACGTTGCCGTCGGCCACCGTGAGATCGAACACGATGTGGCCGTCCTCGTTCTCATAGCATCCTGCGATGTGCCCGTGGAAGCCTGTGCAAAGAACGTTACTTGGCATGTTCGGGCAGTTCAGTCTCGAGAAAAATCTCTTGTGGGCACTCACCATTGTCAGCCCTGAACCAGACAATGTCCTCCGACTTCCCTCCTCGCCTGGGAACCACACCATACCACTGGTCCTCATTGGGATCCCACGCCCAATGATTCCCGCCGCTTTTCAACCGGTCCATGCCGGTCCACTTGATCGGCGTCAAGGGCAGGACCATGTAGTTCTTACTGATGCCGCAGTCGTGGATCATTCCGCAAAACGGAGCCTTGTACCAGCACTCCTCGGTCTTTCGGCCGTCCTTGTCCACCGTCCACACGACGATGTCGTTCGAGCCGTCGTGGCCGTCCCCGCCGGCCTCGTACGCAAAGCACAGCATTTCCCCCGTGTCCGGGTCGAACTTGGGGTGCGCGGTGAAGGTGGGCGTGAGGATCTGCCCCTCAAAGTCGTACCGGCCGATGGTGTCCAGCGTGACGGGGTCCATAATGTACGGCGGGCCATCTTCCTTGCTCGCGAGCAACACGCCGCGCCAGAAGGTGATGTTGGTGTTGGCGGCCGTCCGCACCACGCCCTTGACCGTCTCGTTGTCCGTAAAGGGGTTCCGGTACCTCCCAAACAGCGCCCGCCGCGCGCCCGTCTCGGCCTTGTACCGGTCCGTCCGGACGTAGCGCTGCTTGAAGTCGGCGTGCCCGTGCTGGATCCGGATCGCGGTGACGCTCCCGTCGCCGTTGAAGTGGATGTCGTCCTCGAACAGGGGCGGGAACCGGTGGTCGGGCTGCACGCGGTAGAATGTCCCGTTGATCTCGGGCGGGATCGTGCCCGTGACCTCCAGGTCGTACACGTCCCCTTCCAGGCGCGACGGCTTGTTGAAGCCCTGGAACACGGGCGTGTCGGGGTACCTGACCTGGTCTGTGGCCTTGACGCCGTCCTCGTAGTTGCTCGAGACGAGCTGAGGGGCGAGATCGAAGATGTGTGCCATGTTGTTGCACGTGAAGTATGTTGGCGAAAAGCCCTGGAGCGAGGTTTGGAAAAGGGAGTATCTGTCTCTCCTGGCGCCTTTCTATTCTCTGTCGTCGTTGTCGCCGTCTGTTCTTTCTTCGACGAAATCGACCACTCCTCCGGATCCTGTATCAGATCTTGCCCATTCCCCACCCAACCCAGTGTGCGTATCGATAGATGTATATTATCATCGATAAATGAATAGATGGGATGTTAAAACGCCACCAAAACCCACCGTCTCGACCACGCATCTTTCGGCGCGCCTGATCCCTACGCGCCCCGATTCGGGCCCCGTAACTGTAATTGGAGTGGCTTGTTGTCGCCTCAAGTCGCTCGATTCGGCATGTGGGATACAAAAATGCAACTGCCGACAACGACTCGTCTCCGACTCAACAAGGTTTGCAGTCTACCAACCCCGTCTCGTCCCATCTTATACCTATCCCATGTATCCTCTGTCCTCCAGTCCCGTTTCCGTCTGAGAACAAGAATAAAGCAAGGAGGGGTAAAAATAGGACGAACGGGGGAGGAAGAATCCATTATCAGATTCGGGAAAGTATGGAGAAATCTAGGTATCAATCAAGTCTTTCGAAGGGGTTCTTTCTCCACTTCACTTTCTCACCACATCAACCCCAGGCTCCGTACCTAGTACCTAGAGGCTCGACGTTCCCCGTATATGCATCCCCGGCTTCGGTTCCGATGGAGTAGTATGTTCCTTGGCCCCCAGAGGAAATGATCAATCTGTAACGAATCAGTTTTGACGCGGGATAACACATTCTTGGACTTGCTCCTCGTATGGCGCTCTCGTGTTTCAACTTGGGCCTTCAGGACACCCTCTGTACCTTACCTGAAAGGCTCCTTGTGTTCTTAAACAGTGACCGGTGAATGTGTTTAGGGATTTATATCCGTGACTTACTGTTAGCAGGAACCCATTGCCGGGGATAGGGTAGGGCTAAGTTTTGAATAGACGGGGAGAGCGAGGCATACGTATTTCCAAGACCCGTCTGTTCCTTTGCCAGAGAACAAGTTGGTTTCGCTTCTGGAAGAATGAGTTGTTACATATGAAGCAAGCAAGATGCCCTCACGTCGCTGCCTCTTCTGCCCCCAACAAAGCTTTACATGCCCCTGGGTTGCAATTCTGACTGGTAGTTCGATTGAACCTATACGTGACTGTCTGGCTCCTACAGCACGAGTATCTCCACATATACACCCATCAGGCTAGCCACATCTCCACCGGTCGCCCAGCAACATGTATCGAATGAAGTGTCCTACATCCTACTTGAACGGCAGACCCTCCCAACAGTATCAAACCGTCTCGACGCTGGCTCGAATATCAAGCAGGCGTACTGTCCGCAATCTCGCCGTTCTCGACCACCGTCTTCTTCCCCGCCTCGGCCTCCTTCTCCAGCTGGTCCTTGGGCAAGGCGATGCTCAGGGGCGGTAAGCTGGTGCTGACGTCCTCGCCGTACTTGGGGGCGCGCAGGTCGTCGGCCTTGACCATCTGCCCCGTGACCGGGTGGGGGTAGTGGAAGGGCACGACGCGGGTGTCGGGCCACAGCATCTTCTGGTCGAGTAGCTCGTCCGGGCCTAGAGGGTCGTCCGGGAACGTGACCGTGGGCCAGGGGATGTAGTTCTTCTTGGTGTGGCTCCAGCCGCGCTCGAAGTCGGCGTGCCAGAAGGGGAAGTAGCGGTAACGGAACGGCTTCCACACGCCGTCCTCCTTTATGTACTCGTTCTCGTACACCCCGCCCTCCCACCACTGCGCGTGCCCGCGCGGGTGCTCCTCCTGGATCGATTGGTGCGTGCCCGCCGACATGAGCGCCCGGATCCGCGCCCACGCCCGCGTCCCCGACGCGTCCACGTCCACAATGTCCTGCATCATCGGGTGGTCCAGCAGGAAGCCGTGCACGGGGCCGTTGCGCCCCTTGACGAAGTGCGTCTGGAACCGTCCGATGTACAGCCGCCGGATACCTTCCTTGCGCCGGTAGCGCGAGCCGAGGAACTCGACGTAGGCGTCGGGGTGGTTCGAGAACATGTCGACGACCTATACCAGAAAAACACACCACTTTAATCATTCTGTTCCTTTTTGTGTCTTTCCGCACAAACGCAACACGGGATTCGGCTGACCTCGTTGTAGAGACACTTGTCAATGTAATAACCATATTTGAAATGGACTTTTCGGATTTCCGCCTCGTCTACCGACGGTATAGATCGCGTTAGCCATCCTTCTTTCTTCTAACACCACAACCAAGCAACGTGTCATGCTTACCCTCGACTTTCTGGAGTTTGGCATGAAGTCTCTTGACTTCGGCCTTGAGCTCGGCGAGTTCCGCCTCCATCGTCTTATTGTTTCCTCCTTCTTTTCCTTGCCTGACACGGTGGGTGGTGTGGGAAACAGAATACAACTTGCAATGCTAGTGATATTTGAAGCCCTGGCAAACTTGAGACTCACCACACTCGAGCAGAGCCCCTCGTTACAATGTCCTTTTGTAGGAGACTCACCTTTTGTAGGATTTGCTGTGCTTTGGGACCAACAAGGGACTCCGCACTGTCGTCCTGAGACACATGGCCGTTCTCCAAAAAGAGCGAATGCCCCATGTCGTCCCCCTCGGGGTCCCGCGGTGCTAGTGATGATGGCAGCACGCAGGGACCTTGGAGTGGGTCGACAGTCTCGAGTTCGACAAAGTCTGCAGAATGCGTTTCGGGAAGACTGTCAACAATCAAGGGAGAGGCTCCTCGAGAGCAAGGAAATCGTAAACCCTGTGCCTTGGTCTGTGGTTGAGGACTTCATGCCTGCTGAGAAGGGACAAAGGTGGCTTCAAGGAGATTTGTTGTTCCTTCCTCGTCGTTACGACCAGTTTCCTCATCCAAGAAACCACAGTCAAGCTGGACCAGGCTACGTTCATGTCAACTGCCGAAGTCGTAACCAGGAACCACAAAGACCCCCTCTCTTCAGTTATGTTGGCCCTCACTTTGTAGATGTCCAAGGATTCTCCATCTTGGGTTCTCCCCGTCTCCCCGCAAACCCCGCGTGGGGTCCGTGTTTCCCGAAACGGAAGACGAGGCTGTAGCAACGAGGAGTTCGCACCAGGCTATCCAGCCATCCTCCGTGATCCGTTTCTCTATCGGGTATGTACCAGTCCTCTAACGTCTCTATTTCAAGCATCCCGAGAAGTTGTTCTCCATGAATTTCGAAGAGACAGCTCCCCTTCTGTGTCGCATCCACAGCTTCGTATCCCGCTTCACCCTTCACCGATCTCCCAAGGTATCTTTCTTTACCTTCCCGCCAACCCAGACTTTCCTCAGATTCCTGTCGTCCCCAGACATGACCCATTTCTCCCAGACGGACCTGATCCCGTCGGCGCTTTGGCTCTCGCCGTCCATCATGGTGTGCACCGCGTCAAAACGGCCGGACGCGTTGTGGTAAGGGTCACTCATGTCCACCAAAAGAGCGTCGAACTGTTTTCCCACCTCGAACGATCCGACTCGGTCCTCCATCCTCAGGACCTTGGCCCCGCCCAGCGTCGCCATGTAAAAGATCTCCTCCAGCTTCAGTCTCTCCTCCTTGCCCGCCGACAGCATTTCCCGCGCGTTGCCCACGATCAAAGCCAGGCGCATCGCGTCCATGATGCTGCAGGAGAAGCCGCCGCCGGAGTCAGTTCCTAGTCCGATCTTCGTGACCCCATCCGCCAGCAGTTTCCGGATCGGGGCGGCCATGAACCCGCCGCCGACGGTGGTGTTGGAGGCTGGGCAGTGGGCGATTCCACAGTTCCGTTGCTTGATTTTGGCCTGGTCGTCCTCGCTGAGCAGCGTGCAGTGTGCAAGCACTGAGCTGTGGTCGAACAGCCCATAGTGCGTGTACAAGTCGGCTTCGCAGCTGAAGTTCCTGTACTGTTTTAAGGTAGCGTCGATTTCTTGCTGCGCCTCGCAGAAGTGGGTTTGGTTTGGGATCCCTTGTCCCACGCCATAGGCGTGCTCGTGCTCCCGTGCCAGTTTGCCCAGCTCAGTCAGTGACTCCGGTGTACAGCTGATCGCAAACCGTGGCGTTAGGATCGGCCTGACAATGTCGCCTTTCCCGTCGACGGCCCGACAATGCTCGATGACTTCTCTCGTTCCGGCCACCACTTCCGCCGTGTCTTCTCTGTAATACTCGGGATTGGTCTCGGGGTTATCCATGCACGTCTTGCCCACGAACGCCCGTTGGCCCTTTTCGAGGCACACGTCCACGAGGATCTTGGTCGCCGGCGTGTGCAGACTGCCAAAGTAGCAAGCGGTGGTCACGCCCTGGCGGAGGCCCATGTCGACACATCTCGCGTAGACTTGCCTCGCGTAGTCGGTGTCGCGGAATTTGGCCTCGTGCGGGAAGGTGATCTGGTCCAGCCAGTCCAGGATATGGAGGCCTTGGCCGAGGCCGCGCATGGAGAACTGAGGCGCGTGGACATGGGTGTCGATGAAGGACGGGACGAGGAATTGGCTGGGAGATTGCAAGCGAACGACAGGGATGCGAGCATCGGGTCGGTCGATTAATGGCCCTATGCTGTCCTCCAAGCTTCGGCCATCTCTGGGTTGGAATTGTGGGGAGATGTGGCTTATCTTGCCTCTGTCGTCGACTATGACGAGCGTGTCGTCAAGGATTTCGATCTGTGACGGGGAGTGCGAGTGTATCAGGGTCCCGTAATATGCAAAGCTGCCATCCATGACTGTCAAAGGATAGGGAGTGTGTGACTTTAAGTCTCTATCTACTCCGTGCAAGTGCTTGTCTATGACAGACTCGGTTCACCTTCTCGTACGGCATCGGCTGGTTCCTCAAGCGCCCAAGCCTTGCGGGTCCTTGAGCTGCGCCACTTGGGCATCATCTGCATCTGCCTCTTCCCCCAGTCCAAGCCTTATTTAAAGGCAGCTGATGTCGAATAGAAGGTCTGACTCCTGTCCGGATGATTCAAGACAGGCGACTATGGACCCAGCACAGCCCCGGCATGCAAGGGAAGCAGTCCTCGAGTCCCTCCACCTTTACATATAAACCCCCAAAACGGTAACAGGAGCCGCTTATCGGACATCTGAGAAAGACAAGAACAACGACAATGCCCTTTCATTGAACATGAGCACCATCAGCAACGCCAGCTACATTTCCCTCCCTGCCCTCCCCCGCATCGTCACCGAGTGGTGTGCTCTGGTGCCGCTGGTCGTGCACCTTGCCAGCCCGCACGACGAGTTCCAGGTGATAGGCGATGCGTGTCTCCGGGGCAAAATCCGCCTGGATCTCATGCCCAAGCTCGGCCAGCTCAAGGGCGTCGCGAAACTGCTCTCGTTCGGGTCGGCCGTGCTCGACCAGACCAGCAGCGCAGGCGTCGCCGGGTCCATGACCGTGTGGGACGTGTCCTGGGGCAGCGTGTTCCAGTGCGCCAACGGGGCTGCGAGAGAGCTGCTCACGGCGCACGCCTTCCGCCGGAAGACCGACGTCGTCGAGGTCGAGACTACGGCGCCAGAAGCAGCCGGAGATGGGAGACAGCCGCAGACAAAGGTGGACGGAAGGGAGCCTGCGACCAAACCGTCCATCCCCAAGAACGTCGCCTTCAGCCGTCCGCAGGTGCTGCACCTTGTCGAGTTGCGCTTCGACAAGACTTCCTCCGGCAGCAAAGGCTCCACGACCCCCAGCCTTGTAGAGCGATTGTGCACCGTACTCGGCCACGTCCTCGCGACAGCCCCGATCTTACCGCTGGCCCTCTGCGGTGCCTACGGGACGTGTGCCCTGCTCCTGTTGTCTCGCGTCAACGCCCTGGTCTGCCAGCGCCTCCCCATCCACCGACCGCCAGGCTATCTCGGAAACACCGAGACGTACAATTCCGCCTGCATGCTGGTGGCACCCCACGACAATGCGTCGACGTGGCACCTCTACCGCGGCGACCGCGCCGTCGTCGACTGGCTGCTCAACAAGCCCATGCTGGCCATCAGGACGCCACGTGGCTGGCCGTGGGCCTTCTGGTACTTCCAGCTGACGCACTACCTCCAGCTGTTGGCCATGACCTACGTGGCTGCCCAGAAGGGCTGGGACGGCGTGTTCCTGCTCGTGTTGATGGTAATCTCGCGCCTGGCCGGGTCTGACGCGGCGGCGATGACGCCCTGGGCTGCTCGAGCCGGAGGAGCGGCCGCCATTTGGCTTCGACAGAACAACATCAATATCGAGGTGAACACGTTTCGCATGACTGGTCGGACGCAAATGATTGGAGCGATTGAATTGATTAACGGCATGGACCAGAGTGAAGGCTCATCGCCACAGTCATCGTCATCCTCATTGCTATCATCCTCGACATCCTCCTCTGCTTCCCTAATTGGAAACCATCAGGACACGGGCAGCCACGGGACCAGCGCATCGTCTTCGATAAGATCCCATACCTTGAGCTCTATGGGTTCAAAACTACGCGCAAATTGGATGGACAGCATCATCGCACAATCTCCACGCCGTGACATGTGGCTAGAACGCTTGAGCACTACTATGCTTGCCAAAATGCAGCAGCTGACCCAGCCGATCTTGACACCAGACGTGGCTACTCCCAGCATTATCAACGAAATCCTCGAACCTGCGAATATACCGACGCTCAATCCGAACCTTGTACAACAGCTGAGCAATCCTGTTCCTGAGACAGGAGATGCACAGCTGCCAAGTTCGAATAGCAACGAGCTCTCCGACACCATTGATCGACCCGGACCCGAGTCTGTGAACATTCCCCCAGGAACTGATGAGAGACAAGATCATCTCGTCAAACGGGCCCTTGATGCAGATGCACCATCATTGAATGTCCAACAGCCCTCGGGTCCCGAAGCCGGAGGATCTGCTGGTCCCGATTTTCGACTCTCCTCAACTGAGAGTCTCATGGACGTCAAATGGGTGGATCAGAATGCTCTTTGGGCATGGGAGACGGCTCGGTGCATCATCCAATCTTGCGCCGCAGCTCCGTCTATAGAGACAAATCCCTCGCAGAGTCCAGGCAATGCACGGATGACTGCCGTCCAAGCCTAGAACGCGAAGTCTTCAACTCCTTAGACACTGGGTTTGAGACCTTGAAGAGTTGCTATAATTCTGATGTCATTCCTCGTCCGTAACTCTGGTCAGCATCAATCATCATGAATCTGCTGGAAGGATAGTTGAGTCTTGGATGCCGAGTCATGCCGCTGGCCCTTATTTATCATCCAACGGCTTGTAGAAAGGAACCACCGACGATGAATAGAAACGGGCATTGTTTAAGGGACAGGCGAATTCTGTAATTTTTGGTCTATCCTCGTGGCGAAACCAGCAAAAAGAGGACTCAACCCACATTTCCTGTATCTCTCGACCAACTCCGCAGACTGCCCGGGATCGTGACCATTCGTTGCAGCAGCGTCCGAGGCGGAATTTGGCACATCTTTCACGCCTTCGACCAAGGCCCCAAAGCCAGTATCGATGGGGACCGAGCCCAGGAAGGGAACATTGGCCTCGCTGGCCATAATCTGCCCCCCGCCCTTGCTAAAAACATTGCTTATCTCGCCACAGCACGGGCACATGTAGCCTGCCATATTTTCGATGACTCCAAGCACTGGGACCTGCGTCTTTACACAGAAATTCAGCTCTTTGCGCACGTCGGCTGTCGCAATGGCTTGTGGAGTAGTGACCACCACTGCCCCGGAAAGTTTTGGTCTGGTGTCAATCTCGAGAGCTAGGCCATTGCCGTTGGAAGTTGACACGGGCTGCACATCGGCAGCAAGTTTATGTAGTTCCTCCACGATCGCAATGTGCTCGTCACTTGTGCCGGGTGGCGTATCGATGAGGAGGTAGTCGGTGTTTGGCGGCCACATAACATCTGAAACGAACTGTCTGATCATTGCGGTTTTTTTTGGCCCACGCCAGATGACAGCTGAAGAGCGGGAAGGAAGGAGGAATGCTAAGGATAACGCGTGGAGAGAGCCTCTTGTAGATTTGTCATTGTCTTCCACTTCTCTTGCGTCGTGTACCTTGACAGGTAGCCAGCCACCAGGAGCCTGCGTCACTTTTTTGTCCTCCAGATTGAGGAGGCGAGGTATACTGGGACCGGTAAGATCAATATCAAGGATTCCGACATTGCGACCCTGCTGTGTAAGGGAGAGGGCGAGTTGGAGAGTGACACTTGATTTTCCGACACCCCCTTTGCCGGAGAGGATGAGCACGACGTGCTTGACGTTCTCGAGACCCATTGCTAACTGCAAAAGATGTTGTTATCAAAGAGGCATGCTCGAGGTCGGGGTAGTGAGCGTCAGGGCGCTGAAATAAATCGCAGTTGACGCAGTTGGTGGATGCGCCATGCGACAAAGGATTGTTAAGCAGGGGCGGAGATTGCCGGACAGTGGCGTGGTCTTGCGGGTAACAATTTTCGGTTCAGCCTTGGTGGGCGCGATTGGGCGGTCGATCCAGCCTGGCGAGCTGCTGGCTTGGGAGGCTCGGGAGCCTAGCAGCCTTACCTGGGTAAGCCCTAGGCTACCGGGGCGCGAACATCGCGGGGGTGGCGTTAAGTGGTCCAGGCACCAGATAATGGGCATTGGAGGGGCTACAACGTTTTATTCTCCGCTCCTTCTTGGGAGAGGTGGAAGGATGCTCGGACAGAAGACTATCTCGTTCGCAGTGCCCTCGGTGACTTGCAGACCATCGTTTACCCCTCAAATGAAGCTGGACGAGTCTCCGCCTTTGGGCTTGAGTGTCTCGTAGTCAGCCAGAGTGCTCCAAAGCATGTGTAGTCGGTGGTTGAATGAGCACGTGCTTGCCCAGCAACCCAGTAGTTGTATAGTCGTTCATGCAAGCTGCCTCGATGCATGGGTGCACTTGGCTTCAGCAGAAGCTCCCGCACTCTCTTCCGCCACTCTCTGATCTATCCCAAGAGACTCACTTCGGTGGCACTGGGAGTCCCGGTGCTGCTGCCAACGACGAACCCAAGCCCCCCCTTCAGCAGCCCACTGGCCTCCCCTGTCGACCAGCCCAGCGCTAATCAAGATTTTTCACGGCGCCTGGAGCCTTTCGTCATCGGTGCCGAGGCGGCGGGGTGCCCGGGCTTCTCACTGGCCACTGGGCTCCGTCTCCGCGCCCGAAATTTCCAGCTGGCGGTGTCCACACCCTCATCACCGCCTGTCACACACAAAGCTGCCACTTCTTTTTCTGGTGCGACATCAACATTCAACACACAATTTTGCCTCTTGTGAATCCTCTGCCACACGCTCTGCCATTTCGACTCCCGCAAAACTCCCAACTCCAACCTCGTTGGACTCATTATTCTCGTCGGCTCGTGTAATTCCACGCAGTCTTGTCTATCGCAGACACCCCCTCCATTGAGCGGTCAGGGGAAATTTTCGCTGAGGCATTTTTCACAAGCCGCCCACAATTTTCACCACCACAACTGCAGCTCTGGCGACCTTCACCAGTTGAGTGATTCACTCGACGCTCAGGCTGTGACAGCCACCCTTCATCTCCAGCAAGTTCTATTAGCATCTCTATGAGCCGCAAGGATTTGCTTCGCTTCCTATCCAAGCCGGCAAAGTACACTTCTCCCTGCCCTCAGTGACCGACACAGTGCTAACTCGACAAGTAGGCCCAGATAACACCTGCTACTTGCGGTTTTAAACAACAGAAGTCTCACAGCGAGTATCCATCGAACAAAGCCTCTTGAGAGATAACAAACATCTCTCACACTTCTTGGACGGTCACCAAAGTTTGATCAGAAAGAGTCTACAAACACTGCCCACAATTCCGTTCGTGCAGGAAATCTTCTTCCTCCTCTCCTCCACCAGGCCTCCATAACGACCCCTCAGAAGGGATTTCAAACCACATCACACACTGCTGCTGGCAAAAGCCAGCCTCCAACTCTCCCACCGCATAGTGGGCCTTCTCTTCTCAGGCGGACACCGCATTGTTCGTCTGGGTGGCAGATAGTGCTTCACTGAATCGTCAGATCAGTGTTTCTTCACCTTCTTGCCCAGAACACTTCAAAGCTTCCAACAACCGAGAGGACTCTGTCCGCACCTTCGAAAAGGATATGGTACACATTGGGATCCCCAAGCATTATACAACTTCGCCGTCGAGTTTTAGTCACACCCCGTCGTTGACTATCAATCGCGAAGTTGCGCTAGATCTTGACTCTAGCAATGCATTCGAAGGTAAATTTTGTTTGGCCGCCGATCTTGGGTTAGATCTGACATCTTTCAAGGTCCCGAGAAACTCTTAGAAGTATGGTTCAGTCCGTCACCCGATGCCCTCCAGGGCTGTTCGGAGCCTACCGGACTCAAGGCCGTGCCGTCGGACGTCTGGAAAACAATGCTTGATTTGGTCAATTGCAAAGTCTTGTCCATCATCGAGTCTGAAGATGTTGATGCTTATCTCCTCTCTGAGTCGAGCATGTTTGTCTTCCCTCACAAACTCATTCTGAAGACTTGCGGGACAACCACCTTGCTGTGCGGGCTGCCACGTATCCTCGAAATCGCGGTGCTCTTTGGTGGCTTTCCACGTGCGACTGCTCCACCATCCAATGGCATCGCTATTGCGGCCCCTCCATACCGCGTTTTCTACAGTCGCAAGAACTACTTGTTCCCTGACCGGCAACGTGGCCCACACCGCAGCTGGCGCGATGAGGTGTACACTCTCGATAAACTCTTTGTTGGGGGCAGCGCCTACATGATCGGCAAGATGAACGGCGAGCACTGGTACTTGTACCTCACTGAACCATACACCATGTTGACGCCACCAGCAAGCCCACAGAGCATGGGTAGTCCAGGGACTGAGACCAAAGTTCTGGATTTACCGTCGTCGTTGGTGGTCGACCGTGGTTCGAAGGTGTGCGAAGGTGAAGACGAAACTCTCGAGATCCTCATGACTGATTTGGACGAGGAGAATGCTCGACAATTCTACCTCGACCATGCGAGTGCGGTCGCAGAAGATCAGTGGAGAGGATCTCAAAGAGGACGAGACGATCACATCGATGTATTCAGCAATGCATCATCAGATGACAGCGATATTTCCATCAAGGAAGAGGCCTTTCCTTCTGAACTCACCACTGAAGGGCATGCTCTTGGCACTGTGGTGTCCGAGGCGTGCGGTCTTTCCGATGTCTATCCGGCAGACAAGTATCCGGATGCTCGAGTCGATGCATACCTCTTTACCCCATGCGGATTCTCGGCCAACGGAGTCATCCCCGCCCCTAACGGGCAGAAAGGAACTCACTACTTCACTGTCCATGTGACTCCAGAACCAATCTGCTCTTATGCATCTTTCGAGACCAATGTCCCTTGCGGCCAAAAGGGTCGTGAAACCGCCGACATCATCCAGCATGTCGTCGACATTTTCAAGCCTGGGCGGTTCACTGTCACTCTTTTCGAAGCCACCGCCACCTACGAGGAAAGAGCCTATGCTGATCATGATGAGCTAGCTGAAATCAGGATGTTGCAGCGACAGGCTGCGCGTCGCAATACCAAGATGGATGCCATCCAGGGGTACCGCCGCGTCGATCGTATCGTTCACGACCTCGACGGCTATGACTTGGTGTTTCGGTATTATGAGCGCCACGACTGGAAAGGCGGAGCTCCGCGAATTGGGGAGTAATATCGGGATGGCATTGTGCACGACGATCACGCAGGTGTACACTGGTTGTTGTCATCAGAAGCGAGGAGCTGCTAGGGGGAGGTTGAGGTGTCCAAAAGTACCTTCTCAGGAACTTTCCGATGGCTATGATGGTTTTGATGATTTCTTGCATTACTTCCACTCCTTTGAACCCAGCCATAGCTGACGATAGAGCCCGTTGAATAACGGCATTTTGTCCAAGTCTTCCGCATTCGGTCTCTCCGATCGCCCTGCGTTCCCGTGCCAGCCCATGACTTCTTGACCTTCAAATGTGTAGGAGGGACAAGGCTGAGGCTCGGGAGTGGGCAGCCTCGGCAGAATAAGGATGGATCTCGATCTCTCCCTCCATGTTTCGTGAATTGAAAGGCCTATTTTGTCCATTGGATTCCAGCCTCTCTGCGTCTTTGCAACTAGGATATCACGAATACCTGATTTTGCTCCAGTCTGTGGCCCGAGACCTATTTAGGGTGCTTGGAAGGTTGTCCTACTGTCATATGCAATTCGACTCTACTAAGGCTGTGCAACATAGACCCTATATGACCAATTGGAGGCTATGCTCGTGGCTCTCTTTCGATGCTTCGAGGGTTTGAGGCAAGGTTCGAAGAAACAAGAATCGGGCGGAATGGGTCTTTGTCAAATCCGTTCTAACTTCCTCTCTCTGATACCATGAGGGCCGGAGCCCCTGTGATGGCCATTGGGTTTTTCTCTATTTGTGGAGCCCTGGACGGCGCGAGACCAAAGGTATCTCTGCAAGCCCCTCGGAGATCGACACATCCAGGTCGTGGATCTGTTAGAGATCAAATTGAGGGAGATTTGTTGGGGATTGTGCGGAAATAGACAAGCGATGTATTCCTATATACACCAAAAGAAGGATGCTGCAAATACGTCTCCTTTGACAAGAACGCCTCTACACCACACCCACAGCGGTGGCTCTTGGCTTGATAGAATCTATCCGCACGAGAGGGTGATCAACCTTCTTGACCTCGGACTTCACCATTGCCTTCGAGACTCGGGCCTTCTCCACGGGTACATCCACCACCTCGTAGTTAACGGTCGTCGTCGTGGCTCTCCAGGTATCCCCCACGGGCACATCGTGCATCTCCAGGGACAGAATGTACTGCGCCCGGGTGGCCCGATCTTGGATGGTGACCGAGTTTCTCTTGTCAAGACCCCTCAAGACTCCGTAGGAGTCTGAAAAATGGGCAAATAGCACGTCCTTGATGGCATTCTGTCGACACCCTTTGGAAAGAGCTTCGTCGTCCCCATGAGCCAGTGCAACCAGAGCCGACGACACCTCGTCGGTTGTACCAGACTCCTGGAAAATGGCCGCCCACGAGTCGAGCCTCCAGCTTCGGATGAAAGACTTGTGAACACCACACAGGAGCACGAGACGCTCTCGCAGTCGAGGGGCCGGAGGGAGTGTCTCGAAAATGAAAGGCACGATGCCGACAAAGTTGGCGGACTCGAACCCGAAGAATCGCGTGGTTTCGGGCTCCCAACGCTGCAGAGGCAGCACGTCGCAGAGGTTCATCTGGCTCCGGAGAGGCTGTGCAAACTGCATCGTCACGCTGGATATGCGGTAGTTCGCCTCGGTCAGCTGTTGGCCGTGGACGCTTTTGCGGACATGGACTGTTCGTCTGCTGCCCTGCCACCACAGCGCCCGCGATTTCTCGGCGGTGATGTGTTTCGGCAGGACCCGGACGAACGTCTCTCCCACCTTTTTGAGTTGGACGTACAGCCATTCAGGGTGGGAAGAGGCACCGCTGCGACAACATCCCAGGTCCAGAATGCAGCAATCGACTTGCCCGGGGAGGAAGATCCCCTCAGCACGCAGTCCATTGCTGGTAACCGAGACCTCGTTCCCGAGACTCTGTCTCTCATGTGGTGCTTTCACGTCGCAGCAGTCCGAGAACTCCGAGGGAGATTCCGCGAAGATGCCGCGATACAGCGACTTTCCCGAGGTGTTTTGCCACGCGAACAGACTCAGGTCGTTGTGTTCCCTGAGGATCTCTTCCTGGAGCCGGAGAAACGCCCTGTCCCCTTCCCCATAGAGCAGCGGCATGTTGACGTTGAAAATACCCAGGAGGCAGTATGCAATGTCCTCGACCCGGCTGGTTTCCCTCGGCGCCGCCCAAGACATTTTCCTGCCGACCGGGACAAAGTCCAGATTTTGGCCGTTGACGAGGACGTCCGAGTCGATCCGAGTGATTCTCGCCAGCAGCTCTTGAAATGTGGCCTTGGTGCCGGCCTCAACCCACCACTTGTCGTAGAAGCGGACCTTTTGCGGGGCAATCAGCTCCTGAAGCGTCCAACCTCTGGTGAACCAACGGCAGGCTTGAAGCTGACCCAGGTCCGAAGCATTTTCTAGGTCTGACAGATAGGCGTAGCAGATCTGGGAGTCCCGGTACCATTTGAACATGGAGTTGATGGCTTCCGACAGCTCTGCGCTGCTTCTCTTGTCGATGCAACAGGTGTCGATCCAGGCATATTTCATCCCGTCTGCCTTTGCTATGCGGCACGTCATTTCGATCTTTGCGTACCCCGATTTTGTCTTGAGCTTGTCCGCCTCGGGGCCTCCGGATTCGATGCATTTCCATTCTTGAAAGTTGATCTCTTCTTTCCCCCAGGTATGCGAGAGGATGGCGTAGGATCCTGGGGCAGGATAGACGATGGATTCGAGTGCCAGAGTCTCCGTATCGATCAGCAGCATCTCCGTTTCTTGTGCAGAGTATAGCCGAGCAGGGTGAAAACAAGGGGACGAATGGAATCCACAAAGATATTCTGTGCTGTGAACCACTATCTGGGATTCCCGAGGTCTCGCTATTGAAGGGACTTTGACTTGTACAGATTGTGCTCTTTCGAAAAGTGTAACGACACAACGACGATGACTTGTTCACAAAAAAGAGTCTGTATGCGCAGGACTGTGCCGGAGCAGAGATGCAAGCATGAAAGGAAGAGACAAAGAACCACCGCCCAAAGGAAAAATACTCACACTAGTGAAGTTGGCAATGCGTTGTCACCACAGCCTCGCGAGGCTGAGTAAGAACGACGCCGAGTTGTTGCCGCCACATCCTCATATCGGACCAATCAGACACAATATTGGTGTTGGCGAGACGTGGCGTAAAGTGAATTGTTCGCTTTCTTTCCCAAAGGCCTCGGAGACGGACCACCGACCTTTATCGATGCTTTCACCTCGATTCGTGTGAATGCCATGTGATTCATGCTAGGCTCTCACCATCAATATGACGCAGCCATCCCTTCGCCCGATACCGGCCTTGTGGTGCTGATAGATCTTGGATGGCCCTCGTACAGCAAAGAGAAATGGTTAGCAGCCTCTCCCGTGGAATTTGCAGTGATGGGAGAGCTCTGACCCATAAAATGAGCATCGAATACGAAGCCGTAACAAGTTCATGTCCGGTTAGCGATGGCGTTCAATCCAAGACCTTCACCAGAAGTCAATGGGGAACTCAACACCAACCCCTGGAAGTTGAGGGAGGCAAGTTTCAAAGCCGAAAGAAGGAAAGCGGCACAGTCTGCCATAGAATAGACGCCATCTCAGAACATAGCTAGTCACTCTGTAACGACAAGGTACCCGCCAGATCAGATATAGCTAATATGGTTAATAAAGATAAGGAGGTCTCTATACACAAGGACAGAATAAAAGCCTTTGTTTAATGGTTGTTACCTTTTGAGTCAACGGCCTATACTGCGCAAGGCCGCATACTGGAGGCCGAAACGGCCTCGTCCGATGTCTCACTCACTAGCCACAGCCATGGCGCTCAAGGCAAAGCTGGGGCTACCACAGCACCTCTGCTCGACCCTCAAGAGAATCGAATGCTAGGTGCCATCCAGGCATCTTCGTAGACAAGCCAGCCAACAAGGCGGACGGATGGGCGGCAGGGAAGGACGGCATCGCCGCTGTAAACAATTTTTGGACCGAGTAGTGGCTGTGTTATTGCGGGAGGCTGTCCTCCCGGAAGCAACAATAATCATCCAGGTTGCTGCTGATAGGGAGATTCGACGTGAAATCGCAGGGAGTGGTCGAGGTAGGGCTGGCTGTTCAAATTTCAGAGCCTGGTTCGGCAACCCGCATCCTTGTCCCAGGCATAAAACAGTCTCCGCGATATTTCCATTCTGATCCCGGGGCTCCGAGGGCACTTCATTTCCTCGCCGAGCCTGGTCACATTGATGGGAATGTCTTTGATCAACCCGGCCGTGTGGTCCATTCCCCTTCGTCGCCTCACTTGGTTTGTGCCGAGTCCGCCTCTAAGCGCTTTCGTTCCCCAGATTTCCTCACCAAGACGCAAGCTTCTTTTCTGCTTCCCCGCGTGGAGAGCACCCCAGGATCTGCATTTCTCTCGTGTACATGCGGATCCGCATACCATCCCCAAGGACAATGTGCGGATAACGTGTCCTGTAAGCCCAGCCCCCCGGCCGCAGGAAGAGCAGGGTTTGTTTCATATTCTCCGGGCTAAAGAGAATGAGGGATAGTTAATGCAAGGACCTTAAGAAAAGAGTCGTCGATCGCATCCTTTGAGCCGAAGCTTTCTGTCCCTGGCGTGGCCTAGCTGTAATGAGGTTTGTCAGACACCGTGCGGTTAAGATTGCGCGGGGATAGGGGGGTCTCCATAAAGTGTATCCGTAGCCGCACCGGACACTCTTGTGCGATCCATGTTCTGACAAATGCGGACAGATGGCTCGCCCTCGTGGCGCTGAGCCGAATCGCGGAAAAGAGAAAGGGGGGTTGAAAGGCTCACCAGAAGTGCTGACCGTTCAATCGGTCTACCTCGTACAGGCTGGTCCTCGTTGCTCGCTAGGATCGGGGAACGCTGTCTTCCGACGGCATCCACGGCAAACGACGAACAATATGAGAGGAGGCCAGGGGTTTAGACCGAGAGGCCAACCGGATAAATCAAGCATTGGTGCTTTTTCTGTGTTACCTCTGTAATTAGTTTTATGCCATACCCTGGTTCACAGCCTCTTGCAGTATTTTGGCTGCACTTAATGCCATGTCACTCTTTCGCCCTAGCAGCCACAACGCGTCGATACAATCATTCAGACGACTCCTTGCTTCCGACAGGTGGTTGGTGTCCATGAAAAGACCAGGCTCGCGCCTGGACAGGACCAATTTGACGAGAACTTCACCGGCGTGCGCGAACGACCGCACTAAAACTACCGTCCACGGCTCCGTGAGCAGTGCTGCCTTATTAACCGCATAGTGAAAATCTGGCGATTGCGAAAAGGATAAATCTTCGTTGCCGAAGCGTGAACATCGGCCGAGGTCCGACACTGCGTAAACGGAGCGGAACCGTAGGGCTACAGAGAACTCCGTCGTCTGTCTAGCGGTCCGATTCGCCGGCAGGGTCATGTTCGAATCGTCTAGCTTCTCGATCAGATCCGACAGGATGAGGATGGCCAGGTGCCAATGGCTAGCGAGGAGGATGTACCAGGATTGAATGCGAGCAGGGAGGCTCTCGTGGTTTGCCACACAGTCGGTAATGAAGCGGCCGTAGGTGTTATTCCAATGGTTATAGACCTCTAACGTGGATGCGATGGCATTCTCGATTGCTTCGGCTGGGGCACGCTGATAATAGAGATCCTGAAGATGCCCTACTCTGCGGAAAACGAGGACCTTGACGGGAGCGGCATCGGCGAGGCATGCTGCAGCATCGACATAGGAGCAAGGCCAGCGAGTCGTTTGCTTGCGAACGTCTCCAATCCGGGACTGCTGACGAAGGAAGTAGTTGCCCCATATTTGCGACTCCCGGGCTAACTGAGAACTGTTCATATTGGAGAAACCAGAATAACCATCCAGATCACAGGCAAATCCGTTGACGGATGATGACAGCCTCGGAGCCGGCGGCTGATCATCATCGATGATACTGGTTTCGCCGTCGCTTAGAGCGAAAGTCCGTCGGTTCATGGCTGCGGATATTGTGTCAAACATGATGGCGAGCCAGAACATAAGTCCAAACGTTTGTTTGTCCTGCTCACCCAGAGTGAGGGACGTTTGTAACGCAAGGTGGTTACCATTCTGAGAGCGTTCGGCATCTTTGAGTCTTCGTTGATGATCGTGCAATTTGCGGACAGCGACGTCCAGAAAGATAGGCCCGCCGTCATGGTCGAGGATCCTGCGTAGCGACGCGAGATCATTCTGCCGACGTGAATTTGGGCTAGGGAGGACTTCCGCCGAATCCATGGGACGTTGCGTCAAAGAAAATATGATCGCAGCAAATATGACCTTGAAAGACGGGTTTCCCACAGCCTGACTAAGAGCCGCGTTGGCTTTATGCCAAAGTGCTTTTTGCATATTGCGCCCAAAGATTCCATGTTCAGGTAGCTGCGTGGATAGGTTGTCATGCTTTCCGTAAGCGGACTGAGCCCATTGCACGGCGAAAGCCATAACCACAAGGCTGAGGACGTTTGAAGCCTGTTTTTGATCACCCTGGGATAAGAGACCACTCCTTGAATAGGCGTCGTCTAATGCGCGCACTCGTGTCACGATTCTGTTGGACCATTTGGAGCTCCAGGCATCTCTTTCGTCCACAAATGGGCTAGACGCGTAGGGGCAATTCCTCTCAATCAGCCAACAGCTCAAAGCACCTTCTAGGGAGTCGTGATAGATTTTAAGCAGGCCTTTTTTGATATAAAGCCGACTATGATCTTCCGCAAGAAAATGCGAGGCAAAGGGCGAAGCAGTCTTGTTTATTAGGCCATTTCCGTAGAAGGGAGGCGAGAATCGACGTTCCTGGACGGTGGATTCCTGATCCTGACTATCAACCACCGACTGAGGATTTGACATGGGCTGCCCCCAAGAGCTCGCACCATCGGAGAGGTAACTCGTAGAGGATTGGCCATCAATAGCAACCTCCGGGTCGAGCATCGGCTGAGCCATATAGTAATTGGTCGAATAGGACTCGGGATAGTCGACAGGCGTGAAGTCGTAGAAGGGCTGATTCAGCTGTGGGTTCATATGAGAGGCGCTATCGTCGTGTTGTGATCCGTTGAAGTTCTCGAACATTGTGCTCGTGGACAAGCATGCGGTCGAAGCGTCCGGAAATGTTTCTCTGGATATTGACCTGTTGAGAGAGTCGCTGAGCATGGAGTCAATATCCTCCTGCGGAAGACTCGAGGCGCCGTCCACCCATGCCTCCTGCGTGGCTGTGTCGTCTGCGATGTGCGATACTCCCTTTGAACCTCGCCTGCGCTTGGAGGTGGTCGACTGACGCCTTTGATGCGACTTGATCCACTCGATTGTGCAGGCCTTTTTCCACTTCTTACAGTTTGTGCAGGGAGAGGAGGCGAAAATGTTCGTCGCCTCGTGTTCATCGCTCGAGGGGAAACCGAGACCGCTGATTGCTGGCACCTCGTGGACAGCGACTTCGACATCGCATCGACGTTTGCCCGCTCGACACTGGTCGCAGCTCTTGTTCTGGCGACGGCGTAGGGCGACAGTCTGTGCCATGGCTCGTTTGGGGGGGATTGCGTGAAGCGGCGGGTCAGTTCAGGGCTACTGCGGCATTGATCTGGACGACGATGTGTTCGGAATGTTGGCAACAAGGTGAAGTGATGTCTCTTGAGATGCCAGTGCGCGCGAAAGAAGGTGGAGTCCCAATCCAGCCCCCGCGATTATCCTTCTTCATGGGCCTTCTGGCTCTTTTGCGGGGTAACCAACTCAGCTCGCATTGCTTCGCTTCGACCGGCTCATCCAGGCTGTGTCACCGCCAATCCGTTCTGACAGCGCCACGGTTTGCCCTAAGCATCAAAATATGCAGTCTCCAAGGGGGCACAAGACGGCCAGGACGGCTCATCCCAGCTGACGCAGCGGTCTACGGCGCACGCAGCACGGCACCACGGGTTACATCGTACAGGCACGCATGCACCCATCCCCTTTTGCAGGCCCCTCGCCGCCTTTGCCAGCACTGACAGCAAAGCGTGCTACTGTATCTAGCTTACCGAGCGGTCCCGTCCTACGGAGTTGGTCGTTCCAGGGTTCAAAATGGCAAATTGGAATTGTATAACGGGCAACTTGGTCCCCTGAGTACCTAACTTAGGCCACCGTACACTCCTGATTCGAGGGCAACCCAGAGACCGAGCACCTGGGGGTCTGCAAAAGGAAGGATTTGAGAACAAATCATCCCGGCTACTCCCTTGGCGCGATCGCACCACCAGTAAAGGTTGGGCAGGCCCGCCCAATGGCCTGTGCCCGTCGACCTGCCGGTTGGCCCATCGCTCAGCATAAAGGTCAACCCCCAGCCCTGCTGCTTGCCTGGATACAAGTCTGGTATGGCATTGGTCAGGTCCGGCTTGGCTGGAGGGATTCCCTGGCGTGAAAAGTCCGGGAACTCGGGAATCTGGTTTTGGAACATCAAATCCACCGTCTCCTTTTTCAGAATTTGTGCGCCGGTAATCGGCGATGTGCCGTCATTCAGCAAGGTGGCCAGGATTTCTGGTCTTCCGATCAGCTCTAATGCCTGCGTTTTGGGCTAAAGGTGGCTTACGGCAATACTCTCGCGGCCGCGCAAAGGCGCCAGCCCCTCCACTGTTGACGCATGTCGCAATGTCTTGCTGACTCTCCACGACCAATGGCCGGTGGAGGAGATGATCTCGTGGTTGAAGCTGACCATCTGGTGTGCGCGCATTCATGTACGCCAGCTTTGCCTTCATCTCAGCGTTGGGAAACATGGAGATATTCCTGATGCCTAAGGGTTGGAAGATGTTGCGCTGGAAGTAGTCGTTCAACGACATATTGGTGGTACGTTCGACGCAAATGCCAGCCCAGTCTATATTGACCTAATGCCAGGGTTTAGCCAAAATTCGGGTTCGATGCGCGAGCAGAGCCTACACCATATTGCCAACCCTCACCAGGCTGATGGACCAGTGGCTGAATCAAGTCTTTGATATGCCCTGAGAACTCATCGTACCCAATGGGTTTGCTGTAATCACGAAGACCGTCGTGAAAGAACGTATAGCCGAAGCCCGCTGGATTCGCGTCAGCTCAATGCTCATTCCAGGAAGGAGTGATTTCTGACCGGTATGCGACAACAGCATCCTGAGAGTGATTCCTCTCTTTGCTGGTACGAGCTTGCCATCAGGCTGCAAGACGCCTAAGTTCTTGATCTCGGGACACAGCTGTGCGACTTGGTTCGCATCGTCCAGTGACAGCTTGCCTTGCTCCACTAACTGCATACATGCAACACCGGTAATCATCTTGGTACAAGATGCTATCCAGAAAATGCTATCAAGGGTCATCGGCTCAGAAGAGCCAAAGCCTCTCTTGCCGGCAGCATGGGCGTAGAGCTCCTTACCATCCTTTCCAATGGCTATGCCGACCAACCCTGGAATACCTTTGTCACCATCGACGCAGGCAGCGTTGAGGGTGGACGTTATATTGTTGACAGCCTCAGTAGAAAGACCCATATTAACAGATATAGAGCAAAGGACGAAATACTGTTCGATTCAGCCTTACCAATATGCGAAGGAACACGGCCAGCAGCAAGAGGGCTTGTGAGTAGCTATGCGGGTTTCGCCTGGCTGTTGTCTAAATATCAAGTGAGTCTCCGGTGTGCCTTCCCCTCCTCTCTCTCCTCTCTTCACCTTTTCATCCTGCCCCTCAGACGAGCTGTTCTCCATCCATTTGGGAAGAACGATGCGGGTCCGAGAGTCACTCGCGAGGTGATCCCTCCTTTGACCCTGAAGGGCGTCGCGAGAGCTCCGCAATGATGTGCGGAAACGCATTTTGGGGACTTGCCCTTCTTCTGGAAGATCTCTCTGGCAATCATGATCCCCTCATCCAACCATAGTTGTTCCGTATCCCTCAACGCGACTGACGACAGGCATATCCGCTCCAAAGGACACATCATACTTGCGGAAGGCGTGGCATCCCCCCGCAATGCCAATTTCCTGTATAGAGACTAGGGCTGGGGTCTTACCTCTTTTGCGGAGCCGCAGCGGAGGCCCTTGTCAGATGCCTGGAGCAGATCTGTATGGGGTCTCTATGCGGGCACCAAACAGATCAAAGAATGGTCATTCGCTATATCCGGTCAGTCAGGATGCAAATGCTCTGTATATAAGACCGAAGAAGAAGGAAAGAGCTGGACCACAAGAAGTCACCTCTCGCACAAGTCTAAACCAAGCTTCCTCCTCATCTTACGTGGCTCAACCAGCCTTGCTACCGCTTGACATACAATATCACAACCATGGGTGACCCAGGAATGACCAACCCCAAGCTGAAGACTCAGCTCTGGGAGTACGGCCGTCGCAGGAGAACAGATGGCCCCTATGCGGATAACTTGGAGGTCGATGCCCTCGTCGTCGGTGGCGGCTTCGGTGGGGTGTTCTGCTTCTGGTCCCTTCGCAAGGAAGGGTTGAAGACTGTTATCTACGAGGCTGGCACCGACCTCGGCGGCACTTGGCGATGGAACTGCTACCGTATGTTCATTCTTTGGTTTGTTGTTGCTTGACCGAGCTAAGCCTTGACCAGCCGGGGCAATGGTCGACTCCGAGGTCCCGGAATACCAGTTGTCAATCCCGGAAACGTGGAAAACGTATGTTAAGAAGCTCCAAACGTCCTTGTCCATGTCGGTGGCTCATCGATTCTAGGTACAACTGGCCATCTAACTATCCAACTTATAAGGAACTTCGTGATTACTTTGATCACTGCGACAAGGTTCTCGACATCAAGAGCCAGACGGCCTTCGAAAGTGTTGTCGTCGAAGCCAAATTCAACACAGATGAAGGACGCTGGTATGTCAAGACGGCGGACGGCCGGACAGCCAAGGCAAAATACCTCGTCGTCGCGGCTGGCTTTGCTGCTAAGCGATACGTCCCTGACTGGCCTGGTATCGAAAAGTTCAAGGGCACTGTTCATCACTCGTCCTTCTGGCCCGATGAAGAGATTCCCGTTCAGGGCAAGAAGTGTGCTATCATCGGCACCGGTGCCTCGGGTGTCCAAATCACTCAAGCATGGGGCCCGAAAGCAGGTGAGCTTAAGGTCTTCCAACGAACACCCAACTTGACGGTGCCTATGCGCCTTCGCGCCCTCACGGCGGAAGAGCAGTGGGCCGGCAAGAAGTGGTATCCGGAGCTCTTTGACCTTCGTGAACGATGCTTTGGCGGTTTCTTGTATGACTTCTCCGAGAAAGGGTTGTTCGAAGATACTCCCGAAGAGCGTGAAAGATTCTTCGAGAAGCTGTGGTCTGACGGCGGCTTCCGCTACTGGCTTGGAAACTACAAGGACTACCTCTTTGACCCCAAGGCCAACCGCGCGGTCTATGACTTCTGGGCCAAGAAACAACGCGCTCGACTGAACGATGCAAAGAAACGGGATATTCTCACCCCCGTCGAGCCACCGCACCCATGGGGTGTCAAGCGCCCATGCCTGGAGTACTCCTACCTCGAGCAATTCAACCGCCCCAACGTCGACGTCGTCAATATCAAGAACAACCCCATCGTCGCCTTTGATGAGAAAGGCATCGTCCTCCAGGACGGCACCCACCACGACTTCGACATCATCTGCATTGCCACCGGTTTCGATATCACCACCGGCGGCATGACAGCCATGGGCCTGCACAACATCAACGGCCAGACCCTCGACAAGGAGTGGAAGAAGGCGGCCGTGACGTACCTCGGCACCACCGTGCCGGGCTATCCCAACATGTTCCATCTCTACGGCCCCCACGGCCCCACGCTGTTGTCCAACGGCCCGACATCGGTCGAGATCCAGGGCCGGTGGATCACGGACGCCATCACCCAGATGGAGCGCCAGGGAATCAAGTACATCAACCCGACCGACGTGGCCAGCATGCAGTGGAAGCAGAAGATCAACGAGTTGAGCGACAAGTCCCTGTTCCCAACCACCAAGAGCACGTAAGTCCATCCATCCCCCATCTTCCAACTCTTTCCTTTTTCACAAAAAAGATACTGACTCTTCATCTTCCAGGTACATGGGTGGCAGCATGCCAGGCAAGGCATTCGAGCAGGTGAACTACGCGGGTGGCATGTACAACTACCATCACGACATCAGAAAGGTCCTGCCCAACTTTGAGGGATTCCAAGTCGTGAAGAGATGAACGCCGGAGCCCTGTTGGGACGTGTAACGGCAGGACCGTAAATTGGGACGCCGAGCAAAAGCGATAGCTATTGGCCTCGCCTTCTCACGAGGATTTAAATAAGGAAAGAGAAGTGAAATATGCACGAATCCCATTTTGACACATGGTTTGTCTCGATGTACTTCCTTCTTCCGAGTGGCTTCTTGCACAGTGGTTGTGGTGAGTCCATGAAGCGTCGCTGGAGCGAGGACACTACGAGCCCTTGAGGATTGTGACATTGTGATACACCTCTCTGGCCATGGATTTTACTCGACTTTCCTTCTCCTTCTCCGGAGACGAGCCCAGGTCGTGTGCCAGTCATCTACCCTGCCCGGATGCCATATGGTCATCTTTTGAAAGAGTTGGTGGTTTTTTTTGTCTAGAGAAAGTATCGTCTCAGATGCCTAGAGTTACAGAGCAGGTAAGTATTATCCAATCGCTCCCGAAGCCGCAGGCCTTTTTTTAAACCCAATCTTTGACATTATTGATCTGAGAGGGTCGAACATTGCGGTGTCTCATTGTTCGCTTCCACTGGGCGGCAGCGAGTCTCGAGTAGCGCCAAAAGCTTGGGGTCGTCTCTCGCGGCGGACTTTGCAGCAGCTATTCCAGTGGCAGAGAACAGCGGAATAGGCTGATTGAGGAGTTCTTCGAGGAGAATCCGATTGCCTGTTCCAGCACATGCCAGCAACAACTTGTCTGCTGCAACAGAATGTGAGGTCGGGAGAGATCGGGATTCTATGAAAGCGTCGATGACCTTGGAAGCAGTACCACGCTCAACAACGCAAGTGAGTGCGTGGATCTTGTCATCCTCCCCGAAATGCGACGAAAAGTTGTTGAGGAGACGGGTGAGGGACTCATACCGGCAGCAGTCAGCCAGGGTGAGCAGAGTTTTTGGATGGGGAGTTAAGCCCTTTCGCAACAATGCAATCAAGCGTTTCAAATGTCTATTTCTGGCAAAGTCCAGGTAGAGTAGTTGGATGAATTCCGGATGTTGTTTCAGAAGCTTCTGTAAGGCTTCGTTGTCGGGGAAGGTTGCATTCATTGTACTCCGGTAGAAACATCCAGACAGGTGCTGTGCTCCCAGGAGGGTCCTGCCGATATCTTCAATGGCTTTATCGCTCAACCCATCAGGGAATGAGAGGTTTGAAGGGAGCCAGTCTCGCTCAAGCCAAGGGTTTGACAAAAGGACGTGGCTCAGAGAGCTGTTGCCGAGCGACAACCGGACCCAGCCAACTGTTCTTAACGCTGTCAAGGATCGCAACCGATCTAACAAGAACGGGGGGCTCCAGTCGTAACTGGTGACCTCTTCGATATACTTCTGCATGTTTTGTTCAACGGCGGCGTCAATACCGTCACAGATCAATTCGGCGATGTCTAAGCACCGAGACTGAAACATGCCAGAAAGTTGACCTTCGTTGCAAGCTGCTTCGAAAGCGGATTTCAACATTCTCAGACACTCAGATTGGCCGTTTTCAGCTGCAAGGATCCAGGCGTGTCTCACGCCGGCCATATAACCACGTCTGGGATATGCATCCAGCAAAGTTCGAAGAGTTGAAGCTTGTCCATGCCGGGCTGCAAGGGTCAGCGCCGTTGAGCCATGGTCAAGCTCGGCGTGTGGGTCAGCGCCAGCTTTCAAAAGCATCTCGACAACCGAAACATGACCGGCTTGTGCAGCGTAATGAAGTGCAGTCATTCCGTCGGCGAGTGGATCCTTTTCGTTCGCGTCGAACCCGTGCTCTAACAGGAGCCATACGATTACTTCATGACCATGCTGAGAAGCTAGCCACAGGGCGCTGTTTCCACTTCCTGTTTTCGTGAGTATGCCATCCTTGAGCAATTGCTTCACACCGGTGACAGAGTTGTCGCGAATCAGGTCAGCAATTTCTGGAATCAGCCCTGTGGCAGGCGCGGACGACCCTTCAGAAGCAAAGTCGTCGTAAAAGTGCCATTTCTGATAAGGTCTAGCGAGGACTGCAAATGCTAAGCGCTCCAGATGTTGGCTTATGTGTGTGATGAATTTGTCCGGTGTTGGTAGAGCTTTGTCGCAAAAGCAGCAATTCATCTGGTGGAGTTCCTTGCTGAAATACTCCATAAGGCCCGAGGTTGCGCCTCCGCCCCAGAAACGCTTCAGTCTCTGTTCTGGATGACGTTGTTTGATATGTCTATGCAACTCACGTTTCCTCAATCTCTCCTCGGAAGCTGGGCACTGGCGGCAGCGATATGAGTAGACGAACGGGTGTGATCCAAGAACGTGGGTCCGCATTCTCCATCTAGAAGTGTACGTCTTGGAAGGCGTTGGGCAATTCTCGAAAATGCAAGAATACGGCTGAAGGTCATGTAAAACGTGGGTCCTGCATGAGATGAGATACGAACTTTGAAACGTGGAGATAGGACTTACTGCCAGTCACGCCTTCGCAGGACAAAGACCCTTTTGTTGCAAATGTTGCAGATGAAGGTGTTTTGCTTTTCCAGATCAACGGGGGGAGGCGGCATCACGAATCCGGCCTTTGTTGAGCCAACTGAGCGCGAAGAATGCGTTTTGATTGATGAGCCCCTCCACATCACTGCCGGTAGGACGTCTGGAAATTGCAACGAGTTGTTGGAATGGGATGAACCAGATAGGGTAGATCCTCGACGTTTCCGTCCAACCTTACCAGTCCAGAAAGATTTTTCTTGAGGCGACTCCCAATCCCGGGAATCGACATGTCCATGAGCTCCTTCCTCTTGACCTTTGAAGACACCAGCTACTGCAGGGGTCGGCTTTTCTTCGACGTCGATGGAATATGTCTTGTTTGCATAGCTTCGAACATCCTCCTGATATTGGTGATCTTGGTTTGGGCTTGTATCGCCATGTGAAGCGACGGACGGCTGACGCAGAAGATTATCACCGGGGGGGAAATGCTCGAGACCCTCGCCGGCCCCGCTGTGCGATGAGGAAGTACGTGCATGGAAAGCGCGCGGGAGTCTTTTCGCTCTTATCACATTAAGCTCCGCTAAGCGTTCAGCTAGCCACGACGGAAGCAGAGGAAACCTGTCGCAAATGTTCCGGTAATAGATTGCTTGGTCGATTTCAGCCTTCCATTTTCGGTCATTAGCTGTCTCATCGTCCGGAGTTCTCTTCCATTGCTTGATATGAACGCGTTTGAAATGTTCAATTCCGGAGGCTTCCTCGTCTTGTCGCGTCGTATCTGAAAACGGGGTGGTTGGTATCACATTGGGGTCAAGGCCCACGGACTCGGTCTGCGCGAGCCATTTATCCAATGGCGTTTCGAATGTCAAGGATAAGTTGTCCGAGATGCCAACCTGTTCCGCCACAGGCTGCTGAGCGTTAGGTCGGACCGTTACCTCGTATGGTGTTGGCAACGTTTCATTGTTGGCAATGGTTTGTGTTGCATCTTCTAGAATCGAGATGTCTTCGTTGGCTATTGCCATATCTGTGGACTCCAATACCGCAAGAATTGCGGCCGATTCATCAGGATCCTTTGGCAGAGTTCTGGCTCCGAATACTTCCAGATCTTGAGTACTCTGTGACCATATCACCTCGTCGTCTTCTGTCAGAACAGTAACACGCTTTGTGTGGCCTTCTAGCCTCTCTCTTGATGGATAATACTTCAGGTTACAGCTTTTGCTTCTCAGCCTTAGCATTTGTTCAGCAGCCACAGAGCAAACCACTCACCAGGTAACCAGTGACCTTGGACGATCCAATTCGAGTCGCCGCTCTCCACAGCTTGGGCGAGGGCACAGTCCTCCCTGCCATCGAATCTGGGAAATAATCACCGACATGGTTACTGAAGAGCCTGGAAACACTGTTCTATGCCAGTCTTCTTTTTGAATGATCGCTCCAGCACCTTTGGTGTCGATCAGATGGTATTGTCCTTCCAACACTTTAGCCTCGCCAGGGGCGCCCTTGAACTCGGCACGGAGCAGGCCTTCAAAGGTCTGCCATCTTGTTAGCGATGTAGACAGGACAGCAGTTTCCTATGTCGGAACTCACCTCCCAATGACGAAACCATTGATATGGAAGCGAAACAGTCCTACCGAGTGCGTCCTCAAAAAGAATGGAGTCAGAGAGCATGGACGGGGCGGTGGCGGGACTATTTTGGCTCGTTAGAAGCAACGCATATATCTGCATATTGGTCTGAATGATCCTTTGCAGTGCAATCTTGGTCTCTCGCTGGAAGGAGCCAAGGAAGTCTATAATCTGTCCCAGCACTGTATTGAAGCTGCACACTGCCCTCCCAACCGAAGTTAGTGCATTCGAGACAGGAGTCAGGTTGCCCTCCAATATCTCAGCGACATCCTCGACTTTGTTTTGTATCTGTCGTAGGCTGGCCTGGTATTCAGGCGGAGGACCACGTTGTTGATTCGTCAACTCGAGCCTCTCCATACCTTCTCGAATTTTCATGATTTCGTCGAGGAGGTTAAAGTGTCCAGCTCGTTCTTTTGAATCTCTATTTGAGGTAGATTCACTTTCGCCCCGAGTCAGCGAGGAAGGTTGCTCAGTTGGGTTATGACTGCTTACAATACATGCATAGACAGCAGGAGGGTCAAGCAAAGCACCTTCATCGCAATGAACTTACGGAAATTGCCGAACTCGTCCGAGCCCAGAAAGGCCCATTTGACCTTGTGGAAGGTCCCTTTGAGGCTGCTCCTTGGGGCGTGAGGACCAATGGACGCCTCGTAAGACTTGAGTTTGCTGTGGAACTCTTGGAGGCAAGGCTCGCAAGCCAAAGCCAGGCCGCGAAGCGCATTGACCTGAACTGCATTGTCTTCGGTGATGGTCAATTGAGTGACTTTCTCAAGCAGTCTCTTGAGGCTTTCGAGTTCAATAACTGCGTGCTGGTACTCTGAAGAGGAGCCCCCAACATCCTTGAGTGAGGAGATTATTTTGCTTGTGAGCTCTAGAGGACTTATCAGCCTGACCAACAACCGGAGTCCAATTATCACAGGACAGACTTACGTATCACAGTCACGAAGTCTCCAACGGAGAAACCAAAGGGGACTGGCATCTCGTCCAAGTAACTCGGGGACTGAAAGGACTGAGAGACCTCAGACTCCGTGAGGGTCTCCCGCGTACATCACCGAACAATGTGTCCATGTGCTCGATATCAAAGAGTTTAGTAGGAAAGCGGGGAGGTCAGCCGCACCGCCCCGCCATTTAGTTCTGCCTAGTCCCCAAGATGCCACTGACATCTTTGTCGAACAGCCTCGCCAGCCGCCTCGCCTATCCTCCTCGTGCCTGTGACTTTGCATGAGGCTGTGCCTTCTCTGCCTCGTGGCAAACCGGCACTTGATATCTTTGCTGCGGACAGCCATATTCAGTCACCCAATCCTTGTAATTAATGAGAATGAAAGTGTGCCTTCATCGGAAGCAGGAGAGGCACTGAAGCCAGCGAAGCAATTCGATGGTTTCGATCAGGAATCGATTCCTTGAAACACTGTGTCCAGCCATCGCCAAGTGGGTGCCTGGGATCTTGTCGAAGCTCTCGAGTGAACCAAGCACGGAGATTAGGCGGCTGAGCCGCTGTCCGGTCGGCTTAATCTAGGAAATGAGCCTTGTGGCCCTACAAGCCGCCATAAAAGAAGAGCTGCTGCAAGGGGATTCACCGTGAGGCTCTTTCGGTGCTTAATTGCGGTCCCTGCCATGTTGCCCCTCTGGCGTTCAAAGCCCTATCAATGGGCCTCGAGTGAGTGTTGACTAGGCTGAGGCCGGTAAGCACCTTAGCTCCCTGCCCATCAGTCTGCCTTGGATGCTGGCAGTGACAGCGGCACTCATCCTTATTCCTTCGCGAGGAACCACTTTGTTTTACCTTACACCCCGAACGTGGCTGCAGCTGATTGGCGAAGCGCGGACTCCGTCAGAGCATTGTCGCAAAAAGATGTTTGCAACATCTTCAGATCTCTTCTTTTGTTTCTTTGCTGGCCCGACTCTCCACATAGCCAATCTTGAGTTCAATGCACAAACGAAACATGCGTTGGAGTATTTTCTTCCAGTGATCTCCACAGTCCTTGCTCTTCTCGGAATTAATTGAGATCATGGATCCGCTAAGCTTAACAGCCAGCATCGCAGGTCTGCTCAGCCTTACCGTCCAGGTCACCGAGATCATCTCCGAGTACATAAGCACTGTCAAAAACGCCGAGCAAGAATCTCTCGAACTCAGACAAGAGCTTCGTTCATTCTGCGAAGTACTGAAGCAGCTGGAGCAATTCCTTAATGGCGAGAACGGACCCCCTCCACGGTTCGAGGGCACAACCGCCCTATATACTTCGATCCAAACCTGCCACGCGACACTCAATTCACTCTCGACAATTCTGCAGAAGTTCCAGGAAGAAGACCCAGGGAAGAAATGGTACCGAAAGTTAATCTGGTCTCTCAAACGTGACGGGAAGATGGAAACTATCGCCATAGTCCAGCGCTGCATCCAGATATTCCAATTTTCGTTGACAATAGAAGGATGGTGAGTCTCTACCTCGAACCCATACTACTGGAAATTGCAGCGGCTAATGCGAACGCCATCGTTGACTTAGTGATGTCCTCTCAAAAACCCTGGATGAAGTTCTCACAATTCGTCAAACGCAGCTATCCACATCGAATAACGTCACGGAAATTGTTGAGCTTGTCAAGAAGATTCAGATCGATATTGACAAAAAAGGGGATTCGCATTATAGTAAGATGAGCGAAATCCATAAGAAGCAGATGGGTATGTATGCCTTCCTCGTCCAGTGTGAGCTTCGGAGAAGCTAACCTTTTCTTTAGACGATGAACGCCAGAGATTGCTGAATTGGATCAGCGGCTCAATTGACCCGTCATCGCATCATAACAGGGCCAATTCCAACAGACAACCAGAGACTGGTCTCTGGTTTCTGGAGTCGGACGATTTCAGCACCTGGATCAAGTCGCCAGGCTTGCTGTGGCTGCACGGCATTCGTAAGTATCTAGCCCCCAACCCTCCCTCTTTGACTGGACTAAAGCGCTGGTTTGTGGTCATCTAGCTGGTTGTGGCAAAACGGTTCTCTGGTACATATCTCGTTGAAGACTTATGGGGTTCTACATCCTCAGCTAACTTGAATCACCAGCTCAACGATCATCGAGGCTGTCAATGAAGTGTGCTCTTACGGCACGGCTGGAAAGCTAGCGTACTTCTACTTCAATTTTCAGGATTTCCAAAATGATTCCCAAAAGGGGGACCTGTTCATGTCCGACCTCTTGCGGTCGCTGCTCAGACAACTCTGTGCCAACGAGCCTACACTACCGGATCAAGTCCAAGCAATGTATGCCCGGCACCGCCCGGCCGGATCAAACCCTACCATCGAGGAGTCAACGTCTGCCCTGTACGCTGTTATTGACCACCTGGCCAAAGATGTATACATCATACTGGATGCGCTCGACGAATATCCAGAGAATGCAAACAATGCGCAAAGGAAAAAAATGCTGAAGATGATCGCTCAAATGGTCGATGGTCGTTTCCAGAACCTCCACATCCTAGCAACGAGCCGGAAAGAGTGGGATATCGAGGCGGCTCTAGGGAATCTAGCAAATGGCGGTGTCCCCATCCAGGGCCCTTGGGTCGACAGTGATATCCGAAGGTACATACGATCCTGTCTGGAGGAAAATCCGTTGAGCAGATGGCCGGACAAGATCAAAGCCAGCATCGAGACGAGGCTCAGCGAGGGGGCTAATGGAATGTTCGTTGGGGTTCCATAATTTCCAAATCCCCTCTAAAAGGTCTGGCTAATTCTCTGCAGGTTTCGCTGGGTTGTCTGCCAGCTTGATATGCTGGGGGAGTGCACAAAAGTCAGCTCCATCCAAAAAGCACTGACCGAGTTACCAGAGACTCTGGACAAGACATATGAGCGGATCCTGGACGGAATTCCGAGAAGCAACAAGGGCGATGCTCGATCCATTCTTCAGTGGCTCGCATACTCGAAACGCCCTTTAACCCTGGAGGAGGTCGCGGAGGCTGCGATTCTGAGACCCAGAGAAGACTCGATGAACCCGGAGGAACTATGCGACCCTTCAGAAGTTTTGCGCATATGCCGCAGCCTCGTTACGCTCTCAACAGAGACAGTCTTGATCTGTGCCCGTTTCTGGGAGGTTAAAGTCGTCAGGTTCGCCCATTTCTCCGTCCTCGAATACTTGACATCTGGACGGTCGGGCTCCTTCTCTGTTTCTGCCACAGAGGCTCACAGCTATATCGGTGAATGCTCCATTTCGGTTCTCCGCAAGTTGGATCAGCCTTCACGATCAGATGAGGATGAAGACGAGGTTGCAGAGGAAAACACAGACGAGGATGTCCCTAACGGTGTCGAACAGCATACAGACGATGGCCGAGACGAAGATGCAGGCGGAAGCCCGTTGGCCAAATACGCAGCGGAGCACTGGTATGAACATGTCCGCGAGGTTGAGAAGGTGAACGACGGACTTTCGGAAATCTCGGACAGCACATACCGGTTCCTCGGCGAAACTTCTCCTCGTTGCTTTTTGAGATGGCTCCAACTATACGATCCTCGAACAGGAATTGACTTACAAGGGAAGGGAGAGTGCTTCCCGCTGTACTACTCGTCACTGCTAGGCCTTATCAACGCCACCCGCCGTCTGATCGAGAGCGGTGCCGATGTTAACGAGCAAGTTCCATGGTATAGCGGTGCACTTCATGTAGCCGCGATCATGGGTCACTATGAGATCGCTCAGATTCTGCTTGAATCCGGAGCAGATATCAAGCGATGGGATAAAATCCATGGCACAGCATTGGAATGTTGCGCAGCCGCAGGACATCTGCGTGTCTGCCAGCTTCTTATCGATCACGGAGCCAACGTGAATGGTGCGGGCCGTCGTGACCATGGCAGTGCACCGCTGGCGGCCTTGGACTCACTGAACCTGTCCAAATCGGATGCGACTGCAATTGTCCAGCCGCTGCTTGCACAAGAAGCCGACATTAACCCGACATGCCAAACGCTGGGCTCTCCACTGGGTCTGGCATTGAAGACAGGGAAGGAGCAGATTGTGCTGGATCTGCTGGGACGCGGCGCTGATGTCAACAGGGCAGGTCTCACTGGCCATCGCAGATCAGGGTTTGAACATGAACGTCGGGACAGTACCCTAGGACGTGGAACTCCCTTACAGGAAGCTGCAGCCAATGGACATGCTCAGATTGTGCGGATGTTACTGGACGCAGGGGCCGACGTCAACGCTCCGGCGGCTGGGAGGTCTGCCTATCCGGGCACGGCTCTACAGCGGGCCTCGAGAGGGGGACATCTTGAGGTTGTTCGATTGCTGCTTGATAAAGGGGCGGACATTAACGCTCGCAGTGGAGATCGCATTGGTACTGCTCTACAGCAAGCTTCAGAGCTGGGACGTTGTGAAATTGTTCAATTGTTACTCGATAAAGGAGCCGATGTCAACACTCCGGGTGGAGAGTGGATCTCTACTGCTTTACAGGCAGCCTCGAGACGGTATCTTGAGATTGTCCAATTACTACTCGATAAAGGGGCCGATGTCAACGCTCCGAGCAGAAGGTACTGGTCTGGCAATGCTCTACAGGTAGCCTCGGCGAATGGACGTCCTGAAATTGTTCAATTTCTCCTTGATAAAGGAGCCGACATCAACGCTCCGAGTACAGGACAGGCTGGTACTGCTTTACAGGCAGCCTCAAAAAAGGGGCACCTTAGTATTGTTCAATTACTGCTGAATAAAGGGGCCGATGTCAACGCTCCGTGTACAAAACTTGTTGGTACTGCTTTACAGGCAGCCTCAAAGATCGGACATCGTGAAATTGTTCAATTACTGCTTGATAAAGGGGCCGATGTTAACGCTCTGGGTGAGGACACCGCTCTCAGAGAAGCTTCGGCAAATAACAAGCTTGAGGTTGTTCAGTTGTTGCTCGATCACGGTGCGGATGTCAACGCTGCAGGTGGAGGTAGGGGCACTGCCCTACAGTCAGCCTGCTGGATGGGACGTCTTCGAATTGTTCAGTTGTTGCTTGATCACGGTGCGGATGTCAACGCTCGGGCGGATATGGAGTTCTTGTTCCGACGTTACAGGAGAGAAAAGGTCAGCACCGCACTGCAGTGTGCTGTGGCGGGTGGCTTTCCGGACATCGTCCAGCTGTTGATTGACTCTGGCGCAGACATCAACGCGACAGATGAAAACGGCCGCACAGCGGTAGAACTGGCAAAAAGCCTTGAAAGGGTGGAAGCAATTCAGATAGCGGTTGAGATATTGCTCAAGCACGGAGCAACGGGGGCAGAGGCGGACTGAAGGAGCAAACCTCTCGGTGACAAACGTCCAAAATAAGATCCAGGAAACCCTCAGAATGGCTCTCAAACTTGTCTCCAGATCTAGGCATCAAAGCAGCCCCCAACAGTGTCCCGATGTGACCCTCAGCGAGCGCCCTTCACATGCCCTTGTGCCGTCTCTGCCTCGTGGCAAACCAGCACTTGATCGCTATGTTGCGGACAGCCACTTTCAGCTACCCGATGCTTGTGATGAGAACGAAGGTGTGTCTTCATCGAAATCCGAAGGAGACCTGAAAGCTAGAGAAATACATCGTCACTACATACTTTCCAAAGAAGACGCATGAGTTAGACATGGCCTCACTGGAGACAGTCTTTACGGGGCCGAACGACTGAAGGCCACGACAACCCCCCCCCCCCCCCCACAACAAGATTACTGCCATTACCGGTATATTGCAACAGGTCCTCAATTGGCTATGACAAGACTTACGAGGTGGGGTCGATGTCAAACCCAGATAAGGGAAATGTTCAGTATATAACTGAATCCCTCTCGCCAAATACTCTTTATGTATGGTCACATATACTATTTATCTTAGTGTATCGCTCCTGCTCTATCGCCCTCCTTTTTTGCTAAGAAAGCCCTGTTTACTATCGCCAGTGCTCTGTCCCGCGTTGATATGGAGGGAGTCGTAACACTGTACTTGTGTCACAACTTTGGGATGCTATGGATATCGTGTACTGACTGCCCAAGCCCTAGTTCGCAACCACACGTGGGGTTACATGGCATCGAAAATCAACCTGCTTCACGAACCAGTCGTTCTGAGTTCTCGGCTTCCGTCCTGGGTGCTCCGGCTGAAAATCATAGTGGCGTACCAGTGCTGGAATCAATTTTGACATTTCCAGCAAGGCGATATTCTTGCCCAGGCAGCTTCGGGTCCCGGCTCCAAACTGAACCCGAGAAAGTGTCAGTCTCTCGAGGGGCGAGGCTTCGCTTCGAAGGATGCCACTTACCGAGAGGAAATAGGCGTCTCGGTGCTTGACCACCTCGGGGTCTTCTAGCCACCTCTCTGGTCGAAATTGATCGGCATCCTCGCCAAAGATATCTCTGTTGGCATGCGCGACCCATGCGTTGATCCCGACTACAGTCTGTCATGGCTCAGGTCAATTGGAGTACGATGACGGACCACAATAAACTCACCCCAGCTGGGAAAACCCGCCCTGCAATGACAGCTCCACCCGCGGGAACGACCCGTCCCATGGCCAGTCCGCCGGCTGGGTGACAGCGGAGGGACTCTTTGATAACAGCTTGCAGGTAAGGCAGACTCTGCGCTTGTTTGTAGGTGATCGGCTCCCCCACGGCGCCGCTCTTGACCGCGTTGTCCAGCTCACCTCTCAAACGCGACAGAACCCGAGAATTTTGATATACGTGGTAGATGACCGAGCAGAGGCTGATGGAAGTTGTGTCGGACCCAGCGAAAAGATTGTTGAGCGCCGACGTCTCGATGGCTTGTCTGTCCACCCTTTCCGGGCTTTCTGACCTGAGGAGCAGGAATCTGGTGATAAAGTCAACGGGTGTGTCGTCGTCAGTTACTTCTGCTTTGGGAGATTTGTCGTCGAGTCGAGCGTCGATCTGTTTCTGCATGTAGCTCAAGGTATGCGCCATCCCTTTCATGCTCCGTGCCGAGACGATGGCATTCAGATAGAAGAGAACGGTGCTCCACTCGGCATACACACCAGCGCGTGCGGCGTAGATCAGAGTGCTATGGAGAGCGGACATGATGCCGCCGATGTCCTCTCCCTTGTCCAGAAATCCGAACCTCACACCGAACTGGGTCACAATCATTCAGTGGTTACGACGCATTTATGGGTAGCACAGAAGTCACTCACTGTAATGGCCCCAATCACATCAAAGGCGTAGGACTGGGTCCAGTGCGGAATGTCAACGAGCATGCCTGTTGCCGCCAGCTCATCCAGTCTCAGTCGCAGCAAGGAAGTACAGTCGTTGATAAAAGGTTCCAGCTGGACCAAGGTTGTCATGGAATACGCATGTGCAATCCGTCTCCGATGCAGAGCTTGCCTCTCGATATTTGGGTCGGAAAAGATGCTGGTGTGCAAGGTGCCTGGGGGCGTTGAGGCCTCGTACCAAGGACCCTGTTCTCCGTTAGTCTAGAGCCTCAAGAAACTGCAGACGGCAGTCTCCTGTCAATCTCTACAGATACAGTGCAGCGAGTTTTATCGAACCTTGCAGAATTTCCCTTTACTTCCATAGATGAGCTGAACCGAGTCTGGATCATCGATACTGTATTCATTTGGTGCCAGACGAACAATTGGTCCTCGATATCTGTCAGTTTCCACTTTTGACACATAGCTCGGCGAGAGGGCTCTCACCAAGTTGTCGATGCAAGTCGTTACCGGTCTGGTGCATTTGCCCATTGTAAACCTGTCGTAGAAGCCAGAGCCGTGTGAATCGTGCTGACCACGGACCGGGTACGTCCCTTAAGGGGCTTCTGATCGAGCGGGTAATTTCATATGCAATATATGCCAAGACAAGATATATAATAGTCGCAGGAGCAAGTAAATCTGCGCCCACGAGTCCCATCTTGGGGGATTTTTGGTGCCTAATCCACCTACAGAGTCTCTCAGCAGACTATTTCAGCCCTTTTACTTACAGGTAAGAGGATAAGGAGAAAGCCACTCAACCAAGAGAGGTCTTGACCTGGGGCGCGAAGATACAAATTGGGACTTCTCGTTCAGCCTCATGAGTTTCCGCTGCGCTTTGTCGGCTTTAGACATCAATCACGGGTCGCTGTTCACGAGTTCCGTGATTTCTCATCAAGTCACGTCAAACCTGCAAGAGGGGTAAGTGAAACTACGTGTCAAACGTCGCGTTGTTCGGCTCTAATCTAAGCCTTATGTATGATCCCATGCCCCAAAACCTTTTAACCAAAATGGGACGGATAGCTTTGCGGGGGTATCAAAAGGGTTTAAATCCGGGGAATATCAGCCCGCTCTGATTAGGTCTGATTACTCAACGGGATAGTCAATGATACTAGCTACCGGGGGTAGACACCTCCGTAGGGGTATTGATAAGGGGTTCAAAGCCGGGGAATATTTGCCCGCTCTAATGAGGTATGATTACTCAACGGGACAGTCAAGAATACTGGCTAGTGGTGTGGATGCTTGAGATATATGCCACCGAGGAGACTTCATAGGTCATTTGGAAGGTCTGTAGGTCGACGTTCGGGAGTCCCTGTCAAGAAGCGATATTGTCAACATCCAGCCACAAGTCTGTCAACAACCACTCACTATGGGGGAAGCGAACGTTCCCGCGGGTCTCGGGTTCCAAAAGACCTTCCGATTCACCGAGCTGGTGTACAGAAAGCCGGGTATCACGCATGAACAATTCATCGATCACTACGTAAACGTTCATATTCCCCTGGCCGTGGAGACGGGAAGGAAGTATAACGTGATCCACTACTCTGTGGTAAGTATAAGACTTCCACTGTCCTTGCTCCTAGCTGTCTTGATATCTGACACACTTGCCAGCAATTTACCGGGCAGAAACAGCGAGAGAAGGCTCAGGAGCTTTTTGGAAAAGGCTTCAGTAACTTCCTCGACTGTGACGCCATCACCACCATCGCCTTCACCGACGAGGCCAGCGCAATCGCCGCCACCAAGGATCCAGACTGGATGGGCAAGGTGGTGGCAGACTGTGTGCATTTCATCAAGGACGATGGCGTACAGTTGACTACGGGCTGGGAATATGTCGCGAACAAGGATGGTGTTACAGTCTGTTGAGTCACGAAGGGCAACACAGGAGACTGGGTTGATGTCAATCTTGGTTCACAACTGATAAGTCTAAGCTTCACGTGAAGCTGCCCGCAGTCTTGGATATCCCTATGACAAAAGGCGAGACTGAAAAGCGCCTCGAAGGGCTTCTAGCTTTCCAAGTTCTTCTGCAGGAGACCCGATTGCCAGTCCGGGCGACCAGACATTTTCGTGTAGCTGCGCAAGCAAAGATTCTGTGATCATTTCGAAGACTTTCACCATAGTACTGAAATTACAATATTAAGATCTGAATTCATCTCCATGGTTGACGCTGCTCGAGTGGTGACCAAGGGTCGACATCAGTCAGCTTTTGCCTCTGGAGGTCCATTTGAACTATCTCATCCTTGTTACCATCCCCTTTTTCGATATTCTGGCCGAAGAGGCGATATCGCGGGACAAGCTCTGCGAGGAAAGGTCGGTGAGTTTTGCGAGTTGCGATGCCGTACGGACTACACGAGAGCTGGGGATCGAGTATCTATGGATTGACTCGCTTTGCATCCTGCAAGACTCGGAGGATGACTGGCAAAAGGAATCCTCCAAGATGGGCAGCATATACAGCAACGCCTTCTTGACCATCAGTGCCGCCGCGTCGACGGACAGCTCGCAGGGAGCGAGCTTCGGGAGGTGCTGCTTGGACATACCGGATGAAAAACCCTAGGTCTCAACTGATCTGTGGTGGCTGAGCTTGAGTCGATATAAGGGGTTGCTGGTCACCAGCGGGGAGAAGGAAGGAGAGTACCTTCGTGTCGGACTGGCCTGGTTTCACGATCCGTTCAATATGGTAGATGGTCTACCGCCCAAGTTCGCCGGGGACGAGTACGCGGAAGTGCTTTTGCTGTAACTCGAGAGCCGCGTCTTTGGAGATTTTGGCCTGGAGCATCTCAAAATATGGATCAGAATCGCCTTGAAGTTTGTAACAATATTGCTTGCGAAGGTTAACAAGCTGGAGAGAACTATATGTACCTACTCCCGGGTGACAGAAGGTCTATATACACTCGGCGGAATAAAGATAACCCGAGATGCGTGAATCAACATTCTCCGCATCTCGATCTTCTCCAAATGACTGCGATTCCTCATTGCTTCCCACATTACACCTGGAATGGTCACCCTTTATGGACGTCGTCTTTCCTTGACCTTGGAGAGCACATCTGCCAAAGACTATGCGCAAGTGCTTCAGCACATGCGCGAGAGTTTTCAGCCATGAAAACCCCTTAGTACGTTGCTTTCCCACTCCACCCAATGTCAACTGGTCATCGACATGGCCCTCGCAGCGAGAGGCAACGTTGGCACACTCGTCTCATTCTCCTCCCACTATAGTGTGCTGAATAGCCATGGCTGATACTGACCCTCTTTTTGCTCCGGCTAGGGTCTCCCTCGCTCCCCTGCACCAGGCAGCAAGGGGCCACCACCGACGATCCCACGCGCGCAACGCGGCCTCCCTCAGAAGCGCCCGCTCCGCCATGTCCGACACACGATCGCCGTTTCCTCTGCCAAGGGCGGCGTCGGCAAGTCCACGCTCGCGGTGAACCTCGCGCTCTCGTTCTCCCGGCACGGCCTGCGGACGGGGATCCTCGACACGGACATCTTCGGGCCCTCGGTGCCCACGCTGCTCGGACTAGCCGACGCGGGCGAACCAAGCCTCACGCCGCAGAACATGCTGGTGCCGCTGACCAGCTACGGGCTCAAGAGCATGTCCATGGGCTACCTGCTGCCGAGCGAGTCGGCGCCGGTGGCGTGGCGCGGGCTGATGGTGATGAAAGCCCTACAACAGCTGCTGCACGAGGTCGACTGGTCTCCGGGTCTGGACGTGCTCGTCCTCGACCTCCCGCCCGGCACGGGCGACGTGCAGTTGACAATCGGGCAGCAGGTCACAATGTCCGGCGCGGTGGTCGTCTCGACCCCGCAGGACATTGCGCTGAAGGACGCCGTCAAGGGCGTCGAGATGTTCCGCAAGATGAACATCGAGGTGCTGGGCATGGTCCAGAATATGAGCGTCTTCGTGTGCCCGCACTGTCACCAGGAGACCAGGATCTTCGCCCACGGCGACAGTGGCGGTCGGGACACCCACAACGGCCTGGCCGGGGCGGAAGCCAAGGCGTCGGAGTTGGGCGTGGACTTCCTCGGTGACGTCCCCCTCGATGCGAGGATATGCGCCGATGCAGACAGGGGCATGCCCACCGTTGTCGCCGAAGAGGCTAGTGGTGTGAAAGTCAATTCTGGGTACTACGAGCGCATCGCTGAGAAGGTTGCCCGGAAGATTGGGTTGGGCTGGCAATGATGACGAGACGAGACGGGTTCTTGTGTGCGGGATGCACGGTGTTGATTGGTGGTGAGGATAGCTGATGATTGCATGGTGGGAATATCGACACGCAGAGCCCTCCTGCGTCTTCATCAGAAATGCGATCTCATTGCGGCAGGCGGCGAAACTAGCACAAGGCAAATGGTTGCGGTCGTATAATAGTTTAATCATTTCTGCTGGAGAGCACGAGTTTCTTCCGCTCTCAACAAGCAATATATCCAAGGTATCTAACTATGCCGCCAGGATGGGGTCATATAGGTATTGTACATCCCTGTAATTGATTTACAGTGCAACCTCCACGACCGAGCCAAGCAAAAGACGTGACACTGTACAATAAGAACAAGCATAGCCACGTTCTCAAGAAGCTCTTGGGTCACCATCCCTTTTGATTCAATCCACGGTCTCCATCTCCGTGGATTCGTCCAGGTGTTCCACCACCCTCACGAATTGATGATGAGGAGGTGTTTGAGACTCCTGCAGTCCGTCCGCGGTATAGAATCCGTCGTGGGCAACCCACTCGCCCCAGGAGTCTCTTCGAATCGGAGATATAGGTCTAGGGGGAAAGGCATCAAGGTCGAACATGCCGCTCGGAGGGCGCTGGCCGGCATGGGTTCCATTGGCTAGATCGATCTTCCCCATATATTCACTTTGTTGGTCGCTGATGACTGCGTCAGCTATCCTGACGGATCCACGCGTAGATGGTTCTTCGTCGCCACCGAGTAACATCCACGACGGAAGAGGACCATCGTAGTAGTAGCCCCCATTGGCTCGATAGGGAAGCACAAGATGAAGGTAGTATTCTGTCGATATTTGATAGTCTGCCATGCAACGGTCGACCTCAAGCCTTTTGCCACGATATATCAAGCACTGGAGAGACGGTGGCAATCCTTCAATTTGGGTGATCATGTCCATGACCTCCTCGACTGTTGTTTGAAATTCTACCCGGAACATCAATATCCGCCCCGTCATTGGTTTGACCATGAGAGCAAGCGTTGGGCAAGCGACTGTACCGTTGTTGAATACAGTTTGACGTAGCGAGGGAGCAAAGTCCAAGAATGCCTTGTCGACCCAGGTCCAATTCAGTCGGATACCTGCAGGTCTGTCAGACGACAAAGCGTGCCTGTCGAGCCATTCTTGCAATGTGTCGATCGCCACTCCACAGGCATGCATGTTCCAGGGTCTGAAGTCGAAGAAATTGATATTTTGTCGTACTTCAAACCTGACCAAGCGAATGAAGCGTCGTAGCCCAATCTCCGCGTCGCTCTTGAGAAATTCCCCGAAGCGATCTCGCGTACGTACGAGATCGACGAGCTCCTCGAGTATGGCCACCGTTCTCTCCGGATCATTGACGAGAAGAACATCCACTTTCTTGAATACTCGCAGGTTTTGTACGGGTGCAACGTTCTCGGAGATCTCTTCGACATGTGTCGATGTGCCTGTAATAGCAGGAAATGTGAGTGTAGGCCATTCTGGTTTGTAGAGTGCGCGTCTCGCGTCTAGCACGGCGTCTAGCACTTCACGGCGGCGGTACAAGCCGCCATAATGCCCATCTGATGGGGTAATGAATCGGCGCTCTCCTGGCTCAAAATGGCGAAAGTGGCCGTCACACGTAGAACTGTGGTCTCAGCTGGTCATCGTTCAAACAGGAGCAGAAGATGACTTACCAGCTTGCAAAAGTATTCGCTTGTGCCCACCGCTGCTTTCCTCCGCAGTGCGGACACGCACGCTCATTACCTGAGATCTTGAACACCACCATGGCCATACTCAGGCGTGCGTTTGGTTTCACTTGTGCCGACCACAACTGAGGGTCAATAATACTCCCAGTTCGAGAGTTTACAAGATGATACCTCCGCCGGTTGATGTTGTAAAGGCCGGGCACCTGATCGAAGCTCTTATGCAGGTACGGCAAAAAGACCTCCCAGTGCTGGAAAAACTCAAATGGCAGGTATCGTGTTCTTCCTAAAGCGTCCTCAAAAATGATTGAATCACTGATGAGTAGCCGCGACATATGTCTTTCGGCTGCTCGCAACTTGTGAAAGAAGAACAACATCAAAGGCCAGAGAAGCTCCAGAAATGCTAGCAGCAGTTCACGTAAGGCATGCGATAACATCTGGAGAGATCGGGTTATTCGTTTTCGTGGACTGAGCAATTGCCGTGTAGTAGCTGGGCTTTGGATGACAGTGCCAGCGCCGTCTTTCACCTGCGTCAGAAAAAGAGAGGTGCCCTCAACGGATGCTTGCAAGAGTCGCATTTGGGCACGGGATGTTGCCATATTTTCCGTCAAAGAGCTCCTCAAGACTTGCAGAACATTCAATTGCGATGCTTGATTCGTGGCTAGGCTCTGTACGATCTGTGTCGAGGCTGAAGCTTGCGCTTCGATGGCTCGACTGAGAGGTTCGAGCTCGCGCTTCAGTCGAGTAAGAAACGTAGCTTCATCTCCAGCGGGGAACATGGCGTGAATGGACGCAGGCAACTCTGTCTGCATATTCTGAATCAGTTTCCTATCGATGACAAGTCAGATGAATCACTGCTAACTTCCATTCACCAACTCACAAGATTTGCAAGCCGATGTTGGCGCCCATAGGGAGGAGAGGAACCGAGTTCCTATTTTCTGGAGTTTCCCCAGCCCTGCCTGGTGGGAAAGAACATCTCGAGCGGCTTCCTGCCTGTCCTGCTCTGCTGCCTCTTGCGTTAGCACCTAGTGAACCTTCGAACGTCCTCACATCCTCTAGTAATAGAGGCAGCGCCTTGACTATGTTTTTGGTTTGTTGCAGGATTTCACGCGTTGCTGGATTTTGAGGAAGGGTGTCTCCAGCTGCGACGAGATTTGTTAAGGTCGTCTCTAATCCCGTGAGGAAGTGGATAGATGGCTGACAGTCATTGCGAGCACCGTCGACCACCGAGATGCCTCGAAGGCTAAACGGGATTTGACAGTTTGGCGAGTCTAAATCAAGAATCCATTAGCCATGCCCTCCTTTAAATGCGTTGGCGGGATAGATGATCGCGATCATTGCGACTAGACTTGAGATCGGGAGTAGTGCAGACCTGACACTCATTCCTTCGCAATGGGTCAAGTGCTATCAACGGCCACAGAAACTGAAGAAAACTCCCTGGTAGCGGAGGAGGAACCGGCAGGCTAACCTCTTAAAGTCCTGAGAATCGCACGTCGAAGCCGCAGAAAAGCGTTGTCTCCCTCTCCATAATTCAGGTACATGAAGACATCAAAGATCCCCAGCAGACAGTATGCTTTGTCCTCGATCTTCCTCGTCTGACGCCCCGCCACCCACTGCATCTTCTCATCAATGCCGAAATGAGCCATGGGCGTACCGCGGAGAGCCGAAATCGGGATCTTCGTGATCTCGTGAATGATCTGCTCGAGCGTGACACGATCCCCTAGGCGCTCTCCTTCGCGGGAAAAGAATTCGACTATCTTCGGAGCAAGGAGTTCTTGTAGTGTCCAGCCTCGTCGAAACCATCTGCTCTGGCGAAAGGCTGCTTCCCATGGTCTCTCGGTTGGGCTATTATCGTCCTGATCATCAATCGACACGTCCGATAGATAGACATAGCACTTGGCCGCGTCGCGGTACCACCGAAACATCGAGGTAATCGCTTCGGAAAGCTCAGTAAAATTTGCTTTATTAATGCAGCATGTGTCCACCCATAAGTATTGGAGCCCATCTTTGCCAGCTTGTTGCCCGCCGAAGCGGATTTTCGTGTGACCAGCCCTGATCCTGTAAGAACCACTGCAAATATCGCTGTATGTGACCTCGTCCTCATCGTCGCCCCATGTGTGCGAGAGAATCGCGTAAATCGGGATGTCATCGGTGAAATCTCTGGTCAATTGCAGGCCACCACCGCTGCTAAAGTGAAGGAGGCGCATCGCGTGACGGTAGACTACGAGTCTCGTCGAGTGTGCAGGAGGCCGCTAAGAGCGCAATCATGTGCCCTACGACGAGGTCTTAACATCGAGATCGTCAGCTATTCAAGCTCGCCTGCACAAAGTATGCCGCAGGAAAGCATCATGTTTGATGGGAGGCGGTATTGAACTCCGATCTCCTGAACCAAGCTCAAAGAGCCCAGGAGAATATACAAGGCGCATGCGTGCCATATTGACAGAATGAGGCTGAGACAGCGCCCAGAGTCAAGGTTGAGCAGGTGGTTAGGATCTAAATCTTAGGCACTGTTGGCGCAGCTGATGGTTGGTCTGGCGTAGCTGGTGAGGCGGCAGAAAATATCGGTCAGACTGATGCAATAAAATCCGGAACAGGGTATCTCCGAGCTCCCCTCCACATGAGTTTCTTGTTGCCTGTATCGATCCACGAGGCTGAGCCAGGGACTTTGGCGGAAACCTACACCGCTTTTGCAAAAGGTCTGGAGCCCTTTTGACCAGATCGACAGATAGTGGCTGAAAAACTGTCACAGCATGGCTTTCGGGATGTGATTAGGTCTGCTGTCCTGTCCACCAGAAAGAGAAGAAAGCTGCCTTTTAGGACTACAAGGAAGGATCTGCTGCTGTGCTCGCACGTCGCACAACGGCGGTTGCCCACAACCCTCTCAGTATGCCATGCATTAGCTTGTGGGATTTCTTCTTCGAAGACTCTCTTGCGCGATCAAGGCGATGGACTTGGCACTGACAGAAAACGTTCACTTCCAATGACGCTATCGTACAATGTTTCTGGTTCTTCGGTCCAGTGGCAATAATGAGAAAGGGTTGACAGTATAAGCAACCCTCACCCATCAAGCATTACCATCCATCAGTCAAAGGTTATTCGTTTGCCCTGGAAGCTGGCCTGGCCTTGATCCTGCATCTTTCGTCTCTTCGCGGCTTCCCAAGACGGATGGAGCGAGCCCTGATCATCGCGCGAATTTGGCTTGGGCTTTGGTGGGTGACCGGAGCGGGCATCCGCATGGACTCCTATCGGCTTCTGATTGAGCTTCCTCTCGTGGAACCGGCCTCTAGAGTGGTTGGGACGATCCACCGCACCCCTTTTGGGATCCCATCCTGTATTCCTTCCATCCTGACCCTTTTGCTTCTCCAGGTGTTTGGCATTCTTTCCGAACTTAAGCTCCGCTATTTGTTGTCGGGCACGTTGCCCACGTCGATTTTTTCGGGGCTTGGGCAAAGCCGGGCCTCGATAGCCATTCGCGTCGTCCTCAGATTCTGATCCGGAATAGTAGCCCGCCATGCTAAGAGATGGTAGAAATGCAGCTTTATGCGTTGCCTCATTCGAGTGTGGCATTCGAGATTTCCCGCCTTCGGGCTCTGACATTTCGCTGGGAGATGATGATATCGAGAGGTCCTCATCTCTAACATCTCGTCCAGGGTCAACCAGCTTTTTGGCACCTTTTTTCCGGAGGAGTAACCCGTGCTTCGTGGCCTCTTCATCAGACTCTATCCCAGATTCGACTTCGGAAGACGCTAGGCGACCTTTCGCGAGTTCGAGAATGCGGTCGTCCTCGAGTTCTAGTATTGGTGACTGTTCGTGTCCGCTGCTGTCCAGGTCTTCAGAGGCATCTGTGAGAAAGCCATTGAATTCATCCTGCTCTCCCGAGCTCGCCCTTGAGTTGGTCACTTTCGCGGTTGTCTCTTTTGTCCCTTTCGAGGCAGATTGAGCAGCCTGAGGGATCTCAAGTACGGCATAGATCGTTTTTATGATCTCGGGGAGTACCTGTTTGACAGGGTTCGAATTGAACAATCTTCCGATCACATTTGCCTCGGCGCTTGATTTAACGTGTTCCAACTCGGGATCCGACCCGTAGGCCTTGATAAACACAGGATGCTCCTTGATACGTTTTGTTCTGACCAAGTGCTTCAGAAGTTGATTCTTCGCCGTTTGTTCAAGCTGCAACTGTTTTAGGACGATGACTTCTTCTCGCAGCCGAAGTAATGTTTGAGGATTATCATTTGCATTCTTCTGACGGCGACCCAGTTTCTGCCTCTCGAAGCCTCGAGCAAGCTTTAGAGCATCTTGGAGGGTCTTGACGCTTCGAGTGACTCTGGCCCTCAGCCCAGACACCTTCAACCCGAGGTACTGTCGCTCTTTGTCGGGTACTTCAGCATCATCATTGTCGCGTTTTCGCTTCGGCATTGTCGCGACGGGAGCTAATATGTATTCGGGAGTTTATGCATAGGTAGTTGTCACAGCAGATATGGCCGAGACTGGTGGATTTGGGGCCGTATTCGACAGCAGGAGGAGGAATTTGACGGAGGCATCAAATTATTTTCCAATGACGAAATAGGCATGGTGCATTTCCGCTTAGCTAATCAGGAGGGGCAGACAGCCTAGAATCCGCTAGCTGAAATTAGTACTAGCTCATATACTTAGCTCCGGCAGCTGCCGGCAGCCCAAGGCACCGTTGGCACTGCAGGGAGGCAGGCGGCAGGCAGGAAAGGGAAAGAACTTCTCATAATACTAAAAGGCAACTTCAACGCCTGTCAGTTCACGTCATGCGGTGCAAGTCACACACAAGGCCAGAAGAAGGCAGCGGGGAATCATGTTTCCACCCACCGGTGAGGATGAGATACCCAGGTCTGCATTTCCTGCCACGAAGGCATCGAGTCTGACCACCAATAATCAATCGTCATTGGAAGCTGATTCTTAGCTTGGGGGCTTGAGGCTGAGACGCGACAAGCTGAAAATCCCCCGTCTTCTGCCAAACCACCCCTCTCGACTCACCCAGGCTGCCATCTCTTCTTACTCCCATCATCAGCCGACTTTCATCGTTTTTTTCTCCTCTTATATCTCTCTCCATCTCTCTGGCAGACGTCTCTTCCATCAGGATTTTCCAGACAATCCAGCCGATACTCCCGCGAACCATTTCCCAACTATGGCGCTTACCGTCCCTAAAGTTGTGCTGATTTTGCTGTCCCTGGCGGGCTTCTGGACGCTTTGGGGGTTCCCATATCAAAATGGACTCCTTAAGATCTTGGGCCAGCAATCAGAGCCAGGCGCCGTCATTCCCGGTCCGACTTCAGCCCCAATGAAGCAGACCTACACTGGCATTGGACCGATCGATAAGCAATTGACAGTCTTGGTCAGCTTCTTCTACACCGCTATCGACGGCAACCGAGCAGATGTGTCGTTGTCTTTCCTCTACCTTGGAGGGCAAGTCCTCGCTGCGTGGGTCTTGGTCATGGTGGAGGGACTCAGGAATGGCAATAGAGGCAAACTGCTGCTCACCGCGTAAGTGTCAACCGTAGTGGTATAGCTTCTTTGCTGGATCTGACTATTGGCAGGACAACATTGCTCGGTGTTGGGGTTGCCATTGTAGGCTATGCTTGCGTCGCACCCTTGTGGTTTGCTCTGCACCTGTGGATGTCACCTACAGTACTCAAACCCAAGGACTATCAACTCGAGGTCGATGCACCAATCAAAATCGCCATTGCACCCATCAGCATCCTCGTCGGATTCGGGCTTCCCTCTCTGTTGATGTGCCTGCCAGCCCCAACTGTGGTTTCGTTCGAGACCAAACAGACGTGGACGGGTATTCAGCAGGGGTGGTCGATTTGGATTGGGTTGACACAATCTCTCCTGACCATTCTGGCTTTCGCCATCGATCAACGGGCCTCCGTCTTGACCGAAAATGATAAGCGACTGAAGAGTGCCAGGTATCTCCGACTGGCATACGCGTTTGCAATCATATCATCGGCTGGATCCCACCTGGCGGCACTGAGCCTGTCAACGCTGGCCTACCTCTTTCCGGTCCTGTTCAGCGCCACCTACCTCCCACAGCTTCAACCCGCCAGAATCTTTGTTCCTGTCGTGCCGTTTGGGCAGCCACAGGTCAAGGTTCTGGCCGATGGAGCTTTGTGGTTCCTTCAATGGGACATTGTCGTCGGGGTTTCCGCCTCACTTCTCTGGGGATTGACAGTGCGAGATGCCAGCAAACATGGGAAGGCCACCGTTGGCCAGATCTTCCTTGGGGTCATCAAGACTGTTCTCACGGCGGGCTTGCTCGGTCCGTGTGGCGCCGCTGCCGTTGCCATCTGGACTCGTGATGAACTAGTGTTGGGGCGAGCCAATGCTGAAGGCAAAAAAGACAAGAGCATCTGAAGCAGAGAATACAAGCCCTTTTGAATACAATGGAGTGTGTGCCAGATGTCAGTCTTCACGGATGGTGGTTGAGTCTCACAGGTCTTCTTGTTTCTTGGTTGGCTTTTTCGGGCATTTCATCCGTTGGAGGACCAGTATTGGATACGGCACTTAACCTGTCAAATGCGATGGGGAAGAGGAGGTGAGGGAATTGAGGAAATTTGCGCAAAGATCCATAGTAGCAGGAATGGGCCAAAAGCATCAGTGTACGAGTACTTTTACTGACTTGAGTATGTACGAAGGAATCTGGTCACTGGAAACATTCTACCCTTTCCATCTATTTTTGGGGGGCCGAAGAGCCAATTGCTTTGTCCTCGGCGCGAATAGTGAGAGTGTTAGCAGCCCAGACGGCCGCCTTTTAAGCATTGGATATACCTAGAGTTTAGGTGAGCCTTAGCCGCCTAGGGCTTCCACTAGCCCGCACAGTAAGGTACCGGGTAATTAGCCCCTACTAGAGCTAGGCGCTGTGGCGCTGTCCTCCGCATCGACAGGGCCTGGGCTTCTCTTAGGCCTACCGCAATGGAATTCTGCAACGCCGGGCTGAAATGCATCTTAGTTTACTGATGTTGGTGCCACCGGGAACCATGCTTCAGCTGACCCGGCGGGGCCAAGCGAGCCTTGGACCGTGAGGTCTAGAGCAAATCCGTCGTCGAGCACTAGGGAATCCTCTTCACTTTCCCTGCTGGTCAGGCTGACGGGACGCTTCAAACCAAGGCACACGGCATCCTACAAACACAAAAGTCACGCGTAGGGGAAGCTGTGGCAATGACGTGGGTTTTTGGGGCTGCCACTGGCCCAGTGGTGCAGCTCACCAGCTTGCAGTCCGCAGTCCGCTGCCCGCAGCTGGCCTTACAGGGAAAATGTCATCAAGTCAACAAACCGGATCCAGTCCTCGTTGCTTCTCGTAATTAACCATTTCTCTCCTTTCTGGCCCTCTCCCTACTTCGAACTTCCAGTGTTGCACCGTCCACCAATTCCATTCCTGCCGCTCCTTTGTGGCTGTGTAACAGGATCAACCAACGGATCTGTCCCTCCACCTTCCTTGCTCATGTGTAAATAAAACAGCCGCCGTTCGTTTCCTCCTGGTTACCCTCGTCTCGACCTTCGACCAACTTCCTCCCCAGCTTGGCTCTCACATTGGCCCAACGCCAGACGATCCGAGATGTATCTTCTGACCGGAACGGCCATTGCGGCTCTTGCGACCACGTGTGTCGCCTCACCAGGCTATCTCAAGTTGGACCTACAGAGAAGGACTCCCTCTGAAGGCAGATTAGTGCGCAGACAAAACTCAGATGGGAGCGTGGACACAGTCTTGACACAGAACACCAACAAACTCGAATATCTGGTGAATATCACTGTCGGCACACCTCCGCAGGATCTGGGAGTTACTCTAGACACTGGCTCCTCGGACCTCTGGATCCCCGCATCCTCAGCAAAACTCTGCCAGCAGGGCCAATGCGACTTGGGCGACTTTGATCCAAGCTCGTCAAGCACCTACAAAGTTATCGAGCAAGGTGGATTCAATATTGTAAGCTCCTGTGCCCAAGACACTGAAGATTTGTCAAAGCAGACGCAAGGTGTGAAAGTGTGTTGTAACTGACATATATAATGCCACAGACATATGCGCAACCAGGAGACAGTGACGCAGGCGACTGGAGTTCCGACACCGTCACAGTTGGTGGATCTCCTTCCATTGACAACCAACAGCTCGGAGTAGCAACGCAGCTGTTCGACCAGCATGGAGTGATGGGGATTGGATTTGACACCAATGAAGCCAACAACGACAGTCCGAATGGCGTCTACCCGTCGGTCATGGACAATCTCAAGTCGACCGGAATCATCAACCGCAAAGCCTTCAGCTTGTACTTGAATGACCTGGACGCAACCACAGGTGCAGTGATCTTTGGTGGTATCGACACAACGAAATATTCGGGAGATCTTGTTGCCCTCCCGTTGCAGCCCGGGCCGGAGGGAATCATTTCGGAATACTATGTTACCCTGACCAGTGTCTCTTTCACAGATTCGACCGGTCAAACCACCCAATTGTCGCCTCAAGGGTATTCGCAGGCTACGTTACTTGATTCGGGTACTACCAACACTCTTTTAACCAACGGCATCTTTACAGACTTGGCCCTCGGATTTGGAGCGGTCGAAGATCCCTCTGGAGATGCCTATCTGGTCCCATGTAGCCTTGCGGAGGCCAATGGTACCATCAATTACTCGTTTGGCGGTGAGGGTGGCGTAACAGTCCAAGTTCCTATCTCGCAGGTGGTTGGAGGCCAGGGATACACATCCGCCAACTTCGACGATCCGTCAGGAGGTTGTGTACTAGCTTTCGGGACTCCAGCCGATAGTGGTGGGTTCAGTATCATGGGAGACAGTTTCTTGAGAAGCGCGTACGCGGTATTCGATATCGACAACAAGATTGCAGCTCTTGCCCAAGCCGCTGAAAACGAAGCCAGCACGAGTAGCATCGTCGTTTTCCCAACAGGGACGACCATTCCGAGTGCGACAGTAACCGCGACTGCATCAGGCACTCAACTCACCGAGGTCGTCGCAGAAACAGGTGTTCCACTTGCCAGTGTCCAAGGCTCCACCATGATCATTCCAGGTACGCCAACATTCAGCTTGGCCGCCTCATCATCAACGGCAACGACAACAGGAGGGTCTTCATCTTCATCTGGGGCTGCAAACCATGCGGCTGTTCCGACTGCGGCTCTGTTGGGGCTGGGACTTGCCGCAGGAATGATGGGACTCTGAGATTGCAGCTACGTAGCGGTCGAATATATTTTCAAATCAGTCCCGTGGCCATTACGAATCACGCAACGCGCACAGATAGCGAGCATCAACGAATTGATTGAGCGTCATTTCACCCCACATGTTAACAAGACTACTTGGTTCAGGGAGAGGTACTCCATTCGCACCTAGGTAACTACGAACTAGGTACACCGCTCTTTCAGAAGCCCACTGTGCCTTCAGATCGCGGGTCCCCTCGTGAGTCGCGTCAGTCAAACAAACAGGTTACCCCTCCTCCAGGGTGTCACTCGTAGAAAACCATGCCGTTGAAAAGTGTATCCTTGCTCAATTTCCACACTCTTGCGGACCAGAGACATTTACACTTCCATCAAAGGTTGCTAAGACAAGATGTGTTTTCCACCACACGCGGCTCGTATTGGCACGAGGGCATGTGATTGGCCGCAAGGCCGTCCCAGCGTCATCCCGAGCATCGACGCCCGCTCCGCACAGTTATCGCAACCGCGACCACGAGCTACGACACGACTTCTCGTATACCCCTCCATAAAGACAATCAATTCTCCCTGTCCTCCTCCCTGACTCCCAGTCGCGGCCTCCACAGAATCATCTTCCTGTCTCCGTGTAAATCAATCTGCGACTTCAAGGACACTCTTACTGCGCCCCCACGATGATCTAGATTTGAGTCATTCTCACCCATCCCATCCTCCTCGTCTCCGTTCGACCTTTTGCGCCTTTAAATACGCCGTGATCCGTTGAGATTACAGCGAGGCGCCTCCAAGGTCACCGGAGACATCGGTGATCCGGTTTAACACATGAGCTACAATCTCTGGCGCGCTTTCTTCGAAGATGATGTCGATTCCTTTCGACAGTACCTGGCTAACGCCACTTTCTCCTCCGGTGCTCCGAGAACCCCTGGCACCGGACAAGTTGGTGGTGCGACGCTGAAGATAGGTAGTCCTGGGAATCTGGCAGTCTCTCCCAAGACACCCTTCAAGTTTCGAAAGAGCTCGGGAACCACACCTAGCGGCGCGACGCCTGGGAAAAATGTCGGGTTGGTGCTCACGAGGGCAGAAGTGAACACCAAGGACAGTTTCGGACGGACAATACTCCATCATGCTGCGTCATCGCAGTCGGACGATGCTCTGGCTTTTGTCAAGGCTTTGTTGGAAATACCTTTCTTGGATCTCTACGTACAGGATTTGGAAAGTGGGTGGACACCCCTCCACCGTGCCTTATACTTCGGCAATATTTCAGTTGCGCATGCTCTCATGGCCCGTGACATACAAGACGCTACGGACTACACAACCAGTGCTCAGCATTCCCACGCCGGTGGATTGGTGAAAATCAAGGATCACGAAGGCAACAGTCCTTTTGAGGTATTTGGATTGACCATTGCGCCTCGGTCTCTTCAGCAAGATTCCTCCACCCTCACGTCCGGGATCCGCGACGATGATAGCATCAACGGAGTGGACGATAGTGGTGACCACCAAGATAATGAACGATCTAGGCGTCATGTGACCCCTCTGGTAGATCTCGCTGGTGACGAGGTCTACGCTTTTGGAAGCAACAAAAACCTATCGCTGGGTCTCGGCGACGGGGATGATAGACATTTCCCTGAGCGTCTTCACTTTGAACGCCCCGACCACTTATTACGCCGTCTCCTCGATGACCATCTTGCTGAGAGACGGAAGGCGTGGGTTCACGAAGACCTGGCGGACAGTGTTGGGGATCTCCAGTCACGCCCAGACCTGCCCGCCATCATCCGTTATCGGCCCATCACGATTCAGAACGTGGTCATGTCGAAGCTACACACTGCCATCCTGACCAACGACCCGATCTCGAACCTATACATATGTGGGTATGGTCCTGGTGGTCGTCTTGGAACCGGCGACGAAAACACTAGTTTTACATATCGCTGCATTCAAGCTGGCGGACTGGCCAAACGACGTATCTCATCGATAGCCCTCGGTCAGGACCACTCTGTGGCTGTTTGCTCGCAAGGCGAGGTATACACATGGGGAAGCAATCGCTTTGGTCAATTAGGATATGCTCTTCCTGAGGTACCCAAGAACGAGGTCCCAACTCAATTAATCCCCCGCCAGCTCTTCGGCTACATTAAGAAGGAAGTCATCATTGGCGCCGCAGCGTCCGCTATTCATTCTGCCATATACACAGCCTCTGCGATATATACATTCGGCAAGAACGAGGGTCAACTGGGCTTGACCGATGCCGAGGCACGCTCTCTGGAAATGCAAGTCCTGCCACGTCGAGTCGGTGTATCAGTCCTGCAGACTTCAATTCAATCAGTCAGCGCAATCGACCGGGCTACAATTGTTTTGCTGGAAAATCACGATGTCTTCGTCTTCACGCATTATGGTTGGACGAAGGTTCTCTTCCCTTTGGAGACCTTCACCAACTACTATATGGGTAACAATCTGTCGACAAGATCTAATATGGAATCCAACTACGTCAAACAGATAACAGCTGGGGGCAATACAATCTGCGCAATGTCCTCCTTTGGAGAAGTATTTTCTATCGACGTCCCCAAGGTTCCCGAAACTGTACCATCGAATATGTCAACAACGAACCCTACTAAGGCACGCAACGCTCTGCCTACGCCCTCGCGCCTGTGGTCCCTCCGCAAGGCTCACATGTCCGCCATCGACGTTGCCGTGGGCCAGGACGGCTCCATCATTCTCTGTACAGCATCAGGGTCCGCCTGGCGCAAGGAAAAACGTGCAAACATCAAGACCGTACGAGATACAAAGCTGGGTTCAGGGCGTCCGAAAGACTACAAATTCGTCCGTATTCCCAATCTAACTGGAGTCATCGCCGTCAGGAGCAACGCATTCGGAGCCTTCACGGCGGTGCGTAAGGATGTTAGTACAACACGCGACCAGATCGTGCCAGTCCCGCCAGCTCTGTGGAGAGATGCTTTTCGCTTACTACCTTTCCGAGAATACGGAGTGTCACAGGCCGTAATACCTGGGTCAGAGGTAAACGCATTCCGTGTTGCTCATGCAGTGATCAGCAGAAGCTCGGCGGAAACGGACATCCTCAACATGTGTCAACGGTACGAACCACTTTCCCAAAGCCAATACGACTTATGGATCACTTCTACTGTCACGGATGTACGAATCCCCGTCCACTCGTTTATACTCAAGGGACGGAGCCGGGTCATGCGTAACGCGTTGACGGAAGTCCAAGAGACGTACTATTACTCCATTCCGGATGTCATGTCGATCGAATATGGCCAAGACGGCCAGATACAAGTCTCATTCCAAGGCGCGGACTTCCTGACTCTCATTAACCTCGTATTGTATCTGTACACCGACAATTTGGTCGACGTGTGGCATTATACGTCCCAGGCATTACAATCTGCTGCTCGGTACCGGTCAGTACGCGTCGAGCTTATGAAGATTGCAAGCCACCTCGAAATGCGAAGCCTTGAACGTTCTGTAAGAGTCATGGTTGATCCCGCCCTAAGTCTAGCGAACGATATGGAGCTTGCGGTGGTTGACCCTGATTTCTTCTCAGACGCCGATGTTGTTGTGGAACTCGCAGACGACGCCGAGTTGCCTGCGCATAGCGTCCTGTTGTGCAGTCGTTGCCCCTTCTTCGACGGTCTTTTCAACGGACGAGCTGGTGGAATGTGGATGGCTTCGCGGCGAAATACGGCCGAAGAACAGTCTGAAGCTGTACGCGTGGACCTGAAGCATATCGACGAGAAGATCTTTGTCATGGTGCTCCGTCACCTTTACGCTGACACTGGAGAAGAAATCTTTGATGACATTCTCACCAACAGTTTGGACGAATTCGTCGACATCGTCATCGAATTAATGTCGGTAGCCAACGAGCTCATGCTTGATCGCCTTGCACAGATTTGTCAAAAAACCCTCGGCAGGCACGTCAACATCAGAAATGTGTGCGCTCTGGTCAATATAGTCACGGAGTGTACAGTCGATAGTTTCAAGAATGCCGCACTGGAGTACATTTGCCTCAACTTGGAAAGCATGTTGGAGCTGAAGTTACTGGACGACTTGGACGAAGATCTGCTTGTTGAGCTTGATAGGGTCGTCCAAGCCAACCAGTTGGCTTTCCTCCCTTTCGCTCGCAGCAATCGAGCTGAGGCAGAACTATTGGAGAACTATCCCAGCCTGCTAAGTCAGATTGAGGCTGGCCGACAGACAAGGATAGATTCTATGAGGCTAAGATCAAGACTGGTCGAAGACGAGGGACGTTTTGCAGCATCTCTGAAGACGCGATACGGGAGCCTGGAACGCTCAGGCCTCTCGCCCCATAATAAGAGTTTGTTACCGACCCCCGTGGATTCATCACCACCTAGCACTCCAAGCCGCAGCCCCGCGATCAAGGCAAACGATGCAGAGGATGACCTTCCGTTCGACATGGATGGTGATGACCCAGAGCTTCTCCCAGCTGCAGAGGGCGACAATTTGCCACCTCATCCTGCGAGGAAGCGCCCGTCTCTCGAGAGCAGTGCTCGATATTCCGCAACGAAACTACCCGCAAATGATTCGCCTCCTTCGATGGAAAGGTCGCGTGAAGGATTCTCCAGTTCGGTGAGGTCTAATGACGGAGATTTGCTAGATTCCACTACCACTGAAACACCGACCAGCGGATTTGCTGCACAACGAACTGCATGGGGGGTTCCCGCTCAAGGCATCAAGAGAGACGGGCTCAAAGACATTATGGAGCAAGCTTCAGCTGCCCGGGTGTCGAATTTGACTCAGGCAATGCGAACAGTCTCGACGGGATCAAAGGCAACTGTCAAGGTTTCGCAGAAGGAGCGCAAGCGACAGCAACAGCAAGTAAAAGAGCAGGATGTCAAACCCTCGGCTCCCTCAGCGGCGAAACCCGCAACAAACAGTACTTCTTCTCCGTGGCAGGCGATTGCAAAGACACCCAAGCCCACCTCTTCACCGACTGCGTTTGCACCAATCGAGGCGGTCAAAGAGGTTCCTGCGAAGCAGCCAATGACAATGCGTCAAACCATCGCCAGAGGCACCTCGACTACCGGTCCGTCCCCCAAGGGCCCGACTGGTGCGGGACCTGCAATCGGTCTTACAGCTCCTTCCAAGCCGGCCGCTCCGCAAATCCAGTCGATCCGCCATACGCCGCTGCCAACCAGAGTCTCAGCGGTTGATGCGCGCACATCAATGGCTGAGATCTTGGCCCAGCAGCAAATAGAAAAGATTGCGGTCAAGGAAGCGGTGGCGAAGAAGTCACTTCAGGAGATTCAGCAAGAACAGGAGTTTCAGGAATGGTGGGACAATGAAAGCAGACGAGTGCAAGAACAAGAGGCGCAGGCCAACGCAGCTGCTGCTCGTCGTGGAAAAGGCGGTCGTGGCCGAGGCGGACAACGTCGAGGGGGAGGACGCGGAAAAGGGACGTCGGATGCTGAAGTTGGTGGACAGCAGAGACAATCTTCGATGGATTCGGCCATGGTGAGACATGAACCTGGGTCAGGACGAGGAATTGGGCGTGGTAATGTGTCCCGAGGCAGTGCCAGCAGTGCACGAGCCGGTGGTCAAGGAAAACCTCAGCAAGCCCTTCGAGGGGCCAAGGCATCAACTTTGAAAGAGTCATAGAGGCCCAGGAAAGGACGGGAATTTGGAGGAAGACCTTTTGTACATCATGACAGGGCATTGCTTCTGTGAAGACGTGGGGGATGACCAGTTGTATCGAAACACGCTAAGAGCTAGCTGATCAAGGAAATGCTGCTTTTTCTGCCTTGGAACCAATCAACCAGGAGACTTGTGATCCCAGGGCTGCATTAGACGTTCTAACCAGCAGAGGAATGGTTCTCGTCGACACTGTTCTTCCTCACACCATATGAGTAAGGGGACGGACCAATGTACCTCGTACTCGAAGGATCCTCGCGTAACCAAGTCCTGCATCAACAGGGATGTCGTACCATACCAGACACGGAAAAGCTCCAGCAGGCTGCCAGTCCCCATTGCCATCTTTAGCATTGGCGCTCTGCAGCGGGCCGCACACAAAAGGCCACAAGTATGTTTGCCTGGAAAAGAAATGGGGAAATCGAGGTGAAGGTCTGGGCTATCTGCATAGAACGACAATCTCAGCACTGGTGCCTTCGTGAGAAAGACCCTAGGGGGGGCCAAGTAGGCAGAAGAAAGAGCACAAAGAAGGGAATCCTTTCCCGCTTGGTCCAATTGATCCTTGTTTGTGTTGTGGAGGGGAAGCTTCAATTGACGGTATCCATCCAGTCAGCCTGGTAAATTTTTATTTTTCGAGGCAACAATAATGACTCCCAGAGGTCCATTGATGGGACACTTTGGTGATGTTTTTCCCCCTTGTGCCAAATGAGGACCTTTGAATCAGCCTAGTGCCACGGGGAAGCAAAGGTCGGCGTAGCCACGGGCGGATTCGGGTCGAGGTGGGTTAAGGTGGTTCGCAACTTCGATTGGGTCGAGCTGTGGCCGGCAAAGCATTTGCACGAAGGGAAAAGAGGATGGCTTCAGCGTGGAGCGCGAAGATGATGGCGGGTGGTTAGAGCGAGAGGTGTTGACGACAGCTTAACCAACATGTGGCCTCCATGTCGAGATGTGTGTGCGTGGGAGAATTTCAATCGCCAGACGGGCATGACGGCAGGCGGCACGACAGAAGATGCATGTCAGTCAAAATAAAGCAGCCTATGGGGCGCCCTTGGATGGGGGTTCCATCCACAGGGATTAAGGTACGATGCAGGCGATGCAGGCGTAACCCAGGGTCATGCATATTTGGGGGGGGCACATCTGATAGCTGGCTCGTCGCGAACAAGAGCGGTGATGAGAAAGGGAGGCAGGTGAGAAGAGAGAGGACGAAGGAGAGGTGAAGACAATTCTTCTTCTTCACACGCTCCTCTACCACAACGCAGCCGTTACATGATGGGACGTTTCTTCGCTCACCGGCCAGTCCACCGCAGCCACCGCAGGCACTGCAGTCCCGCCGTCAGTCAGTCACCGTAGGCCACCGCAGGCCACACCCAGGCCGCTGCAGGGCCAAGAGATCGTACAGTTAGTCAGGTACTAAACTCGTTTGGTTCAACAGCTCCTGCCCACCCTCTCTGCCCACCGAGCCACCCACCCCAAGAACCGCATGATGCGTGAAACCCGCTGCTACAGCGGCGCAGTCTTGTCCTCCTACTACTGCTGCTGCTGCTTCTGCTGCTTCTGCTGGCCATCCGCCCTCGATATACATTTTTCCCGACATTCGATGACTCTTCCAGTACTTATCTCTTCCCCTTCTTTCCTCTCATCTCCTTCTCGTCCGCAGTCCTTCTCCACCCCCATCCTGACTCCTCCTCATTGTTGCCTGCTCACCTTCGTCCTACCTACCCTTCATCGCCTGACCCCCATCTGACCCTGGCCGAAAAGTACCTCACGCCGCCAGCCCGCGCGACCTCCAATCACATGCGGCTTCCGTCATATGCCCACGACTCGAGACCATCGTCAACGGGAGCACCTCAACCTCAATCCCCAACCCTCCGCTGACCATTTCCATCCCACTTGTCCCTTTTCCTGGTCCGACGCCACAATGGCCCCGTCGTCGACCTAGTCTGCTTCTTTGATTCCGTCCCATCAGCCTTGCACGTCAAAGTCCCCCCCAGATGCCTTGACCGCTACCCACACCCCTACGCCAGGACTGCTGCATACGTTTTGTGGATATCACATCAATGAAAAGCAATGGATGGCTATCGAATACGGATCAGTCCCAACTCACCCCTTCAACGCTAAGCCAGGCACCCGAAACTGAACACACCAGCAATCCTTTACGTTCAACATCCAGTTTGACCCAAGATGCATCAACACCCTCGCCCGCCGCCTCTCACAGCCTCCCCCGCTACCTCTGAGCAAACCAACCCCAGCCGCACAAATAACCCAAGAGATCGAGACGTCCAGGCTCTCCGAACAAACTCTCCTCTCACCCAAGGCTCCGGTTCCTCGGAGGACTTTGCTTCTGCCCGTCAAGATCAACCCGCGGACAACCCCGGCGTCCAAATGCAGCGGCTCAACCAGGTCATTCAGAACTTCCATACCAAGTCCGCCTTGATCATCCTGCAGTCTCGAGTCGAACTCGCCCCAGCCTACTCTCAGAAGACCAACGACAAGAGAGTGAACCGGTGGTTCAACATCGACATTGAGGAGACGGACGAGTACAAAGATGACATCAAGAGGTGGAAGACTTGTGATGTGGAGTACAATAGACCTCCTCCATTGGTCATAGAGGTTTTCTTGAGCACCGAGTCCTTGCAGCAAGGACAGCGATTGGTCATTGTGGACGAAGATGGCAAGAGGTGGGATGTCATGAACACCTTGATGTCTGCCCGCAGTGCTTCACGCAGCAGTCAGCGTCGAATGGGCGACATTGACGAGGTCATTCTCGAGCGGTGGACTGTCGAACTCGGCGAACAGACAGCGCCCATCCCTCCGGATCTCGCCATGGTACTGCCACTGGTCTACAAAAAGAGCATCGTTTTCTTCAGATCTCTCTACACTTACAGCAATTTCCTGCCAGCGTGGAAACTCTCACGAAAGATTGGCAAAGGACGCTCCCATATGGCCTTGAAGCTGGGCTATAGATTGGTTGACGGGTCTCAGATGCGGAGCTTGTCTCGCTCCGACAATCTGGGCACGCGACTCTTCGATAGCAGCTCGGGCGTTCTGTTGTCCTACGATTTCGGCGTCACGGATTCACCTGCTGGTCCATTTTCTGTCAAGGTTGATTACCGCCAGAACTGTGATTTCCGGATAGATGACTCCGAGGAGCTGTTGAGCTCCCGGTTCTTGGGCACTGATGACGAGCTATTCCGGCCGTCATTGCCGAGTGAGAAGGCGCCGCGGACAGAGATCGGATCTTTACCTGCAGATCGACGACAGAGGTTGCTGGAACAAGCAGAGCTGGGTCATGCATATGGCAGCCTGACAAGCTTCCACCAAGCGGGCATTGCTACCGGGACTGACCCTATCTCTGCTTTGCGAAACGCTCAAGATTTCAATGCAAGCTCTTCTCCGACTCCAGAACCGGCCAGGCCCACTGTGGCTTCACATACGGCAGGCCAAAACTCGCGGAATTCACTCAGAGCTGTGGCAGCCAACCGTCGAAGTTCAAGCTCGTTCTCCGTCCAACCCTTCAAGACACCCACTTTGTCAGCATCTCCGCTGGGCGCCTCTCCCATGGCGAGTTCGCCAAGAACTCATTCTGCTCGACTTCCCGTCCTAGGCTCTTTGACGGAAGAGGGCATTCCTTCATCCGCAGCGGCTCCAGTGACTCTGGCCGGGCGACGAGCTGGATCTCTTGCCTCGGACAATGCCATTGCGTCCTCGACCTCGAGTTCTCCAAAACCCGCTCCAGTCACGAGATATAGCAGTAGTTTTAGCCACAGGCGAGCGCGACTTTCGTCGGGAGGGACAACCGTACGGACAGACGAAGACCAGACAAGCAGCGGCAGAGGAAGCGCCACGTCATCTGCACAGCCTGGTTCGGGATTGATGACAGAGGGAGCTACAGGAGGTGGGAGCTCGGGCTCGATGGCAGATGGCGATGGTGAGAATATCTCCAGTTTCTTGAAGATGCTAGAGCTGCAAAAGGATCTCCTCACTCCTACCACCCCCACCGCTGCCGAAGCAAACACAAGAAGAACTACTGCTGCACTCAATCGATACCACAGAATGAGAGATTCCAATACAGCGTTATCGGATTCTATGTCCTCATCATTATTGCTGCAGAGATCATCCGCTTCTTCCAGTCGACAATTGTCCGGAGTCCCTGCTATGGTGGCGGGAACGTCCATCTCTACCTCGTCTTCTCCTGGAAAACCAATTTCGCCTCATACACCGCACACTCCCTTTGCTCCGTCTCGACTTAGCGCTGCTTACAGTCATGATGACGCTGACGAGCCACATCGTCTGGCCCCTGAGGAGCCACCATCACCTTCTGAAGCTGCCACAGAGGAGACCGCACACGCTCAGTCGACCTCCAATGTTCCTGCCATCGATATTCCCAGCTCTCCCAGGCCTTTTCCGTCGTACCAGCGTTCAAGTTCTGCTCAGCGCAGACCGTTGAGTTCAGATGATGATATTGGTGATTTATATGGGATGCGTAGTGCCAGCATGGGGGCCGATCGTCGGGGTCACCGCCGAGAGTCGGCTCAGGATCACGCTGACGGGGCTGTCGGCGAGGGACAGGTGCCAATCCAACCACCGTCCATCGGGTCACCTCGACGATCGTCTCAGGTTCATCGCCATTCTGCGCTTGCAACGGCCCTTAACAACGATGACGGCGCTTCTGATTCTGCCTCTGGACGATCCTCTGCCAATATCTACCGCAATCAGGTTACCAGCCGAAATGGGATCGGACGGCGAGTCACGCCTCCTCAAGGATCTACGTCCAGTATGGGAGGAACACGAGCCAGCATTGACCCGGGAGGCAGCAGCAGCAGCAGCGTACCGTGGCGAGGAAGAAGCAGTGGGAGTCGACCTGAAAACCGCTTCGACGATGACGACCTTTTACCTTTTGCGATGGAAAAGAGCGATTTCAACACGGCCGGGAAAGCTGGTGATGTGAACGGGGGGAGTTGACAAGAATAGAGCGAGACCGGGATTTCTTCTCTCTGGGAGGTCCTGGTCCAGCAAGTGCGTCGTCCCGAATGCGCAAGAGATACCACGCACATTCCAACTCGGGTATGAATGATAGAGGAGCTCCACCATCACGGAGCCAACGAATTATTGGGGTTCTACAGTGGCGTTTCAAAATGGGTGGATATTTTGAAGGGCGTTTATTGCAACGGATGGTTTCTTGTGTTTTCGAGTGTCAAATCTTCTGTTTTGTTTCTCGGCGGCGTCGGGCTCGACCCACAGGATGTGTTATATTCTGTCAGTGAGCGTTTCAGCGCAATCTACGTTGCAACCGAGGGAAGGCTGGTTTGACTTCTCACCAGGTGAGCTGGGTGGAATGGGTCGACGTTGTGCCAATACAAGGATCGGTGGGAAATATGCGAACCCGGGCTGGTCGGAGCTGGACGTCAATTGGATAAGGGGTCTGCTTCTCGACAGATGGTTGGGGTTTGCGCTTGTCCCTCGCCGGTTTCCGAGGGGAAAGGTGCACAGGACGAGCCTTGGAGCTTGAGGCGCCACCAGAGGACCCGGCCAACTAGTCTGGGTAACCCAGTGGCAATCATCAGGCGGCACTGTTTTCTGAAATCATGGTATGCTCCGACGGATCGGATCGGATTGGATGGACGAATTCCGAACGTGTTTTATGAATCCAAGGCCTTTCCCGACTGGAGAGGGCAGGCGACGCCCTGGCCCGGATCAGTGACATTGTATTTCCTCCGCCTCGATGACTTGGTGGCTGTTGCGGCGCACTGAGGAGCTTGGGCACTGGAAGATTATATAGTAAATGTATGATTTTGCCTCCGCAGCGCCGCGTCTGTTCCCTGGCGTTTTGTCTCGTTTCATCCCCCTTTCAGCCTCGTCGGAACACGGCGGCATTGACAGGCGAGCCTGGCAGCAACGGAAAACGTCCTTGTGGGCAGGCATGAATACCTGCTAGGCCGAGAAGAAAAGCCACAAAGAAGGACGACGAAGATCATGCTCCATAATGTAGACAGAATAAGTGTTGAGTTTAGATCTGACCAACTTGTTGTTGCATTGTGCAGTGTGAATGCAGTAAATAGATGGATTATCAGCAGTAGACATTAACGTCAGCCTAAGGAGTGACCAAGTGTGCGTGCGTGTGTAACTATTTTCAAAAAAAGGACGCCGCCGCCGATTCTTTCATCATGCAATGCATCATTTCCTCCGCCCTGCATTGCTGGAGTCCATGTTCCCGTAACAATGCATACCGATGCAATCTGCTGATTAAATGTGTCAAAATCATATTCCTCCCCTCCCCCCCCCTCTTGAATGTCACTGTTTTGACGATTTCTCTCCTATTTTTTTTTTGGTTCGGGGAATTCGTTCCCCGATTTCCAGCGTATAGTCTATTCTTCATTCTCAGTTTTCTCGTACTTCACGTCGCCGTGATGAGTGGGCGGGGACTAGTTTTATCTAGTTCTTCCACGTCGCGCTCGAACTTGGGGCCGAGCTCGGGCCGTGGCTCTTGCCCTGCCAGTCTTGCCATCCCCACGAGGTGCCGGTGGCAGAGCAGCTGGTCACCGTCGCGGTGGTGGTCTCCGACTCGGTCAAAGTCGTGGTCGCGGTTTCGGTAACGTACACGGTAGAGGCCGGCGCCGTCTCAGTCACGTACACAGTGGTCGTGGCGGTGGTGGGAGTGCAGGTGCTCGATTGCCAATCATTCCATCCGGCAGATTGAGAATGTTGTGGCGCGGGAGCAGGGCTAGTGGTAGGCTTCACAGGGGCGGGAGCACTAGACCACTCGCCCCAGCTTTGTGACGAAGCTGGAGCGGGAGCAGGAGCACTAGACCACTCACCCCACGACTGAGAGGAGGAAGAAACCGGCGCGACAGAAGACGAAGTCCAATCATTCCAGCCCTTGCTAGTCGTAACCGGAGTGGTATACGGAGTCGTAGTTGCGGATGAAGACGTCCAGTCGTTCCAGCCCTTGCTGCTGGTGGTAGTGGGAATAACGGGGGTCGACGAGGATGTCCAATCGTTCCAGCCTTTGCTGCTGCTGGTAGTGGGAATAACGGGAGTCGACGAGCTCGTCCAGTCATTCCAGCCCTTGCTGCTGCTGGTAGTGGGAATAACGGGGGTCGACGAGGATGTCCAGTCATTCCAGCCTTTGCTGCTGGTGGTAGTGGGAATAACGGGAGTCGACGAGGATGTCCAGTCATTCCAGCCTTTGCTGCTGGTGGTAGTAGGAATAACGGGAGTCGACGAGGATGTCCAATCGTTCCATCCCTTGCTGCTGCTGGTAGTTGTGCTTAGGGTAGTGGAAGAAGTGCTCGTCCAGTCATTCCAGCCTTTGCTGCTGCTGGTAGAAGTAGTGCTTGGAGTTGTGGTAGTCCAAGTCGAAGACGAAGTCCAGTCATTCCATCCTTTGCTGGAAGTCGTTGAGCTTGTGCTAGGTGTGGTGGTTGAAGACGAAGTCCAATCATTCCATCCTTTGCTAGAAGTCGTTGAGCTTGTGCTAGCAGTGGTGGTTGAAGACGAAGTCCAGTCATTCCAGCCCTTGCTAGAAGTCGTTGAGCTAGTGCTAGGTGTGGTTGTTGACGAAGACGAAGTCCAGTCATTCCAGCCCGAGCTGCTCGTTGTGCTGCTGGTAGTAGGAACCACAGGAGTCGTCGAGCTACTCGTCCAGTCATTCCAGCCCGAGCTGCTTGTTGTGCTGCTCGTGGCCGGGCTGGTCCATGTCGTGGACGGGCTCGTAGTGCTGGACTTTGAAGTCCAATCATTCCACGAGCTCGAGGGAGTTGTAGTCGTAGAGACAATAGTTGTGCTCTGAGATGTCCAATCATTCCAGGTGGTGCTCGGGGTAGCAGTGGTAGAAGGATAGGTGGTAGTGGGCGCTACGCTGGTCGTGCTCGACGAGGCCCAGTCATTCCACGAGCTCTCTTGACCGCGAGGCAAGACAGCGGAGAGAGCAGGAGCGAGCAGTGAAAATAGAACGATTGGCTTGGCCATGTTGGGCGAGGAGAACGAATGTGTGTATAACGAAATGGAAAACAGCGAATGACAGGAGTGCTTGTAGAGAGGGAAAAAAATCTGACGGAGGGGAGCGGGCAAATACCTCTTTCTTATACCTACCTCTCACCACTGTTACCACGATCCATATAGATGAGCAACTCGATCGTCATCCAATACCCCGAAGGCGCAGCAGGGCAACGTCCCATCGATGGGAAAAGCTAACCCGGCTGAAAAGTGTACGTTGGGTCAAATTCTCCACCACGTGGAGGCCAAACGACGAGGATGACTCCAGTACCATGAGGAAAGCATCGGAGGCTGGGGTCCAACTGGGGCAGTTTAAGGCCGTCAGTCCATACTGGATGGTGAGTATACGCCTCGATGTGACAATTCCGGCCACCGTTATGTGAGCTTGGCGAGTCGTGTTGGGAGGCGAAGTATCGGTACGACCAGCTGTGGATTTTGGTCCGAGCCTGACTGTGGCAAGCATTGGTCCGCTACATCGGTATACCCGCTCCTTCTCTGGAAGTCAGACCATTCTGTTTCTCTTATTTGTCCGTTGCTGGTCGAGTCAAATACTCAATATGGACAAAGCGTGGGTGGGAGGATTTGCAAGCACTGGTCGTCTGCGTATGCAATGTCTCAGGAACGGTGGATCGTGGATGAGGATGTTCTTCCAGTCGCTTCCAACGTGCCCTGAAAAAAATGTCCATATGATCCACCTCACCGAGTGTTCCGAGTCCTGGATTTGACGTCAGGAGTGACCGCCTGCTGGGGCGATGGAGCAACTGTATTTTGTATACTGCAAATGAACGCATAGCCGTGCCTTGCGTCGGTGGCAGGAAGGTGGCATGGCACGCATGGCTGCGGAGAATTTTCTGCCCTTCCGAAAAGTCCCTGGCGTCCCTGGCATGTCTTAGACAAGGTGTGGCGCGCGGAGCTGGTCGAATCAGAATCGGCGAGAGCTGCTTCTAAATTTATCGCCCTGTGGCGAAGACAACACCATCGTTCGCCCAGCTGCGTGGCAGCGCCTTCGAAGATCCCGAGGTACCGAGAAAATGCAACGACAGTCGTTGGGTCGTATCCACTCAGCTCGCTTGTATCTCGATGCAAGCGCAACTGATGAAGTAAGAATTTGGTCCCAGGTTGCTTATACCTCTCGTTTGAATGCCCAGAAAAGTGAGGGACACCCAGAAGTAATCAAGGAAGACTTGACTTTCGAGAGAATGCTACCCATTGCGTGGTGTCTGGTCAGAGCTTTCCATTTTATGTACTAGCGCAAGAGGAAGACTGCTCTAGGAGGGGGGGTTTGTTGAGACATTTTCCCCAAGAGACCATTGACTCCTCAGGCATATATCAACCTGTTGGGTTATGTTGAATTGAACAAGATCACAAGGGCAGGTGTAGTGGATGGTGTAAAAAGAGCGCTGGTTTCTGGGTTGCCAACCGCAGCCTGTATGCTCTACAGTAGCGGCTTACTCCAGCGGAGCATACGATCGTGAAGCACAATAAGCCTGGATTGTGCGCAACACACCAAGTTTGCACGTTACGCACGTTTCGCAATCACATGGCCTCGCCGTGAAGACGATGTAGCAACCAAGTCCAGTAATTCTTTCTCATCACGCACAACGCTGACCGCAGCTGACTACGGCCTCATTTCTCCTTGACCGCGAAATGCAGGAGATCCTGCCTGGTCCCTAGACCCTCTCCGTCGTTGCTTGATCGCCTTGTGAGAGCTGGGTGAACCCCAAAAGGGCCAGACTCAGACAAAAGAACGGCTGAATCTGACTTGGGGCTCCTAGGGCCCTCCGCCCCAAGGCGGCCCGGCTTGAAATTTGGGGAGCTGTTGCAACAAGACAGTGAGTACTTCTGAGAAGGCTGATAGGGTGGAGGCTGAAGAGTTTTAAGGCTGGGGCGGCGGACCTGGACCTTTGGCAAGATGGAATCGACAGCCAAAAGAGATACAGCCTCGGACGCCGTGCCCACGGCCAAATTCTTACAAGGTATGTTTGCGCAGCCACTTGGGCAAGTATCATTGGCCCCAAGCTCGTATTCTTCTCCCGACTCCTACCAGTGGCCTCGATCCAATGGATGTTCGTGGACTGTAATCACCAAACCGGTGTTCTGACAGCTGCCCTCCAGCCCGCATCACTGCTCTCTCAACGACCCTGATCAAGAGGCTCGAGAACATCCTCGCCGTGGCTCTCGATGACACAACCACGCAAACCGCCGCGGCGGCTGCAGGCACGGGCAATGCTCCCCCTCCACCATCACTGACAGACACGGCCGTCCAACAGTTCCAGCTCGACGTCGAATCGACAGCAATCGTCCGCGCAGCAGAGGAAATCATGATGCTGACGCGGACCATGAAGGAGATCTGGCTCTTTGGTGGACTGGACACTCTCAAAAGCGACCACGAAGGCCGCGATCTCAGCGGGCAGAACGAGGCAGCAAGGAGGAAGATGGAGGAAGACGTCAAGGCGGTGGAAGAAGGGTTCAAGAAGTTTCTAGAGAAGTACGAGACGACGCTCGAGGTGACTGAAAATAAAGAGTAACGGCTGTTATTCAAACATTCCTGGCTCACAATGGACCCTTCGCATTCTACACGTAACCATTCATAAGAGACCGATATCAAGGCATGTGTAATCGTCCCATCGTTGTTATCCTTGGTGCATCACGTTTGCCCTTGTACCCTGACGGGCGAGGCAAAGTGATCAGTGTTCCTGGAGAAAAATGAAACCGTCGCTGACTTGATGCCTCCCTCGGAGCAACCCCCTCTCTAGGCACGAATCTCTCTGTACCAAGGTATCAGCAAGGAGAACAAACGCAACATTTCCCATCAACTTGAACCAATATGATTTCCTCTCCAAGGACGGATCTTCTCTTTCAACCGTACGAAACGCATAAGCGGCGTTCCACGCTTGCTCCAATCGCGCAAGAGACAGAATGACCAGGTAGGTGCAGAATCCAAGCATAAGCACCGCGAAAACCTTGAGTGCCCCCGTTTCGCGGATGAATCGCGCCGCCACCAACCCCATACGCTGCATCAGGTAGATTTGGAGGAGCTGCCAGACCGTGGCGATGGTGATTTGCCGATCGAGTGCCGCAATTGAGGGGGTATCGACGAGAGCGGTTTGATGAAGGTCTGGGGCGGCTGTCGTAGGCGAGGAGCCTTCATTCTTTGCAGTGTTGTTCTCTGTGGTAGTTGACCGCAGGTCCGGCTCCTCATCCGCACGCTCCATGGTATCTGCGGTGTACACCGGGGAGCCCTTCGAGGGCACTGGTGCGGGCAACTTCCAGGCTTTCGAGGACTTAGACCGACTTGACGCAGCCGCCGAAGCTGGAACTGGTGGTAGAGTCTCTATCAGACTCTCCATCTGTGACAGGCAGAGGACGCCGAACAGCACGATGAGCAGAGGATAGTAGATTACAACCCAGTATCCATCATTGTCGGAGCGCGTGCTCATGGCACCGTCGACTGTGCTGCAGGTCATCTTTCCGCGCGGATTGATTGAGCAGGGCCGGCGAAGGCTGTCAAGATCATTTTACCACTGATAGGCGCATATATGCCGTTGAAGAATGATTGCGATTCTGTTGACCAAGAAACAGCCTGAACGAGTCATTCCGGCTGCCACTACGTAGGCAGGCAGCTATCTGACCATCTACCTTAGGTACAGTCCATACATAGAAGATCTCCCCAGGTAGCTTTCGGGATGCCGTCCCGCCGGGGTTCTGATCTCCCAAGGGCTGCAGTCGCTGTCACAGCTACAAGTACATCGGTGGCCCTGGCTGACTTGCCTGCCTACAAGGGTAGGTACATGCAGGCGGGGGTATCAACATTTCTGGGTACTCGATTACCTTATTGCCTACCCAAGGTACCGTGGTCCCTAGGGAAAGTACCATTGACGCTCGCTGGTGGCGCCAAAAAGCTGTTCCCCCGCTCGGGCAGCAGCACAGCCTCCTCAAGACCAATCAACTCTTTCTGTAGGACTACCTGCTCGTGTTACTAGGTAGATACCAAGGGTGAAGGTATTGGGTACTTCAGGCACCGAGGCATTGAATCAATCGTGGCCCCGTATCCGCGGTCTAGCCTGTGGGGAGTCTGGGTTCTGGACTCTGGACTCTGGAATCCGGACCAGCTGCGGCGATAACTTTTCCATTGAATTATGTGGTTCTGTATGTCGTCGCGATGAGGGTCTAGACCATCCCCCATCTCCATCTAGGATGGCGCCCCTTCAATTTCGATCGAAAAACACATCTTGCTATCGCACATCACATCACCTCACATCGCAAGGTTCTCTGCGATCTACCAATACCTATCCGCGGGCGCGTTACGTACATATGTACCTAACCCACCCAGGTGCAGCTGCGTAGAGTGCAGGTAGCCGATGGACAGTACCTAAGGTCTACCGCGTCATCTCGAGGTGATCTGCCTCAACCGAGCGCGCTTGACTTTTGTCTCACTCTCTTACTCACTCTTCCTTCTCCGTACCCCTAACTCAGAGACGGAGAAACGTAAGAGAAGGACGGAAAGGAGGACGAGAGACCGAGATCTGAATGACTGTGGTGACCTGAACCTGAAAAAAAAAAAAATACCTACGTTGGTTCCTTCACTTTCACAGGACCATACGATAAGACATCAACACCCTTCAACACTGGGGCCAATCAACATACCTGATTCTCTACGACTCGATTTACGACAGGCCTCCAGCAAAAAAAAATCCACAAACATCACGCGGCGGCGGGCTCAGGAAAGAGAACAATGTCCGTGCCGACACCACCGTCCACCACGCTCTCAGCTCCGCCGTCGCCCACGGAGCTGGCCACGCCAAGGCTCCCGCCCAACTTCGACAGTGACAGCGAGGAAGCGGACGAAGACCCCGAAATGCTCTCGCCCTCCTCGAAACGCATCATCAAGACCACCACGACCATTGTCAAGCCCATCTTCATGCGGCCCAAGCCCATCTACCTCATCGTCGCCACGTCGCTGAATCCGCCCATGGGCATCGGGCACCAGGGCAGGTTACCCTGGCCGCCGATCAAGGCGGACATGGCCTTTTTCAAGACCGTCACGTCTCACGTCCCCGAAGTCGCCAAGGACTCTTCACACCCAGAGTCTTCTTCTTCTTCCTCAGCGGCGCCGCCGGGCACGCTCAATGCCGTGGTCATGGGCCGCAAGACGTGGGAGAGCATCCCCGCCAAATTCCGGCCGCTGGCAGGACGACTGAACGTGATCATCACGCGCTCCGACTCCGAGCAGCTGGGGCGGAAGATCCTGCAGGAGCTGAAATCCGCGGGCAAGGGCAGCGCGGATGCCGCGTCGCAGTGGGAGCTGCACACCCTGCCGCCGCCCAAGCCCAGCGTGCGGATCAAGCTCAACTCGACGTCCAAGCGAGCCGCCGAGCGACGGCCCAGCACGATGCTCGTCCCACCGGCGGCGGCGGCGGCGGCGTCGGCGGTATCGCCCATCCTCATCTCCGCCTCCCTACCCTCGACACTCTCCTTGCTCTCCTCGCAAGCACCGATCCAGATCCCACCGCCGCCCACCGCCACCGCGCCCACTTCAGCCCCGGGCGGACCGTCGCGAGACCTCTCGCCATCCCTCTCGATCCACAAGATCTTCTGCATCGGCGGCGCCGAGATCTACCGGCAGGTCCTGGCGCTGTCGTCCGCCAACCTGCACACGCCCACCACCCCGGCCGGGAGCGAGACGGGGACGGACACCGAGGGCGAGACCGGCGGTGACGGCGGCGGCAAGCACTTCGACGTGAGGATCCTGCAGACCCAGATCCGCCGGCGCCGCGGCGGCGGCGGGGGCCCGAATGCGACGACGACGACGACAACGGCCGACGACGGGGACGGGGACGATTTCGAGTGCGACACCTTCTTTCCCGACCTCCTGCCTTCGCCGCACTCGCGCGTCAAGTCCGCCAAGTGGAAGCACGTCGCGCAGGCCAAAGTCCAGGAGTGGATCGGCGACGACGTGGAGCTGCCTCAGCACCTGGGCAGGCGGAAGCAGAGCATCGCGGATGACGCTGCCGGGCAGGATGAGAGCGAAGGGGACGAGGAGGAAGAGGAAGACGAGGTCATGCCGGCGGATAGCAGTGGGAAGGAGTTGTGGCTGAAGGACGAAAAGGCTGGTGTTGAGATCCGCGTCGTGGGTTGGGAGAGGAGGTGACCCCTTCCTGGCAGTTGGTGAATATGGGTTTTGTCTTGCGCAAGCATTACATTTGATACGAAGCGGACCACGCAAATATGATGATATCTCGTATAGCAGAAGAGTCGCGAATAAACCGTTGATGTCCCTCGTATTCGTCGTCAAAGGAAATGTCCCGACTGGCCAGGCGGTTCATGACCCAGGTACAATACCCATGTAGGCATAGTGTCTCATCCAGTCCCTCATCCCCTTCCTTGACACTGGCGTCCCGTCATCCCCGACTACTTGTCAACATGTTCCCAGCACGGACTCAGTAGTCATCATTTCCTGCACCACGTCTCTTCTCCGCACCTCGTTCCTCCAGCTTGTTGCTTCCGAACATGCTGCCCGCCTTCTCCATCATTTTGCCCACGGTAGAGTCTTTCTTGCCACTTGAGCTATCATCATCGTAGCCGCCGCCGCTGCTGCCGCCGAAGCCGCCGCGCTCTTGATCCTGGGTGCGGCCGGAGCCCATTCCCTGCAAGTCTAGTTGTCAGTACCATGTTCGAGACCATGCGGATCAGTTGCAACAGGGAAGTGCTCACGTAATCATTGTCACGGCCTGAAGAAGTGCCTCCGGTTCGGGTTGCGTCGCCATAAGTATCATCGGTGCCTTTTCCCCAGGTCAGATGCTGTCAAGACATGTCATGAAGGGTCCGTACCGAGTCCACCTGAAGTTCCACCCGAAGAGCTGAAATCGTCTCCGCGACGGCCAATGCTATCATCTCCGTAGCCACGGCCGCCGCCACCGGTATTGGAGCGATAAGTGTCGTCGCTTGCACCGAAGCCGCCAGATGATTGAGCTTCGGTCCTGCCACTCCCCAAGCCTATTACACAAGGTTAGCTTGGGATATCGAACACGGCAGACAACCCTCACCATATTCATTGTCACGGCCAGTGCTTCGGCCACCAGTGGTTGTGGAATCTCCATAGGTGTCATCGGTCCCTAGACCACCGCCGGTGCGGCCACTACCTCCATAACCTCCAGAGGTATCACGGGTCCCGGAGCTGTAGGTATCATCGCTTGCGCCAAAGCCACCGGCGTCTTGTGTGCCAGTCCTGCCACTGCCCATGCCTACATGTAAGTTTAGTTCAATGGAGTCTTGCTGGGAGTCGACGACAGCCCACCGAATTCGTTGTCCCGGCCAGTGCTTCTGCCGCCAGTAGCAGTGGAGTCGCCGTAGGTGTCATCAGTCCCTAGACCGCCACCAGTCTTTCGACCGTAGCTATCACCGTCACCGCGCCCGGACGACTAGCGTTGTATGAGTACCGAGGGAAGAGTGTCAGAAGGGAAGAGCATACACCATAGCTGTCGTCGCCATAGCCGCCTCCTTGACGTCCGCTAGAGCCCTAGCTTTCAGTCAGTTTGAGGTTTCGGTGAACTTCTGGCGTGACCTACGTAGCTATCGTCACCATAGCCACCACCGCGTCGCTAGAGCATGTCAGCAGAGTGCCTGAACAGCTTCGAGCCAGGTCATACGTCGTCATCGTTATAAGACATTGTGCTTTGAGATTGTTTGCTTTCGTGGATTGATCACAAGTACGAGTTTCACCGGTTTGAGAGTCTGAAGGATTGAAGGGGGTTGAAGTGAGTTCAGGAGAGAGCAGGACGAGGTTTTAAGGACACAACGGGAGCAGACGAGGGACAGATGAGGCAACGACCCTGACTACACTCTAACAGAGTTCATTCCCAAAGCACGTCAGGCACGAGTCACAAACTGACGCGGAGGTGGTTCATAGCATACGTAAGTCTCGTTGCAGGACCAATGACTTGAGGGAGAGACCCCGCGTGAAACAAGGCCAGGTATTGGACAGCTGAACCCAGACAGGCATCAAGAGCAAGGAAGCTGGGAAGCCGCAAAGTATCGTCATTTCCTGGTGTAAACATTGGCTGAGCATGAGGTAGGAGGAGGGGGGATGGGTTGCGCCTCGGTGACACCTTGACCCTGGCATGGTGCTGCATCTGACCTGGTTCCGAGGGCCGCTCTTTGTTTGTGATGGAGAGCGAGGGCCCATCTCTGCCAGAACCGGAGGGGCACAGAGAAATGGACAGAGGGAACAGAAGATGCTGTTCAGCGAGCGATGAGAGTGAGTTGAGGGAGTCTGCGTGAGCTGAGCTGTGAGCTGTGAGCTGTGAGTTGAGTGGGTGGAGGGAGTGGTTTGTGCCCCGCAGCCTGGAAACCTGCAGCCCGGTGTCTATGACGGCATGTGCTGCACTTGCTGCATTGCGCGCGTCACCGCGTCGCCCGAAACAAGCACGATCTGCTTTCTTTTGCTGCCGGAAGCAGATGCCCCTGTGGCCCTTTGGTGGCTCTCTTGGGTGCCCCTCTGGGGGCCTCCTCTCGCCTAGTCCACTGGGTGTCTCCCCCCTCTCACTCTTCCTGCTCAGGGTCCAATCCGGCTATTCGCGCAATGCCTGTCCAAATGAGGGCATCCAAGCTGATCTTACCCATTTTACGGCCAGCTGGGGGCAGGCTTCTCCTCGTCCACGGCTCCAAGATCCAAGATCCAAGGTCGCAACAGCGAGGACAGGGACAAACCCTGCCTCCCTTAGCTTCCAGACCTTTGGCGTCACTCGCATAAGAGTTCGATTCAGCACCGCGTACCCCTGCCGAGCACCCCCGGGCGCTGTGCCTTTATCCGAACTTCAGGACTAGCAGCATGTCTAATGCACAACCTGCAGCTCTTTCAGCTTGCTTGGTCGTGCACGTGGCCTCATCGAAAGCCACCAGATGTTTGCCACCGCTGTGTGTCTTGTATCGATTCAGCGGGCAAAGCCGCTTTCAAACGCCGCAAATCTCATCTTGGAAAGAGATTTCGAGGCTGTAGCACGCTGGCAGCCACCAACACCCAGTGCACCCCATCGCAAGTTACGTTCAAAGTATGAGGCATGGTTTATCGGACATATTTCGACTAGAAAGGAACTGGTTAGCACAAGCTAGATGAGACATCCAAACGTCGAGTCTCTTACCATGAACTTCTTGTGAAAGTCCGATCTCAGTAGATCCTGCGTTCTCGTCAGCTTGGCTACATTCGCACGTCTCAACAGTCTGGGGTGGACGCACATTGACAAACTCCTTGTTCCCTTTCTGTTCCGTGCCTCGAGCTTGGTTCTTGAAGACCACGTCGTCGTCCCATCTCCGCTTGACGTTGAATGCCTTGGGATTGAGCAGCGGGTTACCAAGCGCAATGTCTTGTTCTCGCTGGTCTTGTTCTTGTTGAGCCTGTTCTGCTTCTTCCCGTGCTTTTTGCTCTGCTCGTTCCTTTTTGATTTTCTCCAGTTCGCGCATCAGCTCTGCTGTCTCATCTTCTTCGTCACTCTCCTCGTCGCTGCTCTCTGTATCGCTTCCATCCGAGTCTGCATCGATATCTCTAGTTTCTTCGAGAATCCTCCTTCGTTTTGTTTCAGGGTCCTCGTTGTCACCGTCACCACCTTCCGTGGAGTCTTCGAGTTCTCGCTTAACGGGTTTTGAGGGACTGCTCGTGGATTCTGCAGACGTTCCCTTCGTCTTTGCGAAATGAGCGGCTTCTGCCGCAAGTAATTCTGCTCTGAGATCTCTCTGATGAGCTTCTGCAGCTCCGCCTTGACCGGGTTGCCTGGTTATCGTTAGAAGGACTTCCTCTCGGAGACTCGATCGCGACCAACCGAACTTTGAGAAGAGTGTGCGCTGGTAGTAATCGTTGATGATACGCTGGACCTCGCTGCGCCTCTTTGCCCCGTGCAGGGTCAAACGTCGGTCGGTGGGCTATTGCTAGAGTCAGAATACAGCGCTAGAACCAGGTGAAGAGAGCTTGCCTGTAGTCATGTTGGGCGCAAGATGTCTGGACGACCGTAGCAGAAAATATTCGTCGAAATCAAGAGGACAGAGAGCGCCTCAGGTAAAATGTGTTGGTTACAGAAAAGATCAATTTTGAAAGCTTCCAAGTGACAATCGCAGCTGCGCAGCCTTACGGGGCTTGGCATGTGACTCAGCCTTGAGGGTGCGAACTGTGCGGGATTAGAGTTGTGCACGCCTAAGATATTTCGCTCGCAAGCCAAAATGTGCTATAACATTTACAAGCTGAACAGTCCACTCCTCCTCTTGCCAAATGGATACACAACCAAAGCGCTCAAATAAAGGCCAACGCTAATCCCGATTGCCACTTGAACCATTCCATACCCAACGTTGAAAATCGTACCGCCATAAACACTCGCACTCGTTGTACTGTTCTGGGCATCCAAGAATCCCGCCGTGCCGTTATTGATGACACTAACCCCTGTCACATTTCCGGTAATTTGATCGGCACTCGTGATGCCCGCCACAAGGCTCCCGCTCGCGGCCAGTCCACTGGGGACTTGAACGAAAATCGCCGGTAGCATGGCGGCAGCTGCCAGACCGTGGAAGAAGCGAGAATATAGATTAGCCATTGTCCCGATTGCGAAGGCGCCGATCGCGTTGGCCACCTGGATGTTGTTCGAAAGTTTGGTCGAGATCCAGAAGTTTGCTTGATAGCCAACAAAAGCAACAACAGTCATGACCGGCATTTGCTTCCACTTTGCTTGGTTGATGATAGCAAGGCATATTGCAAATATGGGGACCCAGATAAACCTGACATACAAAAGCTTGGGTCCGTGATTGGAATCGTTCCACCAGATTGGTATGTCGCAGGTCACGTCGCTCTGTGCTTGAGGATAGATGAGACCTGTAATAGTTTCGTCAGTGATGACAGTCCTGATTGGATTTCATCCGGAAAAGAACACTCACCCATGACAACTGTACCAATCAGAATCCCAAAACCAAGAAACAGTGAATATATAATGGCGTATACCATTCTGACCGAACCCGAAACGATGCTTTTACTTTGTAATTCCAGCGCGGAGCACAGCACCATGTACCCCGGCAGGATAAGGGCTATGCTACTTTGCGCAATAGCCGAGAAGCAGAAAACGGCGGTGCCTTTGTGGTAGATAGAACCCAGGCCCCGCGAGGCGAACGAGATGAGGACGGAGGCAAGTATTTCGAATACGTGCGAGAACTGTTCTGAGCGGGTTACCACCACAAGCTGCAACCAGCCCAGAGTGCACCCCAAGATAAAACATGGACCAAAGTCAACTGGTCGAGCGGAGAAAGCAAAGGGGCCCACCGCAATGGCTGCGATACCATATGCAAAAATCCGTAGGGGAAGAGAATGCCGGCCGCGTTTCTTCATGATGTCGTCTAGATCGGCCGTCCCTTGTTCGGCCGTGTATTTGCCGTGAATGACCAGCTTGTATACGTCGAAGACGTCTCTGAACTTCCCGAGATCCACATTCTGCGACTCTTTTACCAGGGTGACTTCTGTGCTCATGGTAACCCTATCGTTGAGCGAGACCAGCATCGACCCTGGCATATACAGGAAATCGCCGTCAATATTGAGTGCTCGTGCGGAGGTCTTCATATATTCCTCAAGCCGATGAGTGGGTGCTCCGACTGCCATTAAACATCGTGCCAATTTCTTCAGATACTTCCGACAAGCGATGATTTCGGCAACGTCCAGGATTACTCGCTCCTCGTCTACCAGCAAGGACTGCGTGGATTTGTGATTAAAATAGTTTGCCGGGTGCTTAATCATGTCGACCGCCGTCGCAATCATGCCGCTGGAGGATTTTGCATGGTGATACGGTGGCCGAGGCACGTAATTGCTGGTTTGGGGTGCAGCGGCTGCTGTCGAGGTCATTGATGCTTGAGCCAATAAGGTTGCCAGGGAACCAGTTGATTGCCGTTCATGGCTGTCTTTATCATACCACTTTGGCCTTTTGGAGGGAGTTGCCCTTCCAGATGATGGCGTAGAGTGATCACGGCTCTCAGAACCTGCACGAGAATGGCTTCTGGAATAGAAGCTTTTTGGAGAGTATTTGTTGGGCGGGCGTGGGGCGGAGTCATCATTGTATGTCGGATGAGTAACTCCGTTCCGCTGTAAATGTGCCAGTTTTGAGGCAAGGAGGGCGCCAAAGACACTGGGACGGTATTGATCTGGAGGGGGAACATAGTCCAAATCGTGAAGGTGCTTGTCCACCGCAGGCGTCTCTGCTCCAGACCGTGACTCGTCTTGCCATGCTGTCGCATTATGACCGCTGGTCAGTGTTCTAATAAGCCTTCTTGCTTCTTCGACGTTCTCGTTGTCACGGTGCAGAGCCTTGGGGTCTTCGCTGTCTGTGTCGTCATCACTCGTCGCATCGTGTAACGTATAGGGGCGTTTGTCCTTCTCGAGTGGTTCTAGGGGAATGTCATCGTCATTAACAGGCCAGTCGCTCAGTGGCTTCGAAGGAGGGGATGAATTCGGAGATGCCAACGTTTGAGGAGTCGTGCTTTGAGAAATAAGAATCCCTGAATGGGGTCTCGGTTGTGCTTGAGAATGGCTTAATCTATTGGCTAGGCGACTGGCACGGTCCTGGGCTTGAGCGGCGGCAGCATTTGTGATTCCAGCCCAATCCGCGGCCGGAAGGCCGTGGTCGGCGACGTCTTCAGAATCAGGTAAGCGAATTGCTGGGACCGTTCCGTGCGTGCCGGCTTCGACGAGGGCATCTCGCACATCGTCAGCAACATCGGAGAACTTGACCTTTTGGTGTTGTCTGTGCCCATGCCTGAGGCCTCTGAGACTGTGCCGACGTGTAGGGTTTGCGTCGGAATCGTTGCTGGCGTTCTCGGATGTTGGCGACTGTATATATCTTTCAGCCATGGCCACGGGCCACCAAAGAGCCGTTTATATCAGAGAACAAACGCGACCTGGCGAGCATCGACCAGGGAAGTAATAAGATTAAGATGTGGCAAAGGGGGGAATTCCAGCCCAAATGGCGACAAAGGAAAATTATTGGAACAAAGAATCGACCGGATATCGTTGGCCAACGACCAGGTTATGAGGCAGCAATGGCTGAACGCAACAAATGCGCCCGGCAGAAAGCCCTCGAAGAGCCTGAAGATCACGAGCTGGCACGTTTGCAGAAGAGGGAATCTTCAGGAGTAAAAATGTCAGAAGCCATAGCGGACATGTTTCTGCCCCCCGCAGGAGCGGCAATGGACGACGGGTCTGCCGTGATAGAGGTTTGGGCACAACGGAAAGCTTGAATCAAATTGCATAAGAACAATTCATCACCCATGGACCCACGCCTTCGATAACAGACGGAACCGTCTTTGCACGTGGTGGAGGCGTCGGAGGTTTGTCAGATATTCCCAAAATGTGCAAAATTATGGGCATCGCAGGCTAGCCGCGAAATCGAGCAGTGGAAAAGGCCACGGTGACGGTCGGAGAATGGCATTTTTGCCAATAGGAGACGTAGGGAATGACATGAGAGCGGAAGACCTTGATAGGGGCCCAACAAATATGGGTATGGGTGAGGCTCGGTGGAAAAGTTTGAGCAAGGCTGACGCAACCCAAGCTTCGAAACGGGAGAGCGGGAGGAGTTCGCTAACGCGGGAGGTTTGAAGTGACTTTGCCTGTGGCGTGGTGTCCTGATAAGTACGTGGTACGTACCAGTGCCTGAATCTGCACTGTGCACTCTGCTTATCTCGCATGAGAGACAAATTGGATCGTCAGAGCGGCTTGTGGATCGCGGGTGTCAGCTATTTCGGAGGCGTTTGGCATGTGAATTGTGGTTACGATCATGTGACTGGGAAATTGCCATGTCCTTGCGGCACCGTGGCAGTGTTGACCTTGCAATGAGTCAGATCCAAAGCATAACGGCCGGTGACGGAGACCTGGGATTGCTTGCTTTCGGAGAGGAAAATATTTTAGAGGGTTGGAAGAAAAAATTGGAAGAAGAGGCAAAGACGAAGATTTTGTTGAGAGGAGATATCTTCGGTTGGAGGGCAAAATAGTCCACAGTAGCGTCTAGGTGCAAGTTTGTCCGGTGGAGCGAATAGCTTCGCAATGCAAGAACATTTTTGGTGTCAAGCAACGGGGGTTTGACGGGCAGACAGAAAATTGTCGCAATCCCAGAACCAGTCACACCAATCTTGCCGTGAATGTGTGGGATAGCCCACCTACTGGATGGCGTTGAAGTCGCTCTCTCATCAATACCTGCCGTCCCCGCCGACGGTCCTTCGTTAGTATGCCACGCGAAGTCGACATCTCCAACATTGAGCGGAATTTCATCCTCCAAGCACTAGAACAAGGCGTGCGAGTCGATGGACGGCGTCTAGACCAGTTCAGAAACCTTGATCTACACTTCGGGCATGAATATGGAACAGTCACTGCCCGTCTCGGGAAGACGAGGTAGGCCACTCACTCTCCATGAACACGTAGGCGAATACTAAACCCTTGTGAAGGGTTCATGTTCAGATCTCAGCAGAAGTCACGAAGCCACTCGAAGACCGCAAATTTGATGGAATCTTCACAATAGTCACAGAATTGAGTCCTATCGCGTCTCCCGCATACGAAGTCGGCAGACAGACCGAGCAAGAAGTGATATTGTCCCGGACTCTCGAAAAGGCTATACGAAGATCTCGTGCCATTGATACGGAATCCTTGTGCATTATTGCGGGAGCCAAATGCTGGTCCATTCGAGCCGACGTGCATGTTCTTGATTCTGATGGTGGTCTGATTGATTGTGCCTGTATTGCGATTGTGGCGGCGTTGCGACACTTTCGAAGACCCGATGTCTCAGTTGACGGGGAAAACGTGACAATCTACACCATGGCCGAACGAGTGCCGGTTCCCTTGAGCATCATGCACCACCCCGTCTGCACAACATTCAGCTTCTATCACGAAGGCGAGACCATCCTGCTGGATGCTACACGCAGGGAAGAGCAAGTTCGGGAGTCGAGCGTCACTTTTACCGTGAACGACTTCGAATTATGCCAGGTCTCCAAGATGGGGGGGAGCGCGATCGATGCCCTCGTTCTGCTGAAGTGCATCAACACAGCGCTGGGCAAGGGGAAAGAGATCAATGGGATCGTGGCTAAGAAATTGGCAGAGGATGCGACCCAGCGAGACGTGGGCGGACTGATTGCCGAGCTTCGAGCTGAGAACGAGCGATGACCAGTCAATGTCTTGTGCTCGGAGCGAGATTTACTCAGAGCATTATTGTCGGCGTCAGAGTGAGGCTGGCTGAAGGAAAAGGGGAAGCAGAAGGAACAGGATGTTGTATGGATGATATTCCACCACCCAACCAACCTTGAAGCTTGCTTGATATGTAACAACAACCAGCAATCATGGATGTGGCAGTGCAGTCTCAGATGCCATTTTTAACTTCTTGGGAATCAAGCAGCCCCAGACACCAAGGATCCAGTCAGCCACGAATCAATCTCCCCCGTGGAATAATCTGTCAAACCACTGGACGAGCTTCTAGGCTGCAGGCAAAATGAAGACTGAATGATGTTTTGGGTACTCTATCTTGTCCTCGGTCACATACCGGCATAGGGACCTATGCACTACGGAGGAGATATTATATGTACTTAGATACGAGTACGGCATCCAGCTTCGCAGGACCCCTCTGGTGGTGAATTCGGTTTGCGCCTCGCAGCCTGTAACGTTAGTGTCTCGCTTGGTGCCTCTAAAGGGACTGAAACTGAGCACTAGGCTCGCTAGGGCGCATTTGATAGGGACCAGCCACTTAACGCTGCTGCCCGCACGGGGGCAAGTGGCCTCCCAGCCTGGGCTTCAAGGCGTTGCTCCGCCTGCGGCCGCGTATCCAAACCGAACTTGGGTTCTTGGTATTGCCATTGTCACCGTCCATCTCGACAGGAACCGACCACGCTGACATCTACTCTGCCAACACTGCCATTTAGCGCAACATGTCTGCAACAAACACTCTCAACCGTGACAGTGGCTTCTCATGATTCATATGGCACGGTAACGCACACTGTCGATTCCTTCCTCAGAAGCCCCTCTGGCGCCCATCCGCTGGAGAAATGGACGGGCGGCCCAATGCGCCTCAAGCTCCCAACCACAATAACAATATCTTGGATGGCTTGGGGAGTTCACAGCCGGTCTACAGCTCAGGGCAGCGCCCTCCTGTAGATGACTCGCAACTCCTCAACGTGTTCAATATCGATGACTCCGAAGAACCTCAACCAAGACCTTCAACTAGCTACGATGAATTCGTCGGCGGAGGGAGGCCAGCGCCCGCCGGCCAAGCGCAACCGTCAACGTCCTCAACCCGACCCTTTACTGCCCCGTACATGGAAAGCGGCACGCGAAATTACTCTCAGACCTCGGACCTGCAGAACTACGCAAAATACGGAGATGGTGAGGAGTTAACCGAAGAAGAGTCGGGATACAAATACTACGACAATGCAGGTCCCTCAGACGAGCATATCCCCGGTGGAGGTGTCAAAGTGGTCGGACGGCATCATAGGCGCGATCGGACTAGTCTCATGTCCATGTCGGGCGTCATGGACAGAGCGAAAGGGATGCTGGGGATACGCAACAGCAACTACTCTGACATCAATCTTCCTCTGACAGAAGCCGGCCTGCAGAACTCGAGGGTAGACACAGCCGGCACAGACGAGACGCCTCCAATCCGCGAGAAAAAAGAATTTAGCTTCGATAACATCAGAGACATGTTCACAAGGAAGAAGGTCGATCCGGCGAGCCTTGGCCCTAGGATCATCCATCTCAACAATGCTCCGGTGAATGCTGCCAACAAATGGGTCGACAATCATGTTTCTACCGCCAAATACAACGTCGCAACCTTTCTACCTAAATTCCTCTTCGAACAGTTCTCCAAATATGCCAACCTGTTCTTCTTGTTCACCGCCGCCCTGCAGCAAGTACCTAATGTCTCCCCCACGAATCGATACACCACTATAGTTCCGCTCCTGATTGTGCTGACGATATCTGCGATCAAGGAACTTGTGGAGGATTGGAAACGAAAAACGGCAGACAAGGCCTTAAACGACTCCAAAGCACAGGTTCTTAAAGGTTCTACTTTCGTGGAGACAAAATGGATCAATGTTGCTGTCGGCGATATTGTCCGTGTTGAGTCGGAGGAGTCTTTTCCCGCCGACTTAGTGCTGCTCACGAGTTCAGAACCTGAAGGGCTTTGCTACATTGAAACCGCCAATCTTGACGGTGAGACCAACCTCAAAATTAAACAGGCAATTCCAGAAACAGTTCATCTGGTGAACCCTGCGGACTTGGGGAGACTGAATGGACGGATAAGATCGGAACAGCCGAACAGCAGTCTCTACACATATGAGGCAACCTTGACTGTGGCTGGCGGAGGCAACGAGAAAGAACACCCTTTGACTCCCGACCAGTTACTTCTCCGTGGGGCGATCCTCCGCAATACCCCCTGGGTGCATGGTGTTGTTGTATTCACTGGCCACGAAACGAAGCTGATGCGAAATGCTACTGCTACACCTATCAAGCGGACAGATGTGGAACGCATGCTCAACAAGCAGATTCTCATGCTTGTTGCTATACTTTTGGTCCTCAGCGCCGTTAGCACGATCGGTGATCTCATTGTCCGATCCACCGCTGGCCAGAAGCTCACATACCTCTACTACGACAATTTCAACGCCGCCACGCAATTCTTCCTGGACCTCTGCACCTACTGGATCCTGTACTCAAACTTGGTCCCGCTGTCACTATTCGTTACCATCGAGATAGTGAAATATTTCCAGGCTTTTCTCATCAGCAGCGATCTAGATATGTACTACACAGACACCGATACTCCTGCGGTATGTCGAACCTCATCTCTTGTGGAGGAATTGGGACAGATTGAATACATCTTCTCGGACAAGACAGGGACTTTAACTTGCAACATGATGGAATTTCGGCAATGCTCCATCCATGGTATCCAGTATGCAGGCGTGGTGCCCGAGGACCGCAAGGCGACCAGTCCTGATGATTTGGACGGCATTCATGATTTCAAGCAACTCCGCGAGAATACGAGGACGCACCCAAGCGCCGGAGTCATTCAACAATTCCTCTCACTGCTCGCCGTATGCCACACCGTCATTCCGGAACGCAAAGACGAGAAATCAGAGATCAAATACCAAGCCGCTTCCCCTGACGAGGGCGCTCTGGTTGAAGGCGCTGTCATGCTTGGCTACCGGTTTGTGGCGCGAAAACCGCGCTCAGTGATTATCCAAGTCGATGGTCAAGACGTGGAATATGAACTACTAGCAGTCTGCGAGTTTAATTCTACAAGGAAGCGGATGTCAACACTCTTCAGATGCCCTGACGGAAAGATCAGGATATACTGTAAGGGTGCTGATACAGTGATTATGGAGAGATTGGCCAAGGACAACCAGACTGTGGAGACCACGTTACGGCATTTGGAGGACTACGCCACCGAGGGCCTTCGAACGCTATGTCTTGCTATGCGCGAGGTTCCAGAACAAGAGTACCAGGAGTGGCGACAAATTTTCGATAAGGCAGCGACGACTGTTGGGGGCAATCGTGCCGAAGAGCTTGATAAAGCAGCAGAGATCATCGAGCACGACTTGTACTTGTTGGGAGCAACCGCTATTGAAGATCGGCTCCAGGATGGAGTGCCAGATACCATTCACACGTTGCAACAGGCTGGAATCAAAGTCTGGGTCCTGACCGGTGATCGACAAGAGACGGCTATCAACATCGGCATGAGCTGCAAATTGATTAGCGAGGATATGACTCTATTGATCATCAACGAGGAGAATGCTACCGCAACACGAGAAAGTCTGCAGAAAAAATACGATGCAGTACGAAGTCAAGCCGCGGCAGGTGAGCGAGATGTCCTCGCACTTGTCATCGATGGCAAATCTCTGGCCTTTGCCCTGGAGAAGGACACGGAGAAATTGTTTCTTGATTTGGCAGTCATTTGCAAAGCTGTGATCTGCTGTCGAGTATCGCCTTTGCAAAAAGCCCTTGTGGTCAAACTTGTCAAGCGGCATCTCAAGGCCCTTCTCCTAGCTATCGGCGATGGCGCGAACGATGTCTCCATGATCCAAGCCGCACACGTTGGTGTTGGAATCAGCGGTGTAGAAGGTCTGCAAGCCGCTCGCAGTGCCGATGTCTCGATTGGCCAGTTTCGGTATCTCAGAAAACTGCTCCTCGTGCATGGGGCCTGGAGTTATCAGCGTATCAGCAAGGTCATTCTGTACTCGTTTTACAAGAACATTGCTATGTTCATGACACAGTTCTGGGTAAGCAGAGGACAACCATTGTCGGTGAGGCTGGTTATCAGTGCTAACAAACGACTAGTATGCCTTCCAAAACTCCTTCTCCGGCCAAGTCATATACGAGTCCTGGACTCTCTCCTTTTACAACGTCCTGTTCACTTTTTTCCCGCCTTTCGCCATTGGCGTATTCGATCAATACATCTCCGCTCGTCTTTTGGACCGCTACCCGCAATCTTACCAACTCACCCAGAAGGGGGTGTTCTTCCGCATGCACAGCTTTTGGTCCTGGGTCGCCAATGGATTTTATCACTCGATCCTCGCATATGTCTTTTCGAGCTATTTCTTTCTGAATGACGGCATTATGTCTAATGGCAAGGTTGCGGGGCACTGGGTTTGGGGAACCTCGACTTACACTGCGATTTTGTTGGTCGTCCTTGGAAAAGCCGCCTTGATCACGAACGTCTGGACGAAGTATACCGTGATGGCGATCCCGGGAAGCTTTGTGATCTGGTTGGCCTTTATCCCTGCCTACAGTTACGCGGCACCCAACATTGGAAGTGGATTTTCGACCGAACTCGATGGGATCATTCCAGTCATGTTTTCGTACCCAGTCTTCTACGCACTCTGCCTCGTCCTTCCGCCCGTCTGTCTTGTGCGGGATGTCGTATGGAAGTATGCCAAGAGAATGTATTTCCCGCAAAGCTATCACCACGTCCAGGAGATTCAGAAATACAACGTGCAGGATTACCGGCCGAGGATGGAGCAGTTCCAGAAGGCGGTGAGGAAAGTGAGGCAGGTGCAGCGGATGAGAAAGCAGAGAGGCTACGCATTCTCTGCGGGCGACGAGAGTACCGGTGGACAGACGATGAGAGTACTCAGTCTGTATGACACGACGAAACACAGGGGACGGTACGGCGAGTTGGGCAGTGTCAAGGGAACGCCGCCGGGTATGTTGTGACCGGGCCCCGTCGACTCCAAGGGGGAGGCATAATCGCCCCGAGGGAAAGACGGCGTCGAGGAGCGAGAGTCGACAAAAGAGCTACGTGAACATGTTTGTGTCTTGCTCTTTTTGGCCAAGATTTCAACGATGAGATGTATAGCATGAAATATACCGGTGGATCAAGGGCGTCTTCAAGAGAGGAAAATGGGTTATCTGTCTGTCTGTCCGTCTATATGTGTGATCGTGTGTTTTTGATGCATTAGCTGGGCTTTTGGTTCTTTGTTCCCACCTTTTATTTCCCTTTTTCCCAAGGAGACATACTAAAGGGTGTGTTGAGAGCACTACGCAGACGTACCTATGTGTATGTGACGTCGTCTTCGTCGTGTTGTGGTCTGTCGCCAGCTTAGCTATCTCTGCTGACGAAAGGCGGAGCGGGGAGAGAGAGAATGCCAGAGAAGGGGGTCCACATCCAATGCAATATCAATTTCGAGGGTATCAATAGTCTATACGTGCATGTTTGCACTGCGCAGAGGTGAATGACTCCAGCGCGCGCTGTCCTTCCCGGTGTCATCAGCCAACAAACAAATTACGGCCACCCATTCCCAAAAGTTCAATGCCTCCAAAACCATCGTAGGGTCCGCTGTTGCCAGCACACGGCTCTCTAAAGCGAAATCAATAATCCTTGCCGAACAACGCCCCCAGGCCCTCGCCCTTGGGTGTCGCGGCGGAGACGACGGGTCGAACCACCTTCTTGCCCCAGAGGTCGACCTCGGCTTCCACCGCGGGAATCGACCCGGCCAGTCCAACGTCACCGACAACCGTCGGAGTGGGAGGCGGGATATGGGGCGTCACCAAATCGATGCTCCTGGAGTGGCCGGCGCTGGTGCTGTACAGCGGATTGGTGCGGGGAGCCAGCGGGCGCAAGTTGAACTCGTACATGCTGCCAAAGCTGGACGATGTTGTGGTGGGGCTGTTGGCTAGACTTGGCGTTGTTGTGCCCGGTGTCAAGGTGGACATGCTCAAAGTACTCTTGTGCCGCATTGCTACTGGGCGGACGGGCTTGGATTGGTGGTGGTGGTGGTCAGGATGATCGGCAGAGTTGTTGTTGATTATGTTGTGTGTCTGGTGGAAGCGGCTCAAATAGCGAAACGCCTCAGAGTTGGCCGAGGCGCCGCGGTGAGGTATCTTGGGTTTCCATTCGGTTGGGTCAAGATCTGATCGGTGATCGTGAAGATCAAAGGGTATCCGTGTGAAAGGTTTGTCTTGATATTCCGGGGAAGCGCTGGAAACGCGTGATGTTATGGTTGGACGCGGGGAGGAGGGGAGGGATGGCGGCGGTGTGGAGGACTCGAGTGACAGATTGGAGGCCGATAGAGGCTTCGCGGCGTCCTTGCGACGACATCTGACAGCTTAATCAGTCTGTATGCTTGAGAAGAGACCCACGGGCAAGGGGACGTACGCTTCACTGCAGTAAAGAATCGAGTTGCATGGAGTCATAATCTGCTTCTCGCACATGGCGCTGTGGTTGCTGGTTAGGAATCGGCCTTGCAAATGGAGACGGACACTGGGACGTGTATGTGGCCTTACCAGAACTGTAAAAAGCTGGCTGCCATCTCTTTTTCTTTGTCCCTCCTGTTATCGCCCGGGGCGAGGGAGCGAGGAGTGAGAGCGGAGTCACCACTCCTGCGCTTCAGTTTTCTGGCAGAGGAGGAGCCCTTGCCATGCTGGATTTTGCGGGAGGGAGGATCTTCCCCCATTGAGGGCGGTGAGGTAGGTATATGTACCTGGGCTGAGGGATATTAAAGGAGAAGGGAGGCGTCGACTTGGTTGGGCAGCTGATGATTTGTTGTACACCGCAAAGTGACTTGGGTGCATTCCATGGGTGCCAGGCTGCGCCTTGTGTGGATGACGTTAAAAGTGGGCGTGTGTCTTGCCCCGTTCCAGACGAGGCCACTTCCCGCGACCGCAATGTTTCGGGGCACCAGGCACCCCGAGAGGCCTATGAGACGAGGGGTTACGGGCGAGCCACTGCAGGTGGTGCAGGTGCCGCAAGCCCTATGACCGTCTATTCGACCGCCTAGACCGAATGCGGCCATGGTCTGACGGGTGACCGACGGGGGAGAATGGCATCTAAATGGAGCCCACCAAAGGTCCTCAGGCTTCTGCAAGGCACTGGGAAGGGAATCCTTGGGTCAGGACTCAGGAGGGTCAGCCTGACTACCCATACTCGTAGTAGCATAGCCCCTTCTTCCCTCCTCCATCTTATTATTCCATCATCAGCGCAAGAGGAATTTGCATTTGGTGTCAAACAACGGTGCTGGTTCATTCCTGCAGGTGGGACTATCCACTCTTATAATGCTCTTTTGCTCTTTCACAGACGAGGACAACTTCAACCCCATCCTTCTGGCACTCCCCGGGCTACCGCGCCTCCCTCTCGACCTACATAGCAGCCGAGCATGCTGCTCCATACAAACTTGTGCTCCTTCAGTTCTTGAAGCTTCTTGTATGCACCTGCAGTGGCAAACCCGATCCCCGTGCCGCGATCTCGGTATCGAACAGGCAACATTGTGATGGAACACAGCTCTTGAATGTGCTTCACAGGTTTGGCTGTCTTGCGATTGTTGTAAAATAGGGAGTACTCCTGCCGGGCTTCGCTGGAAAGCTCCTCGAACTTGTCCAAAATGACCAGATTTCGCGTCGAGTCTTCTTCAATCAGTGGAGGCTCCGGTACTGTCGGGGTTGGGATGACTCCAGCCAACGGCGTCTGCTCTATTTGTGTGGTTGCCTGGGCATTCTCTGTCTCATTGGGCCTCTCGACGGCTCTTACTGGCTGCATCTGTTGCATTTGGCCTGTGGCCTCAGAGGGCTGCATCTGCTCTCTCTGCTCGGGTTTCTCAGGCGGCTGCGTCTTCTTTGCTTCTTCGGCGGTTTTGTCTAGCTGTGACTGCTCTGGTAGCTTGATAGATTCGGTCAGATGCGTCTTCTCGGTGGGTGCTTCAGGTTTAATTGCGACATTTTCCGACGCCTCGCTAGAAGGCTTTTGAACCTGGACAACAGGATCCGTAGTCTTTTCCGCTGAAGAAGTAGGACTTTGCTGTGGTTCCGGACGCTCTTCTGGTTCTTGCTGCACATTTTGAACTTGAGGAACTGGGCTGACTCGTCCGCTCTCCGTTGGGATGCCGTCCGTTTGCATATTAGCATACTCATGTATCCCTTTCAAGAAAGTGTCTTCCTGGTCCTGCGGTGCAGTGGGCGTTGTTTGCGGCTGTGCACCATCCGAGATAGGAGCAATAGTGGTGATAATTGCCGTTTCCTGGGTGGGGTCATTCGAATGGTCCGATATGGGGAGTGGTACCTGGTCCGCTATCGCAGTACTTGTTTGTACTGCTCCGGCTCCCTTTGAATCTGCATTCTTTTCTGCAGCTAATTGCTCGAGGTACGCTTTCGACTTCCTTCCACGTTTCTTCGTCTCTTTTTCTCCTTCGCCGAAGTGTGTAGCGTCTCTTGTACCGATTTTGTTCAGTCTCGGCCCTACCCATTTGGCCTTAGCACTTAACCAAGTGAGGACTGGACCTTCCAGTTTCCTGTCCTTGAGAGCTGCGAGTTTTATTGCTAGCTCCTCTTGTCTCTTCTTCTCCATCGCCTCCCAACGGTTGAGGCTCTTAGCATTTTGTCGCTCGACCCTTGCAGCTTCAGCCAGCCGATCAGCCTGCGTGAGTTCTTTGGGTGCATCTCTTGCTTTTTCCTTTTCCCGTTGTTCCTTGAGCGCTTTCATTTTTTTGCTTTGGGCCTCGCTCTCCTTCAATCGGGCAATGGTTTCAGCTCGATGGGCGATCGTCTGTTTGCGCAGAGAACTTCGACCGGAATCGTGATGATGGACCCATGTAACCCGCTCTTTCTTCTTTGATGGTTTCGGTGTCACAGATGCCACAATCGGCCTTGTAGGATCGGTCTTGAGTTTCTTCCTCATGCCCGCGACGCTTGTAAGGGCCAGATCTGCTTTCCGTTTCTTCGCTCGTTCCTCTTTGGCCTGCTTTTGTATCTCCTTCTCCCCTTCGAGGTCATCTGTTGCAGCATTGGGGCCTTGATCGTCATCATCGCTGGAGGACATGTCTGCATCCTCATCCTCATCACCGCTTCTGAATTCCTCATCCTCCCCCTCTTCATTGTCCGCGAATAACAAAGTGACCTCGTCTTGGTCGTCCACATTTGCCACCTCTTCCAGTATCATATCCCTGTCATAGCGATTACCAGCAGTCTTCCGTCGCTCCCTGCCAGCGATGAGGGTCTCGACGAGTTCTTCATCTAATTCATCTTCGCTTGACTCGGTCGCTGAGAGTTGTGGCGTATCGTCCATGGTTTCGTCCGCCATAATGTAAACGTGTAGCAGAAAGAGAATCTGTCAAGGCCTCATACTTCGTGATCGGCGAAGTAGAGTCTTCCCGCTTCGATTGCACAAAGGACGAGCAAGAGGGACGCCGCAAGTTGGAGACTCTGTAGAGGCTCGAAGTAATTTGAGGAAGGTGTGGCGAGCTTAAACCACTTTACGCGTCGGCCTAGGCCAGCCCCAAGCGACGCGTTAAAATAGTCATGATCCCCGAACTCCAATCCTTAGACCGACTCCCTTAACATTCATGTATAGAGCTTTCAACCATCATGCCTAGACTGCGCAAGACTGTCCCGGTCGCTGCTTCAAGTAGCTACCCAGCTACACCGGACACCCGGAAACGTAAGCGAGGTAGTGCAATCACTGTCGACGGGCCTGATGGTGGACCGAGTCCAAGGACCCGAAAGCGTGCAAAATCAGCTGAAGACCACGCCGACGACAAACCAAAACCTCCTCAAAATAAGCACGAGGAAGTCGCAGTGAATTTGGAAAGGGAGGTGACCACCAAAGCCAGCACGGCGACGAAGGGCAAGTTGGCGCTTAAGGAGGAGACCATGGTGACGGTCGAGCGAACCGAAACGCCTACCAGCGGCACGCGCAAACGAAAAGGCAAATCGAAGGTTAAGCGAGAGGCTGAATCTGACTCGGAAGAGTACGACGGTGGAGGAGACAAAAGAGAGCAGGACGAACCGGTCAAGCCCAAGCGGACACGCAAAACGAAGGAAGAAAAGGAAGCAGCAGCAATGCCGCTCGCTGCTCGAACTGCCGGCTTAAACATGTACGTGGGCGCTCATACAAGTATAGCAAAGGGCGTGGAAAACGCAGTCACAAACTGCGTGCAGATCGGAGGCAACGCATTCGCATGTTTCCTCAAGTCGCAGCGGAAATGGGAGAATCCTGCATTGAAAGATGAGAATATCAATGCCTTCAAGAAGGCATTGATAGAACACAAATATGACGGGCTGTCACATATCGTCCCTCATGGGTCATATCTTGTCAATCTGGCGACCGAGGACGAGGACAAAGCCAAACAATCTTATGATGCTTTCATTGACGATCTCCATCGGTGCGAAGCCCTCGGAATCCGATACTACAACTTTCACCCCGGAGGAGCTGGGCAAAGTCCATTTGCAGAGGCCGTCAGTCGACTCGCCAACAACCTCAACCGGGCACTGTCGGAAACGAAAACTGTTGTCCCTCTGCTAGAGAACATGGCGGGACATGGCACTCTGATCGGAGGACGGTTCTCAGATCTCCGAGATGTGATCTCTCATATTAAGCCTGAATATCAGTCCCGGATTGGTGTTTGCATCGACACGTGTCATACATTTGCGGCAGGTTACGACCTACGCAGTCCACAGGAGTTTAAGAAGACAATGGACGAGTTCGACAAGGTCGTGGGTTTCAAATACCTCAAGGCAATGCACTTGAACGACTCCAAAATGCCATTAGGCAGCCATAGGGACCTCCATCAGAACATTGGCCTGGGATTTCTCGGACTGCGCGCATTCCACAACGTCATGAACGAACCACGCTTCCAGAACTTGCCTTTGATCCTCGAGACGCCCTGCGAAAAGCCTGACCCAAGCGATCCAAAGGGGAAGAAAATGATCGATGACAAGAGTATCTGGGCGACGGAAATCAAACTCCTCGAGAGTCTGATCGGGATGAACCCCGATGGTGAAGAGTTCCAGCGATTGGAGAGCGAGTTGAGTGAAAGGGGCAAGAAAGAGAGAGACCAAATGCAGGCGCAGTACGAGAGGTTGAGGGAGAAGAAGCTGCAGCAGGAGAAGAAGAAACTGGCCAAGGAAAAACAACTCGAGAAGGGCCAGAAGAATTTGGTCGACATGTTTGGAGGGAAACAGAACGCCAATGGGTCAACAAAGAGCAAAAAGCAGAAGAAGCGGAAAGAGGAGAACGGGTCGGAAAGCGAGTCAAGTGAATTAAGCGATCTGAGCGATCTGAGTGACTCGGGGCGATGAAGAGAACCGTGTCCGAAGTTGAAAGAGAGACGTCCTCTTTGTAAAACAACCACTCGAGCTACAGTGAGACTTTTGTCAGAGGCGCCCTGGTCTGGAAAGTGGAATATATGCATAGATACCCCTGAGTTTGAGAGGTGCGCCCTTGATGCTATGATATATTCATAGCCTCCGCTGCAAAACTGACAGAAAAGCGCAACTGGCCGTTACTGGAATGCTCTATATGTCTCAAGAACACCACTCGTAAGCACAAATGATCATCTCATCACGCCCAAAATGACTATATCCATATCAATATATCCGTTCCCGAATTCCATCTTCAAACCGTGACACCCGGCGTCACACATCGACGATTATTTAGTCATTCAATTTGCCCACCCTTCCACAGGCTTTAAGTAGACCTCAACACCGCCCTTGGGACGAGCGGTGACGCCGCCCTTGACCTCGATCTCCTTGTCCGGATCGACCATCTCGAACTCCCACGAGCCGACGAACGCGGCGAGCAGGCACGCAAACTCCGCCACGGCGAATTTGGCGCCGATGCAGCTCCGCGGCCCGTGCAGAAACGTCAGGAAGGCATAGTTGCTCACGGCGCCGCCGCCGTTGGCCTGGCCCGGCGCGGTCCACCGGTCCGGGTTGAACTCGGAGGCGTCGGCGCCCCAGAGGGAGGTGTTGTGGTTGATCGCCCAGGGCGCGAGGATGACCTTGGTGCCCTTGGGGACGAACTGGCCCAGGATCGAGGTGTCGCAGGCGGCGTCGCGCAAGGTGAGCGGCACGGGGGCCCACAGGCGGAGGATCTCTTGACAAACGGCGTGGAGGTACGGCATCGCGTCGATCACCTCGGCGGTGATGTTGTCGGTGTCGAGGTTGGAGATGTGGGAGCGGACCTCCTCGCGCAGGCGTGCCTGGAGATCCCGTCGTTGGCAGAGTTGGTAGATGGCCCAGGTGAATGCCGACGCCGTGGTCTCATGGCCCGCGGCCAGGAACGTCATCATGTTGTTGACGAGCTCTTCGTCGTTGAATCCGCCCGACTCGAGCGCCACAGAAATGATGTCCGGCTGCATGGGCTCCTTGTTGGCCATCCGCTGCTTCTTCTGCACGATCAGCTGGCGGCAGGTGTCCTTTGCAACGTCCGCTGCGGCTTGTACCTTGCTGTTTCGGTCGATGGGGAGGTTGTTGAGAAGCCACGCCGGAAGGAAGAAGGACAGGAGGCCTAGGATCTGGGCGGTGCGGTCAGGCTGGAAGACGGCTCGATAGACACGATTCAGTTCGTTCGTCGGGTCTTGCAGAGAGCTGAAGTCCTGACCCATGCCGGCCAGACCGATGATATCCAATGTTGCACGACTACCCCATTCGCTGACTTCAACCGAGGGCCGTGGCTCGGACGAGGACTTGAGCTGCGTCTGGATAGCATGCACCATCTCTTGAGACTTGGCCCAAAATATGGGGTAGAGTTCCTTGATGTGGCGAAAGTGGAATGCCGGCATGAGATTCTTTCTCTGTGTCTTGTGGTCGTCGCCCTCTGCCAGAAGAATGCCAACGCCCAAGACTCGTCCGACCCCGTTTCGGAGTAGCTCAGGCTTGATGAACTCATAGCTTTTCGTGTTCAACACTTCGGCAAGGCCCTTGGGGCTTGTGACCAGGAGACGTTCCCGGTTGTAGAGGTGCAAGTAGCGGATCAAGCCATCGTTGGGGATTTCTTGTGCCCAGCGTCGCTGAGGCACTCCAGAAGGCTCTTTGAGAAGCGTGCGCCAGTGGCCGGAGACCCTGCTGCCTCCTTTAACGGTCGGGAGGTGGCGCAGAGGGCTGACGTAGAAAGGATAGATGAAAATAACGTAGACCGCCCAGACAAGGGCATGGAGCAGAAATATTACAGAGGCGGTCAATGTGTAGGATTGCAAAATTGAATATTGAGGAGCAAACCTGACCAGAAAAACAGAGCCAGCCAGGGAGGCAGTGACCCAGAAGCGGTAAGTGCCTAAGAAGTCTGGAACTTGAAACGGCATTTTGAATTCAAGGAGGGGGGAGCCCTTTGCCCAGGCTGATAAGGTGAAGTTGGTCCCGCGCAATGTCGCTGTCGTTTGAGAAGCAGGACGACGGGCGAGGAGATGAATTGAAGAGGTTAATGAAGTCAAAAAGGACAGGCAGACGCAAAATGCGCAAAAGGACACTGGTCTGGATGAGGAAACGAAGGTTGAAAGGTGGACGATGAGGGAATCCTCGTCGCCTCGTTGGATTCGGAACAACGACATTCCATGTTAAGCGAGGCGGGACGGCGTTGTCATTTGAAGGATAAAGACAGATGTCTGACAGAGGGTTGAATAACGGTTTGCCTGGGGAGACTGTGCCGCATCTGCAGAATAATGTCAACGTGTCACCGTCAGACAAAAATATTGTATCCAACCGAGGCTTCCGTCGACGTTCCATGCCCAAAATAGGTGGTTGTCGCGAACGAATCGGCACATTTGGTATCAATTCATCCGTCGAATCGGACCCCATCGAGTACGAAATACGACGTTGGTTGACGCACCATCAGGTTCACCAAGATGAAGATATGATCAGATAGCCTCTCTGCAAAACCATGTCAGTCTTTGTCGGGAAATCTGACCTGCCCGTGAGAGATGGCGAGCCGATGACCCAATACACATCAAGAAAAGAAGAGTGCCGCTCTCGAAAGTCCAGAGAATCGTCATGAACCTTATCTCGAGGCTTTCTGTGCTTTTTGGTAGTTTCGACTTTTTCGTTCGAAGCAACTCGAGATCTCTGGGGTTGATGGGCTCTGATGCGCAGAAATCACCTGCGCTCATGAAGCTGCTGTACGCGGTCGGTTTTAGAGGTTCATCGCTCTCGTCCCTCTTTACATCCACCGTCAACTGTCCTGCCGACATGAAACCATCTCGAGCTGGGGACATGCCGTGGGAAATTACCTGATCCTGCCCTGGACAGACGATTTTGGTGTCGGCAAAGCACAGATGTGTGTGGCTTTTCATCTTGCCAGATCCAGTTCAGTGCTGCGACAATTTCGATGGAACATGGTCTAGACTGTCGTCAGTGGTTCGCGCATTCTCGTGACATGGTCTCCTACGCAGGGTAGATTGCGCAAGTTGAAGAGAAGTCGGTCACCTTTCGACACACTGAGGTTGAAAGGAACGTAAGAATTCCACCAATCGGGGAAAATGCGTCCAAGAAATGATTCGGAGTGTTTCCAGGCTGGTGTCACCCTAAGCAGGGATTCAGAAGATCTGAAATCTTGGCTAGTAGCCACGGATCAGGTTGGGAGCCAGTGATGGGCGCAGACGACGATGCTGAGTGGTAAGGTATGCAGAGAACCATGCAATAGGGCCATCGGAGTAAGCAATGGGCAATCCGAAAGGCCGGTCTCGAGTGCTTATTTGGTGTTATTGCGCACGCTTGGGGTTATTAGGTCAGAAGGCTGCGATCGACCGACGCCAGCTATCTCGGAAAGTGCAATCAGGGTCGGAAAGAGCCGCGATTAGTTCTTGTTCTTGAATGTCGGCCGGTTGAACTCGGGCATGGAGGATGATCGCCCATTGACTTGCGTCTAGAAATCGTCCAAGCCCTCACAGGACCCGGGAGAATTGAAAAGATTCTCCAATCTATATTGCTCAAAGCAAGAAAGTCGCAAACAATGATCGATCATGGCAGAGTTTGATGAACTTTTGACTCTGTTACAATCTCAAAAACCGGGTTGAGTTACCTGTTGATTTGGAAATGGGGGTATTCCCGAGAGGGCCAGCCTTGTCGCTTGGCTTTGGACAGAGTGACCAGACACCTCACTGAGCACTCCAATGGGGGAGGTGGAGCAGTGCCTTCAGTCAGCCTAGTGGCCGGCGGCATTGCGGACTAGCCTCTCTCGTGTGGCAGCCCTGGAGACAAAGGCGCAGTACTTCCACCAAGTGGGAGGGTTCTGATGGCGCAAAGGATGGGGATGTACCGAGTACTTGGCATGGCGCAATTGGTCGGGGCTAGTGGTACTAATAAGCAAAACTCCACTCTCCAAACTGGGTATAGCCCCTCAAGATAACACGTCATCGATCCAATCATCCGCCAGCACAGCCAGCACCGCCAGCACTGCCAGCACCTCTGTCACTTCCTCCTTCTCCTCCTTCTATGCAGGGAAAATTCCCGCAGAGTGGCAGCGTCTTGTCTGGTCTACCCCCTCCCGCTGGCTCTAGCTCCCTTAGATTGCCGTGACTGTTCTCCGCCCATCGCTCGCCCCATCCGAGACTCATTCCTTCCCAAACCTCGCTTTGTCAGAGCGAAAATGTCTCTTCGCACCCCCAGTTTCCCAAAGGTGAGTTCGTTCTAGCCAGACCGGTCCCTGAATTATGTCAGGACTCAAGGTTTCTCTACCCTACCATCCCAAACGGGGCAGGAGCACCTTGTTCACGCGATACTGCGTCATTCCTTGGGGGTGACCAGGGGCTTCTGCACTGAAAGCCAGCCTCGTTGGATATAACAACACCACACCTTCCGCGACTGTGATATGTTTAGTTGTCCATCAGGATTCAAAGATATTAGCAGTACTATCGAATCAATTCTGCTCCCGCCTCAGGCATTCAAATTCAACGTGGCCAGGTCCCCTGATACAACTCCGCATTACCCTTAAAACTCGATTAAAACCCACACCAATAACGGGAGCCGCCGCGTCGCCAACCTTGAAATCGCCCACACTGTGTACGGACAAGGAACAATGCAGGCGATGGAGCAAGACTTCGTTTTGGGCTATCCGACAGCTTTCAGCCCGGTCGCGTATGACTGGTCCTATCCTTCGTCAGCTTCTTCGGATCAAAGTCCAACGGACATCTTAGACCTTTTGTTCGAATCGGCTCAAAACTCGCTGGGCGTCCAATCAAGCCACCATCGAAAGGAGAGTGATTCCCAGCAATCGCAAGCCAGTCTTTTCGGCAACACATTCTCCCAGCCGTCGTCCGTTGATTTGTCAGGCGGTTATGCGAGCAGTGAACACTCGGATGACTTCTGGACAAAGGAGGCCGTCGCTACCGACTTTGGAGATTTCCCCTCAGACTCGACAGTGACGGATTCCAAGATGATGGACCGCAAACACCGGCGTCGCGAGCAGAATCGCAAAGCCCAAAGCAATTTCCGACAAAAGAGGAAGGAAGAGGTCCGCCGTCTTGAGCAGGAAGTCGAGGAACTCAGAGCCCAGATCGCCGGATACCACAAGCGCGGTCCCACGGTGGCCCTGACTATCTGCACTAGATGTCGCAACTTCTTCCCGACATCGGCGGGAACTGCGATGCCTCATTCTCCAAACTCTGGCGCTTTTGGCTCTGTTGAATCTGGTTGCGAAAGTTGAAAGCGCTCGGGGTCGACGGACTTGTATCGCGGTAAACCTCTGGGGGGCGCGATGACAGCTCTGCCTTCGAAGACACACCATGCACGTTTGAATGCCAACACAGTGATGAAGTCTCGTTCGCGTCCTCATGTCCGAACCAAGAATTGCATATTCTTGCCATTGTGGCTCACGGTATCTCATTATGCTCCCGACAGTGGCCACCCGAGAAAGTGCATGATTCCATCATTCCCTCTCCGGCTATCCAATGGGTAGTCCAATTCCTTCGGCCGTGTTCGACCACAGAAACAGGCATCGGACTGAGACGTCCGGCCGGAGGCGCAGTTCTGATCTGATAGGTGCAGGATGGGTTCTGAGGGCCTATAACCGACCAGCCGAGCTTCATGGATGAGCTTACCGCTGACATTGGGTATGATTACTCTGTAAGAAGGTCGACACAGTGTGGACATGACCGGGTGACAGCTTTGCTCCATCTGACGTGCACCGGTTGAGAAAGGCCGTGCGTTTGGACGCGGGACTATCGGACAGAAATTGGCGGTGTCCGTGATTCATCCTCATCCTCGGTAGATTCTTCTGCATTAGCCAATGAACAGTGGTATGGTCTTAGTTCTAACCTACAACGACTCGCTTCTGCATAATTTGCCTTGGAGGCCTGAAGTTTCTCCGCTCATACGTCAAGCGAAGGGAAGTACAGAGTATGATGACATGATAAAACCTCAATCGGGTATTGAAGCTTTTAAACGAGCAACCTAAGTCTCCATCATGCTACATATGCCGCCCACGTCTTCGCCTAATGTGCACTGAAACATGATACGAGATGCACAAGCTCATGCAGGCATATATCAGAGAAGAGTTCCCCGGGATCTACGAAGGAACTAGACCCCAACGCTGCTAAACGACACCCCGGAAATGGGAACATGCGGACAACACGAGCGTGTCAGCGGGCGGCCTCCACAAAAGCCAATGCTTCCGAAACCTTTTTGCGGTCGCCATCAAACAAACCTACCGCACCTCCAAACAGCACAACAGGGCATGATACTTTGGGCCGTTATGCTTCCAAACACAAACAAGCCCTTTCTGCCTTTCGCTGAATCTTACAGGACTTGAAGCCACCCATCTTTGATTCAGGCCGCCCTGGGATGGGGCGCGAGTCTACTGCTCTTACTTGACGGGCTGGATTACTGTCAGATAGGCCCTCCTGGGGTGGGGGAATGCCGATACTGGGAGAGAGAGAGAGAGAGAGGAGGAAGGGGAGGAGGGATATATAACCTTGGGTAACTTGTCCTGAAGATATCGTCCTCTAGACGCTTCATTCAATTTTGACCTCCAGCGCCTCCACCCGACTCACAAATGTCCGACCTCGACGTTTCCATCCTGGACCTGGCCCAGCAGATTCAAGCCAACGCCAATACCATTTCCGAGTACCTGCAGCAGAACTCCCTCCCCCCCCTCTCTCTTGCCGCAGATGCATACCCATTCTTTCCGGGGACCGGGCCGGACAACGTCGACAGGTTCCCAAGACTGAACGAGGACATTTTGAACGCGCGCACCCGGGTCCGGGAAGCATGTGCGACGCTCTTGCAGCTCGTCTCGGGTCCAGCAGAGGCATCCTTCGGTTTTCTGTCCTCGCACTTCATGTCGGCATGCATGCAATACATCTACCACTATCGGCTTGCCCAAGGGGTACCTGTCGCCGGGGACATCAGCTACAAGGACCTTGCGGCGGAGACGGGCACGCTGGAGGGCCAATGCGCCCGCGTGTTGAAATACGCCATGACCCAAAACCTGTTTCGGCAATCCAGACCGGGCCATGTGGCCCACACCGCGTTGTCCATGACCTTGCTGCAACCCGACTTCCGGGACATCGTGGGATATATAACGGAGGAAAGTTTCCTCGCTGCCCCCAGGCTCGTGGAGGCGGCCGACAAGTACCCAGGAAGCCAGGAGAAGAACACCACGCCGTGGAATCTGGGCCACCACACCGACCTACCAATGTTTGAGTTTTTCGAACAGCATCCCGCTCGATTGCAGCGGTTCATGGGCACCATGAGGTCGCTGGCATCCGGCGAGAGCTACAACATGAAGCACCTGGTAGACGCGTTCGACTGGAAATCCCTGGGGGACGGTCTCGTGGTCGACGTGGGAGGTAGCTTTGGACATTGCTGTTTCGAGATTGCCGAGGTCGCCCCGGAGCTGAAGTTCATTGTGCAGGACCTCGAAAAGGTGGTAACCCAGGCTCGACAGGAGCGAGCCAACGACAAGCACGTTGAACGCGTCGAATTCCAAACGCACAACTTTTTCACACCTCAGCCCGTCAAGGATGCAGATGTGTACCTGCTGAGGTTCATCTGCCACGACTACTCGGACAAATATGCGGCGCAGATCCTGAGCCACATCACTCCCGCCATGGGCAGCAACAGTCGGATTGTGATCGTGGATGCCATCATGCCGGAAGTCGGTGCCCTAGGAAAATTCGAGGAAAGTCGCGCAAGGTAAGGCCATTTGCTTCCTAGAAACATGATGTGAAGTACTGTACTGATCATTTCCTTGTCAGGATCATGGATATGGAGATGATGCTCAGTTTCAACGGCTGCGAGAGGGACGCCGGGGCTTGGAAGTCGTTGTTCGAGCAGGCCGATCCGAGATTGGAGCTGCGTAGCAGTAAGAAGATACCTGGCAACATCCACGCCGTGATGGAGCTGGCATTGAGGGGATGAGATAGAAGAAGTGATTACATAGAGAAAATTATATGTGTAAAGTCGTTGCCGGGAAATCCGCCTTCGGTTTAGGCGGTTCGGCCGCTTTAGGTATGGTCGCGGCCCGGAGGTTACCACGTACGAAGATCGCGTAGGATGGCCCTTTGGGCTACCCAGGACTTGCAGCTATATCTGATTCTCGCAGGGCGCAAGTTTAGGGGGCTCTCTTCGTTCTCAACTCTCGAAATCCTCGAGCCGCCAGCCCTAATATCCCCGACACCACCTTCCAGGACTCGAGCAGTCTCTACGACGTTGATGGCACTGTCAGCCTCGTCCTCCACTCTTCCGTTTCAGCCACGATTCAGTATCAGTTCAGGTATAGATCGCTCCCTGACGATCTGTCTCAACTGAGACTCAAAGGCATTAGAGCAGTAGAAAGTCTCCCATACAGTGAGGGTGCAGGAGACCTTGAACTTCACACATCAAGATATCGACCTTCACTTTAGTAACACCCATATCGAGGGCCGTCAGGTTTGCTTGTTCTTCTCCGGATCCCACCAGCCGGGGAAATTCCCTGGGCCAACCGTCTCGAGCCAAAAGTTCTCCCCGGCGTCGATGTCAATCCTGTATACCCTCCCGCCGTCCTTTCTGCCCTTTCTGATCGCCAAAGTCGCCACATCACCCTCTCCCAGAGGCAATTTTCGGCGATCCATGTTGTACCACCTTGCGTCCTTCATACTTCCATCCCAGTATTCCCGCGCGATCCGCTTGATATCTGCGTCTGTGGAGATCGTCATGGCGCCCCACACGTTGTAGTTGTGCACGCCAAGGGAGATGGCGAAGATGCGGTGGTCGGTCGATTTGAAGATGAGGATTGAATTGCAGCCCGAGCCGTGGAAGGTCAGGCTGATTTCTTCGTTATTGACGACCCAGAAGGAGCCCGTGTCGACGCCGACATATTCGATGTTGGGGAGGGCGTGTTCGCGTTGTTTGATGGTAAATAAGAGCAGGTATTTGGGTTCTGGCTGCATCCAGCCTAGACGATCAGTGGTCAGTATTTACTGTCTTTTTTCCGGAGCCTCGAAGGAGCGCTTTCGAAACCAGAAAGGAGGGCAGAGGGAGGGAAGAATCAACAAACGATCGTCCTTACTCAAAATATCGAGAGTTGTAGGATCAGTCTCACGGACACAAATCTCCGTTTCCTCGTACGACGAAACATCTTCCGTGATTTCCTCCATCTCCTCAGGCCGCACGCGAACGTAGCTGGTCGAGCCCTCCCCGCCAACCCTTTCCAAGTATATCCCCAAGGGATATCGATCTTGATAATGCGCGGCTCGTTTGCGCTGACAGCTTAGAATCCCCAAAAAGACGTTTTGGCCCTGCGGAATGAGGGGAAGCTTCATGATGATACCTTTGTTGGTCATGGAAAACGCTGGGCTCTCACCAAGCCTTCTCACATTGCGGCAATGTGCGAAGTCCCGCGGTGACGTGGCAAGTAGCCCTCCCTTCGGCGGATGTCTCTTGCCCGCCCAAGCAAAGATTGTATGGTCATCTGAAACCTTCATGATCTCAAGCTGCAATCGCCGGAAGGCTTCTCTCCCCTCTCCATAAGTCATCTGCATCTTCACGTTGAACAATCCCAGCAGACAGTACGCCTGATCCTCGACAACGGACGTCTTCCTCTTCGCAGCCCACGACATCCTCTGAGCCACGCTAATCTCACCTGCGGAGTTGGTCAAGAGAACCTGCTCGGGGATCCCGGTGACCTCTATGATGAGTTCCTGGAAACTAGATTTCGTCCCGATTTCTTTCCAGTCGCCCGCGAAGAAGATCACGTATTGTGGCGCGACCAATTCCTGAAGCGTCCATCCACGCGTGAACCACTTGCTCTGCCGGAACTTGGAGCCCTCCTTGAGTGGATCTTCGTCGCTCGGCACGTCAGACAGGTATGCGTAGCACACCTGAGCTTGTCGGTACCAAACGAACATGGAATTGAGCGCCTGTGTCAACTCGACTTGATCGGTCTTGTTGATGCAGCATGTGTCAATCCACACGTATTTGAATCCCATGTTCCGGGCCTCTTTGCAGCAGCGGAGGATCTTATCAGCGCCTTCGAGTCTCTCCAGCTCCTCGGTGCCGTCGCCAGCCTTGCGGTGCTCGATGTCCTGGAAAGAGACTTCCTTATCTCTCCATCTGTGGGAAAGGATCACATAGTCGGGAATTTCGGGTTGTGCTGGGCTTGGGAAGGACTCCACGATAATGTCCTCAGTGTTTAGAAGGCGCATTGTGCAGAACGAGCGGGTGGTGGCGGAGTTTACACAGAAGAAATTGGCCGGGCTATTTGCCCCTGCTTCCCTCCTTTCAGAGAATCACAATCCGGGGAAGGCCAGTGACGAAGATGTCTGCAGGAGGGTAGTTTTTGACTGAGGAAAAAGCTCGCTGCATGGTACCCAGACGCCTACCATTCGGAAAGGTTGGCAGGTGTCGAGATCGAGGTGTGCTCGCCTTCCTCGGGGTGCGGCTCATTAGGTCCCGTGCGAATGCTGCAAGGATTGAGCAACATTCACGTAAATGGGGCCAGGTTGGCGCACATGCGTTCGTTGGCATCACGATTTCGCGTCCACCTGCGGAAGTAGAGCTGCACATTCTGGAGTCGTGGGTGCGATAAGGCGATAATGATAGGCTGAGGAGGGTGCGAAGCCTAGCGCAATGCATTCGTATTCTGTTCTTTTGTATTAACTGTTCTTGCAAAACTAGAAGTAGTGCAGTGTCGGCAGCTCAGCTATCCAATTGAGGGAAGCTTGTCCGACTAGATTCGAATAGAGCCCAGCCCGGCGCCTTCGTTCGGCTGCTGAGAAGCTGCCACGCGTTCCGTTGTAGGCAGGTGGCTGCTTACGGAGGACTCTGTCTCGTCTCGGCGACCAATTATTGCCAACCTTTGCCAGCCAGTGATCGAGATGCCGCACTCGTCCGAGCAACAGCTTTCCTTCTCGGTGGAAGTCCTCGAAGTTGCAGTGTGCGAAAACGGCCCGGCCAATGGAGACCTGCAGGCCGTTGAGGCTCTTGTGCTGTGCAGCGCTATTAGCATATAGCTGTCCCGGAGGGATGAGAGGATTTTTCTTGACCCTCGTAGACGACGAGGTCCGCAGGCCATGTGTCTAGACTCTAGAATGGCTTTCAAAGAGCCAAACAAGCCCGCGGGCACACGTCCCGCGTTCTATTCGGTCGAAACAAGTGCTATCATTCTTAAGGCGAGGCCAGCTGCTGATTTTCTCTTGAATGTTTTTGGAGTTATTTCTGATAATATGCAACAGAAAGCAGGCTGGAAAATCCAGAGTTCTGTCATCAAGGACGTACGTGACGAGGCCAGCGCTCAAGAGTTTATCAAATCTATCCCTCAGGTATCTTTAAGCTTCTATGGCGGCCCGTCCCATTGACTTCGGTTGACGTAATTTGCAGACCGATAGACGTCGCAACTGGGAAGCAAGCCGCTTCCGATTACTGTAGAGACCTTATGAGCGCGAAAGTTGAAAAAGGGAAATCCAGGCTGACAGTATCTAGATGTGTCAAGACCAAGGATAGGAGCCAGCTCTTCGAGCAGACGGCCATTCTAGACACGGCAGCCGAGTCGGGATGGACAAACAGCGAATTTGCAAGATTTGTCCAGAAAGGCACAACGGGCTCTGCAGTCCTAACAGAGAAGGGAAATATCAGTAGAGCTCCAGCTCTTATTCTGCAGTGCAGCGGCGTTCCAAGCTGAGCTTTTGATAACAGGCCTCATCCTCCAAACCCCAGACGACCAGCTGCCTTTTATGGCCCTCTCCGTCTCAGAAATCCATCGAGAAGGACGTCATCGAGGATCCGACTGGGTTTGCCTTGTCTTAGCGGATCCGGACGTCGATTTGGCATCATTGCTGAGCGAAACGTCATTTCCATCGGACTATGCCTCCCTGTTTCCCGACTTCATGTTTCTGCCTGTCTCCGTTCTCAAGAAAGAAGTGGAGCAGGTCAGCGCCCGCCTGATGAAGTTGAAGGAATCTGTGCTCGAAAAACAAGGCCAGGTCTTGTCCAGCGATCCTGGAGGCCTCGATGAGACCAAGAGCAAGCTTTTCGAGCTGGAGAAGACCTACTTCGAGTTGCGAGAGAGGTGGAAGTTTGGACAAGGCCTCGCTGAAAATCTCACAAAATGCTTTGGCGAGATCGTGAGGTTGCAAGCAAAGGTGAATCCCAAGGCGAGATACTCGAAAATCCTCTCTCGGCTGGTCAAAACCCAGCTCGCCCTGTCGAACATGACGCAGCAAGAACTTGATGCCATACCTTCTAAGTTGAGCCAGCAACATCGGATGGTAAACCTCCTTGGTCGAGTTTCTGAATATCAGCCGTGTGCTGACTTCATTGCAGATTGATACGAAATTGAGCATAATGGTGCGTTTCCCTCCAGTGCTGATGCAGTGAAGAGAGAGCCACAAATGACTGATTTACACAGATTGCAGAGGACACTCGCCGTGACAGCTCGTCGATGAAGACCATAGCGGTGCTCACGCTGATCTTCTTGCCAGCCACTGCTGTCGCCGTAAGTTGCCCCTTGGCTGCCCACGCTGTTCGATTCTAATGCCTCACAGTCAATCTTCGGCATGTCAATGTTTGATTGGAAGGCCCAGGACAGAAAGGACATTATGTCTCATTATTTCTGGATATATGTGGTTATTGCACTTCTGTTAACACTGGTCGTGGTTGCTGTCTGGATTTTGTGGTACACATGGACCCAAAGGACGTATGGTAAGAAAGGGCGCAAAGATATCGAGACCGCCAACACTCTGGATTGGAAGCGAGAGGATTAGCCCATGGCTTCAGCAGGAATGAAGCACATCACATCGTTGCGCGATTCAATACCCTGGTCGGCTCGAAGAGCTTCGTCTTTTCGACCTTCCCAATGCGGTAGATTTTGTAGTTGTGCGGCAAGATTGTGGGATAAGACTTCACCATGTCGTAATCGACATTCCGCCACTTTTGTTCAAGATCTCTCCAGGGAATAAGAAAAGGGCTTGTCCGATCCTTCGAATTTCGTTGTCCCTGATGCCACTGGTTCTGTAAGCGTTCGGCGTTCCATCGCTCGTGCTCTCGCTCGGCTAAGAGTCTTAGCTCCTTGTCACTGAAGCTTTCAACGGCTTCACGGAGGCCATCCATTTCTGCCAGAAAACAAGATATCATGCGGAGCTTCCGAGGTATGTCGAGAGTATGAGCTCGGGTCGACTCTTTGAGTTCTTCGGACAGTGACGGCCATGGAACCAATGAAGGGTCCCTTTCTAGAGCCTGCTTCTCTTCATCCGTCGCAGCCATCCTTCTCTTTATGTCCATGTAGACATTGTGAAGTTTCTCCGAAATGAACTCCGTGAGCTCATCCGGCATCCTGTTGTATCGTGAACACTCCATGAATGTTGGATAATCGAGGTGCAAGCATAATTGCGCTTCCGGTGGCAGTGCTGCTCGTTCGAAATGTCGCTTTCCGGTGACTTTACTCAGAGCAATTATAGACTTCAAAGACCGAAGTCCATGTCGGTAGGTTGGTATTAGGAGAAGCCCATCTAGGACACTCTGATCGATGGATACACCTTCACCCATCTTCAATTTCGGTTCTCTTTCTTCCAGCAATGCCCGAAGAACCACCGCCCGTCGCACTGGATACAACATGTCGGATGGATTGACTTGATCAAGGCCAACCACGTCGACATAGGCATGCAAGCAACTGAGGAATGCTTGCGCTGTCGACAGAAGCTTCTCGTCTTCAACATTGTTCTCATAGTCACTATTGTCCTCATCTTGCCGACCTTTCTGGGAGATGATAGAGAAATCCTCAAAGTTTTTCAAAGATGTCGTAAAGCCAGACCCTAGAAGAATGATCGCAGGGCCGAGACGTTGCATTTCGCCACGGTCTAGGACCTGACCGCCATGCATGGGGGCGAGTAGATGCGCTAGCCACCCGAGGGGACGCCCCGCGAGATCTGCATCGAAACCATTGATATAGACCAAAGGCAGAGTTCCTGAAAGGTTGCACTCTCGCACTTTGTTGAAAGCAACAGAGAGGTCTTCGGGAGTCGTGAATTGAGAGAGGTTGAAACGCAGGTGTTGAATCTTGCGGCCGCTTCGCGCAGCTAATGCTGCAGATTCTGCAACCTGGCCGGTGGCGAAGGACTTTCCAGAGCCTCTAGACCCGAAGATGCCGATGTTGATTGGTTTGATCTGAGGAGCTGATAAGTATTCGTATATGGCATTGAATATATTTCGGAATCCTTCATTTTCCCACCTGTCGAGGACATGTAGACGACCAAATCTGGCGATAGGGATCCAATTTGCAGCAGAGTATATTCCCTTCGTGACTATATGGCACGCCACTTGAACAGGATCTCCAATATTGTGATGTAGAATAGACCAACGCCGATTGTCACCACGCGAAATGCTTTCAGATGGAATTTCAAGTGTGGTTGGGGTTTCCTCGGTGAGTGTGTTTTTGTTTATGATGCTCGAAATCGGGTATCTAGGCCATCCGGGAACCTTGCTGGCTGTGAATCCTAGCTTTGCCAGGCGCCTTGCAGTGATAAAGCCGAACTTGATAGCCTCGTTAAGGGATTCCCTACACGCTAACTTGGTAGCTAGACCTCCAATAAAAGCCTCCACGACTCCTGGAACAGGTCCGACATGTACCCTGTAGAACCTGCCCTCCACTCCCAGAGGATCAAAGAACAGAGTCGGTTCGTTCATTTCCCGGCCGCGGTGATAGATAACTCCGTCACATCCGAAAAGGACCAAGAGATTGGCGCAAGTAGCCAAGGTGTCAAGTTGGCCATTGGAGCCGAGCTTTTCGACGAAATCCTCACACGTCTTTTCCCATGAAAGGCCGTGGTACAATTCGATGCCTTCAGCGCGAAGATCGTCTGCGCTGACGACCACAATGAGCTTTTGAGGGTCTTGGAGGCCACCTGCTGTATAGGGTCCACGGCGAACAGCATCCCAAATCTCCCCAGTCCCGAGAGGACGAGCCATGTGGTAGATGAGTGTTCCCGGACGACTCTTGCGAAAGAATGCCACTGCATCATCAGGGTTACTGAAACCATCATGTTCACTGTAGCCAGATTCAACATCTTGAAAGATTAGAAGGCTAACTCGGTCAGCTCCCTTGAGAGAGCCTCGAGGAGGATACCATGTGGGACACCTATCGAGCGGCCGGCTATGCTTTACTTTATAACTCGTTTGCAGATTGTCCGCTTCACCAAAGACTTCCAGTTCCGTGATATCAGAAGCCGAAGGCTCGAGAAGACCGCCTTTAAGGGCGTCTAGAGGCGGTCCGTGCACTTGGTGATGGTGTTCGCTGGCGGAGGCGTGCAAAAGATCTGCAATGAGTGTTGCACCACCATGGCACCTCTGAATGTCGAATTTTTGTGGCCCTCGGTAGGCTGGCCCGGGATCTTGCAGTGGATAGACAAGGAGATGGGCGGGAGTATATCCAGCAATTTGAATGTGGTCGTCAGGCATCCTGGGAGGCAACGACTCGAGAAAGTGCCGACAAAGCGGGTCGCGACGGAAAAAATGTCGGTGCACCTTTGTCCGTATGTCGTTCGGACGACGAAGCGAGATAATGTGATGCCGGACGTATATCGCCAGCTATGTTGGATTGGATGGAAGATGCAGAAGTGCGTGGGTGATTAGGGATGCATTTGGCGAAGTCCTTGTAATAAGAGCCGAAATCACCTGCAAGCACAGGACAGCAGGATAGGTTGTTAGTCGCTCCAGCACACCGCCAATCGGGACAGGTTGATGCAGCCCCGCATGTATGCTCCAGGGATTGGGCGCTCGAGTGTAAAGGCAGTAAATCCGTGGCTGATCACCCGTGTCTTTCCTGTTCTTGGGTAGAGCAGCTGGAATGTAGGAGACGACATGGGAGAAGGGACGCGGTTCGAATCGATTCTGTGAAGGTCGGACATCGTCCTCTCTTGGACAGTGAGGAAATCCGGAGGGGACGTCCCTTCAGGCCTTCGAGGCGCCATAGTTAGGGTAGCGGGGTCAAAGGCACCCATCGTTTTCGAGGAGTTGGACAGTTCCCTTACCGGTTCTGAAAAGGAACTATTTCTGGTTCCCAGTGATATTAGCTGCATAGTTGCATGGTGCACGAGAAAAAGTCAGCCATAGAGGGAAGCACCGCCGAGCAGCATAGGGGTAGACGTAGGAAGGGACCGGGGGGGAAATCTTGGCATCGAGGGAAAGAACTCTCCAAAAGCGGCGGCACAGACCGCCAAATTCGGCGGGACATTTCCCTGCAACCCGCCGAGCCCGCGCTGTGATGTAAAGTGAATTAATATCCTTAGGAAATCCGCCCACGGTTTAGGCGGACGGCCATTTCGGGCATAGTCGCGGGCTAGGCGCGCCGCCGCTTTTAACGACTGTGAGAAATTTCGATGTAGAAGAATCAAGCAAACGCCGCAATATAAGGCACCGATCCGTCCCGAAACCTAGCCTGCTGAAACCCACTGATGTCCCTGTCCATGCCATCTGCCGTCGTGTTCGGTGTTCCATACAACTCACTGAAGCGCATCCAGCTGTTGTTGTCCACATCGAACGACCCGAACCCGGACAGGACAGTTGGGATGTTCCCAGTCTTGACATCTTGTGGCCAGTCAACATGGACCCTGTCCCCGAATGTGTAGTTCACGCCAACCAGACCCAAGTCGTGGACATGGGCCGGTTCCATAACTCCAGTCACTACGTTTGGAGTTGACGCGGGCCATGCCACCCATGACGCATTGCCCACGTACAGGATCGTGTCATTCCAGGTGTCGATGTGGATGGTGAAACCCGTCAGGTCGATGTCAGTTGCATACGTCTTCAGACGCCAGTCCCGTGCGCTCGCCATCTCAAACCCGTCGATCCAAAGAACCACGTGGGGAGCTACGTCGAACTTGTAGCCAAATGAGATGCGGGAGGATGTCTCCGCTTGGGTTTGTCCTCTTGGATGGCTCTCCAAGGTGCTCCAATGGCCCACTTGGTACTGCGTGGTGTTGACGGCGCTGTAGGGCGGTGCGGCGATCCAGGTGCAAACAGCAGTGTATATCTCAGAGTCCGCAACAGCGTCAAGATGCATCACAAATCCAGACTCTGTCACGCCATCGGCATATACACTTACTCCGGCTGTGCTAGATCCTTCTTTTGCATTGAGATGTTGCAATCCAAGCGCGATTTTAGGGGGTGCGGCGAAGCTCTGTCCGAACCGCACCCATTCAGCCAGAAGAGGCTGCGGCTCGTCCCAGGCGCGGTACTTGGTCGAGTCGAATGTCCCGGTTTCGTTGCCGTGAGAGGTTGAGGTGTTGACAACGGGCGATGTTGGTTGAGGACTTCGCAAGCGGTAAGTAGTGGTTCTCTCTCAAGGGGTCGGGCGATGACCCAGGAGTACTCACTTGACTGGAGTCTCTGCCGAACCCTTTTTCGAATCTTTTGACGCGAATATCCCACCTATGCTTGCCCCTGCAATGACGAGCACAACAACAATAATGGTTATGAGCCAGGCCTTTGGTGAATGACATCCAGAGAAGGAAAAAGGTTGGTATATCTCTGTCCTCGTCACTCATCTTATATATAATGCCACTAAAGGACAAATCTCGTACTTGTTTTGTCTTCTCTCACGATTTTCACTCCAATTGCCGTATTCTGCCCTCCACGACCGCTGACACTGCTGACTTCGTTGATATGGACGCTATTCCGAGAGGTATCATCAGATTGATCCTCACTGATCGAATTGTTCTGACCAACTAGTCAATCGCAACGTTTCCAGACTAAAATGGATTGACTCTACCTGGTCACCCATCATTAATCAGGGCCATTCATCAGAGCGTTGTACCAACATTTTTTTCGGCCTTTGTCGAACAGACACAACGGAGAGCGACATTTTGTATTGTTCTTTGGAACGCTTAGCCGTAGACTGGACTCGGTACGGGAGGTCATCTGAGTGCAAGCTGTGTCTATTGTCTGATCAGCGCAATATGCCTCTAGGCTGAAGGCAGCCGCGATTGGTTGATCGAGCCGAATAGGTATGCGGGCATCAGCTGAACGAGCGCCACGCGAGTTCCTCATTCGGAGGGCGTTTCCCTATACGAACGCCACAACAAGATAAACACAGCTCCCAAGGCACCAATGCGGACCAATATCACCTGATGACAATGTGACATGACCAGATTCATTTTGTCTCACACCACATTCGTCTTCGAAAAGGCATATAATCCAGCACTGTCTTCCACCATCAAGCTGTACTGGTATGAGAAATAACTAATCTGTTTTGGACATCTCGCTCTTCTCATTCCCTATCGGATTTGTTAAGATCTTTGGAATGATATGGGCTTATTCGACAGAAGGAGACACTGGCACGTGGGCAAACCAACTGCAAACATCGAGAAGGACTCTGAAGATGGCGTCTGTAGAATAGCCTCAGAAGAAGCTAGCTTTGGGTAAGAAAAACTTGGTTCAAACAAATGGTCGTCTCCGAAGCAGAAACTGATTGTTCAGCCACGACCCTGATCCATTCCCGTACGGCCTTAAGGTCATACATGCCGCTGAAGACGCTGTAGTTGAGTCTGCTGCACCCATCAGCCCTCCAAATTACTTTTTGAACTAACAGAACCAGTATAATCTTTGTTCATGGGTTGACCGGGCACCGAATAGAAACATGGACGTGCCGAAGTAAAGGAAAGGCATGTTTCTGGCCTGTTGACCTGCTCTCCAAGGATTTCCCGCGGTCACGTATTGCGACATGGGGATACGATGCCAGGGTAACCAACTGGCGCCCGTTCCATACGGTCGGCACGAGTGATGTGCAACAGCATGCACAAATGCTCTGTCTCGACATCGTGAACATGCGAGAGCGGGATAACACACAAGAGGTAAGACTCTGTCAATCGCTCGCTGAGACAGGAGGTAGATGACTTGCGTACAGCGGCCACTACTCTTCCTTGCACATAGCCTCGGTGGCATCGTCTGTAAATCGGTACGCCAAAATGTTCTCCACAGTGACGGACTTGAATGCTAACGCAATGCGTCCAGGCATTACTCTACTCGGCGCACGCGGATGCACTAGAGACAAGGAGAGTAAAATCGATTACTGAGTCGACTCTGGGGATCATGTTCTTTGGCACGCCACATTCTGGTGCACCGGCAAGCCAGTGGGCCACCATTTTGCTCTCTGCTATCTCCAATGTAAAGCAACTGAACCTTAGCATTGTGGAGCAGCTTTCAAAAGGCAATCCCACCCTGTTCAACCTCCAGGATGCATTCTATGAGCTTCTGAACCACCGCAAAGAGCTTGAGAGGCCCATCAAAGTGGCTTGCTGCTTTGAAGAGATGCCACTTCCTGGCATAGGAGAGGTAAAACGATCAATTGAGGAGTACCAGAAGAACTGTCTACTGACCTGGCTTTACAGGTTGTACCATATGCGTCAGCAAAGATGCACGGTTTTCCAGGAATCTGCATACCTTCCGACCACAGAAACATGGTAAAGTTCCCGTACAGAGAGTATGTCGGATATCAAAGGGTGCTCGGAAGCATAGAGGAATGGGTGAATGGACTGCAGAGTACTCCAACACAGCGGACAACCGACAAGCAGCGCTCCAAGCCCCGAGAGCTATCGCACCAAACGACAGGGACGCGACGGAGGAGGGTGAGAGGCTCTGAGGAAGACATGGAGCTGTCTCCGAAGGTCATCATCGGTTCCGTGACTGCGAATGGTGACAAGAGCATCGCCGTGGGACAGCAATACGGTGGAACTTTTTCATTTGATATGTCGAATTGAAGTCACAGAATGATTGAAGGAAAAATTCCAACGTCAAGGCAGTGTAATCAGAGGGATCTCGGTGGCAAGCAGGCAGAGTGGCCTTAATCGTGACCGGATGCTCCTTGTCCTGCTCTCTTTCCCTCGCTCCCACCGCTTCCCGATGCATCTGCCCGGCGTCATCGTACTCCAGTACTGTATTTCTCATGCCCTTCGGCCTTGGTAATATTCGGTGCAGAGCCAGCACTGCCGTCGCACTGGCACCACTACCGTGTTACTGTGGATCTTTTCTCGCAGCGAGGATGGTGCAGCCGCGGCGCCTCTCGACTCACCCCCACAAACTACATCCTTGTAGTATGTCTGCCTCTAGTACCAATAAAGCACGTGATGTAATGTTCCTTTCCAAAAGTCACATGCAGGCAGCTGTGACGGGCTTGCGGGGAGTGAGGCGGGAGAGTGAACTCCGGAACCTTCCCCCCATATATTAAAGGTCTGGAGGGCCTCACACACATTCGTATGAGACCCACCATTGATACGTTGGACTATAGACGCACTTGTGGTAAAAAGAAGAGCCGACATTCTTCCGTCTTGGCGTTTCTGACTGGGAGACTCGAGGCTCCGGAAGTTCCAAAAAAATCGTTCTCATGTCATCCCCATTTTCGTTCCTCGATCTCTTCACGCGTGATAGATGAATGCCGACACGTATCTAGGACCACAGGACTCGGCCATGGTAGAACACTACTCCCGGAGAACTCAATTATGAATCGACGAGGTCTAAGATAAAATTTCTCTATTTCCAACTGCTAATCTTTTCTGGTCGCGTGCCGCCGGTACCCATACTTCCGAGGTTGATTTCCGCATCTCAGTATTCTCGCTTTGTCAGTATAGTTCGACATCCAACATGGCCAAGGAAAAGTACGTCGATCCAGCCACCTATCCTAGCCTTTCCGACCACGAAATATCCACCGTCCGGAAAATATACTCCTTCGCCGAGACGTACTTCCAAGACCCGCGCTTTGACGCCTCCCATGACTTCAAGCACGTGCGGCGAGTCCTGGGCAATGCTCTAACAATCCTGGAGAAGGAAGAAGAGGAACGGAAACAGAAGGCCTTGCCCGCTTTAAATCCCTTGAGTGTGATTTTGGGCGCGTTGCTTCATGATGTCGAGGACAAGAAGTATGTCGATGTGAGGACGGACCAGCAAAAGATGAGTTTGCAAAAGGCGGTGATTGAGGCTGGTATGCCACACAGCTACGCTGAGCATATTCAACTGTTGGTCGAGGGTGTATCGTATTCATCGGAGGTGAAGAATCCTCAACACGTCAAGAACTTGATCGACGTCATACCGGAGCTGGCTATCGTACAAGACGCTGATCGTCTTGATGCCATCGGGGCCATTGGAATTGCTCGGTGTTTCACCTTTGGTGGAGCGAAGGGTGCTAGGAGTCTTCAGGAATCGATACAGCACTTCGAGGACAAGTTGCTCAAGCTGGAGGGGATGATGAAGACTGAGACTGGAAAGGCGATGGCTAAGGAGAGATCGGACAGGATCCGGGAGTTCATGGAGTGGTGGAAGGATGAGGCTGGTGCGACCGGTACCTCAAGTTGAACAACCACTCATTTCCGGCTTTGATCTTGGAGATTGGGCTCCCCATAGACACGGCTTCAAGAATGCCTATGACTCCCGAGAGGTTTGCCAACTGCATGCTCTCACGTTTCTTCGGCATCCCCGGGCTCGCCAAGATCTTCACCTGCTTGCGCCAGCGGATCTTCTTTCTCGTGGGTGACGGAATGTGGTGTTGGTCCAGCAGACGTGATCTTGGGCGGCGGGGCAAGCGGTGTACCTTTTCTTGAAGGTACATGATCTTGCTCGGCACTCTTCTTTGCTCCTTCAGCGAATATATCATCGAAGCCACTGCCCAAAGCGGCTCCGCCATGATGTCTGCCTTTGCGTGATTTAGAAGGTGCGGATGGATTGGGCGGCGGAGCACTGGGGTTCATCATTGGCGGTGGAGGGATGTTTGGGTTAACCATCGGTGGTGAAGGTAGATCCTGAGCTGGGGCAGGTTGGAAGGTGTTGGTGAAGCCCTCCTGCTGTCCATTCTCCCAGCTCTTCCCATCAGCATCAAATAGATTTTCTCCGGGTGCCTGCACCTCTTCTCCCAATCCCACAGGCAGGCGATGTAGGGCTCCGAAACCAAGGATCGCTCCCAAGGCACCCTCACCTCCCCAACCCCTTCGGGGCACCAGTTCCACCTCTCTAACCACGTCGAATTCTGAATTGTAGACCCATAATACCAGACTGCGGTTGAGGTGGTCTTCGACGAGCTCGCCGAGAGCGGCCTCTCCCTTCAACGTACCGCTTGGTGAGCCAAGTATGTAGTCGCTATGTGGTAGGAGGCCCGCTTGATGGGCTGGAGACAACGGGGAGGGGATGCTCAAGACGTGCCAGATATTGTGCGAGGAATTCAGAGGTGCCAGTTGGAGCGAGAGGCCGAGCGTTTCGGGCGGAGCAGGAACGGCGACACTGACTGAGTGTGTTCTTTGGCCCTGGCACACCGGTCAGGAAGGGACCATTTCCAGGTGGAAGGGGACTTTGTACCTTTGCGCTCCATAGATCTAGTGAGCAGTATCCGCCAGCGCAGTTGCGCAATTCAGTCGTGAACAGGGCGGGATCCGGGGAGTCCTCCAGGGAGTCAGCATGCCAATCACATCGATTACTTCTTGTTGAGGTGGCCAAGTACCAGAATATGGCCGTTGATGCCTATGATGAAGTCGAACCACGGCTCAATAGGGAGGTCCTTGTTTGTGTTGCGCAGGACCTGGAAGCCATAAGTAGTATCGGACAGTCCTGAGTCTGCATGTCGTGGAGGCGGCTCACCGTCGAGGCGAGCTATGAAGCGATTCAAGGCACCAAACATATCGGGCGACGTTGCTTAGGGAGGAGAAGGCGAGACTTTTTTAGTGTTCGTGCCCTCGTTGCAGTTGGACACAGCTACGAGGTACCGAGTACTCCATACAAATTGCAGACACGTGTTGGGATCGATGACGCGCCGCGGAAAATTGACTCGCCAGAGCACAGCCAAACCTTCATCGTGGAAGCAACAAGTGAGCACCCAGTGCTTTTCGCAGTTGTGAATTATGCTCAACGATTGACTATGCCTGAGTAATACAATAACGGCTTATCTATAATGGCCTTCAATCAAAGAATCGGCTACGTTCGTTGTGTTTGCTTGTCCTGAAGTGCCGTTGACTCCATCTCAACTTGCTCATATCCTAACCTCTCACCCGTTGCATCCTTGGATCTTCTTCTCTTGTAGTGCGCATGAGATAAATGCCTACTCCGCGGATGTCCCGTACGCAAGACCTGGAGTGAGTGTTGAGGGTATTGAGGCAAGGTCACGATCATTGTGAAATGTGGAGGCTTCTAAAATAGAAACACCCATTCTCTTAATTGCCCTTGAAGACGTCACCTCATGGAAGATACAAGCGCATTCATTGAGTCATGTCATGTGTCCATATGTCTCGGTCCAAAAGAAGGTACAATCTTGAGACAAGCAGCGCAGCTTGGTCTGGTGTAGCTGCTACAGTATCTGCTGAGGGTGCCACTGGGCGATACTACCTTGCAGCTCACCCTCGCATCGGATAATCTGTTTTTCCATAGTTCCGGCAGCTAAGATCGTATACGGTTAGACGATCCTGCTGGAGGTGTCATGATTGGTGGAGCAAAGACCTCGTTGCTTGCTGCGCCTGCGAACTGGAGCCCAGCCTTTTGGTGCTCAGCCTCCCCAAATCTTGAAAGCTCTCTCCACAGAATTCTCTCACTTTCAGCCTCGACGTAGCTCCCAATATGTCTCGCATGATTTGCCCTTATGCGAACCAATCGCAACGTGATTCTGGTAATGACCACACCACTCACACGTTACAACCCGCTTGCTTGAGGCTCTGTGCCACAACCAGTGCAAAGCTACTCACATCGCAGGCAATGCTACACCTGAGTTGTCACCATGGCTCGCATGACACCAGCAAACCATACTTCCTGGCCTATATTCCTGTTGTATAAGAAGGTGAGCGCCTCTCTACCGGGAAACTGACTTGTCCATCATCACAACAACACAACAAATCACTGCAACAATACCCATACCTGTTATTTCCTTACCACAATCGTTTAACACCTAGTTTCCTTACCACACTCGCTTCAAACAATACCATAAGCAACACCACCTTGCCATTTTCAAGTATAATCCAATAAGCTCGTCATCAACAATGCATTCTTCAGTCTCTTTGCTTGTCGCAGCATTTGCTGCAGGCGCTTTGGCTATGCCAGTGTCCAGCACTACCACCACTTCCAACTACTGTGGCTTCGGTACTAATGCAGATGGCTCCTGCGTCGTTCCAACTACGACCTCGAGCTCTGTTTCGTCTACTACCACATCGAGTTTCTATTGTGGCTTCGGAACTGCCCTCGATGGCTCATGTATTACACCCACATCCACCACTACATCGACTTCATCCAGCACCACAACGACATCGTTCTGGTGCGGCTTTGGCACAGCCTTGGACGGCAAATGTATCACTCCCACAACCACTACCACATCCGTCTCATCTACCACGACCTCGTCATACTATTGTGGTTTTGGCACGGCGCTTGACGGAAAATGCATCACTCCAACCAGCACCAGCACCTCCACCTCCACCTCCACCTCGACCGCCAGCACCACCACTACTTCCGCCTCGACCGCCAGCACCACCACTACCTCCACCTCTTCACACTCGATGACTACTACAACAAAGAGCAGGAGCACCAGCTGTAGCTCTACCAGCACTTCAAGCAAGCCAACGAGCTCTAGCACCAGTGCCAGCAGCAGCACATGCACTTCAAGCAAGCAGTCCAGCACCAGCAGCGTCGCGACTACCACAGCCAGCACCTCCACCTCTCACTATTGTGGATTTGGCACTGCTTGGAATGGGAAGTGCAACCCAGCCCCGACCTCAACCAGCACCTCGACTACTTCCACCACCACTCCTGCCTCCCACTGGTGTGGATTCGGGACAGCCGCCAACGGCCAGTGCAATCCAGCACCTACCCAGTCGACCACCACTCCTCATTGGTGCCCTGGTCCAGTTACAGTGACTGTCACTGCCACGCCTACCTTGGCCCCCAACTTCTTCTATGGCTTGAGTGATTGTGTTGGCTGCCAAACTGTGACAATCACCATGGCCGTGCCCACGTCGATCGGCGCCTGGTAAGCATTGGTTATGAGTTGGGAAAGCAACGTCAGTAATGTGAACAAGAGTTGGGCTGCTGGGCAGCATGTCTTTCTAATGCGGTTTGCATCTTTTTCAGCATAGCGGGGGTTTGATATTGGTAGCGTATATATATAATACACCTCGAACGTAATCACTCCTTAGAATACACACGAGTTCTATTCTTGACTTGGTACAATCTTGCTTTCACTGGCCTTTCGGGATCTCGCGCGCGAAAAATAATTCTGTCTGACGGCACCATTCGTACTTCATTTACCGCTTTTTTGATAGGGTAAAGGCTACCCGCATGTTTTGTCAGACTGAAGTATTTCTTTTTCAAGCTCGCCTTGCCAAATCCTCCCATCAATAACGCGTCTCCGTTCTTGACTCTACACTCCACATACCAATAGAAATCTCTTCCTCAAGATGGCTGTGATCAACAAGATGAAATCCCGGAGCTTGTGCATGACTACTCTTCCACCTGCACAGCGCATGGCCGGCCTTGGCTTTTCCTTCCCTGACTGGTGTTGTCTCGCTGACTCCCTTTCTGAAGCTGAGAATCCTTCGTCGCTGCAGGACCGTCATGCTCTACTATCTACCGCTAACACAAACATGCAGGCCTGAAACTGAAAGGGCCTTTGGACGACTAGGACGCAAGGCAAGGCTTCAAAGTGCCTGCGTTGTCATCTGAGAGAGGCATGCTGATCTACGACTGAGTCATGTGTATCTCCTTGCTTGAGCCCTTTCCCTTCTTCCTCTCTCTTCAGCTCGACGGCTACAATACGCCCCAAAGTGAGTCTGTGCGTAACACAGTCACCGGCTTTCTTTTCTAAGCACCGACTACGCAATGTCCTTGGCGGGCCGAAGAATCCTGTCGAGGTCATCAGGAGATCATCCGCTAGCCATACCGTTTCTGCCGACACAAGAGGCATCCGTTGCAGTCTATTCGTCGACATGACTGTCTCCGGCTCAATCGGAACAAGCCAACGCACAGTGTCTTTCTGGAAGCCTCCCGGGGGGCCGGGGGAAGTCAGTGGCACTTTGATACACTACATGTCTGGACACCCACACCAGGGGCATTTAGCCACATCCGCGACCATGCTTCCGTCTGCAAAGCCTGCACTGCGCCTCTGGACTTGCCGAATGTTGCGCCATCCGAATGACGAACGGACCGGGAGCTCCTTGCTTTCACCCGCGTGTTCTGGACCATTCAGCTACGTTGGCGCGGGACGGGCGCATGTACTTTTGACCCATCTCGGCACCAAATGCCGGATCGTTATCTTGCAAGGCAGCAAGGTCAGTGGCTGAGTATTGGGCAATCGCCTGGTGTCCGACCGTGCGGGGGCTGTGGACTTGTCTGCTTCATTCCTTCGAGGACAGTCAAAGTATATAAAAGACTGCCCAGGCCACGGCGACTCTATCTTCTATCCCTCGACCAATTACGAAAAGATTGCCTATCCCTCTGCCGCCTTGGAAGCTCTCACCCTCGATTTCTCTTTCAGTATGTTTTCCATCTACGAGCTCTGCCAAGTTCTCGGCATCAACCACCCGCAGGAACAGTCCACATGCGTTGGGTATACTCAGAAGAGACCGGACTGCCGAAATCCAGTGGCAGGTCGATATCGTTCCGCAGGGACAGATAAACTCGTGAATATCTGCGACGCTCTGGCTCGTGGAATCCAGCCCTCGATGCTGGAAACTCAGTTGCAAGAAGTAGCTAAACTGCTTATTTGCAGGAAGTACGTCTGCTGGAGGCCCCCACCCGAGACCAAATCATCTTTGGACTGCATGGGGACAAAAGCTCCATCCCCAAACCGATTTCTGACAGAGTCTTTAGAAACCACCAGGCCCAGGCACCTGCGAAAGCCCAGATATGGAGTGAGCGACTGTTTAAATACGTGGAAGACAGCAGGGTGGCAGGAGCCTACGGAAGGATCCAGCCTCGAGGCTCTTCTCGCTCATCCGGACCACAGCTCAGCGGTCCTCCGGTCGTGTCACTAGCAAGAACAACAATCGCCCCCCTCTCATCGACCAGAGATGGAGACCTTGTCGACATAGACCACATCCTCCAGATCCAGAGGGAGACACTCAGGACCCTGGGAGAAATTCAAGCCAAGTTGGACCGACTGGATAGCCGTAGGATAAGGCTACATATTGCAGAAGTCCGGCAAAGGTCTGGTGGCGGAGCCTTCTCGCAAGAGGAATCCCCCTCGGACGACGAACCCCCGGCCCGCAGCAGTGTTTCCTCGCCCGAGATGAGGACGCTCGAAGAGTTAATAAGAAGGCAGCAACGTCAAGCATTTTCAGAGCAACCTCGACCATCTCCACAACAACGTCAACTATCCTCCTCTGGCGGACCCACAGCCTTGCCGCCGGCGCCTTTGTCTTCGTCCTCATCCTCGTCGCCGTCCAGGACCAGCCGCGCATCTTCCACCTCCCCTTCCGCCTCCGACGAAACAGAATGCGGCATCTGTCTGTCCAGCCTGCCCTCCCCGGGCCGAAGCAACGGCGACATCTGGCGCTGTGCCACGTGCCACAACGCGACGCACGCCATGTGCTTCGACGAGTGGATGGCGCGGTCCACCGACGGCCGCGTGACGTGTATTTACTGGTACGTTGCCATATTTTTGTTTCCTAGTTTATTAGTGTCTATTCCGTCCTCTCTCCTGAACTATATGCCATCTACTTGTGTTATCGACGTCTGTACGATATCCCGTCTACGTTTGGCCTTCCATGTGGAGGAGGTATTTGGGAAGTCTGGATTTGCTAACTGTTTTGTTTCTAGTCGATCGCCTGTCTCGAACATCTAGGTAATTGGTCAGTTCACTCAGTCGGTCCTCGGCTTCGATGGGGTCAATAATTGGATTATGTCCGCCTCCAGTCACATCAATCAATCAGGAGAGAGTTGCCGGGTAGGCAAACACGGCGTCTTGGAGGAGGAGTTGTGAATACAGTTCTCGTTGCGGGTTACGGTGGTACTTAACAGAACAGGATCTTTGGCGCAATGGGTGCAAGGGGTACAAGGGGTGTATGCATGGGAGGTTTGTGTGGCGAGGCTTTGATAATCCCGATTCTGAGATTCTGCATGACGATCTACAACAGACGGGAATTGAAGGGCAGCGCTGTCTCCCGATCACACGAAGCGGTCACAACGCATCGGGTGGCCTTGTACAGGATAGTGATGGGATTGACGGGAGCATCGGCGTTGGTTGACAGGTGGCATTGTTGGACAAGGATTGGAGATGTAATAATGATAAGGTATCTCTATAGTAAGCATCAAGTATCCAGCATCACATCGTCCATCTCGGCTTCTTAAATAACCGTCTATCACAATGCGTTTGCACATCCGCCAAGGAGGTACATAGTGGACTTAACAGGAACAATAGAAACGAAATTGTGAGCGCGGGCCAAGTTCAACGTTGGGTGGTTGGCTGACATGTCCAGCAGATGTATACAATGGCCATGCAGAGAGGAGCGAACACCATCCTGTCTTCTCTTTGTCTCTGCCTCGAGGGAATTCACAGACCGGCGAGTATGATATTGCATCTCGTATCGACTACCCATAGACACTCAAGAGACTATCTAGGATATAAATCCTCACTGCCCAGACATAGCAGCAGGACATGAAAGTCTGGGATCTATCTGCATTGATCCTGCATAGCCTGCCAATGGCTGGACTTGATCTCAACTCTCAAGAACCAATATGCATGAGGCACCCTTGTCCTCCGTTTCCATTCCTGAATGGCGGCTGGTAAGCCTCAGAGTTCTCCAGAATGAGTGACTTTTCCATCCACCATAATCACAACATGAAGCAGTCTCAGGCATTGCTAGGCCGCCGTGGAGAACAAAACCAAGAGTCCATCTACACCTTCACAAAGCAGAAAGCATGATAGAACGCCACCGCATCCTTCTCAGCCTCGCTCAGCAGCAGCTCCCCGCCCTCATATCTGGTCACTCCCATCCTCGCTGCCAGACTCATCAAATCGCGATTCCCTTGCTCTTGCTGCCAAATATCCAAAAATGGCTTTCTATAGCGCTGCTCCAAGTTGTAGTGTTCGGCCAACGCCCGGAAAGCTTCCCACGGGACCACGAATTCAGGTACATCCACTGCTTCTGTCATCCAGTAAGTGTATTTCCAGCTGAACGGTGGGCGAAAGGACCCATCGGGCTGTAAGGGACGCAGTGGATCGATCGGGAAGCGGACGTTGTAGATGGAGTTGCCCCATTGAGGGCCTTCCTCGTCGGCCTCGCCATCCTCTTTCTCATCATCAGCATCATGGGAGCCGTTCTCCAGAGCCTTCTTCGCTTCTTTCTCCTTGAACCACTGTCTAATCTTCTCTGCACAAACATCACTGTTCGGCACCACCCCGATAAACCGTCCTCCTTTCTTCAAACTCCCTGCCACGTTGCGGAGCATCATGCGTACTTTCTCCTCGGACTCGAACGAGTAGTGCATGGCGAACATGCAAGTCACAACGTCAAATCCACCACCGCCCCAGCGACTTGGCTGACCATTTCCTGCATTGGGGTCAATGCCAACCTCGCGAACTATGCCCACGTCACCAATCCAGGCGCCAAAACAGTCCTGTGGGACGAAGCGGGCATCGAAAATGGGACGACGGCCTCGCCGCATCTGCTGATATCGTTCACGAGCTTGTTGGATACTCGTTTCTGCTGGATCAAGGCCGACATACAAGCCCACGGTTTGTGGAGCCAGTTGCCATTTGCCCAGGTCACCTCCTTTCCCGCATCCGAGGTCGAGCACAGCGAGTGGCTTCTGTGCTGCTGGTTCTTTCGCTTCCTCGCCCCAGCCCAGCTCTTCCTCTTCGGTCTTCTCTTCCGGGCTGAATTTGTGAATGAGGCAGGACTTGATCCAATTGTTGAAACTGCGTAGTCCTTTTATTTGAGATTCATTCCTTCGCCAATCTCGTCCCCTCTCCTTCACCCACTCTGGCCGTGCGTTATAGAATTGGTTTGAGACTTCTTGAACGCCGCGGTTAACTTGAACATGTTGTGAAGCCTGCTTCTGCTCGCGTTCGGCAGCTAGGCGCTGTTGTTCGGCGAGAACGTTACGACCTCGGCCACGGGCACCGCCGGGACGAATTATATCTCGTGGTGGAGAGTCGCGGATTGGAGAAGGGGATTTGCGCCGCTCTCGTGGAGGAGAACGTCGACGGTAGGCATCTAGGGGGGACCGTCGTCGAGGAGGAGATCGTGATCGTCGGTTAGAGAGCGCATCCCTCCGTTCTCTGGTTCGTCGGTCATCGTTGTCCGGTCGTCGACTATATGCGTCGGGCACCCTGCGTGATGTGGACACTTCGCCTTCTTCTCTCGGTTTGCGTGGGATACGCGGAAGGTCTGCTGGTGTTCTTGGTTTGGGTTTCTCACCATGAGTTCCGTTTGTCGAGGTTTTGGCCGAAGATCCGCCTGGCCGTGAGGGTGAAATGGAAGCGCGTGCTTTCTTGGCCGGAGGTGTCTCCTCAGTTTCCTGTCTCTTTGCCTTAGGCGGAGGCTTCACTTCTCCGTCAACTGACCCCGATCGCCTTCGCTTTCGAGACTGCCCCCCTGCGTCTTCTGTTGCCGGGCTGGAGGTCGGCGGATCTGTAGTCTTTGCATCTTCCTCGACATCCTCAGCAATGGCCTGTTCGGCTATGGTGTCTGGTAATTCTTTGAAAGTATCTCGAGCAGGGTCATACGCAAACGATGAGCGTCGCCGAGGGGGAGCAGACGCGTGAGGGTTGGACATGTTTGGCTATGCCTGCTGTAGCCTCGGAGGTGGTGAGCCTGTTGTGTTGGCAAATTTTAAAAGAGAACTGGAAATTCAGTATCAAAACAGCTTCCCTTGTATCAAAATGGTATTGTAGAACAGCATAAGTACTTTGGACTCGGTCTTCTCAATGTTCGCAAAGGAAAATTGGAATACGACAGTTATACGAGGTACAGTGAAGGAAGTAGGCACCGCGACGTGCTACGGAGCAGCATTCGATTCTATTTTTGAATTTACGATTGAGGGACAGCATCTCTTTACTACTCGCGTGAATATCTATCTCACATACACTAGTTAAACTGGATTTCATGACTTTGTCTCTATGTCAGTTTATTTTGTCGTTTCATGGATTTCCCTGGCGGCGTCGTGTGCAGCCTGCGATTCCACCTCGTCATCATCTTTAGTGGGAAGCCTATCCACGGTACCAAAGACAATTTCCATCTCTTCCAAGCTCTTGCCCGTGGTCTCCTTGAGGACGAAATAGCTGTAAACGACGATGGCGTAGTTGAATATGGCAAACATGAGGAACGTTCTCCAGCCAATATTGGAAATGGCGTGGGGAGTAATTTGGCTCATGACGAAATTGAACAGCCACTGACTTGCGGCTCCGGTCGCAACACCAATCTCCCGGATCCTGTTGGGGAAGATCTCGCCGATGTAAAGCCACGGCAGGGGACCCCAAGACATATTGAAGGCGAATGCTTCGAGATAGACCATTGCAATACCAGCCGCTCCTGATGATGTGATTCCTGTAGATGACGGTTTGGGAGGATGCGTATCCACGATCAATGCAATGATGAGCATGAAGCTCCCCATCGCAAATGCGCCGACCATGAAGGGGATCTTGCGGCCAAATTTTTCGACGAAGAAGAGGATGAAAATGAAAACACCAGCCATCTTGACAAGCCCAAAGAAGCCAGTGATAAAGAGCGTCTTGTTGCCAGCTCCGATTGTAGCAAAGATCTGTGGCGCGTAGTAGGCAAGTGAGGTGTTGCCAGTCAGCTGTGCGCACAGTTGAATCGTGATGGCGATGAACATTCGATATCTGTTCGATGGCAGAAGCAGTTCTTTCCACGTGAGGCCCTCAGATTCTCGTACTTCCAATTCCACCCCCGCAAGTATTTCTGCGAATTCGGCTCGAATCTCTGGGCTATCGACACCGCCCCGAACCCAGAGGAGGGAAGCATAAGCCTCTTCGTTTCGACCTCTCTTGGCAAGCCATCGAGTAGACTCCTTCACCAACAACATACCCAGCCCAAGAAGGCCCCCGGGGACCAACTGCAGACCAACAGGGACCTGCCATTGCATTGACGACGTTTCAGAAATGCCCACCTGGGCAGCGTAGTCAACCCAGTAACTGACACAGACGCCAGTTGCAAAGAACAGCTGAAAACAAGAGCCGAGCTTTCCTCGAATCTCCTTTGGCGCCATCTCTGCCGAGAACATTGGCACCAGCACTGTCGCTGCGCCAGTACCTAGACCCGAGATGACACGACCAGCATAGAAGACGCCGATGGAATGCGACTTGACTACTTGCAAGATGCACCCGATGCAGAAAACGACAGAGGCGATGATAAACCCCCATCTCCGGCCCAGCCATCCCGTCAACGGCCAGATGAAGAAGCAGCCAAAAAAGGCGCCAGCCTGGAGAATCGAGACGCAGTTCGAGTTGACCTGTGTCTTGTCGCCCTTTGAGTAACCAAAATCACTTTGAAAGGAGGGAAACGTCAGGACACCTCCCACAATGCCAGTGTCGTAGGCGAACAGAAAAGAGCCAATGCAGCACAGGGCCACAACATAGCAAGCTCGAAACGTGCCCAGCGATTTGCCCATGTTGATTTCTTCTTCAGTAGCGGCTGGTGCAGTTTCGGGTGTGTCGCCTTGCTGCAGAAGTTGATAGCCAGCGGAAGAGGAAGAAGACGCCATGGCTGAGCTCTTATACCAATCCAGCTGACCACCTGCCACACTCGCTTCTTCAAGCAGCCTTCGGTTCAGTGGCCACCGGACTGCAATTCCTCTGGATAGGATGGGCCAAAATGTTGGAAGAAAGGACCATGAACCAGTCAATCACGCCATAGATGCGGGGGATTCTAGCGTTCGGATGACCAGATGTAAAGGGTATGAGGCGCGTAGATCCAAACGTAGTATCTCTGAGGGGGGAGGAAGGATCGACAAGTGGGTGGATGTGAGCCACTGTCGCATTGAGGAGGAGTTAGGGGTCCAAGCTGGCGTAGCGATTCAGATATACGGTCGATAAGGAGCAAGGATGGCCAGGGATTGGGGATATGTGTGCATGTGTCTTGGGTCGTCAGCGAGGAAGATTGGCTGAGAAGGGTGGAGGTTGAAAGAGTGAGACTTCAAGCACGCCATCATCTGCATGCGCAAACTTGCCAAGTTCAGTCGTTAAGTCATGGACGGTCAATGGACGATCTGGTTGCTGCTGGGTTCTTTTGCGCCGACGCTGGCTTGTTCCTGTCATGATGCTCGTATTCTTCCTCAGAAGCCATTGGGTTTGTTTCTAATGGAGCCGCCACGATCATGGCTGCCGACAACCAAGAAGAGCGATTCCTGCTCCAGCTTTCCCCAGATTATGTGGCGCCGGCCAAGGCCTTTCTCGCAAGCCCTTCCCCGCCTCTAGACGCTGGCTAGGTGGCCAGTTTAGGTACTAGACGCCTAAGGTTAGGTGCCACCAGTGCCTTATCACTTTGTCTCAGGGACTTTTGCAATGGCGAGTCTGCACGCGACAGATGCAACGTGCCCCTCCAAGACGCCTAACTAGGCCTGGTACCTGGCGGGGCTCGCCGTAAGATTGCTCCGATATCGTCTCCCAGTCGATTCCCCTCTTGCTCACTGATCGGTTCGACCCAGGTACCTCGCTGTCGTCCTCGCTGTTGCCCTGTTCAGGCTTCGGCGTTGATTTCATTCACTTGTACCGTTGACCGTATACAGGCTCTCCATCATGGCTACCAAACGCCCCAACTTCCTCATCATCGTCGCCGATGACATGGGATTTTCAGATGCCGGGTGCTTCGGGTCCGAGATTCGCACTCCCAACATCGACAAGTTGGCAAAAGATGGCATCCGTCTCACAGGCTTTCATGCCGCGGCCGCATGCTCCCCGACAAGAGCAATGATCCTCACGGGTACCGACCATCACATTGCAGGCTTGGGCAACCTGATTGAATGGACGGATTTCTCGGGTCAAAACTTCCCCAAGGGCAGCAAATACTCGACTGCCCCTCAAAGAGGCATGCCAGGCTATGAAGGGTACTTGAACGCTCGAGTAGCTGCACTGCCCGAGGTCCTGAAAGAAGGAGGATATCACACTGTCATGAGTGGAAAATGGCATCTAGGACTCACCAAAGAGCGAAGTCCCCAGGCGCGGGGCTTTGACCGGAGTCTAGCCCTCTTGCCGGCGTGCTCGAATCATTACGACTGGAGACCGGAGGCGGACTTCCCTAAATTCCTGGAGAAGAGCGTCATTGCGTTACATATGGAGGACGACCACTATGTCAAAGATCTGCCCGAGGGTTGGTATTCAAGTGACGGATATGGAAGCCGGATGTTGCGCTATCTGAAAGAATGGAAAGAGGACGCGGAACTCTCAAAGAAGCCCTTCTTCGCATACTACCCATTCTCTGCCCCGCACTGGCCTCTTCAGGCTCCCAAAGAATACATTGATCACTATCGAGGAATCTACAAGGAAGGCCCAGAAGCCCTCCGTCAGGCACGGCTAAAGAAGCTGATTGAACTTGGGATGATACCCAAAGACGTCAAACCCCATCCAGTTGTTGCGGACGAAGTACCTGGGTGGGATGAAATGGACGACTTTCACAAGAAGGCGTCTTCATGTTCGATGGAAGCGTACGCTGGTATGGTCGAGTGCCTAGACCACAATATCGGCCGAGTCACCGACTATCTGGAGTCAATCGGCGAGTTGGATAATACTTACATTATGTTCTTCTCGGACAACGGTGCAGAGGGAGCTGCGTACGAAGCATATCCTATGGTGGCCGGTGAGTTGATGGAACACATTGGCAAGTACTACAACAACTCGCTCGAGAATATTGGCAATAAGGACAGTTTTGTCTGGTACGGCCCACGTTGGGCTCAAGCAGCCACGGCCCCGAGTAGACTGTACAAGGCGTACACGACCGAGGGAGGTGTGCGGGTGCCTTGTGTTATTCGGTATCCGCCGATGCACAAAGGGCGAGAAGGCGAAATCAGCGAAACGTTCGCAACGGTCATGGACATCGCGCCCACACTGCTTTCGCTTGCAGGCATCCAACATCCCTCCCCGGAGTGGAATGGCCGACAGATTGTCCCAATGCGTGGCAAAGATCTGACACCGTGGCTCAGCGGAAAGCAAAATCTAGTCCACGATCCCAACGAGGCGTTTGGTTGGGAACTCTGTGGACGGGCTGCCATCCGCAAGGGGCCGTGGAAAGCAGACTTTATCCCCTTTCCCAAAGGCACCTCCGCGTGGCAACTGTACGATCTCTCCAAAGATCCCGGCGAAACCGAAGATCTGGCTACCAAGCACCCCGAGATCCTGAAGGAGTTGCTGGATCTTTGGGAGATCTATTGCGAGGAAACGGGCGTGGTACCCCTGCAACCGGAACTCGGTGCCCGCTTCCATGAAGCGGTTGAGGCACAGATGAAAGAAGGCGAATGGATCGAGTATGAGTACTGGAAGCCAGGGGCATTAGAGGAGAGGAGACGGCAGGAATTCGTCAGAGAAATCGCCAAGGTGAGTGATCCTAGAATCGGGGAGGCGGCGGGTGGACAACCGGTCAATGTAGCTGGTGCTTAATAGATGGGAGATTATGATGCGTATGAGGATAGACAAAACTTGTGACGGAGAGAAGACACCAAGCATGCATCATGCTAAATCCGTGACTGTCTGTCGATGCCACTGGTAACTACTCAGTAGTGGCCGTAGCTGGCCTCACAGACGGAATGTGGTTGTCTCCTATATTTGCACCTTTTCTGTGGCGTCGACTTTTGCGGCCTGACAAGCTGCCTCACCATGACCAGCCTGCGCCCGCCCGCCACAGCTCCAGCTCAGCTCCAGCAACAGACATATTTAGCTAAAAGCAAACAAGAGCGTCTGCCGGTAAGCGCTAGATCCCTCTTACATGAACTCAGCTCTGACCTGTCGACGCCCGATTCTACTCGGTCCAGAGATACATCAACACCCTCGGAGACGCCCTTCCAACGTCTCTGGCTCTCTCAGCATAAAATCAACTCCTCAATCACCACCACCTCGTCCTCGTGCATACCTACTGTACATTCGCCCTCCTTTCCTGGCCTTCGAGAAGAAAGCGACGTAGCCCTCTAAATCTGCCGCCAATCTCCTCATTCATTACCGAGGGACAAACATGCCTGCTACTAAGCGCCCATCGCTTTTCTCGCGTCTCTCAGCCTCCTCTTCCAGCGACGCTGCCTCCATCAAATCCACGGCGTCGGTGTCCTCAATGCAGCCCTTGCTGTCCAAGGCTCGTGGGAAAGTCAACACTGCGTCATCGAGCCGCAAGGCCGACAAGGCGTTCAACTTCAACATGAGCTACCCTTACAGCACCTCCAGCGGCGCAGCTATCTCAGAAACCAGGTCGCCTTAGGCATCTCGATCGGCGAAAGCCTGGGTGTTGAAGGACGGGATCCCAGAGTTGTGCCCTGCAATATTTGGCCCCTCGACACCTAAACGAACCGGAGTGTTCGACCAGCCACAATCAATCGCTTCGACAGCACCCCGGCAACAATAACGGCGATTTTGTCCTCCGATACCTCTGCCAGTCTGACATGCACACTCGTGGAACCCAAGAGTCTTGATGGTCGCCTCCCCCCGCATCTTCCCCAGATGTCGCCTAGATGTGTCCTTTTGATTATTATTTGCGTCTGGGCGGGTTCATTGGATTCGGTTCCAGACCTCTGGGCTTTCGGTGCGACCCCGTAATTGACAGCTCGGTTTAGGGGCTCTTGCTGGCCCACCTAACATGATGCGGCGGAGCTTGGTGGGAACGCACAAAATGCTGCAGCGGTATGGTGCCATGTTTCCCCATTGCGGTAGGATATGTACACTCCCAAATCGGAGTAATAATGACCACGGATACGCAACCTTGTGGAATTGCAGAATCCCCGTTTCGAAAAGCTTCACAAGCTCAGGAAGCAACAACATAGCTAGCTGCCTTCTTTCTTAAAGCTCCGCCGGCTCTGATGCTTCGTCCTGCCACCAGCAGGCAATATCAGTGACGACGGAATGTCGAGGGCATGAAAAGACCGGACAATGAACACAAATCAAGCCACATTCAGCAGGCGAAGGCACTGCATTCACGTGCGCATACCCTGCCGAGGGAGAAATTACACTTAGTATACACGGTGTATATATCCAGAGACTCAAGGATTTGCAGCAGATGGCCGTCGTTCGACCCAGCCAGTCCTATACTCGGTACAGAGCATAGCTCCCTCTTGCTATGCTTAACAACCAAACCGCTAATCAAAATGACAAGACTCTCATCACCCTTGCACCTCGTACAAAGACTGCGAATTTGCCTCATGCATCCTCGTGTATGGCATTCGCGCGCCGTCATACATGGGTTGCTCCAGCTCCGGTTTTGCGACCGAAAATGGGTCGTGACCACCAGCTGCCGCCATGGCCTGGAACCTCTGCTCCGCCGTGACCCTCCTCTTTCGCTCTTTGAAAATCAGGAACGCCATGATGGCGAGCACGAGTGCGCCCACACTGACACCCACCCCCACGCCGATGCCGATCGACCGTGTGTCGGAACCGTTGCCTGAGCTCGGCGTCGTGGATGCTGCTGCGGAGGTGGTGGTGGTCGGGGTGGTCGATGAGGTCTTTTTCGCGCCGGAGGACGAGACGGTGGTGGAAGTGCTCGCGACGTTCGACGTGGTGCTCGTGGGGAAATACGGTCTGCCAAAGGCGACCTGGAAGCTGTTCTGGCAGCAGCTCGAGCCGTCCTCGGCCCCGCAACACCAGCTCTGGTTCTGGGTCGCCTTGCCGGAGCCACCGTCGCAATCCAGGATGTTTGCAAAGTTTGAGAGATCTGCCTCGACTGGAGGGGTTTTTCCAAAAAGCTATTTTAGCCCCATGTGTTCAACCCTTTGCTCGGAGAGGTCGGCCTTGCGACCCAGGCACCTCCTCACCTTCAAAGCTGCACGCTTGAGCACAGCTGCTCGACGACCACGTCGAGTCGGTGCAACCTCCGCGATATATGTAGTTCGCGTTCCCGAAGCAGTATCCATTTTCCGTGCAGACGCTCGTGCGCAGGTCACAACACGCCGCGTGCGCGGGGTCGCTGCCTGCATTGCAAGGCTGGTAGTTGTACTCGGTCACCAGCTGTCCATTGGGCCAGTAACAGCTCGCCGATGCGAGAGACATGGCGGGCTCTCTCGCGGAGGTGGTGGAATCTTGGGGATTTTCGCGAGTCCTTCTCCCTTTGCAATAGCAGTGGGCTTGGGGATTTCGTGAACGGGGGAGATTTATGGGCGGTGGTGGCACCCACCCTCTTCTGCTCCCGCTGCAAGACAGATATGCGCCCCAGGCATTCATTTGGTGGCCCCCAATGGTCGGCGCCGTGCGACCAGCCGCGCTTTCGCCGTGGGACAAGCCAGCATGAAACAGAAATAGGCGCCAACCTGAGCGCGCAGCAGAAAGGGGGGGGGGGTTCTCAGACAAAAGGCGTCGTTTTCATCTTAGCCGCATGCACGAGGTATGTACCTAAGGAGTACACGATACCTACCTTGTACCTACCCTTGCTGCCCTTCTTGCGTGCCGTTTGGGTTGTGGCCGGGTCAAGGTCGCATTTTTCGTGGCCCCAAGGCTATATGCACCCGAACGAGGCGCCTCCCGTGTCATGCTAGAGTGGAACTCGTTTCACATCCGCGACGCCACAACGCTTCGTACGGAGGCCAGATACATACAGGGGACGAAAAGGGCCGTCGATGCAACAAAGAAAGAAGAAGCAGAAGCAATTACCACCAAAGTCAAAAACACGGAGTGTCCAAGCCGGCGTTGCAACCCTCCACCAAAACGCCACGCGGCGCTTAACCGAATGAGCTGCAGATGTTTGATTAGGCTCCATCTGGCACCGGGGAAGACGGACGACCGGTTCCTACGGAGTGAGCAGGGTCAATCATGACATACGACGGGTTACCCATGGTTGGGGGAGATCTTCACGAAGAGCCTCCATAGTTCTTTTGGGTTCTCCATCATACAGAGACTTTATCACGGAAGACAACCAGAGGCGATAATGCGGCAAATAGCCCAAATTAGTGCCATGGACGTGTTGGACTCAGAAACGAAGCCACCTACATAAGGCCCTCCCTCGTTTTGCCGCAAGCCCGCCTCGAGTCAAATGGGTACAGAGTAATAGATAGGGCATATCCTTCTCTTCTTCTTCCATCATTTTTTCCCTTCTTCTGCCCCTGTTTCAGACCAGCTTGGTGACCAGCTTGCCCGTGTTGCCGCCATCAAACAGCTTCAGCCAGGTCCTGGGCACGTCCTCGAACTTGGTGTCGACGACCTGCTCGCTCTCCTCGTTGGAGATCTTCAACTTGCCTTCTTTGACCGCCTGCACGAAGAGCTGGATGGTCTCTTGGGCCTTGGGAAGGTAGTCCGTCACGATGAAGCCGCGGATCGAGAGCCGCATTGTTATCACTTGGAAATAGTCTGGGAGGGGGACGGGGTGTCAGTCAATCGGATTAGGGGGGGAGAGGGATCTGGGAAGAAAAAAAAAGAGAAAAGAGAGGGGAGTTGATACTTTGCAGCACAGTTGGCTCGGTCGAATTGTAGCCTGAAATGGAGCCGCATGCGACAGCCACGCCGTGCCGCTTCAGCCTTGCAAGCATCAAGTCGAGGATGTGGCCCTGAATCAGCGTGCCATTAGTATATCGTTGTTCGACCAACAGGGTCGATCTCCCAATTGCGAGGGGGTCTGGGGGACTACTCACGCCGACATTGTCGAAATAGATGTCCACAAACCCGTCCGTGGCCTTGATCAGATCCTCTTCAAAGGTCGGGCTCTTGTAGTTGATGCATTTGTCCGCCCCAAGGCTCTCAACCCAGCGGCATTTCTCGTCCGAGCCGGCAATGCCAATCACCTCTGAGCAACCGACAATCTAGACCGGGTATTCAGCTCAGAAACAGAAAAGCGCCGAGAGGATGACATCGGCTTGATCTTACATTCTTTGCAATCTGCACTACCATACTCCCCGTTGCTCCCGCGGCTCCCGAAACCACCACTCTCCTAGTTCAACGTCAGAATCTCCAGAGACCGGTGCAGAAAAGGCTTTTGCTCATTCCCCACAAACACGAGTGGAGTTATTCAAGGACACTTACATCCCTTTCTTCGCCTCACCAATGACGACCAGCCCGTAGTATGCTGTCAAGCCGGGTCCGCCGAACGCGCCCAGGTAATGCGTGATGCTCAAGCCACCGGGAAGTTGCTGTCGGGGACTGCACTCGGCAGCATCGACGACGGCGTATTCAGTCCACCCCGGAGCCACCGCGACGATGGTGCCTTTGGGTAGGTTGTCGGCAGTCGAGGCAACCACTTCTGCCAGCCCCCGCGCCATCATGGGCTGCCCAATCTCTACGGGCGGAGTGTAGTGCCGCTCGGCCTTGACGGACGCATCGATGGCGGGACGTTGGGCCGGGTCGTTTGAGAAGAACAGGATTTTGACTAGGACTTGGTTTGGTTGCAGCGGAGGCAGCGGGCGCTCTACCAATTTGAAAGTTGGATTCGCATCGGCGCTGGAGAAGGTTGGAATCCCCTTGGGACGGTTGGCCAGGATCCAGGTGCGGGTGGAAGTGGGAGTCGCAGCCATGTTGTTTCTGTCGAGCGGATTAATGAGACACCACTGTGCGTCTTCAGGACTGTTTGTCGACCGATTCGTGTCTGTAGTCAATCTCCCTAATGGAGTAAGTAGTCGGGCAATGTGATATACCCTCCTCGGCTATCTGGTGGTTAATACTCCTCTTCGTATCTTAGGCTTAGAATCATCCGACGGACAAATGAGTGTCTCCGGCGAGGAACAGTGGCGCGTCTGACTAGAGGATGAGACGCCAACGCGAGGTTGTCTGCATCAATCTTAAGTATTTTTGATGGGTCACACCATTGACGGCTATAGCATGACGTTCACATACTCCAGCATGGAGGGGGTGGGCCAAAAAGGAAATATTGTGCCTGATTCGGGCAAAAACCGAGGTACATATCCAAGGCACTGGGATCGTGATTGGCGGAAGCCTTATTCTTCTCCGCAACCTGCGTAGTCGTGGACTTGTGAGCAAGTTGGCGGGGATCAGAGACCACATTCTCCATTTGTCAGCACCTCTATGTTGATATTGACCTATGTGCTGTCTTGCGTTGGCTACTGTCAGCCTCAATATATGGCTGATCCTCCTGGACTCAACCTCTTGATACGGCCGCAAAAGATGTGATTCCGCCGGATTCAGAACTGCGGATATGAGGATGGACTGTCGCGCCGACTGCCCTCTTAGTGGGATGCAGGAAAGACCACACCACTCTGGTGGGGTCGCAGACACCGTATGATTGGGAGTATATTTGTTTGTCAGCTTCGAGCTGCTTTTGACTCAAGATGAGGTGTTGTCGTGCCAGTCAGCATTCGTAATGGACGGGGACAGAGCTGGAGACTCTTAGGTGTTGTCGTCGTTGCTCTTCAAGTGCGGGTACACACCTGGCTGACCGTCAAGGGACTGGAATAAACCCACGGGCAGCACGGACAGATGCAAATAGAGGAGACTGTTCACCATTGATTCTTTCAGCAGGGCGAGGATTGTCGACACGCTTCAGCCATAGAGCCCGTCCCATTCCTCTTCCTCATCCTCCGGTGCAGCATTCTTCTTGATCTCTTCCAGCTGTTTCTTTTTACGATCTCTCTCCCTCTGCGCCAGGTCAATCCGATCCAAAGGACATGTTCCGTTCACCAAAAGCCACGGTCTGATGCATTCTAGATCGAAAATATGACTTTGATGGCAAGGCAGACGCACTAGCAGCGGGTGAGGGTCTTCGACGAAAGCATTACCGCAGATAGGGCAGTCGGCGTCTTTGTTGACCTTCTTGATGTTGACCCGCTCCAATGCAGCGATATATTCCTCGTCCACGCCCTTGACTTCCCGGGGAGGTCGCTCGGCAGTGTCCATCAGGTTTTGGATCATGCTCTCGAGCAGGTTGGAGTCGGCATTGTCATTGATCCTACGCATTACTTCGAATGCCTCTGCAAGCGAGCGAAAGACGGCCGAGACATCGGCAGGAACAGGGACAGCACCCTCACGAGCTCGTTCTTCTGGTCGGTCAGGCGTGACTTCGGACAGAAGACTCAGGAAAGTGGAGAGATCGGGTCGTCGCGGTTGGCTTTGATCGCCATTTGGAGGATCAGAGGCATGTTCGGCTAGAAAGCGTCAACCCAGTCACCGAGGGAACAAGACATCGTTCTTACTCTCGTAGCTGCTCATCGTTGTGGTCGTCTTGACGTAAGGGGAGGTTTTGCAGGACTCCTGACATTCAATGAGCAGGGTGAGGCAAGTGAGCAGTCATGGGCCGCAGGGACTAAATAGGTGTCAAGCGAGACACAGGCACGAGTTGATGGCGTGGCCCCGCGGGACAGGATAGCTCTATGGCGGCGTAGTGGGAGACGAAGATGGCAGTAAGTTGAGTAGACAGTCCACGGTGCCAGCCAAACGTAGTGACAACCAAACAATCAAATTGAGCAGCTGAATTCGTGGTGAAGTAGAGACTGCGATGAGATGTGGGGGACGCAGGACAGAGCAACAGTCAAGTCAGGCCCGGAGAAGCAGAAGGCGGCGTTGGTGGCGCCACAGCTTCAAGCCACATCCTCAAGTCTCAGCCACTCCTTCACTCATTGGCGAGGGATGGGCTGCCCGGCTGCTTCTCCTGCTCCTGCCCTCCACCTCATCCATCAACCCATCGCTACCCTGAGTCTGCATCTCGACAAACAAGCGACCTCCGACAAACGGCCAAGATGATATGACATAGTCCCGCATCCTCTCAATCGAACCGCCCGCGACGACCTTTATTACTGAATCCGCTTGCACTCATCATGCTTCGTCCTCCGGATCTGCGGTAACTCAAGAACGTCGGCACCGGGTTTGCCCATGGAGGCAGATTGGGATGAGATCACTCGCATCGCAGTGCCTTCATCGGGACTGCATGCGATCCCTACTCCCGCCAGTGCAGTGGCCTTTGATGATTTGCAGGAACTTCTATGGGTAGGCAACGATCAGGTAAGGCGGCCTTGGAACTGATATCTACACCTCTCACCTTTGAGCCCAGGGACGAGTCACCTCCTTCTATGGCCCCGAATTGCAACGGTACGTCTCGGTCAAGGCTCATCTGGGAGAAGGCCCGGTCAGGCAACTGTTGGTTCACGAAAAGGGTATCATCTCCATCTCTTCTTCCAGCGTCCATTTTGTCACCCGCAGAGGCTTGACGCAATGGCACATCTCACATCCCCTGATGACGTTTCTCCGGTGCATGGCTTTTGCTGCCACCAACAATCTCATCATCGTGGCAGGATGCCAAAGCACCTTCTTCGTCATTGACATAGACAAAGGCCAAATTGTCTCGGAACATCCTGCACAGGCCAAGTACACCATCCTGAGGAAAAGCCGCCACATATGTGCTGCGACGGATGACGGCAACGTGCATATTCTCAGTTTGACCGACTATCAACTCCTCAAATCCTGGAAAGCCCACTCCAGTGCTGTCAATGACATGGACGCGCGCAATGATTTCCTAGTCACCTGTGGCTTCTCGGTCAGGCAACTAGGCGTGCCTATCGTCGACCCACTGGCCAATGTCTACGATTTGAAGTCTCTCACATCTCTGCCTCCAATACCTTTCCATGCAGGTGCCGCATACGCGCGCCTGCACCCGAAACTCCAGACCACCAGCTTCGTCGCGTCACAAACCGGCCAAATGCAGGTGGTGGATCTGATGAATCCTGTCAATGTTATGCTCAAACAGGCAAACGTTCAGTTCATGCTAGGAATGGAAATCGCCTCCTCGGGGGATGCTGTGGTAATCACCGATTCAAACGGATGGATATACCTATGGGGTTCTCCCTCCAAAGTCCGCTTCAATAACATTAGCAAGGAAACAGAATTTGCAGATCCCCCTCCCCAGCAGATTCCCCACGTCGATTGGAACGACTCCCCGCTCAACACCATAGGCATGCCATACTATTCAGAGCCCCTATTGTCGGCGTGGCCAAGTCATATGGTATTCGAGGTAGGAGCACCACCAGTGCCAATTGAGCCATCACTGCTGTTCCATATGCAAACTGCCGAGATGGGGCACTACGCGCCAAATCTAAACCCTCGAAAACTTCTCCGCAACCAGGTGGAAGATACCAGGATAGGCCACGTGCCTGCCTCAATTACTGCACCCAAGTTTCTGAGCGAAAAAGCGAAAGAAGCACCAGCCAACGGAAACGGCAGGAAACTTTCAGATGCCGCCGAAGGATTGGCTGGAATATCTCTCAATGGCCGGGCGCAAACCGATGAGGAACGAATGCTCAAATATAGCAATGTCGAGATTAAGTACAGCAGGTTCGGAGTTGACGATTTTGATTTCCGTTACTACAACAAGACTCCTTATTCTGGGCTGGAAACGCACATTGCAAACTCCTTCATCAACTCACTGTTACAGCTTTACAAATTCATTCCTCTCATTCGCAACGTGGCCATCCAGCATGCCGCCACATCGTGCGTCGCGGCCCAGTGTTTAATGTGTGAATTTGGATTTCTCTTCGACATGCTGGAAAAGGCGAATGGTCAGAATTGCCAGGCGACAAATCTTTTGAGGGCCTTCGGAGCATCTAGGGAAGCTGCGAACCTGAGCCTTTTTGAACATTTGTCGTTGGCTAACGGGACACCGCTTTCGACCACGATCCAAGCAGTGAATCGATTCTTCTTGAAGCAGATTGCACATGACTATGTCACAATGGCAACTAGCAGTGATGGGATTGATGAGATCATTGCCAGCAAAGCCTTTGAAGCCATCCGTTGCATGTATTGCAACAATGAGACGACCAAACCAGCTAGCACCTATGTGCATGACCTCGTCTATCCGCAGCTCGAACCAAAGCACTCGATGAGATACATCAAGTTTTCGTCCATCCTAAAGACCACTATCGAACGAGAAGCCAAGAACCGGGGTTGGTGTAGTCGTTGTCGGAGATATCAACAGCTGGCCATTCGAAAAACAGTCCGGCAGCTACCTTTTGTGTTGATGATCAATGCAGCACTGGGAACTAACCCTGCAATGCGCGCGATCTGGGAGACCCCAGGTTGGCTCCCTTCCGAAATTGGCGTTATCGTACAGGATAGGAACGTGTACGTCTTCGAAGGTTCCGATCTCGCCTTGCACCAGCGAAACAAATCTCCAGGCCTAGTGATCTACGAGCTCGTCGGTTTCGTCGCCGAAATTGACACCAGTGAACGGCATCAACCCCACCTCGTCAGCATGGTGAACGTGGAGGTGTCCAGCAGTGGACCCGAAATCTCCCACAATCACAAAGTATTCCCCAATTGGCATCTCTTCAACGACTTCCTGGTGTCTCCAGTCGATCCAAGAGAAGCCGTCCATTTCAACAAGGGGTGGAAAATGCCCAGCGTTATTGCCTATCAAGTCAAGAATGCACACGGCAAACTCGATAACAACTGGAAACGGAGTATGGACACTACCTTATTATACCAGCACTATAGCATCAATGGTATTTATCCGAAAGACGGTTGCAAGATCCTCGCACCCGAAGAGCACCCAGAGAAAGGCACCCCCATTGCGCTAGACACCGAGTTTGTTGAACTGGAGAAAGCCGAGATTAACGTCAAGGCTGACGGGACACAAGAAACCATTCGGCCAGCGAAGTCTGGCCTTGCACGGGTCAGCGTGCTACGCGGTCAGGGCGAGGATGAAGGCGTCCCTTTTATCGATGACTACATCACCATCTACGAGCCGATTGTCGACTACAAAACCCAGTATTCAGGCATTCGCCCAGGCGATCTCGATACCCAAATTTCACATCACAACCTCGTGCCGCTGAAAGTTGCCTACAAAAAGCTATGGATTCTGCTTAACCTTGGGTGCATTTTTGTTGGCCACGGGTTGGCATCTGATTTTCGCAAGGCTAACATTCACGTCCCCAAGTCTCAAACCGTCGACACGCAGTTCCTGTACCTCGCACCCGGCAAGAACCGGCGATTCTCGCTGCGATATCTCGCATGGGCAGTATTTAAGGAATACATTCAGGAAGAAACCACGCTGGACGAGGCAATGCAAATCGATGGGCATGATAGCATTGAAGACGCGCGGATGGCGCTACGCTTGTGGCGCAAGTTTCAGGAATATGAAGATGCGGGCATCGCAGAGCAGATGATCGAGGACATCTACCGCAAGGGCACGAAATATGGCTGGAAACCTCCTCCCCGCAGTATCGGTGGAACATTAATGCCCCTGGATGGTATTGGTACCGGAGCAGCAAACAGCGCTGTACAGAGCGGGAGAAACACCCCGGATTTGATGGCTTTGCCCTCGTCGGCGACCGGTACACCGTTGCCGACCTCACCACCTAAGGGAATTGGAAGCGTCAGCGGTAGCGGCAGTGGCAGTGGCAATGGCGGTTCAGTCGGAGGCGCGTTCAAGTTGAATGCTGCGGGAGTGGGAAGTTTCGTTCCCGGCAACGGGATCATCAAGGAGAGTCCGCTCCGATAGGAATGAAGCAAAGAAACTGGGTGAATCAGTCGGAGTCCGCCAAAGAGATCCTAGAGGGCTAGACAGACGTGCTACTCTGACTTTCATGTTGTTTGCTGTCCGCTGTGTTTTGAAAATTCCACCAAAACCCCAATACAATCATTTGGACTCTTTCGCTCGTGTAAAAAGCATTCGTGGCAGGGGCCTCAAAGCCCCCTCGCCCATTTCTGCGCCCCCACTACGAGCTCCTGATTGGTGTTACAAAGTCTCCACTAGAGGTGCATGATTGGACATCTATCCAAAATGGCTTAGTGCGAATCTATTTTCAGCTCGAGGCTGGCTCTCAGCCTCACTTGACGATCGCGATCCCAAGCTGGTGAAACCGACAAGAAAGGCTAACAAACGATGGCGTCGCCTTCTCTTGGGTATACCCCGTGCTCTTGTCTGATATACTGGAGTCGGTAACTCTTGTTCCCTTGCTCTGGTGAATATCCTTCACGCAGCTGTGTGACCCTTGTCCTCTATATTTTGTTTGTTCTGTTGACACAACTGGTGTTTCATGACCAACTGAGGATTGGCACGCTTCCCCTGTCCCAACGCACCCGCTCCCGCATTTTGAAACGGACCGCCTCCCATCCGACACAGAGAGTCCCGGCAGGCCACGACATCCCAACGTTTATATCCTCTGTGCATCCTCGATCTGCCTCCGGGCGGCGACCCCTTGTCCAATATGCCCTCCAAGATGAAGTCACGCCCGCAGGTCTACCCACCGCTGGCCTTCCACATTATCCGCACGATCGCCTTCATCAGCGCCTCGATTGTCAGTGGGATCCTGATATACTTCTGCATGCAACTGCGGCACGATGGGTTTAAGTTACCCTGGACCTTTATTATTGTAAGTTGCTCGAGCCGGACAATCGACCCTCTTGGGTTGACCTCGTACTGACCGAACCTCAGGTCCTCGCCTCGACCCTCCTCTCTCTCCTCTCCCTCTTCCTCACCTCGTTCCTGTACACCTGCTTCTTCCTCTCACCGCTCTTCAATCTGATCCTCAACGTCACAATCTTCATCATCTGGGTGGTCGGCTACTGCCTCTTGACGTGGAACATGTACGGCACATTGGGCCACAGCTGCTCTCGAGCTAACTGGGCTTCCGACGACGGAATGATGATCTGCCGCATCTACAAGGCGCTGTACTCGTTCGAGGTGTTTGGCCTGCTTGCCCAGATCGCGCTGATTGTGTTGGACGTGAGGACCCGGCGCGCGCAGACGAAGCTCGGGAGATACAATCAGATGGCCGCCGGCGCCGCCCGGGGTGGTGCGGATGTCAAACTGGACGACCTGAACAGACACTCGGATTCGGGACTGCTCGGCGGACACGAGAGTTCCCAGGACGGGCTTCCCTATGGTATTGGAGATTACAACAGCCAAGCCGCTCATGAGTCGCGATTGGGCTTGCGAGACCATGCCGCCGAGTCGGACTACAGCAACGGCCACTCCGGGCGGGTCAGGGTGGACGATTTCAACAATTCTACCAGCAGCTTCGGCTATAACGCATACGCGCCGCATACAGGGTATGCCAATGGCGGGTACGGATATGAGCCACAACGATAAAAGGAACATGATTAAAGGCACAGGACACAGGCGAGAACCTTCGCTGGAGAGGGTATAGGGTTTCATCTCTTTTGGCATTTCAAGCACGGTGCGCGTGGTAGCGGCGTCATAGGATCGGGGGATATCGGTTGGAATACGCGAGCAACCAACGTATGGGCACCAACGGGTTGCGAATTCGCGCAATGTGCAAGCGAACATGGTTTCAAAGGCGAGACAAAGGGCAAAGGCAGTGTACAAGAAGGCTAGGGACCTCTGCGCTACATGAGTGTATTATGCCAATATCGTCTACTTCAATCCATCAAGCAACCAGCTGTTCCAGTAGCAGTTTCCGTGATGGAACCATGTGCATATTTTCTCCCGCAATACCGGGCTTGCATTGGTCCTCTGCATATTGTATAGCAGCCATCACTTGAGAGCCAGAATTGGACGACTTCATCAGTGGACTTTAAGTACCTCCTCCCCTTCCTGCCTCTCCAGCCTTTAAGACAAACAAATTGGATCACCCCAGTTCTTGGTTCCTTATTATATGTACATATCTATGAAAATTTCCTTCTTAATTCACAGGTTTCCCCCGCGCCTTTGCCGTATCCTGCATTCCATTCCCTTGTCGTCCCATCATTCCTGTCCCTGTTCCTTTCTTATGTATCCTCGTCGCTACGCTTCCTCTTCCCCCCTGCACCACCCCCACCATCGGCCTTCGCAGACCTCGAAAACAAAGAGTCGAGTTTCTGCTGGCCCCTCTCCGCCCCTTTTTCCACCTTCACCTTCTCGCCCGCGAGCACTGGCGGGAGACCCTGCACTCTCCGCTTCGCGTCCTCGAGCAGCTCGATCTCGCGCTCGCGCTGGGCTTTGACCGTCGGCACGGACCACGAATTCGAGTTGACGTTCTTGTGCGCCAGCTTGTACTTTGACCCCGCGAGATGGGTGGTGTACGTGTTTGCGTCGATCTTCTTGACGTGCTGTATTCCCCGTCGAACCATGACGTCGCAAAGGTCAGCCGCGTGTGTCCACACCCGTATTGAATCTTGTAAAAACTTCCCATCGGAAAGGGTGGTAGAGAGGTAGTGTGTACTGACCTGATGAGCTACTATAAGCCAGTGATACTCTGTACCCACGGGCGCACCACTCCCCTTGGGGGCATTGCGTGCCCGGCGCTTGGTGGTCTCAAAGTCGATCTTCCAGAGGTCCGGTTCGAGTTTCGTCTCCTTCCAGACTCCCTGGTCGTAGTTCCACTTGTGTGAGCCACCGATGGCCATGCCCGTGTACATCTGGCCGTGGAAGGACTTGAGAGCGTTGAAGCCACCCTGTCGCCCGCCACCCGTGGGTCCTTTGGATTTGGAGACAGGGACGCCGTTGTCGCCGTCGTAGTCCGGGACTTCTTCTTCGTCCAAAACCGCGGGGTCGACGGGATCAATGTCGTCAAAAGTGGGTGCCTCACTGGCGTTGCTGGTTGTGTCGATGTGGGCTTCGTTATTGCTTGGTGGGATTACGGTCTGTTCCTGTTCTTGCACTGCCTTCTCCCCAGGTTGAGGGTTTTCGGCATTCCTTTCCATCTTGGAATCAACGTCATCTTTTCCTACAGCGGGAGGAGAAGCTTTGACAGCGGACGAAGGCGTTTTGTCAGCTGCTGCAGTATCGGAGGCTGTCTTTGTCCTTTTAGAACGGCGAGGCATTCTTTGAACTCTGACAGAGAGATGGGTTTCGTTAGACTGGTGTGTACATATAATATAACCACCGCCTGTGTCTAGGTACCAAGTCCATAGTTTGGTGTTCGCGCGCGCAAATACGTCACTCCACCTTTCTACCCACGCGTCAAAGTGTATGGCATGATCTTATGCGAGCTACCACACCGGTCCCCCAGCCTCCAAGAAGACCAGCAGATAATCACGCAGCGGCTTCTTCCTGAACACCGTTGAGTTCATCGATGGGCTGTCCAGTGCAATTGATCTGGCCCTTTCCCTTCGCCCTCTCCCAGATATGGAAGTCGAATCGTTCTCGCCCATTTCTGCTTTGCTGAATCAGCGTAGATCAGACCCCACTCAGTAGTAGTGAGCTCCAACCCGATCAAAATCCGCATTGTTGCCCGGGCACCAGGAATGCAAAACTCATGGTCCAGTTGTTGGTCCTAGTCTCCAGGGCAGGCTCCTGTCGCACAGCGACGGATTGTCATGCCATAGGCCGCATAGAGATCTCCAAGCTCTCGCGCCTGCTTCTAACCCAACGCTCCTGATCGCAGAAGTATAATACACACATTATCATTACGGCTTGGATATCGCTCGACTGGCTTTGCTTGCAGACTGCGACCCGACTGGGAGATCGATGACGAGAACAGAGCCAAGGTGATTTGTGAGGGGGCAACGCTGCTTCCCATGAAAGAGTCGAGGCTGTACCCAATTCTAGTCCGACTCCAATGCCGGACCTTGCAGTAAACAATAGGTACACGTTCGTCAGCAGCATTTGTGCGCCGCGAGGCTGAAGGGTTGTGGGCGGCTCGACCCAAGGATACTATACAACACCTCGGAAAACCGAGGTCCGATATTGTAGTTCGACATGGATATGGGCACAGTGTACCGATTCATGAAAGGAGCCGGCAAGTCGACCTGATGGACCAACTTCGTGTTACTGCTAGTACACTTCCAGCGAGAACAAACCTGACCGGTCTACGAAAGGCTTTCATACGGATACGATGGAAGTACACGTCCTATCGCCCTACTAGCGATCCCTACATTTCCTTGGTGTCATTCCATTTACAAATTACAACTGGTTGCGCTAGACTTTACGGACGTCGTACCCTTTGCAATGTCACTTTTCACATCCCTGTCGCAGACTAACCTCCCATATTGATACTTCCGCTGCTTCTAGCTCAGACAAAAGTCCCTCTGATACACTCTTGGTCTCGTTCAGAATACAAGAAAGTATCAAGTATACCCCCTTTTTCTCTCTCTCAACCCCGGGCATTTCTCTCATCGTCCCCTAAGCTGATATCACGCACCACATCACCACCTGGCATGTGACAACAATGAATACGACAGGTTTCATGTTGGTAAGAGTTTACTGGCTACTGACGATTCCTAAGAGTGAGCAGTGCTCCTGGCAAACGGCATAGTACTTTATTGCTTCTGCGTCGACCCAATTGAATGCTTTCACGACGGTGACACAACCCGCCTCAAATGTCCGCCTGAGGCTGACTGGTGACAACGGTAAAGTTACACCTCCCAAATGCCAGCTCATCGATACAGCACAGGTACAGGCAGGCCAGTGAACAACAATTGGCTCTCCGCGGTGATTCAGTTGACGGGGCTCTTCACTCTAACAGCTCAAGCCCCTTTATACGCGGAGATTCGTCGCTACGCAGTCCTGTCTTTAACATACAAGTCTCCGCAAAAACAGACCCTTGCGCTGCAACTTGTGACCATCAGGCTGAGAATCTCCGGTTCGCTTCGTCAAGATGAGAGCCCAACCGCTTCTGAGCTGCACATGACCCCGACCCTCCAATCGTAGTATAACACGCTCGAGCGGAGCAATTTTATTTTGAGATATGATAATGAAAGCCCGGGACTAAGTCTGCCATTTATTACCTGCGACCTACTCACCTCTTTCATCCAAGCTCTACGGATCGTTCTCAATAGCACAAACGCAGCTCACGTTTCAACCACCCAAAATGTCTGTTGCACATACTCCAACTTCAAGAAGCAGCAACCTCGGGAGCTCAACTAAGCTGAAGGTTCATATTTACATCGACAACTCCAACATCTACATCCAAGGCGCGAAGACCTACCAGCCAGGTTCAAACCAAGATCCTGTGTCAGATCCGGCGTGGAGATATGTTGTTAGTCTCCTCAGGAATGTGCTTTGTCGAGAATCGGGGCTTGATCCTACCGTTGGGCTGGATGTCGATACGTTTGTATATGGCTCCGTTCCTCCACCTCACGATATCTGGCTGGCGATGGAACAGCAGGATGTTAAGGTCTTCAAGTTCGACCGAAGTCCAGTGACTGGAAAAGAGAAGCAGGTCGATATGAAGATGGGAGTTGATATGATCGACCAAGCGAGCTAGGACAAATTCGCAAAGGTTCGAAGCGAGTTTATCATCGTCACTGGCGATGGAGACCTTTTGCCCGCAGTCGAGAAGATCAGTGAGAAGGGATTCCGGGTGCACATATGGTCATGGAGCAGTTCATTCTCAAGTGTCTACACATCAAAGTACAATGAAAGTGGCCCAGAAGGAAATATCAAATTGCACTGCCTGGACAAGTTCAAGGACGAATTCGGTTACAAGAAAGTCAGACATTCGGACAAGCCGTGCAGATACGGCAAATACTGCTTTGAAAATGTCAATTGCGAATTCTCACATTCGCAGGAAGATAAGACATTCTTCGCAGAGACCGGGGGCTGCAAGCCGCTGCGGAAGGACAAAGAGTGCCGTTTTGGCGAATCTTGTAAACGCAAGGATAAGTGTCCCTTTTACCATAACGAAAGTGAGCGGATCTGCCTTACCTGCGACCAGGCTGGACAAGGACACGGCGATGTGGGATCACCGGAATGGCAGAGAGCACATGGCTCAAGTTAGGTAGCTGAATAGATTATGGCTGGAAAGGGGGCCGCTGGAAGGCAATGGCGCGCAATATTGATGTCGTTGCGTCCATCTACCAATATAAAACTCTAGCTTTCTGAGTATTCGATACGATCTAATATCTGATTACACTTTATTTCCAAACTCAGACTGAAGCTAGTCACTATTAGTAGTGCTAGTACTATCCCTTCTCATAGACGATATACAAGTAGCGATATAGAGTCATGTAGATAGGTATCGGCTGAGATTGGTGGCGAATGCGATGGACGAGGAGTGGCTACCAGGCCCACATGTGCCCTAAAGGACGTCTACGAGTAGTTGAGCTTCATGTCTTGTAGCTGGGGTATGCTCCGTGAGAAGTGTTGAGAGTCGAGAAGGGCCTCAGCCTTGCGTCTTGGTCGAATGATGTTGGTGATGTCACTCATGTCACCAGATGTTATACCCACTATTTGAATTCAAACACGTCCTCTCGCTGAGATACCTACTATGGGAGAATGAAAGAAGCGGTCTCGGAGAAACTCTACTGCAGAGCTTTAAGTCGTGGTCGTAAGATGCTGAGAAAGGCAAGCGTGGAGTTGGATCTGCAGGCGGCGGGTTGCGGGGGGAGGAATTGTGGAGCCCCGGATAAAATCCACCACAGTTTTTCCCCTCGTCTTGGCCCTCGCCTTCGCCTTCGCCCCCCTCCACATGCCCTCAATGCCTCAGACTGCGCCCTTGACATGTTGATTTTAGCCAGCCAATTGCCCATCCACAGTTGCCATCCCTCGCTCTGTCCCCCGTCCGGACGGTCGAACTCGACTTCGCCTTCCACTACCGCGGCCTTGTGACCTGCATGGACCTTGGACCAGATTTCCTCTCGCAAACCCCACACCGCTAGCAAGCACTATGCGGTCGCCTTCTTGACTCCCAACTGCGGACCCCGTGAAAGAGCTGTCACGACGACGTCCAGCTCATTTCTTGAACGAGCCAGAATTTGTCCAAGATTATGTCTAGGAACGGCAGGACATGCACAAGGCGCGAGCCGTGACCCCTCGGCCGGATCCAAGCGCTGGAATCGCAGCGTCGAGCCCTGCTCGTGCTTCTGCTTCTCCCACCTCTACCGCCGCCGCCAAAACCTTTCAGTTCGTCACCGCAAACCCCTCCACCGACGCCGAACGCTCGCGGAACAAAACCCTCGTCCGCTCCAATGCTTCCAACTACCACTGGCGCCGGGTCAAGAAATCCACAGATGGCGCCGCCGCGGCAAATCGGCCGGTAGCAAGACGTCGTTCGTCAGCTCGCAGCCATGTCAAGCCTTCCAAGAGAGTCCTCGCCCCTGCGACTCCCCAGACGATCGGGTCTTCCTCAACGGAAAGCGAAGATCGGACACCCAAGACCGAAGACGAGTCAATCGAGTTCATTACAGAGTCGCCTCCGTCAGCAGGAGGTGAGCTGGTGACAATCTCCAGCGCCAGTCTGTCCAGCTTGGTGGTCTCTGGGCACTATGACCCGTTCGAAACATATCCATGCGACTTGCCCAAGGAATTTGTTAGCCCTGTCCTCGATCAAGGTGAGTGTGGCCCCATTTGAATGGAGCGAAAAGAGAAGGCTTACAGTGGCTTCAGTGAACAGCTTCCTGTCTCTCATGTTCCCGCCCGAGAAAGGGCAGACCCTAAGCCCACACTCTGAGAAATGGCTTCAGATGACCTTTCGTGATCGAAGTCTCTTCCATGCGTCGTTGTTCTGCCAGCTCACGCGCAATCGCATTTTCCGTTTGTCGCCCGCCGAGTCCCCGGAACAAATGCAATGTTACACCGAAACCATCAGAGGCGTGCATCAAAAGTTCGCCGATACATCGATGAGCTGTGAGGATGAAAATATCCTTGCAGTCTACGCCCTGTCCTATCACGGAGAGCCTCGGTCCCATCCGCCTGCTGCGGCACCATCCCAAGGTCCATTGACCACCTTGCAACTCCTTCATCTGTACGGCGGTCGCCTGCAGACTGTCAACGTGCATCTACAGGGTCTGGCCAAGATGTTGACTCTTCGGGGAGGCCTCTCCAAAATCAAGCTGCCCGGGCTAGCCCAAGCGATTTCTTTGTAAGTGGCTGCTATCCTCCACCACCCCCACCAACATGAGCCTGACACTAACTTTGCCATTCTGAAGCGGAGACATCATTCTTGCCAGCCAGACTCTGACCAAACCCATGCTGTCGTACGAGAAGATGCACGACGACGTCATCGGGCCGTTGAATGCGGCGTCGAGGAAAACCCATCCGCTAGTCGGTCTCGGCCGTGGGTTTCGAGTGCTGCCGGAAATCCTGGGCCCCGAGATGGTTGAGAAGCTGCTGATTGTGCTGAAGTGGATCATTCAGTACACGTTCGCCGTGGACGACCACGTCAAGGACCGCCCGGAGGCCCAGAAACTGGGCTGCCTTTCGGACGAGAGAAATTTCGTGCAGCATAGTCTCCTGCTCCTGACGCCGCTCCCTACCGAAGTCCAAGACGAACACCCCTTACTCCGACTCGCGCGGCTGGGCACTGTCATCTACAGCCTGCTGGTGGTGTTCCCGCTCCCGGCGATCGCCGCACCCTTTCACCGGCTCGCCCGTGATGTCAAGGCACAGCTACTCGACCCGGCCATCCAACCGTGGTGGACCGACGCCTCCGACCTGATCCTGTGGGCGACGGCGATGGGGGCGATCGCGGCGATAGGGTCGTCGGACCGGCTCTGGTACCGCACCATCCTGGACGAGCTGACTCGGCGCCTCGACATCGGCACCTGGCCCAGCATGCGCGAGCGGCTGGGCATGTTCCTGTGGTACCAGTACACGAACGACTCGGACGGAATCAGGCTCTGGACGGAGATCGAGGAGTCGAACCTGTTCCGCGTCCCAAAGTGAGTCCACTACGTGGGCGGTGGCAGTGCAGGAAGTCACAAGGCCAATAGACACTGCGGTCAGTGGGCATTGCAGTCGTTTGGCTCACTTGCTTACCTGGGATTTGAGCCGGCGACCCGCATATGTATATAAAACCCCCGAGTATTCGTCCTTCACCACCTCTCTAATAACTAATCCCCTACCACTTTGCTCTTCCGGGGAAGGGCTATTTAGTCGCCTCGCTCAGTTGTCTACTCCGTTCTCCTCCCTTACTCGCTTTCTAGCTTCACCTTCCACTCTCATCTAATCCTCTTCGCCTCCGATCTGCTCCTTCCTCCCAGCGAAAGTACCATTTTCTGTTTAGATTTTCGCTCGCAACTGTAGCTAGGTAGCTTGGCAGATATACCCATGCGACTAGGAGGCTACATAGCTTCGGCCCTCAGCGTACTACTTATGGAGTGCTCGGTGAGGCTGAACATTTTCCACACAGTTGGAGAGCGACGCCACAGCCTTCTGTATCAGGCTTAATGGACTGCGCCATCTCCGCCTTGGCTAGCACAGACGTCCTTCTCCCACCCTTCGTCTCCTTCGTCTGGAGAGGGAGCGAAACTGACATGAAAAGAGCAAGATAGGCGCAGATTGATACTTATTACGCATTGTTCCACCGCTGCTTTCCTTCTTTTAGGAGGGCTGGCTCGACTGAGGTATTATGGATGAATCGGTCGCTTCCACCACGCGCTACGCGATCTTGGTCGGAGTTGACTGCTACCCGGAGCAGCCCCTCAAAGGTTGCGTCCGTGATGTCCAAGAGATGGCAACATATCTCGCCAAATGGCCAGTCACAATTCATATTCAACGTTTCACCGCGAGTCAAGATGAAAACCCACAATCCCCCGGTCCCGCCGAAGACTCGAAATCGTGGCCTACCTACGACAACGTCAAATCTAGCATGAAGAGGGTGACATCACTGGCAAAGCCTGGCGACTTCGTATATATCCATTATTCTGGCCACGGCACAAGAATCAAGCCTTCTGCGGCGAACAAGCATTTCGGAGATGTCGCGTGGAATCTCCTTGCAGGAAAAAAAGGGGATAGGATTCGCTACTTTCGAGGCGTGGAACTGGTCCCCTTGGTAAATGACATGGTGAAGAAGGGACTGACGGTCACTGTCGTTATGGACTGCTGCTTCTCTGGGGGCGTATCCCGTGACGAGGGTCCAGACGACGTTAGAGCTCTCGACTACGACGCGCAGGTGGATATGGACTATCCACCTGATCCTCCTCCGGAGAGCCTAGATTTGGAAACGGCCGGAGATGCCTCTCGGGACGGCTCTATGCTTCCCAATTGGTTCCTCAATCCGAATCATTATACCATTCTCGCCGCATGCGGTCCGCACGAAGTTGCTAAAGAGATTAAGTTTCCAGATGGGAGGATACACGGAGCACTATCTTACCTATTACTGCATACACTTTCCAACATTGACACCGCAGTCCAATCACAGCTGGGCATCTACAGCAACCTGCAAATCATATTCCGGAAAATGCATCCACAACAAAACCCTGTTTTGTATGGCAACATGAACTTACGCTTCTTTGATTCAATCTTGCCATTGCAACGCAATATCCCTATCCCCATCGTCTTGGAGAAGGCCTCTGGTCTTCTTCGTTTACAAGGTGGTCAAGCTCATGGTGTTTGCATCGGCGACCTGTTTGCCATTTCCCGGTTCTATTCGACGGGGAGCGAGTCTGCTGGGAGCGAGAAACCCGTGACTGCTCGCGTCACTAAAGTCAGCGGGTTGACTGCAGACTTGGAACTGGTGGATCAAAATCAGGGGCAAAATGTTGTCCAGACAGGCTGGGTGGCGAAAGCACTGACCCGTACTGCACTTCGACAATATCCAATAGCACTCGCAGCAAACATTCCGGACACAGACAAATGGCTCGATGCTGCAAAAGAACGGGAGTCTCTCGCAATATCTCGTCTAGATTCTCTGGATTGTCCCTTCTCGTTCCAGGTCGTTCTGAACGCCGAAAACAATGTCTATGAAATTCGAGACGGATCAGATCAAAAATTGGCAAACCTACCCGTTGTATCGAGAGACCACGAAGATGCTATTCCAGATATCCTTGATGTCCTTGAGCACCTGGCATGGTTCAAACACGTCAAAGCCATTGCCAATCCGGGCCCAACGGACGATTTCCTACGTTCATTTGACATTAGCATTCTCAATCGCTCCGGAAAAGCTTTCGACAAAGAGCGAGTGATTGAACTAAAGCACAGGGACGTGATTGTGCTGGAAATACAGAATAAAGGCCAGCGTCCTCTGTATGTTCATGTTTACGATCTGGAGAGCAGCTGGGAAGTCGAAAATCTATGCCGAGGATCCTACGAAACCGTTCCGGCACGCAATCCCGCTCTCAATCTTTCGGGAAGGAGTAAGAAGCGAGTAAAGATGACAGTCCCGGCTGACATGCAGGCGAAGGGCACATGGAGTGTGACGACGTGATCAAGGTCTTTGTCACCATGCAGCCCACGACTTTCGCGAACTTGGAGCTGCCGAATATCAACAAACTCGCGAAGATGGATGCCAATGCAGCAACGATCCCATCAGCTGGTCCTGGCGAAATTGGGATTGCACCAGACGATTGGATTGCTTTGAACTTTCACTTCCACACAACGGCTTAGAAATCGAGTTATGTCGACGGTGCTGCCATAATTACCTGATGTGATGGGAAGTTGGCTGCTGTATTCAATCCCTACGAGGCTGAAATAACAATAATCTGTATTACGCGTCTAGAGTGATATGTGCTTGGTGTCCCTCGAATGTCACAAAGCGTCTTTTCATTACAGCCTGACTCTCACCACATGGAGATACGAGGAACCAACTCATGTGACTGCGCTAAGGTCTCAAGGCCTGGGTTGGCGCCTGCTCAGGCACGACCTCAACCCACGCGACGAAAACCTGTCAGCCTCATTGACTGCACTTCCACTGCGTATTTAACTCCCTGAAGTAGTATACGATATAATCTACAGGCCAGGAAATTTTAGCATCCATTCAAGTGCGAGTACCGGCAAAGCCTAGTCTACTACTGTCTCAATCTTCCCTCGCGTTGGTCTAGGAGCTATACTTGTCCCATGCCTCTATTAAACCTGATATCGTGGAAAATTTAACCCCCTTATCAGACGGGGCATCCGATCCACGGCCGCCAGATATCGACCGCGACATCAGTCTCCGATCGTTAGATCAGGGCGCTCTTATAGATACGATCATGGATGACCCAGGGAGGGCACCTTACGCTCGAGCGATGCAACTTCTTCAACGCTACCTGACCGATTGGAATACTGATGACTTGAACCATGCAATTGAATTCGGACAGCTCGCTGTCCGGACGACTCCTGAGAATCATGTGGACAGAGCTGCCCGATTTTCGGATTTGGGAACCATGTTTGCTCAAAGATATCAGCAAGAGGAGCAGTTGGAAGACCTCAACCAGGCTATAGGGCTTGCATCAGATTCCGTTTCATCCGCTCCGATCGGCTATCCGTATCTCTCCGCTTTCTCGAACAACTTGAGCGGCTACTTTGGCATGCGATATGATCACACCGGTGAAGTCGACGATCTGACCCAGGCTATCACCATCGCGCAGCAAGCAGTAGATTCGGCATCGAACGACGACGAAAATCTACTAAAATACTTAGACAGCCTGGCAACAAATCTGGAACGAAGGTCAACGCTGGAACGCAGTGAATCGAGCAGAGAAGACGCCCAGAGGTCCGTGGAGCTGGGGAAACTCGTATTGCAGTTGCTCCCAGACGACGACGACAATCTGCCTATTTATATGAATAACTTGGGAAATCGCTTCCAGAGTCTCTATGACCAAGAGAATAAAGTGGAATACCTTGACGAAGCCATCAAATGGGCGAGATTGGCAATTCCTGCGATCGACGAAAGCGACCCTATCTGGCTGCCGAGCAGAAACAACTTAGCTATCGCACTTGAGCGCCGGTATGATCTGACTGGGAGCAGAGAAGATCTAGATGAAGCCATTGAGATTGCCCAAGAGGTGGTGAACTCGACCGAAGGCAATGATCCGAAGCTGGCACCTTACCTGAATACCCTGGCAGTCAAGATTACGGCTCTCTATCACCGTGCGGGAAATGTGCCAGACTTGGAAGAGGCCGTCAAACTTACACGACGTGCCTTAGAAGTCGCTCCAGCAGACCATCGAGACAGAGCGGACTGGTGGAACAACATAGGAACTCTACTCGAAAGCCTTTTCCGAAGAACCGGGAAGCTCCAGTACATCGAGGAAGCCGTCGAAGCCGCGCAACAGGCCGTTGAGCTTACTCGGAAGGACCACCCGGATCGCGCAGCATATCTCATCAACTTGTCGAACAACCTCGAAACGCGCTTCGAAGCTACTGGCGATATTCATGATCTAAACAGCTCCCTTGAATTCGCGGAGAAAGCTGTCAGCGCTACGGCAGAGGGCGACTCAAGACTAAGTGCCTACCTGAAGAGCCTGGGAACCAAATTCAGCCACCGATATGAGACGGCTGGAGACATGAATGATCTCGAAGAAGCGGTCCGATTTGCACGAGATGCTTTACTATTGGTTCCAGAGGGTCACCGCACCTACCCTACTTACCTAAGTAGCCTGGCAACTGCTCTACATAGCCAGTTTGAGCGGATGCGTGACATCAAACGTCTCGATGATGCCATCAAGCTATCGCAGAGAGCTGTGCAGCTGACTGAACGAAGCCATCAGGATTATGCAGCATGGAAAGTCAACCTGGCAAACCACCTCAGCGCTCGCTACGACTACTACGGCGACATTGCTGACCTCAAGGAAGTAATCAAACTCGCCCGCGACACGGTGGAGTTGACCAAAGGAGAGCATCTCGACCGGGAGCCATGCAGGAACAATCTGGCAGCCGCACTTTCTAAGAGGTACAAGCGCGACAAGAATATCGAAGACCTGGACGAATCCATTCAGTTAACTCAGCAGGCGCTTGATTCGACGAGTGAAGATAATCCAAACTGGTCCGCCTACGTCTCCAATTTGGGTATCAGGCTCCTCAGCCGCTACAACAGGAGCGGAGACATTGGCGACCGTGATTCTGCCTTGCAGCATTTTCTTCGCTTGAGTGAGACCAGCCAAGCAACTCCTCTAGATCGTCTCAAAGCAATCCGAGCAGCCATTCGACTCCTTCAAGCCAAAGAATCTTGGAATCAGGCAAATAAGCTGGCAGCGGAAGCATTGAAGCTGCTCCCGCTTGTATGCGGTCGATATTTAGGCCTTCAAGACCAACAATACGTCCTTGCGCAAACGTCGGGTCTTGCTGCTGATGCTTGCTCACTGGCTTTGAAGATCGGGGACGTCGAGGAGGCTGTCCTTCGACTGGAACTCGGGCGTGGTATCATGGTCGGCTACATGATCGAGTCTCGAAGTGATCTGTCGGAGCTCAAAAAGGAATGTCCAGAGCTGGCCAATCACTATGAAAAGTTACAATTCAAGGCATCTCAGAAGATCGACTCACGCGACCCCCCGGTCCGGGCAATGTTGCTCAAAGAAAGGAGAGAGGCCATCCAAGAGATCGAAAGTTGCGTTCAGAGGATCCGCAAAGAGACTACTCACAAACGCTTTCTGCTAGGATCTGCAATTGAGGAGTTGAAGAAAGCTTCGGACCCTGGGCCACTTGTTCTGGTCAACGTCACAGACATCAGTGCCGATGCTTTGATCGTATCACCGCAGGAAATCAAAGCCATTCATTTGCCGGAATTCTTCAACAGAGCGGCGCCGTCTGCCGTGAAAGGAGAGATCGAGTCGTACGAGCGCTTGTCTCGTGGGGATGACGATCGAGACATTGAGAGCGAGACTCCATCGCGCCTGGAATCTGATCATCTGTCTTGGCTGTGGACGAACTGTGTGAAGTTGATACTCCAGGAGCTTGGTGGTTACAAGATCCCCGTCCACAATAACCTGCCTCGTGTCTGGTGGGTTGGAACAGGCATTGCCAGTTCTCTTCCCTTTCACGCAGCAGGAGAGGCCTTCGGTCTGTCGACAGAAAACACCTTGAGCCACATTGTACCTTCATACACACAATCCATCAAGGCGCTCCTGTATTCCAGGTCCCAGATCCTTCGATCTGCCCAGCACAGCAAAAGCAAGTGCTCCATGATGGTTGTGGCGATGCCACGAACCCCGGGACAAAGACCCCTGCCGGGAGTTGACGGGGAGGCGAAGGCCATCGCCAATGTGAGCAAAGATGTCTACAACGTCGAAGTATTACCACAGCCAGCGGCAGAAGGCGTGTTGCAGAAGCTTTCCACCACGGACATTGTTCACTTCGCGTGCCACGCCATTTCAGACCCCTTCGACCCTTCCAAAGGCCACCTCCTTCTCCAGAAGCCGGGAGCCAAGGGCTTCGTAATCGACAGGCTAACTCTGTCCCAGATTGCCGGAGTCGTGACGGAAGGACAGGCGCAGCTTGCGTTTCTGTCCGCCTGCTCGACCGCGGAGGTAAAGGCGAGTAAGCTCACTGACGAGGGACTCCATCTTGCCAACGCATTTCAAGTCGTGGGATTTGGCCACGTTATCGGGGCGCTGTGGTCCGCCAATGACGAAGTCTCTGCTCGTCTTTCCGAGTTGTTCTACGCCAATCTTATCGAGGCGGGTCAAACTACGTCCCTCGGCGGCCTCGTGGCCTCAGCCTTGCGGAATGCGGTAGTGCAGGTTCGATCGGAGTTTTCTGAGAACCCCGAGTTATGGGCTCCATTCATTCATTTGGGGGCATAAATATCAAGGTAGTGTGATCCTTCGTGTCTGGTCAGGTTCACGTCGGAAACGTTTGGATTCATATCAGATCGAGGGAACCCTGTCAACCACTAGTGGGCACTGTCCCTCCCGCCCAGCCTTTCGTGCCTGTAATTCCGCCTTCTGCAGCTTCCCATCCTTGGGGGAAGAACGCCGCTCGCCCAGTGATGGCTTCAAGCCGCTATTTTCAAGTGCTTCTCCTCTACTTGCGCGCCATTCCTCGCCTTCCGCCCATCCTGGTGGGCCAAGACGTATTTGCCCGTCGAGGGCACCGACGCGATCAAATACGGTCCCTCTTGGACTCCGCTGCCTGGCACTCGGTAGATGACTTTATCCCCCGGTCGAAACCGACTGGTCTAAGCATCCCCGTTCTCTCAGCATGTGCAATGACACGGTGCGATGGAGAATGTACCTTTTGGTATGCCTGGACAGAGGGCCTGCCATCCTCCACAAAGGTAAAATTGAGGCTTTTTCCAGCGTCGGTGTCAACATTTCCCGTGACCTTTTTGTCCGCAAGGAGGGGTGGGTGGGCGTCTCTTACTCGTCAATCTGGTCCATTGCAATTTGTTTAACTCCCCTGATGAAAAGAGAGGCGCTGCTAATTTGTCTTGAAAAACCGGGCCAACTACTGAGGTATTATCTTCGGTGGGAAAGACAGTAATTAGATGCATGCACGCTTTAGATGTGTCTTGACTCTTGACATGGGGAATAGTTAGTTGCCTTTTTGCTGACGTGGCAGTTGCCTGGTTGCCTTTACCAACCAACACGTGGAGGGTTCGCCCAGCCCACCATGGGTTCAGCCAGCCATTCTCGTGTGCGTCTCCTCCGTCCCAGCAAAGCTACTAGAGGCTTCTGTTCCAGCTCAACCTGCAAATCCAGCGCAATCAAACCCCCGTAGCCCACCTCCTACGTGGTGTCAGTTTTGCTTTGGCCCTGATCCAGACAAGAAGACGACAAGCAGTGTGCAATACCTGGTGCCCTCTCAGTTAGGGCCACATTGTCGGCCGTCAGGGGCAAGGCGTGGACTCACGTTGACCCGGCGACAAAAAGCTCAAACGTCCTGGAATTTGCCAAATTGGTCAGGATTGACAGGGTCAAGATGTTGGCGACGACCGTGAACGCGATCCGGAGCGCCATGCTCTCCACGGCACTGCACAGCAACACGGGCGTCAACAGCAGGGCGACCACCAGGAACAACAAGACCGCTTTGGAGACGTGTGTGACGAGGCTGCCGGAGTAGATGTATACGTTCGGATCCCTCGAGATCTCGTGCAACGGCAACTGGGATCCTGTCAACTTTCCTGGGCTGTTAAAGGGCCGGGGATTGTCAAAACCTTGCGAAAGCCAGGGTAGAATCGGATCATCTTGGTCTCCACCCAAGCCTCCAACTTCGCCATGGCACTGTCTCCCAAGGAGGCCAGGTTGACCAAATCCCTCGGGCGGTTCAGGTACTCGGTCTCCTCCCTGGCCAGCGAAGCCGTGCCGTCGACCCAATTCTTCAGACTCGTGACGTCCCCGGGACTGGCGGGCTTGAGCTGCAAAAACCGCGACGTTCGCTCGACGAAAGAGTCTGGCGGCAAACTCTTAGCCCAGAGATCTCGCGACGAAAAAGAAGCCCAACGGCATTTTTTGGGTCAACCATAGTCAGCCAAGGCCGTCTCCAACTCCGCCAGCACGGTCCGGCGTTGTTCGTTCGCGTCCAGCCTACTTTTCCCAAGGAACAGCGGCGACGGCTCTTCGTCGTCGACCTGCTCGAGCTGCTTCTCCAGCTGAGAGAGCCTGTCCTGCTTGAGCAGGAGGAGGCGGGCCCGGATGTGGGAAAATCGGCGACAGATGTAAAAGCCGTCGCTGGCGGCGACCAGAGCGGAGAACTGGGGGTAGCCCCGAGGGTAGTCTTCAACTGAATGGAGAGAGTTTAGCGGAAGAGAGTCGAACAAACATATGGCGAACCGTCCATCTTACTCTTCCTCGTCTTGTCTGGTATCCGCCGCCCCGCTGCGGGAAGCCATCTGGCACACGATGTCCAGCTCCTCGAAGCGAGCAGCCGAGATCTTGTTCGATGAGCCCTTTCTTCCGAAAGACCCGTTTCAATGTCCATGGCGAAAAGCGTCCGTCGACGTGAGTAGGTCTGAGACACAGGAGCACCCCGGGCACAGAAGAGTGTGTTGTGAGAACAGCTTCATAGGCCTTTCACAAGACTCCAGCATCTCGTTACCGAGTCATTTTTGCCCCTCTTTAGCGTCAGGCCACAAGGCAGTGCGGCTCCAATGAGGGACGGAAACGTAGCAACCCTCGAGGTACCTCGTTGCGGAATTCAACCTTTGGTCGCAATACCGTCTAGCCCCCGGCTAGATATCGCTATAGTCGCTTCTCCAGACACAAAGTATGCCTGTGTGCTTCAATCGGCACAGCGACTTTGCCGTGATGCGGTTTGACACACGTCGGCCTCTCTGGGAATTGAACCGAGTTAGGCAATATCGAAGCCGAGACTAAGCTTTCGAAATAAGAAATGTCTCCACCAGAATACATAGTACCGGCTCCTTTCCGCGTATTCCCATTTCGTCCCACAAACGGAAGCTATATTACTATCCCTCTGCTGCCTCGGCCCGCTCCGATACTTTCCTTTCAGTTGCGACAGTCTACTGGGAGCTTGCTACTCCTCGCAAATTCATAAAAGAACAGAAGATAAGGAACTACTTGCGACTGAACGTTATGCACACAAGTAAGCCGTGATAAAATGTGCTCGAAGACCCACCAGCCAGCCAGCCAGGGAGGGTGAAAGAGACAACGAGGTTGGTGAGTCTGCAACTCAATTCCTGTTGAAGAGACAAAGATTTGCACAGAGGACAGGCACCATTTCAAGCGCCCGAGTGAATATATGCCCCCCATTGCTGCGGGTCAGGGTGCTCGCCTCTGACCCGGAGGACAGCAGTCCGCAGAGCCTCCGCGACGTCTCGATTGTCAAGCTGTCGACGTTCCCTACCGATGATGGCATCGTAGAAATACCCCGCGACCTCGACACAGACGCTGTCTTCGACGCGCCACAGGCATCCGACGACGTGAGCGAAGCCCGCGACCTGGAGCGCGCTCGAGATATGGATCCCCTCGTCGGCGAACTTGGCGGCGCTGATTTGGGCCGTGGAGCAGGCCGACAGGTACGCGATCCACGCGAGCCCGGCGCGGTCGGCGCTCGAAATCCTCGAGACGGTCAATTCGTCCACCTTGGGGCGGCCGGCCTCGTCGTGTTTCTGCAGCAGGAGGTGGCTCCTCGAGGGGTCGCGGCTGTGAGACTTGCCGTGGCACGCGAAGTGGACGATCTCCGAGTGCCCCATGCTTTCCAAAACGGCGTCGACCGTGGGCTGTGGCAGCGGCACGCAAGTGTACACACCACTGGAGTCGCACTTCTCTTTGATCAAATCGCTCTCCGGTTGAACACCATCGAGTCCATCATAGCCTGGAGTCGTTGTCATTGTCACCACCGTCACTCGAGGTTGCTGATGGGGCGTGCGGGCGTACTGTTTTGACTTTTCTCTCGAATAAGACAGCGCCTTGATCGACGGGGTGTAAGAGGGCACCATTCGGTCGAGAGCATTGTTGTCTGGCTTGTACTTGTTTGCAGAAAGGGATGCGGCATGGAAAGGGAGGCCGCTGGCCACGCCGGCCCCGATCCACCAGACCCTCGGAAGGTGTTCCATTGCGCCTGCTGTTGGTCGTGGCCCGAGCGCATCCAGGACCACCTCGACGCAACTTTCCCAGAGCCACGAAAGGAAGAATTCCGTCGTCACCGAACCAGCGCCCTCGTCCTCGCCTCCTACGTCTCGACCGGCAAGGAAGTCTTGGAACTCGCGGTCGGGAGACCTGAAATTCCGAAGAGCACTCGACACGAAAGCGGGCATTTCGCCGCCGGCCCGCAACTTCGGGAGAGGGATCCTCTGCACCTGGGAAGGGGACACAACGATGGCATCGCTGCTGATATCTGTGAGGTTCACCACCACGATAGGCCCTTCGCTCGCGCAGGCCTTCATTTTCTCCGTACTGAGACCGCGAAGAAAGTCCTCGTGGCCTCGGATCCGATGGATCTCGGCCAGACACTCTTCCATCCGGTAAGCAGCGTTTCTGCGCATTTTCATTTGGCCCTCGCCAATGTTGGAACCCTCCAGCATGGGTTGCAGGTATAGCTGGTTTCTCAAATCTCTGTATCTCTCGGCCAAGTCGGAGCAGGTCGCCTCCAGAGTCTTGAGATCGTCGTGATTGTCTATTGTATAGCCGATCAAAATTGCTTTGCCGAACTCCAGCTGCTGCAGTGCCTGCTCAACCTGATCTCCTCGGAGTAGTATGGAACACACGTCAGCTGCGAGACTGGAAGTCTCAATGACGGCCTGTTGCTGATCTTTCCGGCTCAGATATCGGCCACATACCATCGGAAGGAGCTCCATGGCATTTTCTGCTAGAGTCTTCATTTCATCCCAAGCCCCTCTCTGTTGTAAGATCCTGATGGCGCGGCGAGACGCCTGGACACGCCTCAGAGGATAGGCCGACTGCATGGTCGCCGCCTCTTTGAAATATTCCAATGCGGTATCCAGGTCGTTTGGGAGATGCAACAACGAAGAACGGACGACCGACATGTTTCCCAGATTGAGAAGTTGGCTTGCTCGATCAGGGAGACCCCCTGGAGACGACAGGGACTCCTCTGTGAGTTTTATGGCCTTTTCCAGATCCCCTGGTGCTTCTTTCTCTCGAAATCGCCAAAGGTAGGAAAGTGACAAGTTCGCCAACCAAGTGTTCCGAAAGGGATTGTCCGTTGACAAACGATGAGCTTCTTCACCACACCGGATGGCCTCGTCGATGTCTCTTCCACTTGTATCTCGGTCGGACCGAATCCTCAGCCCGTTTCCAAGGCCATTGCAGTACCTCGGAAGGTCTGCGTGGCCCTCGGGCGTTGTGTTGACAGCAAGCCTACTTTTCTGAATGGCCTCATCAACGTCTGCAAAGTCCAGTTCGCGCTGAAATCGGGTCATGAGGAGGAAAGAGAGATTGTTCAAGTACGCCGCATAATCTGAAGCGTTGGATCGCTGGGGGTCCGTGACGGCTCGGAGCTTCTCGATTGCGGTGTTCAAGTACTCGCTCTCCCCAGTCAGCTCAAACCTGTGCCCGAGTTGATTGGCAAGATTGTTGGTTCTCCGTGGAAAGCTCGGATCATCCGGCGGAGTCAGCCCAAGAGACCTTTCAGTGTATTGAAGGGCGTGCTCCAGGTCGGTCGGATTTCCCAATTTCTCAAAGCGCAGTTCGTAGGACAGACCTAGGTTGTTCAACCATTTCGGTCTATCCCCATACCCCTCCCCTATATTGTTAACCGCAGCCTCGCCATTTAAAATCGCCTCGTCGAGATCTGCCGGGGTTCCGACGTGCTTGTAGCGGTTCGAAAGTGCCTGCGCGAGCGAACCAAAGAAATGCGCACGGTCAGACGGCGGCAATGTCGCCTCCTCCAGAGCCTGCCTCCCGTGGCCCACGCCCAGGTCCAGATACCGGTTCTGCTTGTCGTGTTCAAACAGCTGACCATACAGCTGGGCGAGACCTGCTCGGACGAAGAGTTTGGTACGTCCGTCAGCGGCCCGGTCCCGGAGGATCTGCTCGCTCAGGTCGATCGCATCCCGGAGATCCTGTGGATTGTCGTCCATTTGGTACTGCTGGAATTGGCAATTACGAAGTGTCTCCAGGTTTTCGATGTAGACGGGGTAAAGGGGGTGAGTAGGGGGGATCAGCTCTCTTGCCCTGGCCATATTGGTGAAAGCACGAACAAGGCTTTCGCGGCTTGGGTTGAGGGAGCACCACTCGAGGCTGAGTGCAGCCAGGATCATCCTTCTTTCGGCCAACTTTGGGTTATCCATTGGGGTTAACAGGACACTTTGGCTCAGGAGGTCGAGTGTCTCCTCTAAACGCTCCTCATGTCCCAGCCGAAGTAGGCGCATGGCAGCAAAGTAAGCTTCATTGGCACGTTCAGAATCGGGCTGCACGTTGGTAGTATTTGCAGTCGACATGACCCCAGACTAGAAGGTTGATTGTTCACACAACGCGGGAGGACCTTGACGTTATTCAAGACGATACTTGGGGATCGTTAGCTGTGTCCAAAATCTGGCTCAACAGCTCTCTTGGGCTGCGGTGCCCAGGGAACTTGGTCGACCACGCACAGGGCCACCGATGCGCCAAACCGGTCAAGCAGTCTCAGCCTCAACACCGTCGCTCGATCCAAACAACCAATAATCGTCAGACGGCAAATTTCATCGACGCATTGCTGCCTAATAAGTGCCACGTGCTGTGTGACCTTGATAGCCTCGAGAATTCGAGCGATCTCGATCGCGCACAACACCCATTTATATGCATATCAAAATCTCGGTCTTGATACGGGACCAAAGAAACAAATACAGCTGAGTTGCAGCCGGTATAAAGTCCAGGCTGGCCCAGAGAACGATGTCAATACTTTCGATTAGGGTCTGGTATTCAATGCTTCTCGCACTGCATCGTGAAAGCACACCGACGCCTCAAAATAGCGGTACTTAACAACAGAGTCCGGACTGGCAGATTCACGGGGGCATTTAAAGACTTGAAATCGTTCTGCACCCCTAGCACTTCCATCCTGCTATAATCGTCTTCGACGCTCTGACTTGTGCGACCATTTCCGTGCATCTTGTCGGAATCAATTTAGTCAACATCGTTGGGCCGAAGGAGAAATGGTATACGAATTGTACTGTAGCGAAGATCATCGTCATCCACAGCTTCGGCTTTGCGGCTGCAGCCGGTCGAGATCGACCACGTCAACTGTTCCAACTTCGACAGACTCGTCCTTTCAGCAGGCGCTGGTCTGGCTGGATCAGCTAAATGGCGAAGATCAACCGGCTCACTCGACAGGAACAACAATAAAGTCTCTCTCAACGGTTTCGCATGACATATTCCTCGCGGCCAACTCACTTTCAGCCCAGGTAGTGTAAAACCATGTAGCGAACGCCCCAGGACTTCACGTCGTCCCTGCGGGAGTTCGATCCCGGATGACCTCGAGACCAGAGAGATTTTGCCCACGGCGTTGATGTCGAAGACAGACACGTAGACCGTCTCGTAGCCGTCGTTGAGAAGCGAAATGACGATTCGATCCCCTTCGGTCAAAGAGCCGGCGCCGTCCTGCCCAAGAACTCTGCCTGGCGAGGACTGGTCTCCCACCAGCTGCACCGTCACTTCGACACGGTGCTGAAGGATTTCGTCGGTCGCCTCGTGTTCGAGTGACAGCAGATGCTGGGCGCGGGCGAGCTGTTCGGCTGACTTCAACAGCTGGGCCACCTCCTCCTCAGAGGGGGTTGAAGGGGTTGCTGTAACGGCGAGGCCATGATGGCTGCGAAGGACGATGTCATTCGCCTCGTGGCAGAACTCAGCCAAAGTGAAGTCGTTCTCGTCCAGCTCTCGCCTGCGTATAAACCTTGAGCCCTGTACCATGTCGTCCAGCCAGGGGAGTCCAGTAGGGAGTGTGACAGGCCACTTGGGGAGGGTTTCGTGACGGATAAACGCCATGGCGCCCTCGTCGGGGAGTCGAGTTGCTTGAGGCCCCGTGAACGACAGCCGTGTCGTCGCCTTGAACGCCGTCACTTCTGTGATATGCGCCTCTGCCAGTTGCTCTTCGGCCAGTATTTCCTTTGCCCCCAAGGGCATGACGGCGTAAACATTCCCTTGGTTCACCCCCGACACGCGGCCGGCTTGGATCACGGCGCCGTCGGCTTCATTCCGAATGTGATATGCCCCGGAGATGCTTTCCTGCAGCGAAAAACGGTGCCGGTTCACGGGCCCGTCGGCGCGGGGGTGCTGATACGGAAAACGGACGTTGACGAGCTCCTTGACCCGCAGCATTGTCGTCCACCAAGAAATCCCAGAGGCACTGCCTTCCGCCATGGCCAGGACGAGGGCTTCCGTCATCGCCCCGCGCCACTCTCCCTCTGCGTTCTGATATTCCCAGGCGGTCTCGTTCGCCGCGGCAGCCGCGATGCGGATCGCCCATGGATTCCCCTCGGCCTCCGTCTCCGTTCGAACCTGGTCGAGATGCTTGAGACGGTCGACGTATTTGGACACGTCGTGATACTGCACTTCCGAGAGACTTCTCGCCGTGGCCGACGCGCCAAAGTCGGGGTCGCGGACCATGTGCCCCGCGTAACAGCAGTCGAGGATGATGGTGGCATTCTTGGTCTTCGCGGTCATTTCCCACACCAGACACGACAGTTCAATGTCCAGAATGCCGCCGAAGTCTCCTTTCGCCGTCGTGTCTTCAAAGTCCATGGGTACAATGAACTGGTACCGCCATGGTTGGGTCGCGCCCAGGTTTGATATGTCTCTGGGTTGGTCCCTGGGCGACTCGACCATGCCCCCGTGGCCCGAGTAGTAAATGACCACGCAGTCTCCTTGGTGAATACTGTCGATAAGTTGCCGCCATGCTTGTAGAATGCCGTCCCGGGTAGCATCGGCTCCACAGCACTCGGCTGTATCAAAACCCAGGGTGCGCAAGACTCCCACCACCATTTCAACATCACGCAACGGGCCTTTAAGTCTTCCAAAGGGGCTGGCGATGAGAAGAGCTTTCTTGTTTGGCATCTTGTTCGACGACGGAATACAGAGCTCTTATCCAGTGTAGTTCTGCCCACACCGACAGTCAGTCGATAGATTTTCGTAGTATCTCCTTGACGATGACTGGAACCTGGTGCCGGTCGAAATAAATGTGTCGCTACATCAGGGAGCAGTCAGGTACGTGGTATTGAGGTGAAAGGAGGAGCAGAAATCGGCGGGGGAACTCATGTGCCCATGATCGGGCAGGGTGTATACGAAGACCACCTGCAACGCTGCTCCAATGAGGTGTCTCTGCTATCGGAGTGTCTGCCTAACTGCTTTCCGCGAGTCTCCTTCTAGGGCACTTCCTCGCCTCGTCGTGCATCAGCGTTTCCATATATTCAGCCATGTCGTGTCATGACCTTTTCTATGTGATACCCTATCACGCCCTGTACCATGACACTATTCCTGCCTAGCAGGATCGCGACCTTCTCAGTCTTTTTCGCTCTCTATGGCTTGATCTCCTTGTCCAGAATCAATCCACCCCTTTTCCATGCGCCGTACTATCAAATAGCCTAGCCCTATGCCGAGTTATTTCTTCCTTGTCTCTGCTGTTGTCTTCTTGGTATTATCTTCTGATCTGGTTTCGCTGGTCTTCGCTTTATTTTTCTCCTTTAGCTCAGGGTCGCAGTTCTTGCACCCAGTTCCCGGCAGGGGCAAGAAGCACGCGCATCCTTGGTGTTAGTCAGTACGGTAGATGCCCAGGTTTGGAGAGGCAAGAATGCCCTCACCTTTTTTGGCTATCATACGCTCCCTGAAGGCCTTCATCTCCTCTTCGGTCAGCAGCTCGTCCCCGTCTGACTCTTCCTTGTCCTCGTCGTCCTCGTCGTCGAGGATTTCGTCCATGAAGCTGTAGTCGACGCAGCATTTGTAGCAAACAGTAAGCTTGTGGGCCGAGCAGATCATGCGTCCATCGGGCAATTGCTCGGCTCCATCCGACTCCTCCTTGTCATCGTCGTCGTCGTCGTCCTCGCCGAGGATTTCTTCCATGAAGCTGTAGTCGACACAGCATTTGTGGCAAACGGTCAGCTTATGGGCCGAGCAGATCATGCGTCCGTCGGGCAATTCAATGGAATCTGCCATTTTCGACAGCTTGATTCCGACTCTGTGACCTCTTCGTGTACTGGTGTTGGTTTAGGGATAGTACCGAGTCCACGAGCTCAAGTTATTGTCAACCCAGAGATAGAAAAGTGGAAAATTCCTCAGGTTTGAGACCTCACGGTGGAAGAGGGCGGTGAAGACGCGCCAAACGAGGGGCATTGGCGATGTGCCCACGCATGATCTTCAGGTCGCCAACCAAAATCCGGGGCTGCATCTTGGTAATTAATTAGTAATTATTCCCTTTCCATATCAGGCTCAGCCTCAGCGCGAGCTGCTCGGCCTGCTCAGGCCGGTGCTCACTCTGCTCATCCTTCCCATCAGCAGTGTTGTGAAAATAGATTTCATAAATACAGCGTCACATTCCTGACCTGTTTATTTCAGTATTATAGATGTAATCTTTCCAAAGTTCCTGGGAGCCAAGGAGCTAGTTTATTAGCGTTTTCCTAGTAAACTAGTTCGTGGTTGACCCTTCAGGAGGCATAAAAACCTGCCTGATTTGACGCCCAATAGGCCTGTGTGCCTTGAGAATAGGGCCCTATCTGAGGGCCTATCTGCGTGCCAATCTGCGTGCCAATCTGCGTGCCAATCTGCAGTTGCGACTGTGCCTGTGAATAGGCTAGAAATGGCGGTAGAGATAGGTTGGCAGCAGGACTAGGCGCAGATTCTATAGAAGATTGCTGGTCTGCCATGTCTTCTGTCATAATTGCTGTAGCGAGGTCCTCCGCCGCAATGCCCTGTTCGTGTTGTTCCTCTTGTTCCTGCGCGATCTCTCTATCGCGATCGTTTTGTGCCATTGTCGCGCGCCGATCGATCGTCTCGCGCCGTCGAAGGGCGATCTC